GGTAACGTCGCCCTAGCCGAGAATCTATACCTTAACGCGTAGGACTTCGTGCCTAAGAGCGACGACGCTACTAGTACAGTCGAGAGGGAGTATATTTAGCGCTACCGGCCTAACTATATATACCTATAGAACTATGCCGAGGGTAACGCTTATTACCTACGTTCCGATTAATATAGTCCTACTAGCGATATAGCACTAGGCGCACTAAAGGCCCTAGAAGACAGATACGAAGACGTATATAAGACGCTTAATAAGGCTCTTTAAGAGGCACGTCGACTGTTAGGACGGGAGCGTTTACTAGATAACGGCCCGTAGGTAGAGCGTACGCCGGCGCCGCGAGCGTTACTAGCGATCTTATTGTTACTAGGACAATTAAGTTTACCTCCGCGTTCGCCGTAGTTACTATCGAAGTTGCCTAGACTATCTACTCTATAGCCGCGATAACCTACTTTACTATCGCGACCCTTATAGCCGCTATCGCTACTATAGCGACTAGCTTTACTATTTTTAGTATTATCTATACTATAGGCTTAGCCTCCTACGCTATCGATATAATCGCAAACCTTATAGTTATTACTAGTATAGCTTCCGCTAGTACCCTCGCGTTCTCGCCTACGACCGGTATCTCTACGACTAGTATCCCTACGACTAAGTACTTAGCTAATAATAGTACTCCGACCGTCGCGGTCGAGACTACTACCGAGCGCCGTAGCTAACTATACTAGAATTATCCTATTCGCCTTACTACTACCCGGTCCTCGACCCTAGGTATACTAATTTCGGCGTAACGCCGAATTTACTTAGTACTAGCGTACACTCGAAGAGTTAAGAGTACGCGGCTTTGTCGGATAATTAGAGGTACTAGAAGCCGCTTATAATCGGTAGCTAAAGGAGTCGGAGGAGTGCGACGCCCTAGTAGCTAGGATTCGGTCTACTAGAATTAAGGGCAATAAGGAATTCTACGGCGACCGTTACTACGATAGAGCGTAGCAGATCTTTCGAGCTGCATTTAGACTTAACGAAGAAGGTGCCTTACTAGAGGTGTTCCGCCTAAACAAGCCCTACGATTAGTAAGTCGAGTATATTTAGGCGCGCTTAAAGCTCTACCTACTCTATCTAAAACTATCGCATTACGACAATTAGACACAGATCCTAGCTAAACTATATTACTATACCGCCCGACTAGTATACGACCTAGACGCTACTCTTTAGGAGCGCGAGTACGACAATCCCGTTACCTCCTTCCGCTACCCTAACGGTAGCTTAGAGCTAGACTATTTAATCTTTCGAGTACTAGAACTTATCGAGGAGTAGGAACACCTAGAAAACGAGCACGATACCTCTAACTATACCGATCCCGCCGTAGAACGTACCCTTATTCGTATATATACGCGTAGAGCCCTTAATACGAACGGCCGCCTACTCGACTTCTTAACGTTAGATACCGCGTTCGGAGGAATTTTTCCTCGGTTAGTTACATTCTAGTACGTATACTTACGCTACGCGCTAAAGGCTATCGACGACTAGCCTCCTACCGACTACCGTTTCTTCGCGCAACCGCCGGCTATCCGTTACTACGTAATCGGCCTCGCTGTCCGCTAATTCGTATAGAACTTTTAGAGCTTGCCTACGCTTCCTCTAATTTTAGCCTATAATTAGGTAGAAGCGACGCTTCCCTTCGATTATATCGTCGCAATTATAGGCAACGAACGCCCTACCTTATATACTCGCGCCGCCGATAACTCGGACATTACTTACCGCGTCCGAGGAGCCGACCGCGAGGTAAGCGCTAGAATAGCTTAGGAGAAGGGTAGCGAGGCCGACCTTACTAACGCTCTAGCCTATTAGTTCCTGTTTAACCCTATTATAGGTCGAGTAACAACGCTCCGATTCCTACCGAAAAACACGCAAATAAGCGACTAATACGTCTATATACTAATACGTATAAAAGTAGCTAGCCTAATTAGCGCTAAGCAGCTCTAGCGTTACTAGTCTACTATATTTAACGCGCAAGGACTCCCGTTGCCGCAATGCCGTTAGTTAGGCGAACTAGCCGTTACCTAAGATATCGAAGATTATTGTTAGCGCTACGTATACGTCTACGGCGTCTATTCCCTACGAGGAGAGGGCTATACCGCCGACCTCGTAGAGCTAGACAAGATATACGACGATACGGTTACCTATAAATCGTATAGCTATCCTTAGATCCTAGTAGGATATCGCGAGTATATAAGCTACGCTAAGGCTAAACAGAAGAAGATTCCTATACTTACCCTCGATAAGAAGATCGCTATCGACTAGAACGCTATTATCTAGCCGTCCTTTAGAGATAAGGACTATATAAGTAAGCTATTTAAGGCCTATATAGATAAGATTGTAGCTAACCCGCCTACGGGCTTTACGGTTCCTACAAGAATCGTAAAGAACTAGCTAGAAAAGACGATAAATAAGCGACCGGTCCCTAACGCCTTCGTACCGGCGACTACGAAGGAAGACGTAGTTAATTCGCTCGCGGATTGTAACGAGAGCGCTCGTTAGTACAACGTCGACGAGACGTAGGATCCGGTATCCTCCTACCTCGTTCCTAATAACGATTATAAGCCGGACGAGGGCGATACTACGAACGCCGTTACCTTTAGTAAGATTCTGCCCTAGGCCGCCCTACTACTATCGCGAAACTAAAACAACGGGTCGCGAGGCGGTCGCGTTAACAAATAGCTAGATTCCGATAAGCTAGGCTATATACGACCTCGTATATATAGTAACTATAGCATGCCGCCGCTACTGCCTCCGTTATATAAAACGAGTAACGACGCCGATAATACTACTATATTCCCTAGCTCGATTAAGCAGATAGACCTTAAATTGCCGCTACTGCCGACCCTGCTACTATATGCCCTAAGTAGCGCCGGCGGTCGCTTATAACTAGTAGTTAATTAGACAATGCTTACTAACCGCTCTCTTAACTAAAACGCACTTCTTATATATCGGTAGGCTAAGTAATACGACGACCTTATAACGTAGATAAAGGATAGTAGAGATGCGATGCTAGTAATAGCCGCTTAGAATCGCGTAGTAGTATAGGTCGCGCTTTAGACCGGCAAGCAAAATATAGCGCTCCTCGTAGATAATTTTCTCCGCGATACTACTAGCAACCTGCCTATCGCCGCCTTAGTTCTAGCCGATTCGCTAGCAATTCTCGGCGGTAGTATTAGTAATACTACCGAAGCGGAGATTAACGGCCTATAGGAGGTAACTAATTAATACCTCGGCAAATACACTTTAGGCCTAGACGCCCGCTATAGCGACGGCTTAATCGATTTTAATAAGCTTACTAAGAAGATAATGCCTAACGCGGCGCTAGACACTACCTATAAGACAGCGGCGCATATAGCTAAGGTTATAGGCCTATATAATAGCATTACTAAGGAGATAGATCTATACGTCCTCCGTAAGAAGGCTACTATTATACCGACCGTCGCTCGGCTAGAGCCCTCTACGGAGACCCTAGAGTCGAAGCGTAAGCGTAAGCGCGATACCCTTAACGCCTAGGCCGACGATAGTTCGCCTTCTACCCCTAAGCGCGGCAAGAAGCACCCGTTAGTATAAGCGAGTAATAGGATATAGTATAGAAAGTACCTATTAGTAGAAGCATTAGTATAGCCTGTAATACGATTAATAGGATATAGTATATAAGTATTAGCATAGTGCGCAATTCTATTAATAGGACATAGTATAGAAGGCACCTATTAGCATAAGTATTAGTATAATATAAACAATAGGAGACGGTACTAAGAAGCATTAGATAGCGTATTATATACGAGGGCGTATAAGTCTTTCCTTTTAGGGGGGAGGTTGTTACGGTTTAGACATTAGTGCGGCCGATCCTGCTTCGGATACTATCGATCCTACTATAGATTATAACGATTAATATATATAGTTTCCTAGGCTAGTAACTAACTAACAATTAATTATCTTTATATACTAGAATCGTGTCTGTCTCCGCTCTATAGAGCGTATCCTAATAACTAGTAATATTAATAGTAATACGACGATAGTACATTGTTTGCTATTTAATAGGCGTAGGTCGATATAGGCGTAGGCGCCTTACTATTAATCTACTACTACTACTACTAGCAATAACAACCTTACTAAGTATAATAACCGCGATAGATAAGGGACCTATTCGCGCTAGGCGAGGGCACTTAATGCGTACTAGAGTATATAGCGACTAGTCTCTATACTAATTAGTATAGATATAGTTACTAACCTCCTTTGCCTTCCTTCTAGCAACCTCTGCCGTCGCTATTTAAACCTACGTAGGTTACTAACTTAGTACTTTAGAATACGTACGCTATAGGCGACGGCACCTATCGATATAATATACCTTCTTTAAACGACGGCAGTTTAATAGACGTTATACGCTATATCCTTTACTAATAGCGACTTCTATATATACCTACTATACTAAGCGGTCTTCGTTACTTAATAATCGCCGCTTATATACCTACGCTATAGCCGTTAAACCTCCGATAACATATACTATAACAGTCGCTAATCGATATATTACAACTAAGTTATAAGGAAGCGTCTACTTTTATTAGAGACCGCTAATTTCTATTAGAAGAATAGTAACGAGTGTTTAATAGTAGGACCTTTAGTAGCGGTAGCGGTAGTAGATATAGTAGTAGTAGATATAGCGGCAATAGACAATAAGGGTAAAAGTAAGTAGATATACCTCGAATTTAGCGTAATAGCTATACTATACGTTAACTTTAGCTTTATTAAGTTATCGCTAGCAACCTTAGTAGAAATTACTATATTCCTAAAGCCCTTTAGAATTTGAAGCATATTTCAACCAAATTCATTAGGGGAGTTGCTAGCAACTCGAGGTTGGGGGTAGGACAGGGGTAAAAGTGGGTCGAGCCAATCAGCGCGAGTTGCTGATATACAGACACCTGTCTGGCGCAGCATCACAGCAACAGCAGCAGCAGCGAAACAGCGGGTGTAGCCGGCCGGCCGGGCTGAGCCTATTCTATTTCTGCGAGCGCTAGCGTCAAAGCTTTCTGATTCGATGGAAGCCATGTCCGTCCGCTTCGCTTCACTCACTTCCCAGAAGCCACATCGACACGGACATCGACACCCGCCAGCGAGGAAGGCTCCCTGCCGTGCCATCACCCTTATACATCCCCCCCCCAACATGGAGGCGCTGGTCATACACCGCAGGAACAATTTCGATGACGAATCGTACGTACCCGCTGCAGGCGAAAAGCTTTTCACCTCTGCTCGCACCCGAGATCTGTGTATCACCGCGCGCAATCTTCCGAAGCGGCCCACTGCAGAGGTACGGGATCGATTGAAGTATCGTTGTGCATGTGACAAGTCGCTAAATCGAAGCTGAACCCACAAATATTCCGCCTTCATCTTCGTCTCAGACAAGAAAAGGGTGCTGTGGCATATCGGGCACCTCGCCGCGCTCGTGTCATCTCGCATTCAACCTCGTCACCACTCACCGCCGCTTTTCCAGCGCGCGAACAGCACATCGCCCTAGAGAATTCCTACTTCATGTCGTGCTACCGCCTGCTCTCGCAACAAAACGACGTGTCTGTGCCATCTCGGCCGCACTGATCGGTGCGACTCCATACCTAGTTTCAGACATGTCAGTAACCGTATGTGCTGAATGAAGAAACATGATGACCACTCGTGCAGGTGATGCGCTGTTGATCACACATCAAGTGGCATGAGGTGGAGTAACGTACCAAGCGATAACAGCCATGCCCAAGAATGCGGCGACGCAGCTGAACACAAGCGCAACAATGCCCTTGGCCGTGAAACCAGCCGGCAGCGGTGCTATACTCAAATTCTGCCCGGTGAGGTCGAGAGGATCGATGGTGTTCGCTGCCGCGTTGCCTGCTGTTGGTGTGGCGCCCGCTGCGCAGACGTCATAGTGATTCTGAGGAACACTCACGGTCTTTTGAATTTCCAGTGGAGCCTCAACCATTGTGGCGATCAGTCCGCTGACCAGATGCCATTCTGTTCATCGTCAGCTCTGCATATACACGGTTTCGTATAGATTAGCTTACCAAGATGGCAGTGGAAAAGCCAGATGCCAGGGTTGTCGGCTCTGAATCTGATGACAAAGTTACCATTAGGTCTGACCCAAAACGTATCACGGCGCATTGGCTTCTGCGGGAAGTCGGTGTGATTGTTCGGGTCATAGTTTCCCCACTCTTCCGGGCTGCGATAGATGACTTGGAAGTTGTGCCCGTGCAGATGGAATGGATGTTTGCCCGGATCATTGTTGTTCAGAATGATCTCGACAATATCGTTCTTCTGAAGCACGAAAGAGTTGGTGTCGCGGCCGTAGACAGTGACGTTGTTGGCGTACTGGCCGGTGGTAAGAGCGGTGTAGAGCGTTGGCACCTTTGGTCGGACGTAAGTGATGTCGTTGAACCATGCATAGTTCGCACCATCTCCCAAGTTGTTCATCGATAAGTTAAGGTTGAACGAGTAATCGGCGTGATCGTATAACTCGAGCTCATCTTGTGGTACGAGATCAAAGTCGTCATATTGACCATCCCAGCTGTCGAGGAGAGCAGGTTCTGGGTTCGGCTTTGCCTGGTCGTATACAAGCCATCCTGTCACGTTGGTTGGCAGATCCGGCGAGAAGGAGTCGAAGAGATCGGTGTCCATGCTGCTGACCATGGCGAAGTTTGCGTTGGTGTCATTCTTTGTCGTCACTAGGAAGCTGTATCGTTGAGCAGCGGTCACGTAGATCATCTCTGCCTCGGCGGGCTCGGTATACACGCCATCGACTTCGACTATTCTCATGGTGTGACCTTCGATCCAGAAGTACTGACCGGCGAACGCAGCAACATTCGACAAGCGGAAGTAATAGGTCTTGCCAGGTTCCACGGCGATGGTAATATTCTGCATATCGTTCATCAAGGCAGACTTGGGCACCGGCTCAGCTCCTGTCGGGTTCTCGACGCTGATGAACCAGTCGATGAGGCCTGGCATCTCATCGTGGTACCAATCAGAAATCGTGAGCGCGACTTCCTCGTCGAATTGACCAATGTATGGGTTTTCCGGGTCGTGAACGATGAATTGCTGTCGCAGGCCATCAGGATACTGTCCACGACTGTGAGAATGGTACCAGTATGTGCCTGGTTGATCGATCTAGCGGCGCGTCAGTACATCCGTCGCGAACGGCTCGCTCGCTCGAGCTGACTTGCTGTGAAGTTGTACACAAACGTGGACCCAGGCGGGACGTCACACTGTGTCACTCCCACGGGTCCGTCCATCTCATTTGTGCCGTTTTGAAAGAGTCCATGGAAATGGAGACTTGTGCTTTCGTTGCCCAACTGAGGTTCATCAGCAAAGATAGATGATTACCAAATGTGGCCTACGAACCTGGTTGTGCATATTCACCACGACTCTGTCGCCTTTGGTGATGTTGAGACGCGGCAGAGGCCACTTATTGTTTATGCCAATGACCGGTCGCTCGTGCATGCCATCTGGGTTTGCCCTCACCCAAGTGATGTTCCAATCGAAAGTCTGTGTCGCGGCTGTCGCCAGGCCCGCCAGCGAGCTTGCAAGAAAAAGACTCGAGGGCATCATGATTGCAATCACCTTCTATTGCCAGTGGGAAGATTTGGTGCAATCGCGTGCTCAATGCCCGCCGCCTGTGTTGAGAAAAGATCAAGTCGTCGCAAGATTGATTAGATGTGATAAGACAAGATGGCGAGCATCAATCGCCACGGTCTTCCTTCCCTTGTGAGGCTCCCGAGCGTCGGAGGCAGGGCAGGCAGAGGTCGGGCGCGCCAAGTACAGTACCTTAACAGGAGCTCTTTTCTTGTGCGGCACACAGCACAGATGGAGTGAACGATCCGCTCCAAACTGGGCGCAAACAGGCGAGGCCTACTGCCAAGTTTGCTTGTACCAGGACGATCGCTGGTTGTTCTCTGCAGCTCAGTGGTGGGGGGGTCAATCATTCGACCCTGCAAGGCCAGACAACGGCTCTCCCCACGTGTTGACTTCTCCCTCGTGGACACCCAGGATGCAACAAGGTAAGGTATGTTTCGGACGCGCAACAACGGAAAGCACCTCGGCCAAGGTAGTTCTACCGCAAAGTGTTGGGTGACCGATCTTCCAGTCCAAGACTTCCTGTGCTGATCTAGAGACTAGCCCTCGTCGAGGCGAAGTGCCGACCCGGCTTTGAAGAGCTTGTCTGACTGGCAAGACTTCCAACAAGCTTTGCGCTAAGTATCGATCATCTGATATGATAAGATCCGAGCCACCGTGCGGAACACATGCCTTTCTTGCAGGTGCACTCCTGGACGCCGAAACAACATGGCATGTTCAGGAATAATCCCTTGTAGCGCGCACAAGATTGCAGACACGAGCCAACGGTGCGCATTGCCCAACTGACGGCATTGTCGCGGCACGGCACGACTGCGGCTGCGGCTGGCGTGAGAGCTTTGACCCTCGTCCGTATTTTGAGTTACCGCGAGCGTATTCATCCCACCCTCGCACCCTCGCACCTCGCCTCTGCGGCACTCAGCAGAACTGTTGCTTGTCGATCCCGCGGTGCAGTACTGTAGCAGAAAGTCCTGCGTTGCTGCAGCTTGTCACACCATTAGTGCGACTTCGGCGGCATCCATCGGCAAGATCAACAACTCATGGTCTCGACGCGCTGACTAGGTACTGTACGGCGCTTGCCACACAGAGCCGTGCAGCTATTTCCTCAGACGCCCCATCAGATAATCTGCCTTTGATCTCATATCAGATCATCTTGATCTTGAACACGAGTGAATATTCAGGCCCGGGCCCACACTGCCATACCACAGTCAACGACTGCGACGGCAGAACACCGCCACTATGGTCAACGTCTTCGCAGTTCCAGGTATGCTCTTTCCGTCGTCACGCCTCTCGTCGTTCGAACATGCTGACAATGATGCAAAGTCTTCTTCATCTGCTTTCGAGAATGTCTCGAGTGCACAATCATCATCTCAATCCTGCTTGCCTTCCTCAAGCAGAGCATTGGCGGTCCGCAACAGGATCGAGCGATGTACAAGAAGCTGCTGAAGCAAATCTGGTTCGGCGTCGGTCTGGGAGTCTTCATCTGTCTGGCAATCGGCGGCGCATTCATCGGAACATTCTATGGTCTCGGCAAGGATATCTACGGCAACACTGAAGACATCTGGGAAGGCGTCTTCGGTCTCATCGCATCCATCATCATCACCATCATGGGAATCGGCCTGCTGCGAGTCTCAAAGCTGCAAGATAAATGGCGCGTGAAGGTAAGTAGGCGCAAATCAGTGCACATACCATGTCTGAGTGATTTGCTGACCTCATACCCTCTCCCGTGACAGATTGCGCAAGCTCTCGAGAAGCACCACAGTGGTCAAGGTCTCGGAATGGGATCTCGGTTCAAGATTTGGTGCGAGAAGTACGCCATGTTCTTGCTGCCGTTCATCACCGTCCTTCGAGAGGGATTGGAGGCCGTCATCTTCATCGGTGGGGTTGGACTTGGTTTACCCGCGAAGTCTATTCCATTGGCCGTGGTTTGTGGTCTTCTTGTTGGGTGCGTCATTGGATACATCATCTACAAGTAAGTCTCTTGCGTCTCTATGCAGTGTGATAGATACTGACTCACCTCAGGGTCGGCAACACAACCAAGCTGCAGATCTTCTTGATCATCTCAACCTGCTTCCTATATCTAGTTGCAGCGGGCTTGTTCTCCAAGGCTGTCTGGAACTTTGAGATGAATGCATGGAGCAAGTTGACTGGTGGTGATGCTGCTGAGACTGGTTCCGGTCCTGGCTCCTACGACATCCGCAAGAGTGTATGGCATGTCAACTGCTGCAATCCCGAGCTGAATGGTGGCGGCGGATGGGGCATCTTCAATTCCCTCTTCGGCTGGACCAACTCGGCGACATATGGCTCTGTTATTTCGTATAACCTGTATTGGCTGGCGGTCATCGTTGCCTTTGCATCCCTTGGATTTTACGAGAGGCGCGGCCACTGGCCGTTGCTGAAGCCCAAGGCGCGATCAACGGACCATGCGACCATTGACAGCGACCAGACTAGCGAAGACTTACAAGAGAAGAAGAACCACGCTGTCGTGACAAGCCAACACAATGCAGAAATTTCGGATTAGTGGTGAGGATATTGTCTAGAATAATGGCGGTGAGAGTCGTGGCCGAAACGAAGTATGATTGAGAAGCATCATCGCGAGACTATGTAGCCATGGCCTTAAGCTTCAATGAAAGTTGCATGAACTAGCACTGAGCACATTTGAGAGCATAGAGCAGGTCATAGGGATGATGAGGAATGGCACGCGTGCAAGGATGGGCTTCCCACCCCTGCGTGCCACGCTGCTTACCTAAGTGCCGGATGATATCACGCTCTTCGTTGCCTGTTCGCGTGCAGCAATTCTGCTTCTTAGACATCACTACCATTCACGCCTACCTTCTACCACCGCCAAAATGTTCTGGCCATATCCTTGAAGACTGCAGAGTGTGCCTGTTTTCATAAGCAAGGCACTTGTATCTAATTGCAACAGGCGCGAACCGTTGCCGCATTATGGACTCCCCGATGAGCATCAACCACGGCGATGATGACACGAAGGAAACCGTGATAGTTGATCCAACTGGAGACCTCATCCTGGAGATATCTCACGAGAGCGCAGCGACTAAATCCGCTCACCAATATCGCGTCAAAATATCGAACCTTCGCACGCATTCGCACTATTTCGCCAGCCTCCTTACTGGTCGATTCGGCGAGAGCGAGAAGATAGCACAAGAGCATGCCCAGCTAAATGAGAAGTACGGGAGTATAGCAAAAGCGCCTACAGCCGAGCTTCCAGTCGTGTACATCAAGGACATTGGTCGTATCTCTGCTGTAAAGTCCATCGAAGCATTATGCCTGGACCTCCTCATTATACTGCACAGCAGAGACATTTCAGGAATACCGCCCGTAGCCAATCTTGCAAATCTGGCAATCGTGGCAGATCGATTTGATGCACTCGATGCCGTGCGCAAGTATGTTTCTCGGAAAAAGATCTTTCGGACAATCGACAGTAAGACTACACATAAAGCAGACCAATCGCCTTCGGAGGAAAAGGTGAGGCAACGGCTTCTAGCTTCGTTGCTACTTGATTATCCGCCATGGGTCGAGAAATATTCTATGCGTCTTATCACAAAAGGCTGGGTCGGGAAAGAAGCAGACGAGGATGCGGCGTTGTGGTGGGACTTGCCGAGGGGCCTCGAAGAAGAGCTTGCAACTCGGCGCGAATACATCCTTGACACGATACAGTCAACCTTAGCTCGCTTCTTTGCGTTGTACAGCTCGCGCGAACGTCAGTGTCGAATGGGCTACGACTCGTCCGCAGCATGCGACAGCTATCAACTTGGAGAGATGGTGAGGTTCTTTGCGCGAATTGGTACATTGCGAGTACAAGGCACTATATTCGACACTGCAGAACCTCCTGCGCCTTATGCGGGCGACATTTTTGCATTGATCGAATCCATGCGGCAGGTCTCTGAATACCAGATCGACAAGTTCCATTCTCATTGCGGCTTCCGGACGAGATTGCTGCCAATACTCGATGTTGTCACCGACGCCCTGCAGTACACCGGAGTATGCGCGGATTGCTGGTCGCAGAAGAGAATTGAGCATGCTTGGACCGATGCAAAGCGCCCTTTGCTTTGGAAGAGGCAGTCTTATCGGACAAGAGGCCTGGGGCACGAAGAACATCATGCTCAGACCAAGTCCTTGTTCATGGCCTCTGAGCGCGAGTGGGCTTAACGGAGTGACGGTCAGGTCTGCTCCGGTACAGCCTTGTGGCCTCTCACGCCCACAAGTAGTGCATTCAGACGCAAAGCAGCGCCACTTGGCCGGCACCTCCGCCATCGTGTAACCACTCTCTCCACCTGCGAGAATCTGGGGGAGCCGGTCATAGGCAATAGCGTTTGAACATGGAAATAACATCGGATGAGAGGCCTGAGCACAAGGAGCAACATGCTCAGATCAGGTCGGCATTATTGGCCTCTGAGCGAAGGCGCAGTTGACAACAGCGCATTTTGGCCAAAGGGTTCTTTTCTCACTTCGTCTGATTTGCTGCTAGAGTCCTGATAGGAGGCATTGCCAGTCTCAACCGGCTTCAGGAGAAATGGCTTGGTCTTCAGGCTTTCAACGCTATTCACTCTTTTGCATTGAGAGCCGCCAGCTTACAGAGGGCGAAGCTTTTTGCCCTCCGGCTGCGGTGGGCGGTGCCAACCAATTGAATTTTGTCCACGTGCTCCACTTGCACAGCCCTCCTCCAACCGAGTTGTGACATGCATGATCCTCACCTCGACAGCATCTGGTCTTTATGTCTCTCTCTGCGTTGTTGGAACATGGCTTCTATGCATCGCCCAGCGGCAAGGTACAGTAGTGACAGGCTTGTAGAGGTTGCGGGCGATGCAGCGTCAAGAGACGTCAAATGAACAGCAAGATGGAGCTCGTAAGTGTATAAGACGGCCATGCCATGCCATGCCATGCCTTTCTCGCGCTCTTGTCTTCACAACTCACGGTTCACGGCAAATTACCTCAATCCTCAGTGGTCCCTGCCTCACGGATAGCCGCAGCAAGCCGTTTAAAAAGCAATCACCATTTCATTCAGCAATCATGTCTGTCGCAACTCTCCCTACCCAACCTTCGCTACTTCCGAGTCGCACCGACTCGTCCCTCAGAAGGCAAATTGCCATGTTTGATTCACTAAAGCAAAAGCTCCGTCGCAAAGACAAGAGTAAAAGCTCGATATCATCACATAAGCAAGACCGCATTCCTCATCCACAAGCGCGCAGCACACCATCAATGCGACGACCTGCGCCAGCACCAACCCGACTTGGCAGCAATATCCCCGATGCGCCTCCAGCCTACTCAGCGGCACCTAATGCAGCTCCCGCGGTCCAGCCTCCATCAACATCGCTTTCCGCGCCCGAGGCCCAGGTCGCAGATGACCCCTATGCGTTCTTGACTAGCTTCGATACCATTTTCCTGATTGACGACTCGGGCTCCATGGCAGGCGGCAGATGGCGAGAGACAGCGCAGGCACTCGAGACCATTACCCCAGTCTGCACGCAACACGATGCAGACGGCATCGATATCTTCTTCCTGAACACGCGCGAGTCATCATTTCACCGCAATGTCACTTCAGCGAGCACCGTCCGCGAGATCTTCCAGACAGTACGACCGGGTGGCGGAACACCGACCGGTCAGCGCCTCAACCAGATCCTGAAGCCATATCTTCGCCGCTATGAAGCCAGTCCTGAAATCGTCAAGCCGATCAATATCATTTGCATCACCGACGGCGAACCGAGTGACGATGTCGAGAGTCCTCTGATCCAAGCGGCAAAGAAACTCGACAAACTGGATGCACCGGCATGGCAAGTCGGCGTGCAATTCTTCCAAGTCGGTCGTGATGAGGAAGCCAAGCGACATCTGAAGCAGCTTGACGATGAGCTTGCTGAAATCTCAGGAGACGACGAACTGCGAGACATTGTAGACACAGTGCCATTCATGGGCGAAGAGGGAACGCACCTGACCGGCGATGGTATTCTCAAAGTCGTGCTAGGAGCAGTCAACAGGCGCCTTGACAGGAAGAAGAATAGGGACCTTCACAGATGAACTTGACCGCGATGGTTCATTTCCGCGGCATCATTAGTTTCAGCAAAGGAAGCCTCGCGCATGAATTTAACGAAGACGGTGCAAAGACAGCATGTCGCCGCAGGACAGCCGTGCGAGTGGCGCCAGGCACAGGTGTGATGCCAATGATCCGAACAAACCGACTCGAGATGGACATGGAGGCTTTATTACACGACCAGATCGTGCAAGCTGAGCAGCTGATCAGATCCGGCATTTGATTCTTGGACGGTGGCATTGTTGGAACCTGCCACTGCGTGTGCGAGGCGTTGTATCCTGGTATAGAGATAAATTATACGTCAACGGCCGAGGAAACCAGACCTTGACCGCAACCGAATGAATGATCTCCCCATTTTTCGTCCCCTTTGACTTATTACGTGTGCAACGTACTTGATGCTGATGAGAAATCTAGGGCAGTAGAGATGTCGCGCGACCTGCACGTCTGACAGACCACAAGATTGAAGAGAACGAAATTATGCCAATGACACTAGTGCACTTGCGCCTTTGTGCAACATGGTGGACCTATGGCAACGTCCTTCGACGCCAGTACCCAAGTTCAACCCGTGACTTTCTCGAGCCTCTGCGAAGATCTTGCGGCAGCCAACATAGATCAAATGTATCTGATTGAATCTGAGAAAATCACAGCTGATACCTAGCCAATATCTAGCCACGCGGACAACCAGCAAAATCAGCTCATCATTCAAGCTATATCGCAAGCGACCGTAGCACCAAACCATGCCAAGTATTTTAAGGACAGCCATGCATCCCTTGGCCTCATCGATTCGGAGTTTTGGTTGCCAGGGTACTGGCAAAGTCCTGAGTGTCTTGCTGAATTCAGAGACTTGAGGAAAGCTCCCGATTTCTCAGTCTGGCCGGATCTGGAGCAGTATAGCAAGCATTTTTTAGGGCGGATGATCCGAATCCTCACATCAGCCAGAGCTGAGAGGACTACGCGGACAACGAGGTGGCGAACCCGATACATTTCGATATGGACATCAAAGAACCTTTTGGCGGTATGTGACTAATGTATAGATACCACAGCTAGACCCATCTTGTCCACCATTTTGTATAGCCCTGCTTGTTCCAACCTCACGTCTTCCAAGCCAACATTCCCCTCTCATAAAGTCCCACCGCGAAACCCACTCCTCTCTCCCAATCCCTCACAGCAGTCGTACTCGTCCCAAACTCCCTCCCCTTATACAAAGTCCTCACACCACCCTCCTCACTCCATTCTGCAATCCAACTCAACCTCGGAAACTTACAATAATCCGTCTCGCTCAAAGACTTGCTAACCTCACAAGCCCCATTCTTCCACTGCGCCTCCCCCAACGTCGGCGCATGCGGATGTCCAGCAACAAGAAGTCTCCCCTTCGAATCCACACTCAAATTATCCGGCAAAAAAGGCAACTTCACCGTCCTCCTCAACTCCAACCTCGGCACCGCCCTCTTAGAACTCCTCAAAATCTCAAACAACCGCACCTCCGCATTACTCGAACTACTCACCGCCAACACCGTCTCATTCACCAGCACCACCCCATTCGCAAACGGCACCTTCGCCAACGTCGCCCCCTTCGCAACCCCCTCATCCCTCTCAATCTCCCCCGAAGTCCTCATATACGCCACCGTACCCCCCGGCAATCCGGCATAAGTCTCAAACCTACTCAACCAAGGATTCCTCCTCGCCGTCCAAAAATGATCATTCGTAACAAAAAACTCACGCTCATCAACCACAGCAATGGAATTCGGCGTCGGGAGGTGTTCCGCGTCAATGATGCTCCCCATAAAAGTCAAATACGCGCCCTTGGTATTCAACTTGAACATATCAATGCGACTCCCATTCCCCGCATGATTGACGACAAACAAACTCCTCGACTGCTCATGCAAATCCATCCCCAAAGGATGAAATTCCGACAAATTCTTCGGGATCGGGAAAATCGAAAGTTTCTGAGGCATCAGATCAGCATCTTCTCCGTACTTGTACATGTAAATTCCCGTCCGTTCGGGCGCTTCGGCGTTGATGAAGGTGCCCATGACGGTATTCCAGGAATCTCGACCCGGGTCGCAGGAGAGGAGGGCGTAGCCATGGGTTTGGGAGAGGTAGATGTCTTCGCAGTTGCGGATGGATTTTTTGTGTAAGATGCGGAAATCCGGGCCGATGTTGATTTCTGGCGCGAAGCGGGAGGGGTGGTTGGAGTAGAATGTTTGGAGGATGCCGAGGCGGTAGTAGAGGATTGTTGAGAGGAGGAGGGCGAACTGGTTTTTGGTTTGGGTTGTTAATGTGATGGGCTGGATGGATGGATAGGTCTATGTGCTTACTGTTGCCGAGGCGTATCTCAGAAATCCCATCTCTTACTGTCTTTCCCTCTTCGGTGTCACGTTTCTTCAGATCTTCCCATTCATGTTCTTCAATGTTGTTGACAGTTTGTCAAAAAGTGAAATGCCGCTGCCGAGCTTGTCTGTGTCCGAGACAGCGCCATCCATGTCACAAACCCTGACATCAGCCTCCGGGGCGCTCCTTTACAGGCCTGTATTCTTGGCTCAACGACTCGGCGAAAGCAAAATCACAGCGTACTGTAATAATATCTCCAAGTTCAAAAGTACATGGTATCAATCCTGCATATCCTGTGTGCTTATTATCTAGAACTCTGTCGCCGAAAACCTGCTTTGCTGCAAAGCAGTGGCTGTGATGCAAAAGCGTCTGGCCTAAAAGATCTCTTCGAGTCGTTCATCCTCCCACTTGCGTTCACCAGCAGCGACTTGATCGCGGATCTCCCAGTATTCGTGGTTGAAGACCCAATACTCCTCACCAGTGACTGGATGCCTGCCTGGTGTGAACCATCTTGGCACAAATTCCTCTCCCTTCGCTTCTCGCACTCTTCTTCGAGCACGCTGAGCTTCCTCGACACGATTCTTTTCCTTGGCGGCAAAATCGTATTCAGCTTCCTCCATAGCTCGCTGATCTGGTCTTAGACGAGTATCTGTTGGCGCAATCAAAGGTCTCAGCCGGTCGGGCAGATCGTTAAGGGTAACCGCGAAGGGTGTGAGGTTGAACGGAATCTCGCCGGGAGGTGGCCGATAGTGCGCTTCCCAGACCAAGAACGCCTTCTTCTCGTTCGCGGCATCTTGTTCGACATCCGCTTGGTAGCCAGGGGTGAGGCGAGCATAGATCTTCGAATCCCAGCGTCCGCCAATTGACCACCTGGTCTTACCTGAGGAGTCTACAACTTTACCTGTCACTTGAAAGGCCGAGGATGCTTTCCAACCTCTCGGCTTAAAATCAAGGTAGCACACTTCGCCAGTAGTCCAATTCTTGATTTCCATAGGTCCGTATTGGTCGACGACGGGATTTCCGGTGAGAATGCCAACAACGCTAGATGTCACCTTTTTCCATGTGTACAAATCCTCTGGTCCACCATCAACAGGCTTGATGTGGCAGAACCACGTTCCGAGCGGGTTGAACTCGAATGACTTGCCGTAGAACTTCGATTTGACGGAGGACTCGCCATAATACTTCCATTTAGCGCTCTCGGCATAGGCAGCGCCGACCGGTGGATGGTGGGAGACTTGCTCGATGAAGAAGCGGTAGCCTTGGTCCGGTCGGACGTACTCGTATGTCTCTCCGAGAAGAGGGTTGAAAGGCTTAGCCACGCGACCAATGGTGCTGGCATATTCGGAAGCAGCAAACGCTGCCACATAGACAAGACGTTCGGTCGAATCGGTGCGATCGGCTGCGATGTTGAGCAAGTTCGTGTATTCCATGTCTTCGACAACGCGATATAGCAACGAAGTGGGCTCGTTGAAAGTGACTGGGAGCGTCATCTTGGTCATGTCCTTGCCGATCATGGATTTCAAGACGCCCTAGCATACAATTAGTATAGATACGTGCGACATCGATTGACGCAGGCCACTCACCCAAAGTGACACCTTCGGCCTATTGTCGGCATCGATCTTGAGACGTGTTCGGATGCCATCTTCGTAGCCGCGGTAGCTCCTCGCAATCTCTTGTTGTTTGGCAGCTCGTTCGGCCTCAATATCATCGCCAGCGCCATCTTTGGAAGTCACAATGGGTTCTGGTGACTTTCGGTCCAGAGGCGGACTTGGCAGTGACTCCAAGACTTCTACCTCACCAGCGTCGACAGCATCAAAGAACTCTTCTTCATCCTCAGTCTCATCGTCTGAAAGCTCATTGTTTGTAAGCTCGGCAATTGTCTGCCTACGCTTGACGACCGCAGCAGGAGCATCAAGCAGTGGCTTACCCTCCTTCTCGCCCAGTGGCTGTGGTGTGCCGGCAGTCGAGTATGAACCATCAAGAGCTTCCTTAAGTGCCTTCCTGGTTCTCTTGCGCTTCTCCTCCGATTCGCCGATGCGCGTTTCCAGCTCTTCTTGCTCTTTCGCAACCTTGGCCATGCTATCTTCCCATAGTCGGCGAATGTTCTGCTCTCGTTCCAGGCGGTATTGCCAATAGGCCTCATGATCTCGTGAAATCCTGAGCAAATCCATCAGTAGGCCTTTGAGATTACCCACCGCTGTTTCGTAAGATGACAACGCTTGTACCACGGTGGGGTGTGAAAGACCAATATCCGGGTTCTGCTGCTTTTCCGAATGCACGGCAGAGAGCACCTGATCTAAGAGATCGAGCTGCAGCTTGGCAGATTGCGCGGTGATACTGAAGGCATCCTTATTCGCTGGTTTAATCTCATGACTGCTTGCATCGTCGCCGTATTCCTCGTCATCTTCAAGATCTCCTTCAATGGTGGCAGTATTTGTGCGACTAATCCGTCGCATACCATGAGCCGAAGTGGCATCTGCATCGCTTGGGTCGTAAGCACTGAGCTGCTCGCCTAAAGTGCTCCCTGCCAGTGGTGTAGAGCCGCCATTCACGGCACTTGCTGGGACTAGGGAACCTCCACTGTGTGCGATTTCAGATTCACGGGTCTTCATCCTCTCGAGCTGCTCATGGCGCGCGCTGGCTTCCTGCTGGCCGCGACGGTGCTCCTCTTTGGCTTCGTCTTTCGCCCACTGGATGGCATTGTTCAGAGCCCAAAACCAGCGCTTTGCTTCAACTTGGTGATTGGCTTTCAAGTCATACTTGACAGAACTCTTGCCATGCAGTTCGAAGTGCAGCTTGTCCTTCGGATCCATCTGCAGTCTAGCGATTCGCATGTTGATAGCACCTCTGCAAGCACTTCCCGCATCGTCTTGGTGCTTGTAGTAAGACAAAACGCCATCCTCGAGTACAAACCATCTCAGCTTGTAGCCCGAAGTGTAATTTGTCCACTTCTTGAGATAACCCTTAATTTCTCTGCTCTCTTTGCTGCCGAGACCTGTGTCGGTTGTAGTCACACCAGTCGCTTGAACACCTTCTCCAAGTATTGTCTTCTCTTGAATTTGCCGCTGAGCGGCAGCTGCAGCAGGCGATTTCTTCAGAATGGCCCGGGTCTTGTCGTCCTTGGTGACATCCTGCGGCAGCTTCCCTTTGCGATCCCGACGGAAGGGGTCCGCACCATTCAGGAGAAGTAGTTGGGCAAGCTTAAGATCTTTCCTACGTGCAGCTTCGTGCAACAGACTACCGCCATCTGCTACCGTCGCTGGCTCTGTGGCGAGCTCTGGTCCGTTTACGTCAAGCGTGGTTCGGACGCGATTCTCGTTGAGCAGGTTCTCAAGACCCTCGTAGTCGCCAGCGCCGACAAGCTGGTGTATTCGTCGTACAACTTGATCGACGAAGGCCGATCTTGCGAGCTGCAGCAGCTGGAAGATGTCAGAATTTCTTGCCATATCCAATGCTGTCTTGCCCTGATAGTTGGTCACAGCATCGTTGATGCCCTTCTGCTCTAGCAGGAGCTTCACGACCGGAACTCTCCCCAATGAGGAGGCTAGCATCAACGGCGTATTGCCCTCCTTGTCCTTGGCGTTGACTTGTGTGTCGTGCTGCGAGAGGACATACTCGATGACGGGAATCTCGGCACATTGAATGGCAAGATGCAGAGTACTGGTGCCCTCCAACTTGCCCTCGCCCTCTCCATCTGCTCTCGTGGCCTTTGCAATCGCCGCAGTGTCTCCATTTCGGAGTGCCTCGAATACCTTGAACAGCCTTACGCTCTGCTCGATGGACGCGCCCTGTGTAGCACTGCTGGGCGTGATGGGACTTGCATCTTTGGTGGGTGAATTAGGCCGTTGCGGGAGCTGCGTGTTGGACATGGTCGTGGACAAGTGCGGTCGATGGCTCTGCATAGACATTCTGTTGGGCGACAAGAAGTTGTCGCCAGCGCCAGCCCCGTTGGCTGCATTCGTGTTCGGACTCGACATGTTGCCCGGCGGCTCGTCTGCTTCTGGCTGGTTGCCGCCTGCAGTGCTGTTGCTTTTCAGGGAGCCTACTGTTGGAACATCGCCCCTGCTCGACAGTCGCTGCAATGCTTTGGTGACAGCAGACCTGGTCCGCTTGCTGCACAGTCGCACTAATCATCAGCCAATTATTGATCAAGTGATTTGACGGCATGTGCTCGGGAGCGTTGCACAGCAGCTCTCCTCTCCCCTCCGCTCCGCTCCGCTCCGCTCCGCCAGCAACAACGAAGGCAGCATCGCGCGGAAGGGGAACTCAGGTTGTGTGGGCATTGGGCATGGGGGATCTTACTGCGCGGAGCCGGTGCCGTCTGACGACATGGCGCCGGTCCTTCTCCTTCTCCTGTCAATCTCGCGTCTTCCTCGTATCGTACACGCACTTCTCGATGGGCCTTCAGCACATCAGCGCCGCATCATCGAGTAGCTAAACAAGTCCTCGGCATGAACACGAGAAGATAACAACGCCGCCGAAAGGACGACGATGAGACCCTTCGGCAGATCATATACTGCTACTCATGAAACTACTAGACCGCTACCGCTACCGCTACCGCCCCCTCCAATTCGGCCAATCCTCATCTCACGCAGAATGACGCTACCGAAGCAGAGCTATCTTGGATATAGCGCGCCGAACTTCTCGCCAAGCCCTTTTACTTCACCTACTCTGCGCTTTATGTGTGGGAGGATGACTGCCATGGCTCATCTGATTGCTCAGAAGCCCGGCAGGTGGAGGAGCCACACGAGAAGCATCCCGCGTGCCGCGAATAACGACATAGCTACATCCATGTGGTGGTGGGATAGAGAGCACCGAAGCAGGTAGGTCGCTTGCCGCAGACCTGGCGAGCTGCAAAAAAACGACATGTGTCTTGCTGCCAGCCAACCGTCGGAAACTTGATATTGGAAAAATCTGGGAGCTTCGCTGCTTGATAATGCGCGCAAGGAAAGACTGGACGCAGTGGACGGGCCATCCCAGCTTCGTAATCCCTTTCCAGCAATATCCCGGAGCAGATCAAGTCTGGAGCAGTAGCGCTGCACCGCGCGCGTTGCTTCGAAGTCGTGACCTTTCACTCATCCTCCAGCAACCTTTAAGTATTTCATCATCTAACAGCCTCTGCCATTGCTCGTAGAATTAGCCTGGGAATAGCATATTTGGGCCACACATATCTCGAGACGGCGCCTCATGAAATCTGCGCAGACAGATGAGCGACACCTAGCGAAGCGAGTGAAGCATGAGATGCAAAACCTGAACAGACGATTGCGAGAGCGTTCTCTGCAACCGATGCCATGGAAGGCAACCCCATTCAAGTAGTAAGATCTCGAGACTACATTGTGCCCTCTGCCCACTTCTCCCTGAGCCAGTCAATCGTGACCTGCGCCATCTGTGCCTCCGCGCCGATACACACATGCTCTCCCGCGCCAACAGACGTATTGAACTCATGGAATTACGTCAACTGAGTACCGTTTGGCCGTTCAGTCGTCAACCTCTCACATGCGATTTGAGGTTGATCGAGCGCCCGGTAGCAGCTCCGTCATTGTTCGCAAGCGCCATGACCTCCTCAAGGTAGAACGCGAATTGCTCATCGGAGCTCAGCTGGAACATCGGCGCTTTGGTAGGAGAATAAGGCGGCGCTGATGAAGTGTTGGTAGCGGGTAGCTGGTGAGAGATGTCAGATCAGGTTGCTTCATTACCCTTCGCCATGGACTCACGACTAAAGGCAGCACAGTGCATGCTACATACCTCGCTGTCCTGGACAATTTGGGGTATGCAAGGCGCATCGCAGCGCTACCCTTTCTCTATTCGGACCATCAGGCGGGACCAAAGTTCTCGTTGGTAAACGTTCCTCGAAGGAGCTTCCTTCAACCATGACTTCGCCCTTCTCGAGGAATAAATTCGGCGCTGCTGGAGAACCGGCAACACAGTTCTATCGGGATACCGTTGCGCTGAACGCGAACGCGTGCAACGTCATCTCAAACTCAAACTCAACGCATACTGACTTGATATAGATCCTTATGCACAATACCACCGGCCACCGTATAAATACGATTGCTCGCAAGTCATCGCTCAAGTTTTCTTTGATCCTACCATTGCCTAGTCACGTCTACACCAACCCGCAACGATGTCGTCTGCAAATTTCGTCACTCTTCTCACATTCGCAAGTCTAGCATCCAGCGAATGCCCAGCGACAACCGGCAAGAAGAGTGAGGCGTAAGTATGGCCAGGTCCGCAAACTCGTCAAGCAGAAGAAAGCCGTAGCGTGAACGAGCCGAGATTGCTGACACGATCGATGCGTTGCATCGATAATGAAACAGTCTATTGGAAACACAACTCTTCAAAACCAAGAAGCTATTTTCTATATCGACTACTCCTATGTATCCACCAGATGGCCTATCAGTTCGGTGGGTTGTACGCTGAGCTGGCCAGGATCCATTCCACTCTGACCCGATCACCACCGAGAGCGTTACAATCAACCTCGCCCTCTGCCGATACGACTTGTCCGTATTGGCCTCTGCAAGAAATTTTTCCGCTTTCTTGAAAATTCTTGATAGAATCTGTGACCAGATCGACTATGTCGGCACCACCAACCAGGCCGGGCTTGCTACCAGCAATAACGCGAACGCTGAAAGCGCCTACGAGCAGAGTTCAGTACGGGCAACCACGGCTCTTCATAAGGGATGAAGGTACTTACATTGGTTCTTAGTGTAAGGTCTTGCCCAGCTATGGTTCAACGAAAAGGTTGCCTGTCTGTCGACACTAGCGATGAGCGCTCGGCAGTCCGACACCGGTGCCTGTTGAATATTGTAGGTCTTGCCGTTGTTGAAGGTCGAAGCATCGCACATGTTTGAGCCTGGAGAGTTGCCAGCGTTCTGAGGAAATGGAGTGGCCAGACTCAGGGCTGGCAGGAGGCCGAGGACAGCAGCACCAGTGAAATGCATTTTCCTTGTTTTGTTCTTTGTTGAGGATTTGTGTTTGTCTTGAGGACTGCAGATAAGATTGTTGTTGCGAAGTTGTTGGTATGAAGAGAAGGCAATGGAGCGACTTTCAACCCATTTAAATAATATCTGACCCTTGAAGCCTTTGCTAATTATGCTCCAGATCGTTCCATGCCACTGCTGGGGTCACCCCTTCCACGCTTTGCCTCAAAGTTTCCTGGGTGCCCCGAGGATACTACCCCCTGGGCTCCTAATAATAATAAGAAAAGCAAATCTCCGATAATAACCTTACTAGCAGTTGTTAAACCTGTCACGCTTGCTCACATTATACGAAGAAGCCGTGGCAGGTAACCGCAGGTGACCTCAAATAGGCAGCACAGACCGAGTTGTCCCTAGCTTGCTGTCCTTGCGCAAAATTTCCGATCCCTTCCAGACTCCCTACTACATACATACATCACGTCACCGAAAATGATACACATACCTAGTAGTACTTCTAGCAATTCGGGAGGCGGACAATTTGACAAAACTCCCGCGGGAAATCTGACGGTATCAAAACCAAGTAGGCAAGACTTGTGTTCAGTCGTTGGCACGGCGCCCAATCAACCACCATCTTAAGAGCTCACAATCCTGCCTAGACGACGCTTTGAGAGAGCCATCAACGTTAAAATAAAGCTCTAGGACTGTACAATAGGGTTTCTGCGGGTAGTAAGGATGTTTGACAATAATGCCAACAACTCTAGGCTATAGAACTATAGCGTATTACGGTCGGATTCTTCAGGCGAGACTCAGCCTCGATTAGAAGCTTGTAAGAAGTCCCTGACAGTCGGGATAGAGTCCCGAAAGAAGCATCGTTTACGACATTGCGACACTGTATCCCGGCAGGCAATGTAACTTAACATAGCTTGGAGTCCACGTTTGGTGTCTCTCTCGATCTTCAAGATGTCTTCTGTCGCTTCCGGGAACAGCGGACACCGAGTCCTTGAGGAGGTGTTGGTCTGTGTGGTGAGACGATTCACCTGGCAAGAAAACGAATACGGTATCTATAAATGTCAAAACTTGCGGTACGAATGCAGGAGCTTGTAATTCCAACGCTCAAATGCTGATGTCATCCCAACGCTCCAACGCTGACGGTCTCACTAAAAAAAAATACGCTAACAATGTCCTGTGAAACGCTCATATAGTACTGTACCCTTGCACTTGCCCCGGCCAGCATTAAGTCTAGAACGTCTTGCTCCAATGATACTCTTTTTTCGGCTTCTTAAACCAAGACCATTTGTTATTCGAAAACAAGATCTTATTAGCTTTTGCACTATCCTGGTCATGATCCAGAAGTCTTTGCTCGTAACCCTTTTCGGCGATGATGTCTTCCGCCATCTTTGAAGCAGAAGTCATGCCTGGAGATTGGTATTCCCAGTGCACCTGCTTGATGCCACCGGGACTCATGTCGATTTGCATATTTGGCTCGCTGTGCGATTCGTGTCCGTCAATCAATCTCCATCCATAGAGCGGTCCGCCGAGATCAACCAAGCCGCCCAAAACCTTCTTTCGTTGCGGTCGATACGGTTTGATGTCTTTCTGGAACGTCACCACTCGCCAAATCCATCGGAGGACTTTCTGGTACCATTCTTCTGGCTCTACACATCGACCTGCCAAGTCCATTCGTGCTCTTACCGAAGCGTGGATGTACTCGCAAGTATTCTCGAGGGGCTTGCCAGTGTATTTGCCGCTCTCATAGTCTGCCTTTTGATATCTGCCTGGCGTTCGCAGTTTGGCTCCTGTCAGAGACTGTGGAAAGGTGTTCGAATCGTAAACCTTGCCCATAGACCACCCTTGATACGCTTCGCTTTCTGAGGGGTTCTTCTTGGCTAATGCGCTATAGTACTGCTGGTTGTGTTTGAAGCACGTGTCCAGATAGTCGTCATCAAATCTTATCCAGTCAAGGGGATCGAATGTCTTCCTGGAAAAGTCGTGCGAGTTGCCGGAGACCTGGTCCATCATCCACGCTAGTGTGATATTGGCCATGCCGTAATCTTCGTATGAGCCTCCACAGTTGGAGTGAGCACCGGGAAACCAAGCTTGTTTCAGATTGGTCTTGCAAGCATCGTCCTTTTCCCAGACAGCGGGCGAGAACGGGAATCTGCGTTCATCGAGTGCGAGAGCATGGAAAGCATTCTCAACACAATTGCTTAGCCTGGTGTCATACCATCGATATTCCTTGATGAAGGCTGACATGCCGAGTGTTCGCTGGAGGAGAGGGCTAATGGGGATTCCCAGCGCTCCAACGGTATCCCAAACTCCTATGCACTTGATGTTTGCATCTTGCGTCAGGCCGTGTCGAAGTAAATGGTCCTTGTACTTTTGCATATATGTATCGATGTCTTCTGGCTTCTTTGACCAGGCAATGGAAGGATCCGGAGCTCCTACAGCAGGGTCTAGTTTCCAGTCTGGATTGGCGGCGCTTATCGCCTCGAAGAAGTTTGGCTGATAGTCCTTCTCGCCTGCGTGTTCCCAGTCTTGAAACGCATCGTAGAACCATGGCATTGCCGCTTTCGTCAGAATGCCTACCGCGGCAATGAAGCCTCCCAATGTCCTTGCTGTGAATGCGCCGCGAGAAAATCCCAGCAGAAAGATGGAATCCGGCTTGCTAAGATTGTCTGCATCGTGGGGAGAATAATTGGTCCCCAGGAATGCGTAAGCCTCGCGAACATTCTCAGACAATCCAAGCCCTGTTCCTCCACCAAACAGTTTATCGTATATCCCAATCCCAGTTCCGATTCCTGATTGGTAGTATATCACCTGAGGGTGCTTGGCTTCGTCCTCGGACATCATTGCCCTGGCTATTCTCGTGACATTTGAGGGATTTTGAAGTTTTCCAGATTTGCCACGGAGCTTCTGCAGGAAGGATGGCTTCTGGTAGCCATTGTCTCTGTCCATCCATGTGCCATCGCAGCATACGATGAGCTTCTTCGGTAGCCTTACTTGGGTCCTCTCGACTTGGTCGGATACTGAATGTCTAGAATGTTCTTCGGACACATGTCCGTTTGAGATGTGTCCGTTCATGCTGTGGCCATTCATGCTGGCCATGGCTGCGTCGGGTCAGGCTGCCCTTGTGAAGCACGCACGTTGCACAAAGAAATGCAATTCGACCAGGCCTGGAGTCTGGGATGGAAGGAAAGATTGCCAAAAAATTTGTCAGGCAGGAGATGTGTGGTGTAGAGGATGTGAGTGAAAGAGTTGGGTGCTCACTCTCTTAAGCAGGCCATTGATATGCAGCCCCAAGCGGCGGCCTTCGACTACTCAATCTTTGTATTCTCCAAATAGCTTAGCTGGGCTGATCATGTAGAATGTAGAGGTGGCTTAGCCCGTGGTGGATTCCATGGGGTCAGAAGGTGAATGCATGTTGGCGTATGGGCTACGAGACAGCTGGCGAAGCACCTCAGGGCTCAGCAGGGTGGCGGTAAGGAGAGTGAAGATACAGTACGTCCTCAGACCGGGCGCGAGCACAAAACGAGTGGCTGACGGGTCACCGCAGATGAGGGTTGTATGATATGGGAAGAGGGCTGCGAGGATGTTGTTTGTGCGGGAAAGGATCGAAGGTTGCGGCCCTTGGCCCGGCGAAGGGTGTCTCCACGTGTCTTGGCAGCGCCAATCGGTTCGCTCTAGTTCTAGCGGCAGCAACACATCTCAGCCGCATCCTGATACAGAATCGTCGTCACTCAGCCTACGATTTCTCAGCCTACGATGAAGCGCTGCCTTCCCTGCCTACCACGATATGAGTCGAAGACACACCGGAGCTCCAGGCGTGTAGCACAAGAGCTCAGCCAGAATCCGAAGCCTGGAGACGAGGCCCAGCGCCCTGCGGACCTGTGCGTACTGTAGTGGAAAGCATTTTTCGTGCGCAAGGGGGATCGAGATATGCAATCCCAGCAAGAACACATTCGCTTCGCACCGCGGTCCGGCAAGAGACAGATTGCACGAGAAGTAGGACGGGTCACGAGAGGCAGCCATACTTCGTCAGGCCAATACTCAACTGCGTCAAGCTGTGAGGAGTCATTGTGGTATGCGCCTGGCGCCTTCGGTGTATGTCTTGCAATGACGCAGGATCAAATGACCCTGACGGCAGAATCCTCCGCTTGAGGATGGGAGCGTGGACAGCCCTTCCTAGCAGACGACCACAGTCCTGACCTCTGCTGAGCCAAGGTAGTCTTACAAGACTATGGACGAAGCTCGCGCTGGATGGAGACACGAAAGTCCTTGATCTTATGGAACCACCAGTCCTGCTTCGTCAATTCCATTCCAGGCTCCGCCAGCTTCATGTCAAACTTAAGCAGGACATGAGGAATCATCTTGAAGGTTTCTGCGAGTGAGATATGCTTGCCTGCAAGCATCAGTGACCTCAAACGAGTGACCCCGTAGTAGCTCGCCTACCTGTGCATGTCCGCGTGCCGGCCCCAAATGTCAAGAGATGGCGCTTTGTAGCTGTTAGCTGGGACCGTGACGCTGATTGACCAAGTCACTCACGTCCATCTCCGCGGCATTGTCCGCGGACCATCTTTCCGGCCGAAAGCTCGCAGCGTCCTCGCCGAACACGTCTTGGTTGTAGTGCAGCACTGCAGCATTGACACCGACTCTCGCGGAGTGGGGAAAATAGTACCCAGAGATGTGGCATCCTTCTGGTGGAGGATGTCGAGGCAGTTGCAAGCCAACGCTGGGGTGCAGACGCATGGCCTCTTTGATGCAAGCCGCCAGGTACGGTAGCTTGAGGGCATCACTGTACTTAAGTGGAATGGTAATGCGCTGGTCCTGGTGTGCTGCATCGAGTTCGCTCAGCAATTTCCGATGCACTCTTGAATCCTTCAATATGTAATAGAGGATAGCTTGCAGGGCTATGGCTGTAGTGTCGACACCAGCTTGACTGTGTTCTCCTATCAGCACTCGGTCATTCAAGTAACTGGGCTCTGGTGGAGGTACATATTCACCCAGCTTTCCATCTCAATCTCCGGAAGATGAAAATCAACCTTGTCACCCTTCGTGGCCGAGAGCTCGAACATTTTGGAAAGCAGATCACGTCGGCCTTGGGACTCTGCCGCGCCACCATTGTCTTTCAGCTCAGACATGCGTTTGTGCACAAGATCTCTGGCGTAGTTAACGCGCTTCGCGTTATCGGTGATGGCCAGTTTGACAGATTTGTACAACAGCCCGCTCATCATATATGGTTTGCGAAGATACGCGGGCAATAGCAACAGAGTCTGTCTAAAGGGAGACAAGCTTTCGATCAGCGCCATCCAGCCTCCCACATCGCTGGAGCTCTCCAGGAATCCGAAAGCTTCGCCATACACAAGCTCTCCGAGTGCATCGAAAGCATACCTGCGAGGGGTTTAGACAGGCGACTTAATGGGTGAAGATCATGCAGACATTTGGAACCAACGGCTAATGTCAACCACTTCGCCTCTTTTGTAGAAGCCAGTCAGACGGTCCTCCAGAAGGTTGGTGCAATCGTCGATGTAAGACTCAGATTCCAGAATGCTGCTCATGCTGTATAAATTGGCGACGATTCTGCGTCGCGAGGCGTGATGGTCCTCGTCAAGATCCATGAACAGGTTCTCATGTTTACCTAAGCCGATCAGTGCTTTGCTTGACTAGAGTCACGACACTCATCAGTGCTCTTACTAGCAATATTTGGCCGCCCAGCTGTGTAGAAGTCGGCCTGGATCTGTCAGACCATGCGTTTACGATGTACCCAGCAGACTATTCGTACCTTGGTGAATCGCTGGCCGGGTCGATTATTGTATATTATATGTGCAGCTTCTGGAGAGTCAATGCTGACCTCGTTCGGTGCAATTCGCACAACAGGTCCTGCTGCTCTATCAACAGGTCATCCAGACACAGCTAAAACGATCAAACAATCCTACCATATTGGGCATGAAGTTGTCTATTGACTTGATCGAAGTGGCCCTTTCGCATGTGGTAGATGTACCAGAACCTGCTAAGGGCTGCGAGCCATGGCCCAGGGACTTTCGAGAGGGGATGCACGTATCCAGTGTAGACGATCCATGCTACGCATGAGAGCAGTGGAAGCACCAGTATTGGCAATGTAAACATGATGAAATGTACGTCCGAAGAGACTGTCTTTCATCTCACGTCGACAGTGAGTAGGGTTCTGAAGGCGGGCTGAAGTCGATGCAGTAAGCTGAAGGATCAGCACGCGTGAGTGGCACATCAAATGTCATCTGCTATGTAAGCCGCTGCCGTACACCTGCATGGAAAGAGACATGAGCGAAGGGCGAAGGAAGATGTACAGTGAGAACAACCGTTTTCATCAACACATTCGTCAAGCGTCATTGTATTGCCTTCCATTGTGATCGGGCTGGAAACAACTTGGAAGTCTTCAAGAGCAAGATCGAAGGGTGATAGCCTGGCAAGACCAGAGGTCATGCAAAAGGGAGACGAGCAGTAATATTGACGAAGAGGCGACCGAAATACCGCCAAACTATTCTTCTGGGTTTCTCGGGTAACGGGTTACGTGAGAATGCCAAGACCTCCTATGTTTCTCGAGCTCTACGACAAATATCTCGACAGCGTAACGATACGCTCCTAGGATACTATCTTCGAAGATAGATAGGTTATATAGGATATAAAGGATAATTTCTGTACTTTTAGCGGATTTTTAGGACGTTCTATAGATATCTTTTTAGTATAGGTTCGATATACGATATATTTCTCGAAATACTAAGACTTTTGTCGCAATCCGAACTTTAGAAGAAGCAGGATTGTAAGATTCGTATCTCGACGATTAAGCGTCTATATAGGCTATAATAAGATCTGTAGTAGTTGTGCTGTATTTTACTATCTACAGTAGTTATACTACATTGTCCTATCTAGCTCAGAAGCAAAGAGAGTATTTATAGACCTTAGCGTGAAGACCATGAGCAGGGGCTGAGCGGACTACTGTAATAAAAATAGCAACAAGACATTCACAGCCTCACAACCACCTTTATCTCGCCTCGCCAAGATGCAAGCGTCAAACTGTATGGCATTGTACCATCGTACCAGTTCCATATTTCCAAGATTTGGCCACCGGCACAACTTCAGGTTGCATTGCGGTCGAGATTACCGTAGCAAGTCCATCGACAAAATGGCTCCTCGTATTCTATCCGGCGGCGGCAAGCTAGGATGTCTTCGGACCACGTATGTAGAAGAATCTGCTTCGCAGGAGATATTATTTCTGAACTCATCACGAACACCGCCTTAAGAGGAGATATGCGCCAGCAGAATGGCCTCTGTTCTTCCTTCGAGCTCTGCTCAAAGCGCATACAAGCCCCTCAATAATGATCCCGACCATCCTTCCAACATGAACCCTTGGCAGCCTGGATTCTTTCGGCGGATACCATGGGCTGGTATCAGTTGCCTGTTCGCCGTGCTCTGCTGCTGTGTTGTGGAGATCACGATCCTTGTAGCCTCGAATGGTGCACATATTTCGAGCTGGAAATATGCTCCTAGCGTGTACCTTTCCGTGGCATACACATTAAGCAACATACTGCTGAGTGCTGCTTTCACTCAAGGACTCACAGTAAGTATGGATGGTGGGCTTCGCATGACAGCCCCGTTGCTCACAACGTACTCCAGATTCACTGGTGGCGCAAGGCCTTGACTGAAGGAACGCAGCTCGGCGACCTTCATCGTTACTGGGACCATGGCACGAGCGCAGTGGCAGCGGCGTTCGCGGGACGACACTTCAGCTACATTTCGTTCGCTGCAATCTTTGTGGCTCTCACGCCAATCAATGGACCATTGTTGCAAAGGGCCTCAACAACGACCACAGACACCCGTTACTACCACTCCGACGCACATGATGTACAGCTCAAAATACCCGTCGTCAAGACGCTTCAAGATCCTACCGGATACACATCTGGTAGAGCGTACACTGTCACAATGTTGGACACTAAGTTCGCTCCTGTCGTGCAGGTGAGAAGTAATATATATCCCTGATAATGCGAGCTTTGACTAATAATTCTCATGTTAGGCTTGGAGCACAGGACAGTCCATAGTCGTAAATGAAACTGGCTGTGCAGGTGACGGAAAGTGCTCAGGTCTCATGACTGGCGCCGGTCTCGCCATCAGCTGCAACTCCAGCACTGCAGATTTCGATCTCTCAGGAACGAATGAAAACGGGTCCATTAATAACGCTTCCTTCACCGGAACGGATATTTTCCAAGTCATTTTCGGCTGGTCTGCCTTGACTCCCTCGAACATCACGCTCGACATGCAATATAAGCCTGGGAAAGCTTGCTCGAAAGGCCAGCTTCAAGTCAAGAACTGTACGATCGGCGCAGCGACTGTGCAGTATCCCATAGAGATTGATGGTAACAAATCAACCATATCTCTTGCGACGGGCTCCACACTCGCTGGCGATCATGTTGTTTCGCTCGTCGACTACGATCTTGAGAACATGTATGGCCTACCTTCTCCTTTGGGCGGGTATGCATATGCTCTCTCGTCAAAGTTGAATTCCGCAACTCGAGTGAGATTTGCAGGCGCCGCTGGATACGAAGTCACTTCGGGCGGCAGCACAGCGGCGCAATTCGCCAATATGGACGACGTGACCGACTACACGATGGGATTGTGCTATACCAAATTCTCAGATCCTACCGATTATCTCTTGCAGCAGGCTCGCAACCTCATGTTTCGTACGGCTTTCGCCCAGGCCAACGCCACCACGATGCAAAACGTCACATCGGCCACAGAGACACGGACTGTGACAGTGTACAAGACACATTACGCCTTCTTAGGCAGCGCCGTAGGGGTGACGCTTGTGGCTATTGGAGTTGTGCTTGCTACCTTCAATGGCTTCTGGCTGCTTGGTAGAAGCGTGACGCTGAGTCCGATCGAGACGGCGAAGGCATTCAATGCCCCGCTTCTGGCTCAAGAGCCCGCTAATGCAGAAGTGAAGGAGCTCGTCAAAGGCGCGGGCATGAAGCCTGTGCGATATGGCCAAGTAGTTTATCTATCGCAGACATCATACAAGGCAGCCGATGACGATACGGCGGAGCCCAAGGATTTTGGATTAGCGATTGAAGATCCGGCGAATGTTCAGCCGTTGTCAAGACGCGGAAGATAGAGCCTGAATGCAATGGACAATCGACCTGTTGCGCCAAAATTTATGGTCGCCAATTTTGTGGCTCGTGCTCTACCCACCGTATATCTATGGTTGCGCACACTTGTTGCTCTATACCAAAAAGCGGAAACCCTTTCTCATGGCAGCACCCTCGCCGACACTTGCACCAGAGATGGCACCTTCCACTTCCTCGCCGCGGTCAAGCTTCTTGTTCAGACGCACCAGCGTCACTCGGAGTAAAGCGGCCATAAGAATAGCCAGGAACAGGGTGCCGCAGTTGACAGAGAAAGCGACAATGAATCGTGGTCCGCCGCTGTACATGTATGATGCATAGATGGACGAGGCATTCGAAACCGCGTTGATGGCTGCGAGCGCCGCAGCACGCTTTGCAGGTGGGCGAGGGATCGTGTTCGAGATCCAAGCAAGGACAATGACATAGCCAGTATAGATTCCAGGAACCATCAGCATCATGGCAAGGTAGCGAGGTGCGGTTGATGTCGTGGCTGCGGCCAAGATGAAGGAGACCATTCCGACGAGCAGTGGTATGGTGATGTGAAGGAAGCGCTCGCCAGTCTTATCGGCATGGATGGCGTTCGCGAAGGCAGTGAAGACTGCAAGCACGTACGGCGGGGCTGTCAGAAGCAGCGAGATGATGTTGCTGTAGCCGAGCGTCTGGACGACAGTCGGGAAGAAGTTCGTCACACTTGCGGCCGAGACGATGCCAAGAAGCATAACCATCAGGATCCAGACCTTGATGTCTTTGAATGCAAGGAACATGCCGTGCCAGAAGCTCTGCTCCTCGCTGTTGACCCAGTCATCGACACCAATATCTTCTTGGAGCCTCCAGACCGCAAGCTGACGCTCTTCTTCCGTGAGCCACGTCGTGGTGCGCGGGAAATTTGGCAGGATGAAGAAACATACGATCGCAATCACGATGGTAACCGCTCCCTCGATGATAAACAGCCACTTCCAAGCGGGTAGGCCCAGTTTTCTGTCCATGCCATCGGTAATGCCAGCAGCGATGAGTCCAGCAAACGCTCCCGAGATGAGGGATCCGGAGTACAGGACTGCGGATCGAAAGGCCAGTTCTTTGCGAGTGTACCAACATGACAGAAAGAATAAACAGCCGGGAAAGTAGGCCGCTTCAACGAAACCGAGGAAGAATCGGATGACTACGAGTCCAGCGAAGTTGTGGGCAGCTGCAGTCACGGTCGAGATGATTCCCCATACGACCATCACTCCAGGCAGGTAGAGCGCCGGCTTGCCGACTTTATTCAGGAACAGATTGGACGGGATCTGCATCAGAATGTATCCCACGAAGAGAATCGAAACACAAGTCTCGTATTGGGAGTCGGTCATCTTGAGATCTTCTTCCAGCCCCGGAGTTCCGGCGAGACGAGCAGTCGCAATATTGTTCTGCAGCACAGATCAGCCCAAATCATTCATTCATAATGCTGTTGAGGCCACTCACTCGATCCAGGTAATTCATGATATACATGATGATGACGGGCGGCAACAGCCTGAGGTCAATTTTTCGAACAAGCTTCTTCTCAAGCTTAGTCCTCTCTTCAGCCGTCAAGTTTCGCACCAACCCAGGCGCCTCCAAGCCACGCTTAGGTTTATCCGCATTCTGAACGCCATCGATCTCGTCAAGATATTCCGTGGCCTGCTTGGCGTCTGCTCCGTCGTCGTTCGAGATCCGTTCGCTGGTGGCGTGGTGAGTGCTCATCTTGGACGAAGAAAAGCACAGAAGACCCGGTGATGAAGAGGTGAGATGGAATGGCAATGGCAGAACTTTTTAAACATTTCTATGCGAGATACTTACTATCTGACTCCACAATGCCATCGTGACGAGGAAGGCCCGGGATCGCCCATCACTGCCCATGGGAACTCCAAAGCTCTTCACACTCTCCACAGGTACTATTGCAAGGCCGGTAGCGATGGAGATAAAGTGGGTCGAGTCTTCAACGAGGACACATCGCCACCACATGCACGGTGCATCACATAGCGGAAAGGACCGATTTACGTTTCTGATTGCCGGGTTTGCACTGATCCTTCATTCGCTTGGCACGGCAAGTCCGTTTGAAGGATTCCGAGGCATTCAGCGTTTTCAATTGCCGCGCCGGGATTTGACCTTGATGTACAAAAGGCGAACCGTCTGCAACGCCAGCAGCTGTCAAAAACCGCATCGTCGCAACTCCAAGAGCTTGATGATAACCTATCGGACCGAGACGAGAATGTCATGCGGGCGAGCGGAGACGGAATACGAAGGAATAATGGCAGAAAATATTCCTTGTCTGGCTCCCCGGGTGCCGTTCACATCGCGCTACGCGACATTCTCAGACAGTCGACAGTATGGACCGGGACTTGGAGTGGTGTGGGCAGGCAAACGGAGAAGCAGGAAACAGAAAGAGCATGCCATGTTGAAGGTCGCTTGCTTGCATAAGAGTGCATGTGCCCCGTGCCCCGTGCCCCGTGCAGAATGTTGAGTAGGGTGGTGAATGCTCTTCCAAAGACCCTGTTCTCCTGCTCATCGCTGCCTCAGCGTACTTTCGGGCCGGCCATCGCTCTTGAGCCAGCAGGGCTGCGCTGCGCTTTCATGCTTCCTCAAGACAGCTCTTGTTGCACTCCGACCTTAGTGAGACGTCGATATACTTGTGCTCGAGATTCACAAGATGGTCATGGGCCGGAAATAGACCGTTTCTCTCCAATCAAAGGCTGACAGTTCTAACAGATCTCGCTCCTTGGCGACTTGAAGCAGGAGAGTCCTTTGCTCAGAAATTGGAAAATCGCAAGTCAGGACGCTAGAATTCTTGGCCCGAATCGCCAGCGGCCTCGTGCTCAAGCATGTATATCGTGCCTTGTGGAGTCTCGGGATCGTACAACTCTGGAATCGGCGTTGACTTGCCTTCATTGATGCCATCCGTTGCCAGCGTCAAAACAGGCTTCAGAGCTGCCTTCTGCTTCTCACGTTGAAGATTTCGAATGCGCTTGTACTCTGTATAATCTTCGACTTCGTCCGACCAAGGTCTTTTCAGGACGATTTCCATGCTCGGCTCGGTTGGAAGACGCTGGAAATTGACTATGTAGAGCATCTGGTTGGTTCTGTTGTCATGCTTGATCGTCCAGCCGGTGACTTTATGCCTGCGAGCTCACTCAGCATGATTGGATTGCAAAAAATGCCTCGACATGCTTCTTCTAGGCTGCATTGATTCCTTGTCTGTACGTACAAGCCATCGTATCTGAGCCCGGCTCTCGGCTTCCACAAGGACTGCAGACAATGGCTTCTGAGGATTCGTACGGGATGCCGCGACTCTGGCGTGCCCGCTGTCAACCGATAGCGGCCTGGATCCTTGTCTCTACATCTGTACTGGAAGCTGTCTGGATTTGGACCAGAGATCTCGTCGCCTGCAGTCAGAACGACCGCGTATGCACCAGCAGCATCGGAAACGACGCCACCGCCGCTATTGCCATTGTCGATGATGCCGTCTCGGTAGGCGAAGAAAGGATTGATCCACCACCTGCGATCTTGTCAGGAGCTGGATGTCAAATGACCGAAGGAGCAGCCTACGAGCCGGGAGCGAATCCGAGCGCACCGGGCTTTCTCGCCACCGTTGGACTGATCTTGACTCCTGCGGTTCTCATCCATTTGACCAGCAGCTTTTCCTTGCTCAGGTCTTCTGGCTTGCAAATACCATGCAGTCGTCCTCCCGCCTCATACAGTGGTGTCCCTAGCGCTGAAAGAAGGCCATAATGCTGCTCCCAGGCGGCCTTCAGACTCTCGCATCGGTCAATCAACTTGCTTGGCCAGCGTGTCGCCTTTCCCGCAATCGCATTCACGGCCAGGTGCATGCGGCTGTAGCGGATGTCCTCGACGCCAAGACCAGCGCCCACGAGGCCGCGAAGAAGCTCGTCCAGGGTCAGGATGTCGTCTGAATGCAGGGCATCCGGCCCATCCTGCGCGACTTGAGGATCAAGCGTGTCTCGAATCCAGCGGGCCTGCTTCCGAAGGTGATCGCGGGTCAATGGCCATGTCTCCTTGGCCTCGCCCGCGTCAGCCGAGCTGATGCTGGCTTTCTTGATGGTGCGAGCAGAGGCCAGAGGTCCTGCCATGATGGGACGGATATTGTGCCATGCTCCAAGGTGTGATTGGGAGCGAGGCGAGGCGAGGCGCGGCGCGGCGCGGAGCGAGCGGAAGGAAGGAACGTGAACCTTCCTATAGGCCGTCCAGGAAACGGAAACGGAAACGGCGACTGCAACGCGAGAAAGAATCTACGACCGACGAGGTGAAATGCAGTCGCGCGCGGTAAAGTGAGGCGAGGCGAGGCGCGGAGCGAGCGGAAGGAAGGAACGTGAACCTTCCTATAGGCCGTCTAGGAAACGGAAACGGAAACGGCGACTGCAACGCGAGAAAGAATCTACGACCGACGAGGTGAAATACAGTCGCGCGCGGCAAAGTAAGGCGAAGCGCGGAGCGAGCGGAAGGAACGAACGTAAACCTTCCTATAGGCCGTCTAGGAAAGGGAAACGGCGACTGTAACGCGAGAAAGAATCTACGACCGACGAGGTAAAATGCAGTCGCGCGCGGCACAGTGGCAGGTCCCGTCAAGTTCGGCTTCTCAATAATGTCCTGCTTCTACATAAGTTATCCACGTGGATGCGGATAGGCGACCTCACCCAATCTCCTGAGACATCTAGGCCGCGGCTGATGCGTCCAGAACTGCCAAATGCAGTTCAAAATCACGTGGCCCGATGTAGCTTCATGCCACTTCGCGTGAGTTACTTCTTCGCCAAACTCCCATCCTCCGGCCTTGAGGGGTATGGGGGCCTAGAACTCCAAACCAAATCGTAGCTCAAGCAATGATAGAATGGCTGTGGCATACTTATATTTCAGGGCAGCAGCATCGATACTTACATTGATATCTGTGGACCAACACTAGCTACACTCATTATGCCATCCTTACCACCAGTCATCGCCTGGGACTATCGTGCGTGTAGACACCCTAAAAATCGTGTACGCACACTTCTACTGACCTTCCCCCAGAATTCGCTCCAAATGCGCAAAAATCTCGGAACTATCTCTACGCAACCAAAACGCCTTTCAAGGTCTGCGAACAGCCATTCTTCATCCCACGCCCAATCCTTCGAAATCTGGGAATCACATACCGTCGCGTCCCAGTCCTGAGCATAGGCAAAGATGTCTTCCCCGACAACGCGAGCTTCATCGAAGCCATGCAAAGCCTGCTTGAGCAGCAAGGCAAAGCGCTCAAAACATCTCCAGCCGATCGATCATTTGAAGCCTGGGGATACCGAAGTTTCTGGGTAGCTTTACCCTGCGTGCCCGTCGACTTCAATAACAAGCAATTGCAGAACGATCGCAAAGACCTCTTTCCGCTTTTCGGCAGAGCAGACTACAGCAGATTGCAGACCAATGCTGCTTCCGAGCTGAGGTCTTTGATCGAAACGGTTGAGAACGACTTCCTATCGCAAGGACCTTGGATCGCCGGACAAGAATGTGGTTTGGCAGATATTCATGCCATGTGGATGTTGAAATGGGCGATGAAGACTTTGGATATGGAGAAGCAGCCGGGTCTTGGCAGAGATGAGTGGCCTAAGTTTTATCACTGGTCCGAGAGACATACCCTCACTCAGTCCTAAAATGCTAATACGATATCCAGGATCGAAAGCATCCCCCACCACGCCCCCGAACTCGAGCAAAACGACAAAATCAACGAACAAGAGGCCCGCAACCTCCTTTTCGCCTCCGAATACGCTGTCCCACATGTCGGCATCGATCCCAAAGATCCTTTGCAATACAAGGCTGGAGACGAACTTTACGTTGAGCCTACAGACGCCGAGCCCGGTCAACATCCTCAGCATGGCAAGCTTGTGGGATTGAATACGAATAAGGTTGTTATTGAGCTTGAGAATGGGTTGAGAGTGCATTTTCCAAGAATCGGGTATATAATTCATCGATCGGCGGATTTGCCGGTCAAGGGTGTGGTTGAGAAAGTCATGGATAAGGTGGGATTGGGGCAGTCGAGTAGTGTGAGTGCGATTTAGGGTGGGTTGGAGGAGCGTAGAAGTTCGCCTTCCCTGGCTGCTTGCCCTTCTTTCCCGCCTTATATATTCCCAGCTTCCGCCACAATCCACTCACTCCTTGACGAGCGTACTCTCCATATGCTACGACCAAGTTTGAGAGAGGTTGTGCAGTAAGAAATCACGTGCAGAAAATCTGATTGGGAGAAATCCCAAAAAGAAGTCAAAGCAATAATGCCTGATTTTAGAACGGCAGACAGGGCAGGAGGAACGCTGCTTCTACTTAGATCTCGCTTTGCTCAGCTACCCGCCCTGCCTGTACGGTAATTTATATATATATCTACTACAAATGGTGACAATTGTGGATGAATATGGGGTAATGTAATGCTCAATTGTCCTTGACGCCATGACTGACAGGCAAGCCGCACGCAGCAAACCTCCCGGCACCAGCTCTGTGAGGCAAAGCCATATCCACTACCACCAGCTCACCTTCTCCCAACTCTCCCTCGACTACGACATCCTAACCTTCGTCTCCCCATCAAATCTTTTTAGCTCCTCTCTAGCCCTCTCAGCCTCACGAAGAATCAAATCCCTAATCTCGGGACTCCTAGGAATGAACCGTACCGAAAAAGGTTCAGGCCTCTGATTCTCACTTGGAGTATACGCAAAAATGTCAAGTTTCACCTCATTCCCCTATCAAACTCATCATCAGCAGGTACTCACACACACAAAGATGGGGTTTTTTTAATGCTTAGACTGACCTCCTCATCCACTCCCGGCTTAATCTCAAAAGCCCAAAGAAACCTCGCCGTAACAAGCCAAAGTCCCTGTTCCGCCAGCGGTTGTCCACTACACTGTCTCCTCCCCCACCCAAAAGCCGCATGTCCCTTCTTGCTAGGATGCGGTCGATACCACTCACTCCCTTCCAAAAACCTCTCGGGCCGAAACCCATCCGGGTCAGGGTAATCTTTAGGATTTCGATGGATGGCCCAGACATTGCCAACGATCCAGGTATCTTTGGGGATATGGTAGCCACGATATTCGTCGTCTTGGGTCGGGGCGTGGGGGATGCCGCCGAGGGTGGTGACGGTTCTCCAGCGGAGAGTTTCCGTGGCCGTGGCGGTGATGTAGGGTAATGAGTCCTCGTCGCCCCAGTCTGGGATGCGGGAACGGCCGACGACGCGATCGAGTTCTTCTTGGGCTTTTTTCTGGACTTCGGGGAAGACGCACATGGCTAGGATGAAGGAGATCATGGAACTGGATGTCGTGTCGACTCCGCCGCCGATGAGGTTCGAAACCAAGTTGCCCAATTCTCGAGCATTGATCGTTCCCGCATCGCGTTCTTTGATGAGACGTTTCGAAAACAAGTCTTCGTCTTCGCTTGTGGCGGCAGCTTCTTCCGTCATTTCTTGCCAGAAGGTGTTGAGTCGATCACCAACAGCACAGATGAGTTTTGGTAGAGGGTTGATCCAGCTCGGGAGCTCTAATAACCAGGGCATCATCTCCATCATGGCTTGTCCGGGGATGACGGCATTGACGACCTCCATGGATTCTAGGGCTCGTTGGGCTACGGGGTCGTTGGTGTCTTTGATACGACGGCCCCAACCAACGATTGAGACGATGGAGCAGGAGTAGCGTTCGATGGCTGGCACGTAGTTGTCCGGGCGGGTCAGGAGGTCTTCGAGTAGGATCTTGGTTTCGGAGCTTTGGAAGCCGCGATAGGCTCGGACTACTTGAGTGCCCACCACGGAGTGCTGTTGATGATCAATGAAATTAGTGCCGATCAGTGTATGGCCATGGTGAAGATTACGCTCAACTTCCGATGCAGCCTCCACTGATCATCATATTTCAAACAGACTTGATTATGTTTCGTGGTATTGATCACGTCGCCCATCATAATCATTCTGGGTCGTGAAGAATAAATCGTCGCTCGCTTTTCAAACATGTCAGAGATTGTCCAAGCATCGTTACAACAGATGACTGGTCGATGACCATTCCAAAGAGTGATCATGGGATTTTTGTAGACTTCGAACGACAGCTTTTCCCAATGACGCCAAGGACGTTGCATCCGCATGTCCAAGTGGTTACCAATTAATGGTAAGGGAAAGGGACCTGGTGGAAGTCTCCTGCGTAGCCATAGCACTCGAAGGTAGTCGATTGCAAGCCATAGTATTCCCAAGGCTGTGAGTGCTTCGACGGCTAGCTCGATCAGGACAAAGATAGTGTAGAGACTGAAATGCAGACCCATTACGTCTTCTAGATCCTGCCGGATATTCAGTATACTAGCCCCAGCAAAGGCGAGTCGCATCACTCATATTTGACCTGTAGTCAACTCATGCGGGGATTGCGTGGCTCGAACTCAAACTGAGCTTACATGATGTCGGATTGAGTATTGACAAGGGATCTCCACGTTGATGTGTATAGGAATATCCTAGTAAACAGCGGATATCTCCACTTCCGGCAATTGTGATTGAATTTTATAACCGGAGCATCCTTTGCTCCGTGAATCCGACGGCCTTATCTGAAGTCATGCCAAGCAGCAGTCCATGACCAATATGGGTTGTACAGTGTATGACCCGTGTATGACCTGTGTATATGTGTTCTCAGACGCCAACGGCAGTCTCATATGTTCAACCCGACGAGGTATATAGCTGGAGCTTGCTGTACATATGTCTGACCAGGCCTGATGAACTCGCAACTGCAGCTTTGGTAGACTATACTGACCATGGTCACCACATTGCAGATCAAAGTTTTCCAAATGCACTTGGACCGGAATGCGTCATGCTACACGGAGGCAATGCGGTCCATGAGTTGGGTATCTAAGCACCAAGACATGAGCTTAATGTGTACATTGAAGAAAGCGCTCACCAAGATGTAACCCCGGCAGTGCATCCAGCACTTTTGTGCCCTCAGATTTATCGCTTTTCTCTAAAGAGAGGACCGTCCTGATCTTCCTCGTCGACAAAGCCGAGCTTCTCTCCAACTTTCACTTTCTGGCCCTTCTCAATGCACCACTGCCAACCACCTTTCCTCTTCGTACCATCGCCAATGAATCCTTCATCGAAGCTGGGCCTCTTGCCCTTTGGAGCTTCAAACACCATGACGATGGTGCTGCCTAATTGGAAGCCTCCCATTTCCTCTCCCTTCCGTAATGCGTGGCCACCCAGGACAGGCGAGGCAGAAGTATACGTAGCCTCGGCATAGCCTGAGTATGGTTCACCTCTCTCTGCAGCCTCCTCGGCGGCTTTGTCCGCCAGGGTGTCAGTGAGCAAGCTGTTCGTCCTCAGTTCTTTATCGAAATTGATGACGATGGAGCCGACATTCGTGGCACCGACAGGCGTGTAGCTGAAGAAACCATACTTCCATCGACCGAGTAGTACAACTCTCTCGTTGAGTGTGAATAGACCTGGCAGGTTCTTTACTAGGAAAGGACTGACACTGTACAGCTCACCTGCAAAATGTCTTCTGCTTTCCACAACCCATGAAACAGGCGAGTGGAATCGATGATAGTCGCCAGGCGCGAGATATACAACGCAGTAGTATAATGCGGTTGGTACTTCTTTCGCAGCCGGATAGTACCATGGTCGTGGTGCATTCGGTCCTGTTTCGAGATCCTTTTGCACTTCTCTTTCGGATGAGCTGGACGATGGCGTTGACTGATCGGACAATGACGCTGGATGAGGCAAGTGGTGATCTTTTGATCCGCCTTCTCTCATCTGTGGATCTGCATTCTTTGGATCAGGGTGCTTGGGCTTCTTCCACCAAGATCTGCCTCTTGGCGTTGACGCAGCTCCCGAGAGCAGGTTGGGCAAGGTATAAGAGATGCCATTCACGCGAGCGAATTCCGCATCTTCGTGAATTGACTCCTCGTCACCGAATCTTGTCCTTTCTTGCGAAGGCTTTGGGGAGCCTTCCGTTGCTGTGACGTTGCTCGTAGCTTTGCTTGCAGGCTGCTGCCCGAGCAGTGAATCCACGCTGTACGTCACGCCCTTGACCTGCTCGACTTCACCATGCTCGATGACGCCGAATTGCACAATCCTGCCGTCTGCGGGCGATAGAAGGGCATTTGGATGAGGATCCAGCGGTCGCACGCCGGGTTTCAATTTGCGATAGAAGAATTCGGACAGATTCTTGTATGTGTGCAAGTCGGGCTCCGACACCTCATCAAAGTTGACACCAAACACCCAGCCATATAGCTTGAAGCCCGGCACTCGGAAGCTGTAGGGTATGTCGATGCTGTTGAACCATCCCCACCATCTGCTCAATGCCTTGAGCGGAATGGTACTCATGATCTGTACACTCCATGGTCCCGCGGGGCGTATGCGTTCTCTGCGCTTGGGCGAGCCTAAGTCTCCCCAGTCAAATTCGTCTTCTGGATCATCTTTGCTGCGACGCCATGCTTCCTCTTCTCTCCTTCGTTCCCGCTCGTTGATTCGGTAGAACTGGAACGCAGCTAGAAAGGCAATGCCCAGGCCGACTGGGATCGGCTTCCAGACTATGGGTGTGCTTCGCCATGCTTCACCTAATCGTGCTCGGAAGGAGGACTTACGATGTTCCCGTTGCGGCTTGAATGCGGAGGAGAAGGGTTGTCGTTGGTATTGTGGCCTCGCGCGCGGAGGAAAAGTGCGGAGGACGAGCACGACGCGGCATTGGTATCGGTATTGGCATTGGCGTGCTACCGTCGGCGACATGGTGCGGTGCGGACTGTCTCTATGCCATCTCAGGCTCCGCCCCAGATGCGCCTCCCAATATCGAAATCCCCGAAGCCTGACGTGAGGATCGATCGGCCAAAGGAAGTCGAGCCGAGATGGACCGCTGACGTAGTTGTACAATGGAATAAAAGCGCCAGGGCTGCGGGCTGGACTGCGGCTCTGGAGTTCGCGGCTGCAGGGCAACAGGACAGCTGGAGCCTGGCTTGTGAATACACCAACATGGCCATACCATACTATACGCCTTGTAATCCTCTGGTGTGTTAGCCATTGCGACGATAATACCACCGCCACTGCCTCCACTCCACTCCACTCCACTCCAGCTCGACACCATGGCACCACCACCCGCCGAACCTCCGAAAGCCATCACTCTAAACATCAAAGTGCCGCCAGGACATCTCGCTGATGGCATCGACGACTTCTCACTGGGCGATGAAGTGCCCGTCAGCCAAACCATCGGGCAGATCAGACAGCGTTTATCACAATCGCTGCCATCGACTCCCGCTCCGGAAAGGCTTAGAATACTGTATGGAGGACGAGCGTTGGTCGATGACGAGCAAACGCTGGCCGATGCGCTGAACGTGAGGAGGGCCCCGGAACAAGTCAAGTACTATGTGCATCTGCTGGTCAAGGGCGAAGGCGCCGCCAATGCCCCAATACCGCATGCTTCCTCCCAAAGGAGAGGCGTAGGCACACCTGTTAGATCCGCGAGTCCGGCACAAGCACAACAGGCCCAAAGCCAGGCAGCACCACCACAGCAGCAGCAGCAGCCTGCGCAGAACATACTGCATGGAGTTCACCCTCAGCATGCTCAGGTCCATCAGGCCGCCCTCTTCGCTCAACAACAGCAAATGCAGGCGCACCTGCAACACCAAGCCCTTACCCTTGCCCAGCAGCAACATGCACTGCGAATGCGGCAACAGCAGATGACACAGGCTCAGCAGGCTCAGCATGTGCCGGGTCAAAACGGTCCTCCTCAGGCGGATGCTGCTGCCGAAGGAGGACACAACCATCGTGCAACCAGTCTAACATCACATCCCCAGCCACCGCGCAGCATCTCACAGCCGCCTTCCCACCCCGTGAATCAAGGCATGCACATTGAGGGTTATGGACCCAATGGCGAACGTGTGGTCATTCACCAGCAAAGCTTTGCTTTTAATCCCACGCAACTTGGCAATCATGCTTTACCTAATCTTCATCATGCGCCCATGGGCCTTCCATCACTTCCTGGCATGCCACCACAAACTCAAGCTCGTGGGAATGGTCCATCTGCACTGGACCAGGCTCGCAATCACATCGTGGAGATGCGTCGCATGCTAGACGAGATCAGAGGGCAAGCGGATACAGACGAGGGTCGAAACCGCATTGAACAGCTGGATCGGCGGACTCAGTCACTGAACGATTACATCGATCCACTACACCTTGGCAGCTCGGCGCGAAATCGGGCAGCTCAACCTAATCCCGCCCTGGGGACATTGCCCAACGCTACCGGAGCCCAGATAGCTCGCTCAACTTCGCAACCGCCGCTCGGCCATCAACAGACATGGCAACAGCGCGCACAAGGCATACTTCAGTCACAGCAACATGTTTCACCATCTTCGCAGCCTACTGATGTGACGGCTTACCTGCTGTCGTCGCCCACCGGCCCTCAAGCAATTCTGTTCTCTCCTCAGCACGGCACTTTTGCAGGTGCTCGCCTGCGGCTAGGGAGATCTCTGCAGGTTGGTCTGCAGCCATCACCTACGACGCAGTCATCAGATACACCAACCGCCGCCAATATGCAAGCACAACAAAATCAGCCTGCTGCTCAAGGACAACCTGCTGCTGCTCAGCCTGCGCAAGGAGCTCAAGCACAAATGGCCCCAGCGCAACCGGATCCATTAGGCCCTATGGCGCCGTTCATCAACCACATGTGGCTACTTCTGCGCATTCTCATTTTCGCCTACTTCCTCCTCGGCGCTAATCTAGGCTGGAGGAGGCCATTGGCACTCATCGCGATAGGTCTTGGGTTTTGGTTCATGAGGCAAGGTTTGCTGGGCGATGGCGCTGCAGTCAGAAGATGGTGGGATGGTGTTGTGAACGACGGTCGGCCAAGACCGGCACAGCCGCAACAGAACATTCAAGGCCAGCCGCCGGCTCAACCTCAACAGCCGGGCCAGCCCGCCGCCGCGGATGGCCGAGCTGGACAGATGCCGACACCTGAACAACTTGCTCAACGTCTATTAGATGAAGATCGAAGGCAACGCAATGAGCGACTCCAGTGGCTGCGAGATTATCTTCGTCCGGTAGAGAGGACCATTGCTCTGCTAGTTGCAAGTCTGTTTCCAGGAATTGGTGAGGCATATGTGCGCGGTCGCGAGGAGGAGGAGCGAAGAAGGAATGAAGAAGAAATGGCTGCTCGGAGGCGCGAGGATGAGGAGCGACAGCGGAGGGAAGAAGAAGAGAAGAAGAACGCGGACGGAAATAGTGCGGGTAGCGCAGACAAAGAAGTGCCACCAACAGATGAAGCTGTCGCACCCGCTGCTGCGGACGCACAAGACGCACAGGAAGGCACCGATGCGGCCGAGACCGCGATCAGGCAGTCGTTCGTTAACCAATAGGAGTAGCAGAGATATACAGGTCTGAACTTGGGTGGCATATGTAGCAAGACAATCTTTCTGCTGTCTCACCCACCTCATGGCGTCCAGAGTGCAGAATAAATCCTGAACGGGGGCTTGATGTGGACATCTTCTGCAAGGTTGAGCCTCCTTTGGTTTTCTAACTTATGATCTTTATCGAACGAATCTTCAGGTGGATCTTGCGCCAGCTCGTCCCAGACCTGGACACAAGACGTTTTCTTGGTCGCGGATTAGGGACCTCGAACAGACGCAATGGCTACGCCCAATCAGCGAGTGAGCAGTCTGAATAGGTGACTGCGCATTCTTCGCGAGCGTTACACAATAGCATGAGCTCAATCGTGCAATCTGGTTGGAATCAGTTACTGCGTACGAACAAGCTGGGCAAATCCGAGGGCATTCGATTCGATGCATTTGTCACCGGGGAGCACAGAAGTGCGATTGAGAAGGCAGCGATTGTTGATGAGGTCTTCGTATACTGACCGACCATCATGATCTTCCGGACGATTTTGACATGTTGGCCTTTGTCTCCTTTACTCTTTTGCTTTGTTGGAGACACAGCTGTACATCTGAAAACACAAAGTAGCCCGAGACGGATGAAAGGCATTGTCGCTTTCTACCGGTCTGAAGGCACAAAATCGCCCGAGGTGGATGAAAGGCATTGTCCCTTTCTACCCATAATACACCCTAAGGTCCGGTAGAATACTTAAGCAGAAGCCTCTCTCGGAATTCAATCTTCAAATCCACTTTTCACAACACCGAGTTACACATGAGACGTTACCAAGAGGCCATTCAAACCGACTCCACGACATCTCAGACTCCTCTTCCACCACCACCATCAGAAACCACAGCTACACATATCACTATGACTGCGAGCCAGTCAGCCACCACGCCTTCACAGGCCTCTACCCCAAATCTCCTCGACCTCCCCGTCGAACTCAAGACCAACATCCTCTCTCACCTCGACCCATCCGACATCCATAAATTTAGCCCAACATGCAGGCATGCTCGAGATCTGGTTGAGGAAGCAAGCAACGCAACTAACCTCTACCGCTCCAGCCAAGCCCGCAATCTCGAACGACTCTCTCAGTCCGTCTCCAGACTTTCCAACCTCCACGGCCTCACCCTCCTCGACGCCCTATCCATCTGGATTGCACAGCGTGGCATCAACCCATCTGTGCGTTCACGCTTCTACTTCCTCCGCCCACTCATCAAGCAATGGTCATCTCAAAGACCCATCTCAGTAAGTCGGAAAAGAATCGCGACGCAGACCCTCTGGGAGCTAGCCAACACCCTCCTCACAATCCACGTGCAAACCCACCTCGACGCAAAAAAATACGAGATCACGCCACTGCCTGAGAAACAGTGGGAGGTGTATATCTCCGGACTTTTCCTGAAAACCGAAGGGTTCAACGTGGAGAAGAATCTCAAACGTTACTACATCGATCGCCCGACGATTCTGTCCTGGTTTCGAGAAATCGCTTCCGACCCTTCACGGCTCGCGGGTCCGACGGACGCGTCTAGGCCGGACTATCCTCTTACTCAGCACCAGCACTTTCCTTTTGACGGGAGGCCGATGGAGCTGAAATTCGCTTGGGGTTGGATACTTGCTGATTTGATCCATTTGCCGCAAAACGTGCCTGATGACAGGACGCTTCGTCGGCTGGAACATTTCGGGTACTGCGTTAGGACGTTTCATGCTTGGCATTTGTTCAATCTTGCACTTATCCATCAGCGGATTAGTGAGAAGGATAAGGCTGTTATCTTGGAGCAGACGTATCTGTACTGAGAAGGCTGGCTTTTCTTGCTGTGATGGTTTCCGAGGGGGAATTTGTTCATCAATTGACGCGAAAGGAACTGAATGGCACTGACTGCCGCTCTAGTATTAGCATGATTTTTCACAAATTTCATCTCCTTCGAATACATCGTTTTCAGCATCGGGTACTTTTCCTTCAGAAATCGTTACAATTTGACTCTATTATTGTGGAAAAGCATCCCATTTCGACGCCAAATCATCATTCCCAATCCTCGTCTCCCTGCTGGTTGATAGATTGTCACAGCCTGATTGCGAGGGCAAACGCATTGTCTATATCGACTCATTAAAGAACAACAATCATGGCAAGTGAAAGGAAAACATGCCGGTGCCTGTTCGATATTGGCACACTGATGATGCCATTTGGGTTGATGGAATTCTTTTGCTGCTTTTGCCAGATATGAGCGCCCTTGGTAGGATTGCCGTCGAGTTTTGTTTCGTCAGTAGCTTTTCTCTAGCACCATAATAGAACGATTAGCAGTGGTGGCTTTTCCGGGATCACTTACTTGTTAAACCACATCAAAGACCCGATTCTCCATACCCGTAGGTGAAACCACGTGAAGCACTCGACTCCCATCGTTTTTCTTTCTTGTGAGTTTCAACCCATTGTTTTTGTAAGGCCTTCGAACAATGCATAGCCTTTGTGATAAAGGCATTGATAGGCCTTGCCACAAATTCATTGTATCTATTTCGCATACAAAGAACCCCGTGGCATTCGAGACACTTTCTTCAAGTTTTAAAGTCGTCTTCTTCTCTAAATTCAAGGTGCCATAGCAAATCTTGATCATCAACGCTCCAGATTATTCCTGGAGCATCCATTGCACCCAGACCACTCATCAGCGAGACCGCTTGTCAGCAAGACCAGCAAAATCAGCCGAAATCATGACTTCAGGAAGTCCCATCACAACGGCCTCGAAGGCCCCAAGCTCGTTTCTCGACCTACCTGTCGAACTCAAGACAGAAATCTTATCCTATCTGCCTTTCACAGAGATCAGAGAGAGCCGTCGCGTATGCAAGAATCTTCGCGACATCGTTGACGAGAAAAGCAACATCATGACTTTGTACGAACCAGGCCAGGAGCGCGATCGGGATCGTCTGAACGATGCTGTAGCCAGTTTCCTTGACCTCAAAGGCGTAGGCTTTCTCGATGCTCTAGCTCGCTGGGTCGGACAACGTGGTATTTGCCCCGATTTCGAAATGAGACATATCCTGATTGAAGCACTAGTCAGAGAATGGATTAAGCAGCAAGGCATCGATGGTAGCAGACCTGAGCTCGCACGCGATAGAGTTGTGTTGACCTACTTCGCAAACGAGTACATCAACGCTCACGTCTATGCTCATCTCGATGAAGAAGGTTATGAGATCATATGGGGCAACAGCTCCAGTCCTGAATTGTGGAATTCCTGGCCAAGAGTACTCCAAAGGTTAGGCTTGTATGGCATATCGGAGGATATGCTTGCAGAATGGGACAATGAGGTAAGACAAGACAGTCGAAAGCTCGCCGCTCCAGCAATGGTTCCTCGTCCTGACTACACCCTCACGCGTCTGGACTATTTCGTTCCACTTTGGGAAAGCTGGGATGAAGATTCGGAGACTTCGGACGAAGATTCGGACAGCGGGGACGAAGATTTGGGAGACTTTCATGACCTTGATTATCGAAAGGTAGAGGATCGGGGTTTGTGTTCCAGCGAACGCCTTGCTGAGCTTTTCGGCTTGCGCGTGCTCCCAGAATCTTGCCGCCATTTCGCTTTCTGCGTCAAGACCAAACGAGCATACGACATAGTCGAACAAGCTGTAGATGGTGCTCAGATCCGCGAACAGGACAAGGCGTTTGTGCTGGAGGACATGTATTTGTTCTAGGCTGACAGTCCGTGATAGCTGGTCTATCGGGGCTGCCAGTTGTCCAGCCATTCTGTCTTGTGTTCAGGTATCAGGGCTTCCAATTGAGTCCGAGAAGGTTTCCTTGTTCGAGGTTTAGGGAGTGACACACTCGCCGCTCTATCATCAGCATAAACTAGCACATTCATGAAGTACTTAAGCATGCCAGTAGAACTATCGTTTCTTTCCTCTTCTCTTTCGCCGATAACGAGCGTGCACGATCGGGCCAGTGCGTGGCGATTCGAAGGCGAAGGCGAAGGCGACCTGCAATGGCTTGAGCAGCACACACCACGTCGCAGGCGCAGGCAGTGAGCTCCCCTGGACTGTCTTGTCGAGCGTGTCTCCGTTCTATACCAAGATGAAGTCAGGCTGGAGGAAGGAAGCCAAGGCCGACATGACCCGATGCTCCGGAACGTTCCGGCTATCTCATTAAGCTTAAGTATACAATAGTGCGGGGCTGCACTTGCCCCAGATGTTCAGGCGGCTTGGCCGCGCCTCTCGCGCTCTCTTATCGCGAGTCTGAACCCACCATTGACCAACACTATCTATGCTATCTACGCCCACTAGAATGGCTTATCACATGTACGGCTCTACCGGAGAATTGGGTCCAAGTTGGGACAGTTGTGTCACTCATCAGCTGCCGGCCCTCGTGCTCGCGCCTGGCAAGACAGTCATCATACAGTGCTCCCCGACCGTCATCGGAAATACATACACCTATCGCGCGTAGCCCGGGAAGTATACCTATACCTATTACCCATCCCATAGCACCTTCTGCATCCGCTTTCTTGTGCCTATAGCATTCTCCTTCTTTCATTGCCCCTCTCCTTCATCAAGTCGCCTCAAAAACGCCTCCTCGGCATCGCCCGTACGACATTGTGCATCCACAGCTTCGTATTACCTAAAGGCCACCCCCTTGGACCGACTTCAAGCTCTCAAACGGGCCGACCTCAGATCTCCGCCTCATCTCACTGTTATCAGGAACCGATCTGTCTGAACGCGACCAACTGCCTCCGCCTCCCGCCAGCACGTGTGGTGTGGCTGAGCACGAGACCAACGTCCGCTGTGCTCCTGGTGTCAGGCGACCCCCAGTAATCAATCTCAATATAATACAACGCGACGGCCAAAGAACTGGCATACACCAAAGACACTTCTACACACGCATCCATTCACCCGGTCATGAATTCATGGCTGTCGACGTCCGCCTTTGAGCCGCATCTCCCTGCCCATTGTGCGCCGGAGACTGACTTCCTACTACGCTTCAGCAGCACATTCCACACTTGTGTACCTACGAAACTCGCCTTTGCATCAAACCTTCTGGGCGCCTTGAGCATTGTCGCTTGGCTGTTCGCTCAACTCCCCCAAATATACAAGAATTGGTCATTACAAAGCACATCTGGACTGTCCATCTTCTTCTTAGTAGAGTGGTGCTTAGGCGATCTAGGCAATCTTCTAGGCGCCCTATTTACCCATCAAGCTTCCTGGCAAGTGGCAATCGGTTGCTATTATGTCTTCGTCGATCTATGCCTAGTCGGGCAGTGGATATGGTTCGAAAAGCTTCGGCACGGTCATCCAGTATTCAGGGCATGGCGGAGAGGGAACGGTAATGGATACGACAGCTCAGACAGCGGGAGCATGGAGCAAGTGGTAATAGAAGGTATGCCAGTCCTGAGTCCGACCAACAGCAGGACTGAACCCCAGAACGAATGTGAGTCTGATAATGCTCAAGGGCAACAAAAGACTTCGAAACCACCTACACGACCCAAAATCATCTTCCGCACACCTGCGTTCGAGAAACCACCTGAAGAGAAAGAGAAGGGAAGTCTGAGTTCAACGCCGAGAAGCAATACAATACATCGAGTAGGACCGTCATCACCAATGCCCTCTCCCTCACCTCGGACAATCCTCTTCATCGCCTGCTTAATCGCAATGGCACACGCCTCCCCAATCAAGCCCACTTCCGCCGAAGGACACCCCTTGGACTCCGGTCCCACATCCCTAGAACGAGCAGGAACAGTCCTCTCCTGGATGTCAACAGTCCTCTACCTCGGCTCCCGCCTCCCCCAACTCTTCAAGAACTGGCGTCGAAAATCCACCTCAGGCCTAAGCCCCCACCTCTTCATCGCCGCCTTCTGCGGCAACATGTTCTACTCCAGCGCCCTCCTCACCAATCCCTGCGCCTGGGAAGATTTCGGGCCGTACGGGGGCGGAGGCTGGGTCGGGAAAGACGGAAGCGAGAGAGCGGAATGGGTCATGGCGGCTCTGCCTTTTTTCCTCGGAGCCGCGGGAGTTCTTGGGCTGGATGCGAGCGTTGGGGTGCAATTTTTGATTTATGGGGAGGGACCTGAGAAGTTGGTTGTTGTGGAAGAGGAGCAGGGACGGAGGCGGTGGAGGCGAGTTTCCGGTTGGATTAGAGGTTGGATGCCGAGTATTACTAGTGAGAGACGAGCTTTGATTGAACGAGACTCGGGAAGCCGGCGCGCCGAGGGGTATGGTGCATTATGATTGATTGATTGATTGATGAAGTACATGGGTGGCATGAGGAGCATCGGCATAGCGCGTACTAGTAGTGTTACAATAGAGGGCATTGGGAGTGGAGAATGGCGTATTCTGACTAGGAGACAGGATGTGTGGGTTTCTGTCAATTTCGCATTCGCTGGCAGATACATCCTCTGAGTAGTCTCTACAACAAGACTCTTAATCTGCAACAACACTCTTTCTAACAGCATGAAGTGCCGCATGAACATGATCGAGACCCGTGTCCTCCTTTACAGGATTCTACTCCATAAAGTACCACGGCTCTCGACCAGCATACTCCTCCCCAGGAACCTCGAATGGCAGATCAATCACGTTAGCGAAAGCATTCATGCTGACCAACGCCTTCTCATCTTCTCCTTCATCATCAGTCTCCTCATCACCATTCTCATCCTTCACCTTCCGCGCAACAGGCAAGATAACCCCACACTCCCAATTCCGACAAGTAATTTTATTCTCATCCCTCTTCGCACCCAGTTCTCCCCAAGCACTCTTGCTCATGTTCGCTGAACCCACATATACCCAAGCAACTTTTTCCTTGCGACTTCGAGCACATAAGATTTTATTATGGCTTAAAAGACCTCGCCTCGTGGATTTGTAGTCTCGGAAGATGTCGCGGGGAAAGTTCTTGGCCTCGAAGTATTTGCGTTGTAGACAAATTGTGCCTGCAGAGCCTGCGGTGGAGGAACGTACGGTGTCTGCTGTGGGGAAGTAGATTCGGACGTTCTTGCGTGCGGTGGAGGTCTCTGTAGTGGAGGAGGATTGCTGGGGTTTCTTGAAGAAGTCTGCGCCGGCTCTAGATTTGGTTGCTTTGGCCTCCGCGATGAGATCGACTCCCCTTGCTGCTGTGTGGAGGTCGTTCACCTGGGCCTCGTTGAGCATGCCGATTGATGATGCCGCAAATTCGATCTCGAGGTCACTGCCGGTGCTTAGACCAAGCTCTCTGACGGCGCTGCTCAGGCCTAAGAGCCCGGTTCTCGCTGCCTCGTCTTTGTAGTGCACGCCTCCGACAGTATGTACAAAAGCCATGTCCCTGGTAGCCGAGAAGTCGAATTTGAGTACACCATCTCTGACATCTTGATCGAGACCTTGCTTCTGAATGAAGTACATGAGTTCCCGACCAAAGGATGGCAGATCTTCAAGAGACGCCTTCAATCCATCAGAATATCTGGGAAGATCGATGAGAAATACGCTATTCTCCATTTGTCCCGTTTCGCCCCAGTCGAAGTTGAGCAGATTCGCGGTTGGTATTGCGATGCGGAGTTTGTGAGGATGAAAGAGAAGCATGAGCTTTGAATGCATGCAGCTGATGAGACCGCTCATGTTGGGAAAGCAGAATCGAAGAAAGTGGCTCATGTCGCTAGCATCTTCTCGCCACTGATCGCGGTCCTCTTTCTCTTTCGCTTGCATTACAAAGACGCATTTAGTGCTGCCGCCATTCAGAGGTGTCTTGAGCTTGCGTAGAAGCCAATCTATGTCCCATTGGAATGCGGACAGGACTGCTGTGCGGACGGATGAAGGTTCCAGCACTTCTTCGAGTTTTATATCGTGGCCTGTGCGCTCGTGACCAAAAGCCCAGGTCTTCTTCACAGCACCATTTGGATACTGGAGTGAAGCGGGAGGTGAAAATTCCGTGATGATCTTACTGTCGGTCTCATCGTCTGGTTCGGCTTTGATCTTCTGTTTCATTCGATTGATGGCAGTGCTGGCTGCGGGAGGCTTCTGGCTTGCTTGGGTGTCCTGTACCGCAGAAGACAAGAAGTTAAGGCGAGCGCCGCTGGGGAGGTTTATAGATGTCTCTTCGATTTTTGGCGCCTTTCTCGGACTTCGCACTGGAGGCGGCGATATAGACCGCTGCCTTTTTCGGGCTTGCTGCCTCGCCAAGCGCTCTGCTTCCATTGCTTTCCTGTCCAAGCCCAGTATGCTAGTCGATTCCGAAGTCATATTGCAATCGACGTCAACCGCGACGACGTGATGTTCCTGCCGAGCATGCGCATGCACTTGCCAGTGGTTGTGAAGTTGAATACGAAGCAGCAACGAACGCAATGTGTCAAGACGCAAGGTTGCAAGGTTACGACGCGCCGCGCCGCGCCGCGTTCAGCCGAGTGTGGATCTGTGGACCAGCGAAGACGGCCATCCAAATTCGGGAAAGCTATCTGCAGAGAGAGGCGTATCCCTTTGCCAGCCCGGTGGGTGTAGGTTGGCGCTAAACCTATGCTTCCGGTCTTAGAGAGTTCCATTAGCCTAGCAAAATGGGTGGGTCGACGAACAGCCGCAGATTACTAATTAGTGCCCTCCGCCGACCGAATTCGCTAGTAGTAACGATAATAGTTAAGCGGCTACCTCTTCGAGAGCCTATCCGGATAGCGGATAGGGGCGCTTCTAAGAGTGGTTTAAACGTTACTTCTTCTATAGAATAGCTAGCAATACAGCAATAGCTAGCAATAGCTATAACACCTGTATATATAGCTATATTAAAGCCGCTAGTAGCCGCTAGTAGTCGTTGCTAACTAACTAAATAAAGGAATATAGAGATACTACGACTATAGAACCTAAATCCTCGCTACTAAGGCTAGAGGCTTAATCACTACTGCCGGCGCGAGTTAAGACAATAAAGTCTTAAAACAGTACTATAATACTACTAAAGAAGAAGCTAAAGAGGTCTAAGTCGACGCTAGACCTAGCCTCGAGTCCTCCGAGCCTTATAGAAGTTAAGAGGCCGGAAGAGGTTAACTTTCGAGAGTTTATATAGCTACGGTTGCAGGTAATGTATTTAGAGACTTATATAGACGCTATCTACGCGTTCTTAAAGAATTTTAGCTATAATAACTATAGAGATATGCCGAAGATAAGGGAGCTATATAAACTATAGGTTAACGTTGCGGTATAGTACGCCGGTAGTTAAGAGAGGCGATTAAATCTCAGTAGTTATACTAGGCGTGCTCGTAGTCTTTATACAAAGCCTAACTAGGTCTATAATTAATATAATATCGCCTTGTTTAATAGTATATCTACGACTTAATATTAAGTGCGGTGTTAGTAAAGTTACAGATGTCGTAGCGCTGTTTCCGTAGCAGTCTACTGTCTATATAATGCTTGTAGTCCTTACTAAGCCTAAAGGTATCTATTTGCGCTTAAATAACGTCGCCTCGTTTCTACTAGAAGCGCCGAGAAGGACGACCGCAGTGCTAGTTATATATATAGCCTAATATAAACCTGCCGCGGTTACGAGGTATTAAGCTAGTATCTCCTAATTCTGCTTCTATCTCTTTACTACCTTCTATTACTAAACTCTAGCCGAGTCGAAGGCGGAAGGAGCGCTATATAGTAAGGTATTCGTCCTTAGAAGTAGTAAAGTCTCGGTATAGAATGTAGGCGTTAATTACGGCCGCATTAAGCAAGAAGTAGAACAGCGGATGCTATAGCTTTATAGAACGGTGTTATATAGCATAATAGCTTCTTAATTAGTCGTAGATGTCGACTCCGCCTATCTTGTCGTTATATAGAGCTGCCTATACAGGTATATAGTATAGCTATTAAGGAACAATCTAGTAAGGGCGTACGTGCTTAGTAATAAAGTCGTTAGTAGCCTTAGGTTGGCGTCTTTGTCGCTAGACTCGCTAGAATAGCCGGTAACTAGTTGTAAGGACTTAAACGAGGTTTCGGTCTTGCTATAGTATCGCGGCAATATTATAGTAATACCTAGCTATTAGTATATCGAAGGGGAAACGTATAGACTTCCGATTGAGTGTTATCGCTTCCTAGACAGTCTTCGGGGGTAGATGCTCGTCCCGCTTTAGTTTTACCGCCTAATCCTTATAGAGCTATACCTTGTAGAATATAGCGCCCTACTATAGCTAAGATTTAGAGCTAGCACGCACCGTGCCTATCGCTGCGATTCTATAGTATCGTAGGACCCGAAACAGTAGTACGTTATTAAATAAATTGTCTATATAACAATAGAAGAAGTAAGTCGAATATAGGAGCTATAGTAACAACCGAAGAACAGCCTAGCTAAGCGAGCTAAGCGAGCCAATAAGATTAGTCGCTATTAGACCCTGCGGTTAGCCTTCTATATATAAGAAGCTACTAGATTTAGAAGCTACCTACTTTCTCTTATTTTATTACTATTACTAACATTATTAGTTTGCGCTGTCTGCTTTGTCCGTCGTCGTTTAGTAGGTAGACCGTCGTCGCTATTTTTGCTAGTGTCCGTACTACCATTTCTACCTCTATTACGAGCCCGAGTTTCTATACCCTTCCTCGCCTTCGTAGCGGCCTTCTTCTCTACCTTAGTTAACTTAATTAGCACCTCGACTAGATTCTTCTACTCTTCTACACCGTTAATAACCTTAAACCCCTATTGCTTCTTTAGCGACGAGAATAAGAAGTTATATAGATATCTACGCTCGTAGAGAGCGAGAATATAGAACCTAATCGGTATTAGTTTGCCCTTTATTATTATAGTATAGAAAGAGCGCCTATAGAAGCGTACTATTACCTTATCTATGCTAATTCTATTCGCTAGCACTATATACTGCTTAAAGGCCTTCCTTAGTATACTAGTAAGGTTTACGACCTATTTCTATAGTAGAAAGCTACTATTCTTCTCGATAGGTTTATTAAACTATATAGCGGCTTTAATCTGTCGAAATCGATACTTACTTATATATCTAGCGATATTATAAGAGGGCTAATACCTATTAGAGCGCTAGTAATCGGCTTTATCGTCTATTTGTATAGCTAATATATATATTATTAGACTAATAAAAACTCGCAGCTCTCTAGTCGTAACTAGCTTCTATTTCCGCCCCGAAACCTATATCTCCTTACTACCGTTTACGACCTTCTTAAACTTAGGTTTCTATTTAGTATACTAGTTAGTATATAATACTATTATCCTATAGATAATAGCCGGCTATATAATATTAAACTACTTTAGTAGCAGTCGCTAGCCTCTAGGGTTACGAGTCGATAGCTTTCGAGGGTTACGGTCTAACCGTAGATTATCGCTATCTACGCCTTCGAATATCTCCTTAACTAGTAGCCGTACCTGCCTCTCGTGTTTAATACCTTCTAATAGACAGTAAGAGCTAGCTTTTTAAGACTTAGGTTAGACAGTATCCGGCTTAGACTCTGCTATATAGCAAGTACGCCTCTAGCTACTAAGGTTATTAGCTATAATTAGAGGCTCGGAGCGCTCGTCTACTATAGGCTCTTCGTAGGTTAGAGCCTCGAATAACGACTTCGCTATAGCCTTACGTAGCTTACGAGACGATAGGAACTCGGCGTCTATAATGCTATCGTTAGTAGCTAGAAACATAGTATTAGGGTCGATATCGTATACGTTAAATAGGTCCTTAGTAGTAGTAATTAGCTCGTTATAATCGTACGTCTCGCTATTAAGAAGGTCCGCAATATCTATAGCGATTAATAACACCTTAACGACTTAAATAACGGTCTATACCGATGAACATAGATTCTATAGTAGATAGCGGCGTAGAAACCGAGATCGGACGACCCTGGATTCTAATAGCCAAGGAGCGGGCGGGAAGTCGGGCTCTACACCCAATTTAGGTGGGTAGCTCGATCAGACTTCCCATATCCCGCCGCTAATGCTCTAGCTGCGTCTGTCCACGAGTTTTCAAAGGGATCACGTGGTCTTCCATTCCTCATACAAAGCATCCGCACTCGCACCCTCACCCTCACCTGCAGACGCCCATGCGCTCGCTACTGCCAGATGGGCGCAATAGTCTCCACCGCCCTCTCGACCACAGCTCTCACCCGGTCCCCAAAAGTCTTATTCGCACATTCCACCTCTAGCTTCTCCAGCCACACTTTAGCGACGCTCTTGTCGACCTTGATTTCCAGTCCTGGAACAGGTATGCCCAAGCCATGCAAACGCGCCAGCTCATTCGCTTCTTTCTTCTCAATGTCCACCGTATCCACTTCCTTGGCCTCCTCCGCATGCACCTCTCCATTCGAGGTCGGCTCAATAGCGGGCAGCTTTGGCCTAGCGACGGGCGTGATGGACTCCTCGCCAAATTGAGCTTCCAAGAACATGAAAAGCCGATTCAAACGATCTTCTGATGTGATGTTTGCATGCGGATTGCGTCTCGGAAAGGAGCTGCTGGCTTTCTTCTCCACGCTCGGGCTATCACCAAAGCCGTCGTAAACCTTGGCATCCTCCTCGTGCGAATGCGAGTGTAGCTTGCTGCTGTGCTTGATAGCCGCTGGCGAAGTCTCGACAGTCATCAACACAGCCAGCACCGCGTCAGCGATTGCATCATTGGTAGCGTTGCCCTCCCATTCAAGTTCCGTCCGACCCTGCTCTTTGCAGATGACTCGTACGGCGCCTCCCATGATCTCGAAGATTGTGTGCTCATGTGCTTTAACTTCTTCCTCAGCGGCTTCGTCACTGCCATTTGTCTCTGCCTTACTACCATTCGAGTCAGGCGTGATTGTTGTAATGCTTCCAAATGTGCCTTCTAACGCCCACTTGATGAGATCTGGAGAGGCAGATCCGAGCGTTATGTGCTGTCGGCAGACCAGCGTGGTTGTTGCCAATCCGGCATATTCTTTGAGGTCTTCTGGTGCCATGAGAGATAGCTTGAAGTCATTTTGGACCAGCACGCCCGAGACAAGTTGTCCCAGTGAGGAGTCGTGCTCTGCTTTCGAGCGCTTGACATCGCCGTCTTCCATATCCTCGTCCTCGCCGTTTGAGTCTGGTGGACTCGGCAGTAGCGTTGGTGGCTGGATTTGACTTGCCAAGCGACCCACGACTCTTGCTACTTTTTCTTGCCTGAAGGGTATGCGGACCTCCTCGCAATTCGCAGGTGAGTAGACTTTCATTCTGCCAATTCCAAGAAGTCTGCTCTTCAATCGATTCATGTTGTGCTTCTCGCCATGCACGAGGATGACGACTGGTGCGCCGACCTCCTCGATGAACTCTCGATTCTCTTGACCATCAACGTGGACAGCGAAGTTAAACTCCTGCACGGTGCATCGTCGCTTGATCATCTGCTTTTCTCCTTCTACGCCACCACGTTTTCCCATGCTTGGTATATTAGCAGATCTATTCTGCGTTACTGCAGGAATCTCGTCGGGCTCCATGAGAATGGTCTTTGCCATGGTCCCCTCAACACTGTAGCCAGTGATGACAACGCCATTTTTCGCCTCTGGCGCCCATCTCTCGAGCAGTGCCCGTGAAGGACCGTTCTGGAGCATACCTGGAGATGCAAGCACAACACTCCCTCCAACATCCTCGAAACGGTCGATGCCTTTCAGGGCTCGCACGAACTGGAAGTCCCAGGGACCTGCTGTTCCACCTTCTCCGACTGACTGACCGACAGCACTGGCTTGGAACTTGGCCTTGATAGTGTCGTTCATGTCGTCCACATAGGTTTGGTAAACTACCATGACCTTACGCGCGAGACCAGAAGCATAATAGATGGGGAATTTCCGGTATTCCTCGTGCCGCTGCCAGTAATCTTCTAGGATGAGAAGCAGCTCTTGCGTATTGCCGACAGCGGTAGTGGGCATCAACACTCTTCCTCCACGATTGAGAATTGTTGTGATGGACTTGATGAGAGCATTCTCTCGCTCTTGCCGGGGAGTCCGCGTACTGATTCCGAATGTGGACTCGGTGATCAGACAGTCCACCTTGACGTTGCGAGGAACAGTAGCTGGAATCAAATGCCGATCAGTCTCTCTCGAGTAGTCGCCGGTGAACAAGATGTTGAGTCCAGCGATCTCGATAAGGTACATACACGCTCCAAGCACATGGCCAGCAGGATATGGCGTGAAGCGAATGCCGTTGTGCGAATGTGTAGTGTGGAAGGAGATGGTCTGAATCATAGGCATTGTCGAGAGAATGTCTTGCTCGGTGTACAGCTGGCTGACATAACCGTCCGTCCCGGACGAGGATGACGCGGGCGTGTGCGTATTATGCACTCGGACGGCATCTTGCGTGGTCCACTTGTAGATGGCTTTTGTGGGATGTGTCATGTAAACTCTGCCGGCAAAATTGGTCTTTGATAGGACGTATGGCAAAGACGCTGAGTGGTCTTGATGGAAGCTTTGCAGATCAGTTAGCTTTACTGTTCTCGGTGTGCTTCCAGCTGCAGAGGCTCAGGAACGAGCTGGCAATCACCACGGCAGACGCTTGAAAGAGAAGGTGAAGAGTGAATGTACAATGCTGGCATACGGTTGCTATGAAGTCTACTACACTGCTCATGCCTTGTACGACGATGCTGCGCGCATGCATGAGAGTGCTAGAAGAATTGCTGCTAAGAGCCAGATGGTCCACATGCCTGCCGTGGTGACTGCTCTGTTCCTTCCACCTTCAGCTCTTTATATCGTGGGAAAGAACTTACTGTGTTATTAAGAGTAGATCCACCGTGCTCAGATCAAACTCATCGTAGAAAGGTAAGGCACCGAGCCCTTCGTAGGACGGATGGATGCCCGCATCCAGCATGACGGTCTTGCCCTTGTACTGTATGATATGGCATGATCTGCCCACCTCGTTGCCACCACCAAGCGCAAGAAACATCAATTCGTCCGAAGGATCTATCGGGTCCTCGTCTTCGGCCTGCGCATTCATGGCCGAGTGTGGCCGCTTGGTAGCCATAGTGGGCTGTCCGCGCGCGACGCGCCCAAGTGGAGGTTCGTGGTCGCCGCTACCGTCTCAACTGACTCATCAAGATTCAAATCTATCATGAGAATTTCACGTGCTTTCGATGTTGCTGATGTGATGGATGTGATGTTGATGGAGAGTGAGTGACGGGAAAGGAGGTGTTGTTCGGCGTTCGCGCGTGAAGTGCAAGAAAGACGGAAGCTTTGACCGCGCGGCACAAGCCGAGATCGCAACTTCCATCATTTGCGGCCTACGCCTGAACACCAACAGAGCAGAAAGCCAGAACGGGCATTCCAACGTCGTCACAACGCACCAAACGATCCCCGACGAGTACAAACGATACGAGGCATCGATAAATCGAATTCCCGACCGAACAAGCGACGCGACGTCTGATGGGAACGGGGGCAGCAGTGTTGGAGTGAGGAGGCGACCGCTTGCTCACCTCGAGCAGGCCTCCTCATCGTCCCACCACCACCTGCGACCGGCGCGCGACTCACCGCCGCCATCATGGCCTACCAGATGTCGCCGCCGGCCCAGCAGCCTCTCAAGCCGCCCCCACAGCCGTATGCGCCATATCAAGGCGCTGGTAGTCCGGGAGCGCAGTCACCTTTCGCGCAGCCGCCGGCCAAGCGACCGCGACTATCGCCAGACCCTCGATCACCCGCCGGCGGGAATGCCATGTATGCGCAATCGCCGATGCAATATTCAAATCCATATGGACCGCAGTCAGCCTCGCCTCTGCCATACAGTCCACAGTCGTACGCTGGTTCTCCGCATAGCTCTTTCAATACGCCGCAACCCTACTCGCCGCAAGTACAATGGCCAGCGCCTCCGCAGCAGCCTCAGCAAAGGCCGTCACAGATAAGTCCGCCTCCTCCGTCAAGCTCGAACTCCATGCCTCCTCCGCCGAGGCCCAACAAGGAAGACAAGGATGAGCGCATGGGCGTGGAGGACATCGGCGACAGTCTGTTCGGCAGTGGTATCAACCTGAAAGACGAGGAGAATTATCTGCACAGCACGTGGAACAATAGGCATTCGCAAAATGAGAGCTTCAACACGAACCAGACGACATCGTTTGGTTCGAGTACGATGAGCCCAAACAACAGCTTCAACCTGCTGACTCAAGGCACATCATTTGGTAGTGCAGGACAGCATGGCGCGTTTGCAGGGTCGATGGGCCAGCCACGATCGCAGGAGGATATCGAGAATGAGCTGAAGAGGAAGCGCGAGCATGCCGCTCGAAAAAGAGCCGAGAAGGACCAGTTCCATCTCAACAATCAGTTTCTCTTGACGAACTGTCTACGGCATCGCATGCACCAACGAGCCGCTCAGGAAAGTGTCCGTCTGAATGTCGAGGGTGTCTACGTCAGGAATCCAGAACCGGACCGAGTACAGACGATGGTTAATGCAAATGGTTCAGAAGGCATTGTTGCAGTCAGTAAGCCGGAGGCAATGATTGAGCAGGGTTCTGTCTATGAACACATTTTAACACTCGTGAGCTTGGCATCAGCCGAAAGACTGAGAGGCTTGGTCGACGAGGCATATGGTTTAGCACGCGCCCGAAGGCACGGCGACCATGGGCGCGTCGTGCCACCAGACTTTGCCGACATCGCGACTGGCGAGGGTCAGCAGAGCCAGGAGACAGTAATTCCAGAGAGCGTCACTGCATCGCAGTGGGATAGACCCCGAGAAAACGGCACAGACACTGTCAACGGTACATCACATGCCAATGGCGAGACTAGTACACCGACTCCGCAACCCCAGCCGACAATCTCATTCCAAGGCACACTCAACCATCGACTACGTGAAGTAGCCGAACGTGAGCGACAAGCAGAGAAGGAGCGACAGAAGAAGCGCGAAGCTCGGAAAAGAAAGGCCGAGAACGCAGCCGATGAGACTCCTGCAGCAACACCAGCAGAGGAGAAATCTGCTGAGCCTCTTGCTACAGCGGCGCCCGCCAAGGTGTCCAAGAAGGAGCAGAGCAAGAAGGCCAAAGAAGCTCAGGCCAGCACTGAAGCACAAGCTTTCAACCAGTCCAATCAGACTGCCGCCATGATGGCTCTTGGTGGAAAGAAGAACAGATATTCTTGGATGAGTGGAGGTGCGGCAAACATGCCCACCAACCGATTTGCCAAGCCGAGCAGTGGCACAGCGACACCGAAAGCAGCTGAGCCAGTCAAAACCTCAATAGATGCCGTCAAGAAGGATGAAGAAAAGAAGAAGCTACCGACTTGGGGCGATTGGCGCGAGGATGACATCCACGGCAAGGGAATCCAGCTGAGAGATTGGATACTTGTGCTGGAAAGGGACGGCCGGGAGAAGAAGGCCCTGCAGAAAGCTGTCAACAAGTTGTCTTAGATAGACATTTTCGGCAGTCGATGGCAATTTGGCCGTTTCCGATGATGGGGCAGGCTTTCTGCATTCAAGTATGTATTGTTTTGCGAGAATGAGACCCAGAGACTTGAGATATGGGAGGTACACTCTGGGATAGCACTTCAGCGACGGCGTTCCTGGAGAGGCAATTGGAGCACAGCATTTTGAAGCTCCCTCGTTGTTGTGAGTCCAAAACCTGGTGGGAAAAGTGTGCTACTACGACACCAGATATTCTTCGAAGAGAATAATGAAATTGAAAAAGGCGAAAGCACTGGATGGTATTCACGTTGTCCATCATCCATGATCCTGGTCTGGTAATAGCGTATTTGCCGAGACCGTGTCAGGTCGTGCAACTGCAATGCTCTGAACTCTGGACCACAAGCTCTCACCGCTGAACGTGATAAAGCAACGCGGATAGTCGCAGCAATGAAATCGCACGTCGCACGTTTCGGACACACTCTCGCTACACCGACTCGTGGCTTGATACAGCACGTCCACGTTATTGCATCACCGTCGCTTGGCTTTGTTTAGAACGTCCATTCCACACCTGTAAACAACGGACCAAACCTCACGTGTTCTGTTCTGTCTACCTACCTTAGTACATACATACACACACACACGCCTCACAACCTAATTAGCTCGCTGCATCGAACAAACAAAATCAGTACAAACAGTACATATCACCAGTGTAAGTAGTACAAAGCTCCACCGTCGAGCCCACGATATCTACCTCGAACGCGACCAGCCCTTCCCATCTCGAAGGACCACAGAACTAACCCTCCCCAGACTCACATCCTCTCACCCAAAATGCGCTCCCTCGCCCTCCTCGCCCTAACAATGGGCCTCACCCTCACCTCCGCAGCCCCAAAACCCAACACCCTAGGCCCAACCCTCGACGAATTCCTCGCCGAATCCAACACCGCCACAACACTCGTCAAACGCAACATCATCACATCCAGACAACAAACCTCCAATCCTTCCCTTCCGGACGCAGGAGTCAAACTCTGCACCGAACCAGACTTCCAAGGCGAATGCTCGCACATCGAATGGCCGGTCAACACGTGCGTAGATTTGAGGGATTATGCGGGCGTGACGAAGTCTTTTCTTCCGGATGGGGGGTTTGAGTGTTTGTTGATGCAGGTAAGGAATCTTTTCACTTTGAGAGAGAGATAGGGGGCTTTAGGGACGAAGTAAAACTAATTATGTTTGGATTTTTTTTCTAGGGTCAATGTGATGCTACGATTCCATATATTGAGATTGGAGATTCTGATCATCAGGCTGGGAGTGATTTGACGAATTTGAGTTGGATTGAGGAGAGTAAGAGTTATATCTGCTTTACGGAGTTGAAGCAGATGAGGAGGTATGTGAAGATGGCGAGGTTGAGGGCGAAGATGAAGGTTGGTCAGTGAGTATCAGAATCGGGGGGGGATGAGGGGACGGCATGCATGCTGCGTAATTTGTAATTTGCATGATGGAAGGGCAGTGGAGAAGCATTCGAGAAGGTCAGAGGGAATGTTCTGCTTTGCTGCTATCTAAGCATATTGCTCCTGCTATCAGAGCTGAGAGCAAGCTGGAGTCATACCTAGGACTCTAGCTTTTCGTAGGTCAATCATGAAAATTACCAGTCCAAACGCCATCCTCCCACGCCTAAAGATCCCATTGCCTCATTACCCATGTCCGTGTCGCATAATCTCGTCATCTCGTGTCGTCGCTTCTACTTTGGAAAGTTCATCTTGGTGGACTGGATTGTAACAGCGTAGAAGGGCCGCCATTGGTGTGGTCGAGCGCTGCACCTGTCGTGCGCTGGAAGATCGCATGACTGACCGGCACATTCTTGCTGCCGACATCCAGCATATAGCCAACCCTCTCGAATTCTGCAAAATTCTTCAAGAATCGTGACACCCACTCCAGCTTCTGTGGCCTGCTGCTCTCATGGTAGAAGTTGATGAGGATGTTCTTGACCAGACGTGACGGTCTTGCAGTTCCAAATTCCAAGTCCTCATCAGCCACCCTATAGCCGCCGCGCTCGAGATAGTCTGGGTCGAGAAGCGCGAGTAGCTTATCCAAGAGACATTTAGCAACGCCGCGCATGAGAGCATCCTTATGAACGTATACTTCTACCTCGACTGTGTAGCGGAACTGGTTGCCTTGCGGTCCATAGAGATCATTGGCGAAGGCGAAGCCAACGATCTTGTCGGGAAGGATGATGTCTTCTTGATGCTTGCGACGGGCCTTCTGGATGCCCCCCTTCTCGCAGATGACCAGGAAAGGTAACTTGCTTGCTCGGATCTCTTCGTACTTCTTCATCATGTCTTTGGTGGAGACGCGCTCAGTCTCGTAGGCGGCACACGTGAAGTCGACATAATAATTGTAGAGATCTCTAACTTCTCCCATGTCGGCTGCTGTTGCAGATCGTACGAAAAGCTTGAGATTTGTCGAGATCTTGCTGAGCTGTTCCGGTGAGACGCCATGGTTCGCCACCTTCGCTGCGGTGACTTTCTTGAACTTCTCATCTTTGCGTTTCTGATTCTCACGCGAGCTTTTCATCTTGGCGAGCTCAAAGCGCTTCCTGTTCTCGGCGTGTCTGTCGCTACCGCGATCACTCTCACGTTTCAGTCGCTCTTCCTTCGTCTCCCTGGGATCGATGCCTGCAATCGACGGCTGCGGAATGTTTGGAAGGAATTGGCCACCCTTAACAACCAGTTCCCACCACGGCCGCGCTCCTTCGAGGTCTTCTGGATCTTCCGGGGGAGGAGCAGATGACTTGAGAATCTCTTCGTGCCAGAATGTCTGCGGAGGTTGTCGACCCCACGATGCTGGGATCCAGTAGTGCGGAATGATGTCGCCCATCTGCACGTAAGTCACATCGTGTGAGCGATTCTCAGGCTCTCCAAACACGTATGTGATGCCATCGACCGTGGAGAGCTCATCGAGAGCAGGCCTGGCTTGCCGTTCACGGAGCGCTTCTTCGACAGTAGTGCCAGCCTCAAGCTTGCGAATGCGCACAGCGTTCTCTGTACAGCCGAGCCATTGTTCGATCTGAGCTGCAGACTGGTCGGCGCGAAAGGCAGGTCGTGAGTCCCAGTCACAAGGCGCCGGCGCCCAGTTGCCCTGCCAATCGGTGAGTGCCCAGGCAGCTTCGGCCACAGCACGCTTCTTTCCATTGCCACCAAAGCCAGCATCTGCGCGAGCGGAGTCGACGGAAATTGACTTATTGGACTCGCCGGCCCAGCCCGTGGGTTGAGGGTCGTTGTACTTTCCAGCCCAGTCCGGCTCCCATCGATCCGGATCTCCTTTGGAGATGTCCTTGTTGTGCGCCCAAGCACCATTACCGGATCTCGAAGCTTTCTTTGCAGCATTGAGATCGTCGCGAGCGCGGCCTTTTGGGTGGAAGTTGTGGCCGCGTCGAGTGTTGCGATTTGAGCCAGCGATGCTGTTCTTGCCGTTTCCACCCCCTCGGCCACGATAGACGGGAGCATCATCGTCTTCCGGCTCCGACACGGCAGGCTTTGGCTGGCTGACGGAAACACCACACTTCGACAGCTTGTCTGTGATAGTCTGTGGTTCTGAAGCGGCTGGAGCCGTAGTCGACTGCGGAGCCGTAGCTTTTGGTCGGAGATGAGGGGGAATTGCCATTGCGTGCTGTGGAGGCGGCGGTGGCGGCAACTTGGTGAGAAATGTGGTTGGAGGGAGCGTCGATGTCTGTGTGGCAGGAATGAAATAGTTGGACAGCGAGTCTGAGCTGTCGAGAGTCCTCGGCTGCGTTAGTGGGGCGCCTTCCTCTTCTGCGTCAAACGGCAGCTTCAAGTCCGCGACGCTGTCCGTGCGAGCAAGAAACGTGTTCTGCTTCCAGTTTGGTCGGTTGCGATGCTTCTTCGTCGAGCCCACTGTGCCGTTTTGCGTAAGCCAGGCGCCATCGCCAGGCTGGGCATCCTTCAACAAGAAAGTGGCCATTTTGATTGACGTGAGCGGATTGTGTATGCTCAGGCGATGATACTCGAGTGCAATGAGACTTCAACGAGGGATCGAGTCTTGTGCACTACTTTGCACGCCTGGAGACAGGCCTTATGCGTTCCTAGCACGTGATCAGTGTCTACTCCAGGCCTCATTTCTTGCCTTTTCAGACTCTTACCGTCAAAGGAAGTGCGACACCTCGCAAAATGCTGTCGATCCTCCGGAAAGCTCGTCTCAAAGACAAGGAGATGAGGATTCTGATGCTGTGAGTGTTGCGCCTTGCCGACTGGAGGTGCTGGTGGCTAAGAAGATTAGTGGACTGGACAATGCTGGAAAGACCACGATCGTGAAGAAGATCATGAAGGAGAATGTCAATGAAGTCAGTCCGACGCTGGGTTTTATCATCAAGACAATCGACTATGAGGGGTAACGCTAACATGTGATCTGGCAGTGAGTGATGCTAACGAAGTGAAAGGTACAAATTGAATATCTGTAAGATCTCCTGCTGCTCACATAGGCATCGATCGCCAACTGAGTGATTCTCAGGGGATGTCGGTGGCCAGAAGACGCTCCGGACATACTGGAAGAACTACTTCGAGAAGACAGACACGCTGATATGGGTGGTTGATGCCACCGACAAAGAGCGACTGTCCGACTGTCGACAAGAGCTGAAGGGTCTTCTGCTGCAAGAAGTCTGACAGTCCCTTTTCATTTGCCACGAGTCCTCACTGACGCTTTTCAGCGCCTCATGGGTGCCTCGTTGCTAGTCTTCAAGAACAAGAGTGATGTCCCCGGCTGTCTGAGTGAAGACGACATTCGAGAGGTGAGCTCCTTTTCACTCGTCTGTGGTCGGCGCTCGGCTATTTGCGCCCAAAACAGATCAACTTACCTAAGCCGTGCAGGGCTTGCAACTCGACAGCATCCAGACGCACAAATGGCATATCCTACCCTGTTCCGCGATCACGGGCATGAATCTTCAAGAAGGGCTGCAATGGGTTGTCCAAGATGCGAAAGATCGCCTCTTTCTGTACTGATGGAGTGATGGAAGTAATGAACGTCCTGCCTTCGTCCATCCTCGATCTACAAGGCGGATATTGGGTTCTGCCATGCACGTATCGGGCCTGGTGGCACCACGGCACATGCTATGCACGCTATCGCTACACAGAAAGCCGGTTTGATGAGGAGTGCTTATTACAGATGCTCGCACGCATCCAAGGTGAGGGCCAGCAATTGTGACTACACTTTGAACCACCTGCATGCTATGCTACAGCAGATAAGCCATGCAGAGCAGAAAGGGACAGATCATAAACATGGCGGCAGCAGCATTCCAGCTTGAGAGGAATTGCGGAGCAGGCGCCGCGTGGGAAGGGAGATGGAGAGTCGCGTAGAAAGTGTATTATTTACCACATTTCCACCCATCTTCTACGCGCCGCTGAAGACTTCGTTCTGTGCTTCATTCAGACGGCAGCCTCTCGTTGATTCCATTCTAGTGTTGTTTAAGTCTTTGTGGTTTCAGCTTGCCACGGAACCGCTGCTCGCGGCAGAGGGCTGCAAGCGACACCCGCAGAGCGCATCCCTGTATGTTGGCATAATAAGTCCACAGTCCACGATGGCTGTTGACGGCGAAGCCACCTCGAAAGGCCCTGCTTTAGGGAGCGACGCGACTTCTTGGGCCAAACGCGAACAGCAGCTCAGCGAGAGCGAGTTGGAACCCGCGGCATTCTTGAAATCTGTGAGGGAGTTGTCTGAGAAGCGAGAAAGGGAGGACGCCGAGCGCTTTCGCAAATTGGAAGAAGAGGTGCAGAAAGGGCGTCAGGAACGAGCAGCCCGGCGAGCGGGTGAGTGCAATGCCATGCCACGTGTGCCATGTTCATGTTCATGTTCTGGTGCATTGATTGTTTTTGTGGGTTGCTATGCGGGACACTTCTCTGTTCCACGAAGTCGCAGCATCCAACAACACTCCACTTCGAAGGCGCAAGGGCTGCACTGACAGTGTAATTTTTCTTTAGAGCGAGCCCGATCTATATCGCCCGAAAAACAGCAAGTAGCTACGCCACAGAGTACTCCGATCCCGCGAAACACGCCCAATGCCTCGCTGCCGCCGATACAGATGACCCCTCCCTCGACTCCTGGAGTGGCAGCGGCAGCAATGACAGCGCCGCAGAGGGACAGCGCCAGTATGGAGCCAGAGAAGAAACCAGCGGAGAGCGTGCCCGAGTTCAGAGGGTTTGGCAGCATCAAGCGCAGCAGCACCACGGCATCGAACACGTCACGCAGCTCAACGCCTCCTCCTCCTCCTCACAAGAGTGTCGAAGATGCACCCACGACTACGGCGACAGGACTCGCGCGATCGGGCACTTTGACGTGGAATAGAAGGCCGCGATCGCAAATTGGTGGAAGTAGGCCACAGTCTCAGCTAGTGGGAAGCCGACCGCAGTCTCAAGCCGGCAGCAGACCGCAATCAATCGTGGCATCAAAACCAGACAGCAGCTCGGCGCAAGAGAAGAGTGCAAGAGGCGATGGGCTAGAGCCAAGCCGAGAGCAGATTGCAGCATCTTTGGGCGCACGCGACCCGACTTGGTTCAGACAAACAGCAGATAGGGGAGCTGGCAACGCTGCTTTCAGGAAGAGCAAAGACGAAGCGCAGCCCAACGAAGCCACGCCGGTTGGGCGCAGAGGCCTGCCCGGAATGTCTCGAGAGTCAACGATAGAGCCCGATCCTCAGATCAGCCCGGACACATCCGACAGCATGAAATCAGACTTCATGTCACGAGCAGGATCGGTGCGTGGCAGTGTCATGTCTGCTGGCAGCAGATACTCCGCGACCTCCACAAGCAGTGGCAAGCCAGACCTGAAGGCACTTCTAGCTGAAGATGAGGCCCAGCAACGCGCTTCTCCCACTTTCGATCAAGCCTCCGTGGCCAGCAATGAATCCTCTGGCCTTGCGCGAATGTTGACCATGTCCAGCTCCCAGGCACGGCTAGCGAATGTGCATGACAGACCAGTGTCTCCTACGAAAGGCATGGGCGGCTTTGTGCAAAGTGCAATGATGAAGAGAACCGACAGTCAAACAAAGCGCTGGTCAGCACAGCCCGCTACGAGCCTGAGCAGGCAGAACTCCACTGCAAGCGGGCATGATGGGCTTCAAGCGTCGCAAAGCATGCCGAAACTTGAGTCCGCTGCTGGAATCAAAGAGCCAGCAGTCGATCCAGCGAGGCCTGCAAGCTCGAGCAACGATCTCACAAAGCTAGTCACTGGGCAAGGCAGTGATGGCTTCATTAAACCAGCACTGCCGTCGCATGGGAGGAGCAAATCGACGGCGTCCAACCACAGTGCGATGGATGATACACTGACTTCACCGGGAAGTCCGTCGAAGCGCTTCAGAAGTCCGACAAAGTCGAGCTGGATAGAAAGCTCGCTGACTAGACCGGAGTCGCCAAAGCCGGTATCTGCAAAGAATACTCAACCCAGTTGGATGGCTGACCTTGCGAGCCGAAATGCACAGCGGGCTAGCCAGGAATCCACACCGCTTGCTGCCGCGCCCAAGCCAGCAGAGAATCAAGGTTCAAGGCCCGCCTCGCCTGTCAAACAAACACCATTCGGACAACAGATCTTGAGACGGTCAGACTCGAGAGATCTCCCTACCACACCCGCGTCTACCACACCGTCAAACAAGCTGAAGCCGTTACGTCTTGCGGATAACTTCGATGTATCTCCTGCAGCAACGCCGAAGTCAACAAGAGCTGAGACAGCGGACAAGTCTGAACAGGACCCGAAATCAGATGTGCAGATTGATAGCGCGACCAAGGCCTCGTCATTGTCTCCGAAAGATGAGCCCCAGGTAGTTTCTAAGAGTGCCGAGAAGGAGACTGAGCGTACAATGGCTCCACCAACGCGCGATGAGTCGAGGTCACCGGCTCCGTCTCCCTCACAGACACCTGCCACGCCTGAGTCCCAGCTATCGCGCAATCGGTCGAAGAACTTCAAGTCGCCGCCTCCTCCCGCGCAAGCCAAGCCATCCTTGGATGGAGCACCCAAAATGCCAACGGACTTCCGTAGTCAGCTGAAATCAAGAGCGCCGCCAGCAGCCAAGCCGAGTGAAGAGCCCGAATTTTTGGCCAAGTTCGGACAGCTTCGAAAAGCGCACACGGAAAAGTATGTCGCGCCGGATATTCTTAAGGCTAATATCTTGCGAGGCAAAGGCGATTTGACCCGGACTGGCGGCCCTATCAAGACGGAAAGGCGCGATGAGCTAAAGGAAAGCTTGCTGGCGAAGAAAGACGACATGAAAAAAGCCAAGGAGGAAGGGCGCGATCTTCCCGGACAGGCGCACGAGAGAAAGATCAGTACCGAGCAGCCTAAACCACCAGTTAAGCCCGAAGCTCTTGCACGAAGGGAGCTGCTTGGTAGATCTGATAGTGCACGCTCTGCGGGCATGCAGTCAGAAAGAATACGGGAAGGCACCCCAGAAGCTCTTGCCAGGCACAAGAGCCTGAAGTCGAGAGAGCTCCCGCCAAAGACCAGCCCTAAGCCGTCTCCAAAAGAGTTCCAGAAGGAGTTCTCGAAATCTGCCTTGACGAAAGATCTCGAGTCTGGTGCGCCGGTCAAAGAGAGCACATCTGTGGTAGACTCTAAGGCGCCATCTAAGTCCACTACAACCAAGGAGAGTGAACCCACGCCGGCTGAGAAGCCGGTTGAGAAGTCTGCGGTACAAGAGCCAAAGCTGGAGTCTCTGATCAGGCAGACGAGCTTATCAAGCACGAGTGAGACCAAGCCCGCGAGAGAGACTTCCAAACTAGCTGCTCGCTTCAATCCTGGTCTGGCTAGCATGCTTGCACGTGGGCCGCCGTCTCAACCGCCGTCGAGGTCAGAAACACCTGTGGCTGCTGGTCAAGCTTTCTCGCCTCCTCAAAATGCAGCAAGCGAACCTCCTGCCCCTGAGGCGCCTCTCCACGACATAAGAAAAGATCGCGCTAAAGGTCCGAAGCGTCGCAAAGGTGCTACCAAGCAGGATACAACAACTGTCAGCCTGGCTGCTACTCCTGATGCACCGAAGAAAATCGGTGAGAAGCCAACGGCTGAACCATCGCGACCACAGACGCCACCTCATGACCAAGATCGGAATGCTGTACAACCAAAGGCCTCCGCACCGCCAGGCTCTATAGCCTCTCTCATGAATGCATCTCTAAACCAGTCGCCGCGACCGCTCAGTTTCGGTCCGTACGGAGAGGAAGATGCAGCCGATCCACCGGCAACTCCAGGTCCTCCAGCTACCAAATCCCATCAGGTGGACAGCCCTCCTTTGCGGTCACCATCATTCAAGAAGCCGAAAGGCGCCCGAGCCCTTCCAGGTTCCCGGGACTCGCTGATGAAAGCGTCAACTGAGAAGCTCTCGGCAGAAACCAAGCCCGTTCAGAATGATGTGACGGCTGCTGCCGGCGCATCTGTCAAGCCTAAGACACCCGCCAAAGCTCCCGCACCGGTCAACCGCTCGCCTGCGACTGGCTCAGCGGTCACCGTTCGCGAGACTTCCACCGCTGTGCCTGAGTTCAAGGGCTTCGGCGCGTCAAGGGCGCACAAGGCTACTCAACCCAACGATGAGGACAAGGAGAATAGCAGTCTCCCTTCTGTGAAGGCAGCTACCTCGATTTGGAGTCGAAGACCTTCGCCGCAAAAGGCAGAAGCGCCGCCAAAGATCCAGCTTCCTACCAAGAAGGACGAGGAAGCTGCAATGAGATCAGCGGGACTGCTCGCAGCAAGTCCGAAGCCAGGCCTTGGCATCTCAGTCGATCCCACACCAGTTTCTGCTGGTGCACCACCCAAGCCCTTGAAGTCCAGCCGTTCGGTCAGTGGTCTGCTTGGAGAGGCCTCCCCGAACAAAGGTACGTGATCATACAACATGTGCCTCCTGAAAATGTACCTAGGTACTCTTTGCTCTTTGTCTGACAATTCTGACCAATACCCGTGCAGTCTCAAACCCCTGCTAGTCGTGGATACTGATTGATGCCAAGGTGATACTCCTCCAAGTCCGGACGAACCACCTAAGACAGAAGCTGGAAGATTGTTGGTGTACCATTTCAAGCAAGTGCCTCGCCATCGGGAGCCGTTGAGTTTAGACACTTCCGCCATCGTTACCAGAAGTGATCAATACATTCAAGCTGAGCCGTTGAAGACACTGCGAAGGAATGTGGCCCTATGTTTTCCAGATGGATCATCAAAAGTGCTCTCCCCGCAGCAAGAGTACACATTCTATGATGAGGCGGTCTTCCTGTGCACACACTTCTTTGTCAATGCGAAGGGCAGTAAAACAACACACGTGTATCTCTGGGCCGGCGCTTCGGCATTCGAGACCACAGTTGAAGCGGCAAACATCAATGCTAAGCGCATCGCACGTGAGCATGGCTCTGCACCGATATCTATCGTGAGACAGGGCCAGGAGCCGTCTACGCTTCTTGAAGCACTGGGTGGCATCCTGATCACTCGGCGCGGATCTCCCGAGACTGCACCAAAACAGTTTATGCTTTGCGGTCGCAAGCACGTGGGTCACATCGTGTTCGATGAAGTCGACTTTAGCATCGAATCTCTGTGTGCCGGATTTGCATACCTCATATCTTATCCAGTCACACTGCAAGAGACGAAGCTCTATCTATGGAAAGGTTCGGCCTGCTCGACGGAAGAACTTTGCGGAGCCAGACTAGCTGCCATGGACCTGAGTGAAACTGGAGAAATTATTGAGGTGGATGGCGGAGTGGAGTTTCCATCCTTTCTAAAGATCTTTGGCGCGAATACCAAGAAGTGGAACGTGCCAAAGCCTTCTGTGTTCTGGCAACAGAAGGCAGCAGCGCCAGACAAATTCCACAACAGGCTTATGAAAATCGGCCAAGCAGAAACTTCTACCGGCCTTCTCAGTGCGCTTTGGAACCGACGGCCGAGCTGGAACAGCTTGTCACCTGCTCGATCTCCTTCAACACCAAAGGAAGCGGTCAAAGTCGAGGTCAGAGACCTTGTCCCATTCGCGCAATCACAACTCGAGGCAGAAGGTCTTTACCTGCTCGATGGTCACTGCGAGCTTTACTTGCTGGTCGGACCTCTATTCGCTTCACAGCCACCGAATACTCGTAACAAGATTCTCGGTCAAGCATTACTGTTCGCCTCCGATTATGCCGTTATGTCGGCCTCAATGGAGGAGCGAGTTTCCATACCAAAATGTTGGGTAGTCTTTGCTGGCGTACCTCGCGATGTCAAGATGTTGTTCAGGCATTGGGATGACAGCCAAGGACTTTGGGGAACGGCCAGTCTACTGGCAGGAGAAAGAGCTAGTTCAGGGAGAGAAGTCAATGCATTGGAACTTGAAGAGGTTTTGAACGAGGTCTGCCGGGACAACACTGACCTCGAATTGACGGTCTAGGTGCGAATTTTGCGGAATTCTGAGCGTTCTCGCACATGCATAGATTCAAGGCGCTTAGAAGTGACCAGACTTATTGTAGACGAATCCCAATGCGGTCGTGGAAAACGCATCGCTTGGCTGTCTCTGATTCAATGTAACACTTACTCTTGTGTTCAAGGCATCACTCCCACCGAATGTGTACAACTCGGGCGTTGTCGCAGATGGCAGCACAGCCTCACCGCAGTGCTCTGTAGCGGACATCGATCTGAAGAATTCCAAGCCTAGCCTCTGGTGCTCTGTTCGACCACACTACAACATCAAGCCCATCCATCAAACATCAATCGCATCTGCCATTTCCTCATGCGCCGACAGAGAACGACATCCATGGGCACGAGGGATGCGAGGATACGCGACATGGTATTCCAGTCCCAAGGCAACCTCGAACGTCACAATCGTTGCACTTGGTAAGAGTACGGAGGATTTCGCATATGTACCAGAGGAGAAGGGCGAGGATGGAGAGAAGGCAAGGTAGTTGTCTGTAGGAACGACCAAGTAAGAGAAAGAGAGGCAAATTATGATCAGACCACAAGATCTTTTAGAACATATCCCTAGAGAAGAAAGATTTTTTTCCCAAAGCAGCTCTCTAGTATACATCTCAGTCAAATGCAAAAATCCCGTGCCACTTCCGCATTTGACTCGAATGGACTCCTTGATAAAGAGAAGCCTCAGAAGAAGACTTCCCACCATCCATTCATTACTTAGGATTTTTTTTTGTTTCGTTTCAGTTTTCCATTTCCCGTGAACCAGTTGTGAGACTTTAGACCGTTGCCATGCCATTTGAAGCTGTCGGATGGAAGAGCAGTATCGATCCTCCTCGCTCTATAGTCGTCGCCACCTTTCCCTTGTCGTTGCGGTGTCGTGTCGCCCATCCTTCACTCAGCTGCTTTCTGCATTTACTGGAGGTTGCAGGCTCCGTAGATTGGAGCAGCTCCACCCTGGAGAGTGCATGCACCGTAGATTGGTGCGGCACCACCTTGCAGAGTGCAGGCGCCGTAGATAGGAGCAGCACCTCCCTGAAGAGTGCAGGCGCCGTAGATAGGAGCAGCACCCTTTTGGAGAGTGCAGGCACCGTAGATAGGAGCAGCACCCTTTTGGAGAGTGCAAGCACCGTAGATTGGAGCAGCGCCGCCCATTTTGATTGATTTGGTGGATTGTTGGGTTGGGGTTTGGAGTAGCGAGTGTGGTAGTGGTCTGTAGGAGTGCTGGTACAGAGAGAAGATCTGACTTGAGGCTCTTTGCGGGTTGTTTAAGTATTGCTCTGGGTCGTGTGGTCGATGTCGTAATGTCGTTATGCTTTCGTTGGTGGTCTCTTGGTTGTTGGTTCTGAGGAAGAAAGAAAAGGCCTCGGTGGAAATTGGCAAAGTCGGAGGCATAGAGGTCTAGACATACAATCGGCAGATCCGAAATCGTCCTTAGTATTGTTGTCGGTCGCCATCACGTTCGTGGTAGGTGAAGTTGTGCTTTGTTCTTGGCGTTAGTATTGTTCTTCAGCACAATGCTTGGCAGCCAACGAGCTGATCCAGTTCACAGAACAATGCTTCTCGGCAGTAGCACGAGAAGGAAAGAGGCGGATGGAAGGTCTTGTGCTTTGAGAGTGGTCTTGTGGTGGTGAAGGGCGCCGGCTCAAAGGCACTTGCAACCATTCACGCGGCTATCAACGCCACGTGGAAGAGCGAACTGTTGACTGCCACGCGAAAGATCTCCAGTACTTGTCACACCCTTTGTCGACCCGTGAGCATCGTAGTGCATCGGTTGGGCAACAAGGACAAATGGTCGTTCCATCCCAGAACAGGTCCCCAAGACATCAAGGCCGAGACCTCTTTGAGCTTTGTCGATTTGGGAGAAGCCATTGCCGTTGCTGAAGACGCGGATGCATTTCGTATGCAGGCATGGTGGTCGCCATCGTTTTCCAATGCACAGCAGCAGTTTGAACAAGCATTTTACAGACCGCCCTTTCCCTTCATCATAGCTCTGTACCGCTCAATGACCTCCTTTCGCGCCTCACCCAGCTCTTCTCTCCTCTTCAGACTGCCACTCTTGCCCGGAACATTTGCCACTTCAATTTTGGCGCCATCCCGGACCTTGAACTTTTCCTTCGGCACAACCTTGAGCTCAGGCGGCGCTTGAACCACATCATGTAGGCCTTTGGGCGCCTCACGCTTAGCCTTCAACACTGCCCAAGGGTCTTCATTGTCTCCAGCCTCAGTCAGCATCCTCTTCCGTCTCGCCTTTTTGCCTTCTGGCTCCAAATTCATGGACTGGCCACCATACTCTGTGTGCAGCTCCTCGTCGCGCTCTTCCTGCTCCTCCTGAAATTCTTCTTCCCGCTCTTTACGTTTCGCGTCTTGCTCGCGCCACTCAGCATACATACGATGTAGCCGCTTCTCAGTCTTGGTCTGACGCTGTTTCTCGCCTTCGACTGCCTTTCCTTTCCGCGAGAGGCCACCCACAGGGAGAGCTTGATTCACGCGAGCTGCAAACTCGTTGAGACGCTCACCAGGCAGAATCTTGAGCTTTTCGGTGCCTTCAGACTGCGGAGCTGAGGTCATTATCTCTTGTCCTGCCGTCTGTCGCGATTTCTTCTTAGACTTGCGTGCTCCATCATCTAATCCAGATCGCTGCCTTTGACCTCCCTGAATCGCCATGAGACGAGCGAATGCGCGCGGAGTGTCATCCCCCTTGTAGCTTCCTGACGTACTTTTTTGGGGTTTCTGAAGCTGTGCCTTGGGTTTCGGACCTTTGTGGTGCTTCTTTTCGATTTTTTCGTAGGCGTTCAGAGGTTTTGCGACTTTGGACGGAGGGAGATCAAAACTGGATGAAAGTCAGCGAAAACCGCACGTCTGAATCGCATCATGTCATACTGCTTGTCGTCGCCATCGCGTTTTCGCTTGTGCTTGTGAGGCATTTTGAACGTGATTTGCGATGAGTTGTGCTGAATCTGAAGTCTGAGATCTTCCCCACGAATCACACTGCCAAGCACTTTCACATGCCGACTTCGAGCACTTTGCGACAACACCTCTATCTTCACAGCAACATACGTCAAAATGCCACCGCCGTCCAAAACAGGTCGGAGCCTGACCAAGCAGCCAGTGCGACCTGCGCGATACTTTCCCGGAAAACAGGTCGGCGAAGATCCTGTCTCGGAAGAGGATTCGGACGAAGAAGAGGAAGAAGAAGAACAGCAAGCAGCACCTAAAGAGGCAGCACCTAAATTCTCGTCATTTCCGAAGAAATTAGCGATTGATGCCAGACCGGCAGTAGCAGTCCCAAAAGCCCCAGAAGCGAAAGCCCCAGATCTAGAAGGTTTCGAGACAGCGTCGGAATCATCAGATGGCGAGCAAGACGGCAGTGGGTCGGAGGAAGAGGAGAGCTCCGATGAAGAGGACAGTAGCTCGGACGACGAGCCTAAGCGACCTATGTTAGCGCCCAAATTTATCTCCAAATCGAAACGAGCACAACAGACTGCGCCGACAGTGTCAGAGGAACAGAAGGCGGAAGAGGAAGAACGAAGACGGAAGGAAAAGGCAGATGAGCTGCTACAAGCACAAATCGAGCGAGAACAGGCTGCAAGAGCGGCAGGCAAGAAGTTTTGGGACGATGACGATGCTGTGGACGAGGTCGATGATCGAGACGGCACAGATCCAGAGGCAGAGCGCGCAGCCTGGAAACTGCGCGAGCTCAAGCGCGTGAAGCGAGATCGCCAAGCCCTGATCGCGAAGGAGCACGAACGAGAAGAGGTCGAGCGACGACGGAACATGACTGCTGAAGAGCGCGAGAAGGAGGATCGCGAGTTCCTTGAAAAGCAGCAAGAAGACCAGGAGGGCAAGGGCAAGATGAATTACATGCAGAAGTACTTCCATAAGGGAGCATTCTTTGGCACAGATGGCGAGGAACAAGACGAGGAAGTGAAGGCTGCCTTGAATCGTGATGTCGCTGGGAGGAGATTTGTGGATGAGGCTAGCGACAAAAGCGTGTTGCCGGAGTACATGAAGATTAGAGACGCGACGAGACTAGGCAAGAAAGGTCGGACGCGATATAAGGATCTCAAGAGTGAGGACACGGGTAGCTGGGGAAGGTTCGAGGGCAAGAAGAGGGACTTCGACGGGGTTGATGAAAGATTCAGGCCGGATGAGAAGAGTGGTGCTGAGAGAACAGGTGCCAATATGGCGCCTGTTGGTGAGCGGAGGCGGAGAGATGATGAAGGTGGTAGGGAGGAGAAGAGGCCAAGATACGACTGAGATTTCTATTCCGCACGGCGTCGCTGAGCCAGGACGTTCGTGCTCTCCCGATGAATCACTCTGCAACGCGTGCAGTCTCGTGATTTTTGAGACGCTCTACGCACGTTCACTCGACTCTTCAGATCGCTGGTAAGGGGAGTTTCGACCGAGTCTTGGAGCACATGGAAATGGCGGCCGTCACTCCAATCTTTGACGCCTCTATCCGCTCTTTCTGCGATACCAGTCGCGTAGATGTGCTCTCTCCGCAGAGCTGACGCGTTCGCTGATACATGGCCTGTTCGGAGGCTCCTACAACAGTTGTAGGCATATACTCCGTTTGCGGTGAGGCACTGCGAACATAGGATCCGCCGCTTTCCTATGAGCGACTACGACGAGATCTTGGGCCAATAATTTCTGGCAGCAACCGAAGACTCAGGATTTCCAAATTGCTGTTCGCATGGACACTGGGAGTATCCTATCATCATGCATTTCAGGTGCACGCAGTCCACGAAGAGTTCAAGCTCCACGACTGTCGTCTGAGATACTGCATCGTCACTAGCAATTGAGCTCCGCGATTGGCTGCTGCAGAATGTCGATCACTCTTCCGAATCTAATCTCACCTTCCACTGTTGGCAGTAAAGCCGGCTCAAGGAACATATAAGCTTGTTACACTCAAGCAATGAGGCAGCAAAAACTGACCGCGAGATAGTCGCGCAGCATTTAAATAGGATGACCGCACTGCCAAGCTGACCTTGATGGTCTCCCATTCCTTCCCCAACCACATCTGCTAAGCATGTATTCCTTCATCCTGCTAGCTCTGACGAGCATCCCCTCAACACATGCCTGGGGCTCCCTCGGCCACGAAACGATCGCGTACATAGCCTCCCACTACGTCCAATCCCACACAAAGACCTGGGCTCAAGGCATTCTTGGCGACACATCGAGAGACTATCTCGCCAATGTAGCGACTTGGGCAGATAGTTACAGATATACTGCTGCTGGGAAATTTTCTGCTCCGTTCCATTTTATTGATGCCGACGATAATCCGTAAGATAAGAACTCACTGAAGAGTGGGTGAGTTGCGAGCTGATTATGCAATATTAGGCCGAACTCGTGTAGTGTCGATTATGATCGAGATTGTGGTAAAAACGGGTGCTCGATCAGTGCAATTGCCAATTACACGACACGGGTACAGTCGACGAGTTTATCGGACACGGAGGTGAATTATGCTTTGAGGTTTTTGGTGCATTTCATTGGGGATATTACTCAGCCGTTGCATGATGAGGCGTATGAGGTTGGAGGTAATGATGTTGATGTGACATTCAATGGTACAGATACCGTAAGCTCCGGTTCGGTTTCTCATTCGTGCTTGAGCTGACAATATTACAGAACCTCCATCATATATGGGATACCAACATGCCGGAACAACTTCGTGGAGGTTACTCTCTGTCGGACGCCTCAGACTGGGCCAATGATCTGATCTCAGCAATCGACTCCGGAACGTACTCTTCTCAGAAGTCGTCCTGGATCTTAGGTCTCGACGTTTCGGATCCGAAAGGCACAGCGATGAAATGGGCCACTGACGCCAATACATTTGTATGCTCGAAAGTCATGCCTAATGGTGCTTATGCTCTGGAGAACTCCAATGACTTGTATCCGGAATACTACAATGGCGTGATTGATACCATTGAACTCCAGGTTGCGAAGGCGGGGTATCGACTGGCGAAGTGGCTGGATGATATCGCTGCTAAGCAGAGCGTGAGCAAGAGGGCTGTGCATGGCGAGATGATTGTTGAAGAAGATTTGAGTGGTGCTCATTTGCTGCCACGGGGACCAATGAGTCGAGCGCAGAGGAGAAGAGAGGCGATGGGGTATACCTGCAAGCATTAATCATGTCAATGTAGACCATCATTGTGCTGCATTGGCCATCCAATCAGAAATGATACCCCAATATCGCTCTGGATCTTCTCGTGGAAGTCCGCAATGTGGTGCCTTCTCGAACACCTCTTCATGGACTTCCTTGAATCCTATTTTTCGAGCTTCAACGGCATGATCGTGACAGTCGATGGCGCTGACAATGGGATCTGCCTTTGAATACATGTACAGTCTCGGCACTGCTGGATCCCACAAGGCGCGGTCATCGAGACTGCGACCTCTCAGAAGTCCCGTTTTTGGAGCCGTTGCACGACCTGACGTGTTGGACGGTATTGCGTTGAGTCGTCTTCGCTCTCGTGTGAGCATATCTTCTCGTCGTAGCAGCCAACACAGGAATAGTCCAGAGTATATGTAAACACGAATAAGAAAACGACCAACAATTCGAACCAGCCAATTCGAAGGAAGAGAGTAAGATATGGCTGTAACGGCTTGCTCAGCACGGGGTCGTCCAGGTAGGCATTCGAAGACAACTTTGTTCCAGATTCTAGTTGGCTTCCGATCTCGACTGTTCCACAAGCTCAAAGCAAGATGTGTAGCTACGGTGCCGCCACCGTTGCTAAATGCATGTAGGTGGATGATACCTGACTTGTCGCCGTCGGCGTCAAAGGCGTCGAACTCGATAACATGCCTTGCCATTTCCAGACGCTTCACCATCTTGGCATCTGAAGCTGTCATGTCAATCATCGAAGATTGAATCAAGAGAATGGTAGCGAACGGAAAGAGCTTCTGATATCCCGCAGTGTATTTGGCAATGTGCTTCGGTGCCGCGGCCATCCAAGAGCAGATGACAATCAGGGTTGGTGTTCTTCCTGGTGCAGTGGCTCCTTCTGGTCGATATACAGAGATGGAATCCGAGAGAGGCCTGAAGCCTTCAATACCGCTAGGCTTCGGCATGGCTCTTGGCCAGGTGATAGTTCTATCTGGCTCTCGATGGGTCTGTACTGCTTCAATTGGAAGCCTTCCTAGACCCGTCTCTTGCAGGTCCTGCTTCAGGGTGATCGGTTGAAGAAATGCAGGGCTTCATTCACAGCCCTACGACAGGGGCGAGTAGTAAATCATCGCATCATGAGCTAGGTATAATCATTAGAAAAGTGGATGGAGATGCAGAAAGAAGCAGGTGGGCCTTGTCAGAAGCATAGCGCAGGCTGAACCCTGAATATACCACGGATCTAGCCGAAAGCTTAGATTAGATACAAGCTGCATGAAATTCTCTGGCAAACCTAACAAAGTAAGATACAATAATGTACACTGTACACACCGCATTCACCCCTCGCCCAAGATGAAGCGCAAGATCGGGGCCTTGGAGAAGGTCGACGCCGACTTGCCCAATTTGCAGCACAAAATCAAGTCCGACGCGAGCTCATACAAGGATGATTTTATGGGACAGTGGGAGCAGTACACGTCTATGCTGCAGATTTTCTTGCAATCGCCCACCACTACCGACGACAATGGCATAGTCCGCCTGCGTGACTTGATCGACTTCATATCTCATGTCTCCGACTGCTATCCGAGCATAACAAAGAACTTCCCGCAAGACTTGATATCCCTTCTCGAATTGCACCACGCCACTCTCGAAGCCGAATTGCGCGACAAGATCGTAGGCAGCCTGGTGTTGCTGCGTAAGAAAGAGATCATGGACTCGATCACTTTGCTGAACACATTATGGCCATTGCTTGTTTCTACACCTTCCAAGTCGTTGCGAGCTTTGCTCTTTCAAAAGATCGTGTCAGATCTGCGTACATCGAACAATAAGACCAAGAACCACAAGCTCAACCGGGCTGTCCAGACATTGTGCTACAATCTGATCGCTTCAGACCCAGCATCACCGAAGGGACTCTGGGCCGTCAAGCTTACGAGGGAGTTGTGGAAGCGGTCGGTGTGGACAGATGCAAAAGCGGTCAGCGTAATGGAAGCAGCAGCGCTCAGTCAAGATGCGAAGGTGGTGACAAGCGGTGTGCGGTTCTTTTTAGGATCAGATCAAGAGCGAGAAGAGGCGGCGGAAGACAGCGACGATGAGAGCGATATCGATATGGCAAAGTTGCGACACCAGGTCGGCATCAACAAGAAGAGCACAAAGAGGGAGAAGGAGCTGAAAACGGCCAAGGCAAAGGTCAAGAGGAAGGAGCGACGCAAGAACACAACCCAGACATTGAACTTCAGCGCCCTACATCTGCTGCACGACCCACAAGGATTCGCCGAAAAGCTTTTTCAACAGCATTTGCAGCCCAGCCAGCCGAAAGTGCGACTGAATCTCGAGCAGAAGCTACACGTGCTACAGCTGGCTTCGAGACTGGTCGGTCTGCATAAGCTGACACTAATACCGCTCTATTCCTACTTCCTCAAGTACTTGACGCCAAAGCAACCCAGTGTGACCAGCTTTCTAGCATCGTTAGCGTCAGCCACACACAGCTTGGTCCCACCGGATGTGCTGGAGCCACTTATCGTGAAGATTGCTAATGAGTTCGTGTCAGAGGCAAGCGCAGCAGAGGTAGCCTCAGCGGGTCTGAATGGCATTCGTGAAGTCTGCGTGAGACAACCACTTGCGATGACGGAGACACTTCTTCAGGACTTGGTGCAGTATCGAAAGAGCAAGGATAAGGGCACACAAATGGCAGCAAGAGGACTGTTATCATTATACCGTGAGGTCGGTGCAGAAATGCTCAAGAAGCGAGATCGAGGTCGGGATGCTGCACTTGGCCTGCGAGCAGGCACCAATGCAGCGGCGCGGTTCGGTGAGGTCGAAGGTGGCGGCATTGAAGGTCTGGAGCTGCTTGAGAAGTGGAGAGAAGAGCAAGGCATTGGTGAGGACGAGGACGAAGAGGCATGGCGGAGGTGGGAGGCAGAGAGTGATGACAGCGAAAGCAGTGGCGGCTGGATCAATGTGGAGAGTGACGGCGAGGATATCAATATCTCTGATTCTGAGGATGAGAAGCCGGCACAGAAGAAGAAAGCTGAAAAAGCGGAAAACAAGGAGATCGAGGACGCTCCACAAGACGACGACGTGCGAACAGAAGGCCGCAATACTGCCTCGCTCGAGCCGGAGGCGGCGATCAGACGTGAAGAGGCTCGCCTGTCGAAACTTGCTACAACACATATCCTGACACCGGCAGATTTGGAGAAGTTGAAGGAGCTACGGCAGAGTGCAGCCATCACTGCAGCACTACCTACGGCCAAGCGACGGAAGATGATGCAAGCACAGCAGCTCACGAATGCTCAACGTCACGCAGATGATGAAGTGACCGCCGAGCAGATCGAGGGCTTGGCAAAGCTCAACCACAAGACGACAAAGGAAGAGAAAGTGGCGATGGCAAAGGAGGCCCATGAGAATGACCACCGATCCACCGCCGCAAGACGGAAGGAAAAGAAGGAGAGCGAACACAAGAGTACGACTAACAAGGAGAAGGCGAGGAAGAAGAACATGATCATGACGCTGGGCAAGGCGAAGAGAAAGGGTAAGAGGAGTCTGGTGGAGCATCGAAGGGTTCTCAAGGCGCATGTTGATCGCAAGAAGCGAGGTGGTAGGCGAGGAAATCAGTAGGGAAAGGGCTAGTCGCCGTAACTTCGTATGCTCGTTCGTAGCTTGTTGCCTCAGCTCGCGAGGTTGCGAATGAGGCGTCGAGGACTTTTGTCTGTGCAAGTGAAGCGCACATGCTAGCGCGGGACCAGCGCACGGACGAGTCGCTTTTCTATATAAGGCTTCCCAAACTTCTTACTCGACATCAACTTGACGTTCCCATACTCGGACAGGACATCAACTTGACGTTCCCATACTCGGACAGCACATCAACGATTCACGACGCACGCACGTCGCGCAATCATCCCAATCATATCGCTCACAACGCTACAGCAGCTCAATTAAACACCAATAGCGCACTCGAGGGCTTTGGCGAAGAAGGCTGCGCGCAGTAGAAACAACGCCGCTAGCAGCCATGGATACCCTCGACGCCAAACAAATGTGGCACCGCCGTCTCACGGCTCAGTACAGTCGGAAGTACACGGTGCCGCAACTGCGCGCAGCCATTAAAACCCGCCTTGGCTATGACCCACCAAAGTCAAAGAGCAAGGAATACTATGCCAACGTGATGATCCAGGCGGACTACACGATCTTCCGACTTCTCGACCTCCCAGCAGAGATGAGAAACCAGATTTACCGGCAGCTGCTGACGATCGGAAGCGGCAAGTTATCGACTGCGATTCTTCGAGTGTCAAAGCAGGTGCACTCTGAGGCGCGTGCGATCCTTTACAACGACAACGTGTACAAGCTCGGCATCTCAATCGATCATCACCTCGATTTGACACACGTCCACCGCAATTTCAAGACCGGGAACTTGTCGGTCAGCACTGCAGACAACCGAGAGCAGCAACTCCGCGAACCTGACTTTGTTCGAATGGAGAACACAGCACATGTCGCTCGCTTCAAGCACATCAGCCTCACTCTTGCATTCCACAATCGCATACGCATCCCTCCCAAGGCTAAAGACGACGAACGAATGTGCAATATAGTCTCCCGGACCATGAGCCAGCATCTCTGGCCTCTGGTCAACTTTCTCACCATATCGAAGCAACTCCGAACGCTAGAAGTCGTCGTGGAACAAACCGACGTTCAACTCTCGGAAGAGCTCATGGGCAAGGCTCTCTGGCCGCTTTCGTTACTCGGCCATGGTTTATCCATCAAGTTTGTGGGAATCAGCGATCAAATGGCTAATGACCTGCGTTCCGAAGTCGGGAACACTCCCTCGCCGGAACCTGGCATGAATACCGATCTGTTGAAGGCCCGAAGCTATGCTCAAATCATCGAAGCCTTGCAACAAGACATGGCAGACGCCGAATATGGTATCAACGCAACACCAAGCCAGCGCGATCAGTACGATCTTGGCTTGTCGGACGAGATGCAAGAAGGCGTCAAGAGCATTGGCAAGCTCTTCAATTCAGCAGAGTTTGCAGATGCAGAGAGGGTCAACGCAATCACCAAAGGCACCAAACTGCTTCAGGACTCTATCGAGGATAAGTCTCTACCAACACACTTACTGGCCATCATTGACAAGTTTAAGAGGAGCGAGGGCTACGAGCTCCGGCCTGAGCACGGTCGGGCATCTCAGCGCAGCACTCAGCATTTGGAAAACCAGATTCGTGAATGGAGAACTCAGCCCTGGTGGAATAAAAAGTGCTGGCATGGACGACATTTAGGATTCGTCAATTCTGCAGGGACAGATCTAGCCACCGTTGGAATAATCGTTCCAGCGAGGCATGACTCTGCTATACAACTCGGGAAGCGCATGGCATGTCGCAAACAGTAACCTTGCCTCGAGCATCAAACCCAGGGCGTGTCTAGCAATCGAAGGTGTAGGGATGGAGCCTTATGTGCCGCAATTGTGTACCCTACTGTTCTGCCGAAGGTCTAGGAGACTGGCATGAAGCGGCTTTTAGAGGCTGTTGGAGATTTTGTTTTTTTTTCTTTTCTCAGGACTGACCAATGGCGCGTGGAAGATGATGCATTCTGTCTTGACGCACTATCGACAATTGAGCTTTTTGTAACACGGGCGCTTTTCTTGCATATTTGATGGGGCTGTTGCAGGCATGGAGTCGACAGATGTACGAGACTTGGAGCTCCATCTTACAATCGAGAAAATAATTAATTTCATGAAGAAAACAATTCCAAAACAATCGGATCAAACTCCCCACAAACCACATTCCCATCTTGATCCAATTCCTGATTCTTCCCACTCCCAACATACCAAACATTATCCCCTCCACGAGCCCATACTCACACCTCCACTACAGGTTAAAGGACACACCACTCTTCTGGGTATAGCTAAATACGAGCTACAGTACGGAGGAGCAGATCTTTTGCAAGCCATTCCTGGACACTGCGCTCTGGCAGCAACAACGCATAGGATGAGCGACAGGAATCTCGAAAGCTTAGTGATCTGCATTTTGTTAGAGGAGATAGTGGAGAAGGAGGGCAGAGAGGCAGAAGTCTGCGGCGTCCATCGTGACAGCAATTTGGTAGCCTTATACACGTTGTTCGAAGGAAGTTGCTAGAGGCGTACTTGCGGCTCTTCCAGACTGCGTTGCCAAGAGAGCGCCGGATGCTTTTGCACTTGAGGCTTGAAGAGGGCGCAACTCAGCCTACTGCTCCTACGACCAAGCCGCAGCTCGTCGCCCTCAACGTGAGAATTGAAGCTTCCGTTGCGACCCGGAGTCATGGGCTGATCAACATCGAATACCTGCGACCTGTTGACGCGCAAGGTAATCGTCCTGACCCAGCCCTGCGGCGCTGGCAGAGTTCTTGAACATTTCACTGTTGAGCACGACTTGATATGGTGATAGGAGGCTTGATTGATTTCGATTTGTTTCTACTTAGTTGTCTCACGAGAAGCCATTTCTCGATGCGCCTCCTATAGACGCTTCATCGTCCTATACAAAAGTCAGTGGTTGCAGCGAAGATCGATGAAAAGTCAGCTTACCTCCAGAAAGTCAGTAGCCAAAAGTAATCTGCTCAGCTCATCGGCTACAACGGTTGCTTGGCCTCTTGCCGCTTGTTTGAAAATTGCCTGAACAGTATATCGATGTTGCTGCAGAAATATGCGTCCGGGCTGAGGTCCTTTGCTCAAAACAGCTGCAGAGATGATACGCAAGAGAGCTGCCAGAATGCGATGAAACTCTCGCAGAGCTATCGCGTTGTCGATATCCAATCCGATGTCTGGATCGGTACTGAACAGTCTACTCTCCTCGATCGTAGCAAAGAGACCCGAGTTGAGCACAAGTGCTGTGCCATCAGACGTCTGACAAAGACGGAGGAGTAACGCAAGAGCTGTATGATAGAAAGCTAGCGTGATGACCGTCTCCCCTTCGATCTTGAAGGCTTCGGCAACGCCACCAATGCTGCTGTCGACCAGTACGGGCACGAAGTTCAGCTTCATTAGTATTTTTAGTAGCGAAGAGGTGACCTTCAGACCTTGGTACAATGAAATAAGGCCGTCAAGGAACAAGAGCGCCGACACTCTGGTGACTCCACGACCGGAAAAGGCATCTTCGGTCACAACGGCCAGCAGCCGCTCGCCAGCACTTTGTACCAGTGAAAGCAACTGCTTAGCAGAGGCGGATGGGGGAGCCCCCGCTGTGACAGGCAAAGATGCAAGTACTGAACAGCTTGTCCGGTAGCATATGTCGCGGAGCGCCAAATCAGCATCGCCATCGGCGAGGACCTTCAAAGACACCCGGAATATGGCCAAAAGGCGTTCGATGGCCACATTGGCGGTCTGCTGAGATGCATCATGCGAAGCAGGACTGATGGCCTCGGTTAAGGTAAGTGTGAGTTTTGCAAGCAAGCCGGTGGCCTCAGGGTTGTCGCTCAAGCTCTTCTCGAACTTTGGGAGGACTACTAGAAGTCCTTGCAGTGAGAGGGCGATCACGTCGTTAGTGTTCAGTCCACCTTTCGTGACGATAAGGGACATGAGTTCCGTCCAGGCTTCGAGAGCGTCGGTCCGAGCATCGTGTATCGCAAGCCAGCTGTTCTGACTGATGAGAGAGGCCAAAATAGCCTTGACTTCGTCGTTGGCTCGCTCCACCTCAGAGGCCTCCTTGACTACACCACTTTCCTTCAGTTCTCGTTTGCGTAGTGTCAACAGCTCCGTTGCCAAGCCAATGTCAAAGAGGTCCATACTTGTCGAATAATCTTTCATGCAGCTTGATAGGTCGACGTCCCTGAAGAACAAACATTGTGCGTAGTTTGGCTCCAGCGCATTGGCTGTCTCAAGGTCAAAGAAGTCGAGGAGATCAAAGATGGAAGCAGTGGGTAAATTCTCCCCAGCCGGGAGCTTGATCGTGCCAAGTAATGCGCTGACAATCTTCTCTTGCACCGAGAATGAGCTTTGTTTCGATGCCATGCGTAGATCGGCAGCAGCGAACTCGAAGAAAGCTTCTCGGACCCGCATGAAGTCGCGAATAGCATGAGCCGCACTGTCCAAGAGGAGGTCAGGATCCACGGTAGATTTGAAGTCCCAAAACGGGCTCACTGAGACGGGAAGTTGTGACCTCGACAAGGCTGGAAGGAAGTCCATCGCACGAAGCTGCGGCTGCACGATTTGCGATGTTAGCGGCGAGACTGCTAGCTTGTTCACCACCTCGAGGCATCCTCTTTTTACGCTCAACAACCAGGACCTGTATCCAGTGTCTCCAATAACCACTTGCAGATCGGCAGCTCGTGCAGCGATGGCGTGAAACAGCGATTGAGAGGTAGCAAATGCAGTCTGTGGGAGCACGTCTACTGTGTGCTCGTAGCATGCAAAGCCCAACAAGCTGTGTCCGAGGCTCGGTCTGCCATCTGAGGCATCGAGACTCGCATGGATTAGTTCCAAGATTGCCCTCGCGCGGACAAGCTTCAAGGGTGCTTCGCCACTCTCCAGATCCCATTCCTCCAAGTTGAAGTCTTGTTGCAATTCCAGTGTAAGAGATGTGCTGACAGGCGCGAAGAGCCCAATGAGGCGGTTACTCCGGCCACGAGCTCCGTCTTCGGGGATGTCAGCGAGCTTCCTCGAACACCCAATCCGCTGCAGAAGTGCAATGCTCTCAAGGCTGATCTCAACATGCTTGCAGACAGTGAATTGTGCAACATGGACGACGCAATGAAGGTGCGTTAGGAGGACCTCGTCGACCGAAGTCAAAGTCGAGCTCCCCACTGGTTGCTGCTTCGAAGTCTGGCTGACGATAATTGGTCGCACAATATCCAGGTAGGTAGGCTGAAGTTTCCAGGCCAAGCTCAGGATTTGTAGTCCTCTCAGAACTGCTTGCACGACAGGCGCTGATGGTTCAGCATTGTCCAGAGTATCAATACTGATTTGTATGGTCGCAAATAACGAGTTAACGACGCCTTTGTCGAAGATCCATTCCATCGCACGCGCGAACGGATGCAGGCGAGCATAGGAGGCGAAAGATTTCGTCTCCATTGTGGCTTCCACAGCTACGTTGGATGTGTTTGCCAGTAGTACCAAGTCTTCGTTGAATGTAAGCAGACACTGATGTATGAAGTTGAGACATTCGTATCGTACGATCTCCACCATGCTTGCCTCGCCTTCCATCTCCATGCGAGGTACCTTTTTCGCGAAGATTGAATCCATGACGAAGTCAACATATGTGTCGATACCAGCATGGCGATGAGGCGCACCCAGGTTCTCGGGGAACGGTAGATTTTCCATAGTAACCTCGGCGGCATTCTCTATGGGAGACACGAGGGCATTGAGCAAGCTGAGAAAAGATGCGACAGCTTCTCCATTCGTTGCAAACATCATCAAGTATTGCTTTGCAGGATATGGCGTTCTGGGTTGCGCTCGGGACAGAGTTGAACCATCGAGACCGCTGCTCGATATCCAGCTGTCCAAGAGAACCCACATGCCATTGCGAACTTCCAGGCTCTTGTCTGTGAGCATCGCCGTGAGTAAATCCAGACAGCATGCGCGAATACGTGGCAATGAATCACTCCGAGCGAGCTGGAACATGACCTCGCCAAGGTGGACGGATTGCTCCACGAGAAGCCATTTCCTGGCTTCAGGACTTGTCCGACATATGTGCGCGGCAAGACCTAAATATGAGTCCAGCATGATATTTGTCTCCGGCTCTTCGAGCTGAGTTTCGTTAGCGATGCGCTCTTGGCCAGTGATCTGTGGTGCAGCGGGCCGGTCTTTCAGATTAGAAGCGTAAATCTGCAGCTCGGAGAAGATCTGGTTCCGCTGACAGCGTATGATTTGCGGAGTCTTCCAGCACCCATAGCAGTCTCATCGAGTAAGAAGCGATGAGCATTGTTTGCCGACTTGTCATCGCATGCTATTGATCTAAGTAGCTGGCAGAATGCGGCAACCCGGGGTGTAGGCAGACGCTGCGAGACCCATCGAAGAAAGCCATACAGGTTGCTCTCCTTATCCGCCCAGAAGTCATGCGCAGCTGCAGGGTCATCTTGATAGGCACAGGCCATAATGACAATGAAACGTTCCAGGTCCAAGCTAGAGTCGGCATTCTCGTTGCCTTGCGGCAAGAAGTTCCGCCTCTTCTCATCTTCCTCAAACTTGAGCTTTCTCAGAGCATCTGGCATATTGGTGACAAAAGCGTCGGTGAAGACTTGCAATTCGTGCATTGTGACAGCCGAGAAATCGTCAGAGGCACGGGGCATTGCGACCACACTGACGGCGTTGTCGACGAGGAAGTCAACGATTCCAGTTCGTGAAGGATCATGCCAGGTCACAGGTTTGAGAAAAGCGGCAGCAGCAAGCATGAAGTGGAATGCTTTATCCCTCAGCGCCTCGAAGAAGAGGTCCATACGAGCCTCTTCGCCAGCTCGCCGGTCGGCCTCACTTTGATTAGGCTCATTCGTCCCGGTTGCGAACCTTGCGTTGTATTCGGCGAGCCATGACACCGTGGCGGCAGCCCTCAAGTTGCTCTGCTTCCACTGCAATCGGGTATTGCCAGCAGCAAAAAGCATGTGAAGCTCGCGTGCAGCACCCACAGTGACATTGCCTTGATCCGATGCAAAGTGAGATGCGCCGCTGATCAGAACCGGCAGATAGTGGATTGTGATGTCGATATCGGCCTCCAGAGCTGCAGCTTTGCTGAGAAATGCGCGGTAGTCCTCTACGTAGACAAATCCTGAGCGAATGAGGTGGGCAAGCACAGCAGACAGCGATTCATGCTGTCGGGTGAGTAAGAAGCGCTGAACCCGAAGCGCCTCGCCTGTGTCGCCTCCAGTGCCTTGGCCGGTCATGACCAGCTTGTCCTTATATTCAGCCATCTTTTTGAGAAAGTTCTCGATATCCGTCAGGCCGTCCACGCATTTGCGCCAATATGCAGCCCGACCTTGACCAGTGACTATCGCACTTGAAGCTTCTTTGAACGCCTCCGTCATCTCATCATCTTCACTCTCGTCCTCCAGGCCCAGTTGCAGCAAGAGTCGCAAGCAGTCCAGCAGCGCTTGGCGCTGTTCGTGAAAGCGAATCATGGCGCGAAAGACCAGAGAAGGGTCGTTCCCGCTTCCATCTACCTGGGAGTGGATGCACAGTTTGGCCGCCTCGACCTCGTCCAGGTCCAGCTCGTCTGCGACATTGATGGCTGCCTCTCGAAACTCATCTCGCACGCGGTATTCGACATGGTCAATGGTCAGGGTGTCGGGTGGCGGAGTCGTCGTGGGCTGGACGATCTTGCGGCTTTCGTCGTTCTTTTTCTTGCGCTCGAGCAGTTTCTTCAGGTCTTCATTAGAGGCATCCAGCTGTTCCTGTAGACGCTGGAGATTGGCCAGTCGAGTTTCGCTGAACTGAATCAGATCCCGCTGCAGAATCTGGAGTCGTCGCAACGGATCATCCATGTCGGAGAATCAGGCGGCGGCGGCGGAGCGGGAGAGGGGGAGGTCGATGGTGTTGGCGACGGCGAGGTCGTTCCATGCGCGGCGCGGCGAGGATATGTCTTTGTTTGAAAAAGCTACGCGATCGTCACGCGTGCAGCTCCATCAGTGACAGGGATTGTTGCTTATGTAACCGCGGCTTCACTTCTACTCACGCGATGCCCGTCCTCCATCCCCAAGTTTCGTGCAACACACACCATGTCAACGTCGCGATGAGTGATGAAGCCTTGCATTCTTCGCATTTCCACCACACACGCCATTCACTGGTTTCAACCGGCCGCACATCGTTCCAGCACAAAACGCCAATTCGCAACTCAACTCTAATGCCACGCGCCTCGATATCGATATCGCTGCTCTTGTGTGGCGCTTCCCGCCGCGATAGACGCCCGCCATGGCCAGTGTGTCCTTGAGAGATGCCTTGGAAGGCATTCAGTCCGGCGCGGTCAAGGCGCGCAGCGATGGCATCCGGGACTTGAAGCATATTCTCGACTACAACCGCAACAGCGCCAGGATCGGCGAGCTGAGAGACGGCGAATATAACACCATCCTCGAGACCTTGTACAACTGTGCTGACAAGGAGAAGCGAAATGCTCTGAACGGCAAGACCGCGACTGCTCGCACCTCAGCCTCGAATAAGCTGGCCGACATCTCCAATGCTCTGCGGCACACTATCGAAGCATCTGTCCAGGTCTTGAAGCCCAAGACTATCAGCGCGCTGTTGAACCATATCCAGGACACGATTTTCATTCGAAAAACTGAGTTCTGCATGCCTGTGGCTCTCGATTATGTCAAATCCATGAGGGCTGTATTCGAGTACCAACCACATGTGGTCTCACTGCAGGAAGACGGCAGCGGCGAGGATTGCAGATGGGATGCCTTAGCATTGTTTTGCATGGACTGCATAAGTAAGATTGAGCAAGACCAGCCTTCCGATGGCGATCTCCTGTCGACAGCCGGGACTACGAACGGTTTCAGCGTCCGTTCTTCGCGCTCGGTCGTCAAAGAGTCAGCAGGCTCACAGGGAGGTCGTCCTTCTCTCCGCCCGATTGCGGAAGAAATGGTGGCATGCATTCGTTACCTGACAGCTGTGCCCACAGTCCCACTCAAGAGAAAAGCCGAGCCTCTACTCTGGACTATCATTGAGGCATTACAAAAGTCAACTGTCTCTCACAAATCATGGGCGCATGCATTTGCCGCCATTAACAACATTATTTGCTGGTCGCGGACAGAGGACATCAATTGCACCAGGAAATTCGTTAGCCACATCGTCAAGATGATCAGACATTTGTGGAGATCCAATGTCACCAAGGATGCCACCTGCCAGATGCTAGTCACGCTTTTGCTGCTGGAACCTTACATTCTGCTTTCCATGCAGCAGTCCGCTAGCCTGACTCTTCGACCCGAGCTCACCGGCCTTTTACATGGCCTCCAGGCAGACTACAACAAGCGAAAGGAACGCGAACAATTGCGCCTCGATGATCTCCGGCTGGAAATCAACCCAAGAAATGTTCCACATGGCAAAGTTGCAACGCCACTCCTCACTTTAAGGTGTCTGGGACTTCAGACAGAGTCGAATTGGCTAGTAGTGCACATCATGGCATTCCTGCACCGTGCCATTCTTCCGCGATCTGCCACATCTGACGAGCTCGAGCAAGCTTCAGAGCGTGAAGAAGAGGCGGACATTAGCCAACGTCCTCGAAAGCGTCAACGCACCGAGGACGATTTCACCAAGCTGGTCTCAGCGATCACTTTCGGAACACAGCAGGAGCGAACGTGTGCGCTACAAACGGTCGCATTTCTAGCGCCACGAATGCGCTTCAGCTTCACCCAGTTAAGAAGACTGCTCGATAGCGCTGCAGTGAGTTGCAGCGATGAGAATGGAGTGATTTCCTCCTGGGCATACATCACCTGTGCGTCCTGCGCCTCGCAAATTAATGCTTCCGACCGGCAACTTTCTGCACGCTTCTCTTCAATCTGGCAGCTCGCCCTTCGCTCGATCAGCAACCCTTCATCTTCGCGAGCGGCATCCTTCTCGTTGTTCGTGCTGTTCAGGCTCCGGCGAGTCTCATCGCAACATGTGACAGAGTTGCTGCAAATTACCGAAAGCATGGATCTGAATGGTCCCAGTCAGATGTCGGACGGCGCGATCTGCTTGTTAAGTGTCGTCCTCGAAGCCTCACAAGAGCTTAGTCCAGCTGCCGGCACTCGCGCAGCGGATGCGGCTGCTGGATGGCTGTCACGCTGCTTCACACCTAGCCGTCTGGAAGACAAACATTACACCGGGGCTTGCAACTCCTATGATTCTTCTGATGTCCTCTCGCTGATAACGTCTTGTTTGGGCAGTACTGCACACCCCTTGCCAGCAACTGGAATGCCAGTCTGGGATATTGGGGCCCGTGGTTGGTTGCTTTGCCAAGGCGACGAAGAACTTATCACATACTTACTTCTCGCCAGCGACGAAGGCTCCGTCTTAGACGACAAGCTGTTGTCTTCAGGCATTGATGCAAGTATCACACCCAAGCAGTCGACACGTCCATCTGTGGAAACGCTGCTCATGAGTCATCTGTCTTCCGAACTCTCGCGGACGATTGACACGTTTACCGGTCTCGTACGCTCGCGGCAAGTCACCATGGATGCTTTCAATACACTATGCAAAGCCTGTGTGTCTTTCATGTGCGCTTCTACCTGCGTTACTTTCAGAGACTCGCGAAAACATGAGCAATTGCATCAAAGCACTAAGAAGCTGCTGGGACACGTACAAGATTTTGTTGCTACACCAAGTACAGATCAAGATAAGGCTGACATCTTCTTGTCGGTCTTTACATCTACCTTTCCATATCTGAGAGGCGCAGAGCAGCAATCAAACCGCGCAGAACGGTCCGGGTGCCAAATGCTGGCGTGTGCGACCATCAAGGAAGCGATGACCCGGCGACAGAGTGCGGACATCGTCAACGGTGATGATGACTTCATGGATCTTGATGAGACATTTGACTCACAAGACAGTCGCCCAGGTCAGAACAGTATTGTCCAAGCAATACCCTATAGCGACCTCGATGCAGCATATAGCTTATCGACGCTAAGAAGCAGCAGCATGCTCTATTCAACGGCTGCCATTACTATCCAAAACCAATCAACTGCTCCGACGGCGGTCATGGCATCGACTCATATCACGGACTTTATTTTGGAGCTTCCGGTCGATGCTATTCTATCATGCCGAGACGTGATATCCTCATTACCGTCGATGGGCCTTGTCCTCGGCGCCAGCGATACCACTCGCTTGATGACCCTCTACCTGGACCTCCTCGCCAAGTCGACCTACAAGGCTTCTGAAGTGGCCATGGGCTCACTCTTGGATGTCATGCTGAGTCTGCTCGGTGTCTGGACTGATCCTCACAATAGGGACGCTCACAATCTCGGCTTAGATGCTTACGAATGGTTGATCACTGTGGCCGTGCCTAAAGAACTTGTTTCGCACAATGTGGTCAAGCGTTTGATGAATATTCTCATTCAGCTTTTCAAGATCGACGCAAAATATGGTCTCAATACCGAGGCCAACACTCCACGCCTCGTCTTGTTCGAGCTCCTCAAGACTGCGCCCGTTACAGCACAGTTTGAGTTGACGGACCGGATTCCTGAGATTTTCGGCCTCTACGTGCTGTCCCAGCATGAAACAATTTTTGACGAGCTGCTTCATGATCTCATGCATAATCAGGACTGGTTCGAAGGAACTGTGATTCGACTACGCTTTTTCGCCAAATTGGGTTCCAGTTGGCCTTCGTTACTACGTCGATGCGTATGGCTTTTATTTGACAGTGCAGGAAATATTAAGGATGCTTCCGCTCATGCCAAGATCTGTATCAGTCAACTCGCATCTGCTCTTCCTTTGCGTCAGCCTCGGGTGCTATTCACGCTTTTTGCGCCTCAGCTTCTCTGGTCATGGACTGGCGGTCAGCTTGGACTGGAGGACTTGCCTTTCGAAGCATTTGAGTATGATTCGGTCCATGATCTCTTGCGGGCGAATGAGTCCGAGGCATTGGCTCAGATCACATTGCAAGGCAACGAGAAAGCCATGGACGTGGTGACGAGAGCCGTGAGGATGATGGCACGAGATGCTGTGAAGCGCTCATACGCCAAGTGCCTAGCCTATTGCATGGCGTACGATGTTTCCAACCCAAGAGAGCCGGGAGCAAAGAGCAATCCATCTGAAGAGCGACTGCGAGAAGCCATCGGAGGAAGAGTCGAGCATCAGAAACTGCTGATCCGGCATTTCCCTGCCATTGTGGGACACTTCTACCTACTTATGAAGACTGACGATGTTGGCGATACCTGGCTCGCAAAACGCGATGGCTATGCTGAGATGGCCAAAGCATTAAAAGACATGAAGGTGTACAGCCATTCCGAGCGCAGTTTGCCCGAGACCCAGGATCCTTGCGTCAGCGATCGTTACTTGCCCGATGAGTTAGAAAGACTATACAAGCGCACGCAACTTCAGGTCACAGACTTGTGGTCGCCGTCGTCATTTTCTTTGACAGCTCGAATGCTTGTCAACGAGATAGATGAGTCTCTCGGCTCTTTGCACACATGCCTCATTATTCGTCGTCTGCGCATCTTCATCGCCATGAGCGGTGAACTTGCCACTGATGGCTTTGGTCTGGAAATGTTGATACACTCTTTGCGCCCTTTCGTGAGTGACAGCGAATGTGCCGATGACGCGCTAGGTGTGCTCCAATATCTCTTCAATAGCAGCAGATCATACCTACGGGGTTGTCTGCCTTTTGCGACTGGAGCTATCATCTTGCTTATCCTAACAATGAGGAAACACACCCAACTGGCAGCCGACCGCACTACCCAGGAAAGTCAGCGCACGGCCACTATTGAGAAGATGATTTCCTTTCAGAAATGGCTAGTGGACTGCTTGGCGGCACTTACCAGAGAAGAGCCCGATACTACTTACAAACCGCTCCTGGCATCGCTTCGCGGAATCCAGCTACCGGGCAACGGCAGATTGGGTAGCTCAGAGAGCAAATTGCTGCTGTTCTTGCTAGATCAGTGGCGATCAGGAGAACCACTTTGTTCGCGACAAGACATTCTTGAAGCTCTCGCACTCCTCGCCGAAGGGTTCATCTGGCCAGACAGCTTGTCTGAGGACTGCTTAGGATTGGATAAGGATACAGTGCACTATGTTCAGCCTCTCTGGGAAGTCCTGAACACCTCAGCATTGAGTGACAAGTTCGTAGCCTGGGCAGGAGAGGCTATCGGAAGGGCATATGCATGCACGGGGATCCGTCCAGAAGAATCAAAAGGTCAAGAATTTACCATGCTGAAAGAACTTCCCAAGGGCATGGTCAGCCCCACGACTACTTCAAATTCAACCATCATCAAGCACATCTGCCAAACTTTGTACTCAAGGAAGCGCTCAGAGGCTGGGCTCGCAGAGTTCACTCTGCGCAAAATCCAAGAGTCTTTCGCGTCCGCAGGAGATTCTGACGAGGCCGTTGAGTTTTCACAGCTACTTCCAGACGCTGTCTGCGCAGCAATATGTGATGGCACCTTTGGCTGGAACCCAACGCCATCGCAACTCGAACCCGATGCAGCCAATGCAGAATCATTGCGACAGGCCCTTGAAGCACCTACCAATGATTCTATCGATCAATGGGCCAGCAGACTTGCGAAGTTAATCAGTGCCTGGTCCGCAAACAACGCGATTGTTTACTCTCTTGCTCCTCTCGTACAGAACATCAATGGTCTGGCGGTCCAGCTTCTACCAAGCATGATACACATCTGTCTGCATAACGAACTGAACTCAGTACCCTCGCTTCGCCAAATCCTCTCAGAGGTCATCGGCGTCTGCATGCCAGATGAGAGCAAAGCACAGCTGCCGAAGCAAAAGTTCTTCTTGGAAATCTTGCTCTATCTGCGCAGTCAGGAACTGCCGGGAGAAGCCACGAAGGCTGATCGACTTAATTGGCTCGATGTCGATTTTGTGGTTGCCGCAGGAGCGGCTTCACGCTGTCGTATGCCCGCTTGCGCATTACTCCTTGCCGAATCCGCGGCTCCTGTGGCCGTCCCACAACCAAATCGAAGGTCAACTAGCAGAGCGTCTACATCGCAGCTGCAGCCGGCACCCATACCAGAAGAGCTTCAGATGGCAATCTATCAGCAAATAGATGAGCCTGATTCTTTCTATGGAGTATCACAGCCAGCGACCATCGATTCTGTGCTCCAACGCCTCGATCACGAACAAGACGGCTTCCGAAGCTTGATGTTCCGATCTGCACAGATGGATAGCCACATGCGGCATCTTCATCGGGTGCCTGAGCGTGATGCAGTAGGGATGGTCCAATCTCTTTCAGCACTGAACTTCAATAGTCTGGCCTTTGCAATGGTCACACAAGGCTTGGGCGATCTGACAAGCTGCGCAGCGCCAATGCTCAATGCTGCGCAGACATTGCAGCAGTGGGACATTTCAGTGCCGGATTCACGTAGTGAGGCATTGCTTACCTTCAGCATCCATCAGGAACTCAGTCGAGCCAGTGACCTAGACCCCGTACGGAAAAAATTACGCAAAGCAGTCTTGCAGCATATCACGAACAGACGCCAAGACGGCGATGGAGCAAGTCCTACACATGTATGGTGTTCTGCATTGGCTTCTCTCACAGAGATCGGCGAAGTTATCTCCAGCAGCAATGAAGCCGAGATGGTATCAAGATGGAGGGTGATGCAAAACAGGCAGGATTGGATGCAAATGGCACGATTCCAAGAGGTCAAGCCGTTCCTGGCGAATCGACAAACACTATTCGGAGTCATTAGACAAAACGCTGCCCTGCAGAAAGGCCTGCATCTAGACGAGAGGCGCTGCCGTGCTTTTGAAGTCGAGGCCCTTCTGGCAAGCTCTGGTCTGGCTCGCGAGCATTCTCAACTGCAGGATGCGTTGACGGCCACGGCAACATTGAGCGATATGATCGAGCATTGCAGTGCTGTCAATCTGAGAATCGCTGGTGCAGTGAAACTGGAGACAGCGACTGTCTTGTCTGAGGCGGGCGAAATGACAATCTCAGTGAAGATGCTGAAAGACACCCTCGGCATGTCAGACCTAGACAGCCAAGAATTACAGGTCGGGAGAGCCGGCCTACTTGCTCAGCTGGGACATCAAATGGCCGAGGCGCGATTGGAGAAACCTGAGGACATTCTCGACCGATACCTGACCCCTGCCGTGAACGAGCTGCATGAACACCCCGACCAGAAACAGGCTGGCAAGGTATACCACGAGCTTGCTAGCTTTTGCGACAAGGAGCTGCAGAATCCTGGCAACGTTGAGAACCTCAATCGCATCACTAAACTCCGTCAAGCCAAAGAAGAGGAAATTGAAGCGTATAATCAGGCGATACAGGTCGCGAAGAGAAGTGGAGGCGATCGGACTAATCAGCTGAACAGATCACTCGTGCAGGCCAAGACCTGGCTTGCCATTGACCGGAGCGAGGAGCAACGTCTCCAAGCAACCAAACAACAGCTGGTCTCTCTGAGCTTGCAGAACTACCTCCGAGCTCTTGCCAATTCCGACGCGTATGATCTCAGCGTCCTCCGATTCTTCGCCATGTGGCTCGAGAATACTGGCGACATGGAAGCTGATAAAATGGTAGCTCGGTATCTGCCCAGGGTATCGAGCTGGAAGTTTGTTCGCCTTATGAATCAGCTCATGACGAAACTTGAAGACGGCGTTTCGTCGTTTCAACAAGCGCTAGGAGCACTGATGTTGCGCATCTTCAAAGAGCATCCTTACCACAGCATCAACCATCTTTTCGCGGCTTGTCAGAAGCCGAAAGGCACAAACATCGATTCGGCCGCGCAGGCTCGCTACAGCATCGCCATGCAGATCCAGAAAGATCTGCAATCATCTCAGAATGGGAAGCTCGGTGAAGTCGTCAAGAACATCTTCCGTGCCAACCTGAGGTATAAGAACCTAGCCGACAGAGCGCCGGATCAGTCTCAACAAGGCACCAAGGTGCCCATCTCTGAAGTACCGGAGGCAGGGGGCATTGTGAATTCAGGTACAATCAAACATCTGCCGCCTATCACGCTGGCAATCCCGCTCAGGCCTAGTGGTGATTATGATGATGTCCCCAAAGTCGCCAAGTTTGGTGGAGACGTCTCGATCATGGGCGGCTTGAGTGCACCGAAAATGCTCAAGCTCTGGGACACAGCAGGTAAGGAGCACAAGCAGCTGTTCAAGAGCGGCAAGGATGATTTACGGCAAGATGCCATCATGGAGCAAGTCTTTGAGGAGGTCAGCAACATGCTTCGCAACCACAAAGCCACACGGCAGCGTGACCTGAAGGTGCGGACGTACAAAGTCATTACGCTGGCGAAGACGTCGGGCGTCATTGAATTCGTCCCGAACTCGATCCCTCTGAACGACTTTCTGCGGCCTGCACATAAGAAGTACTATCCGGCCGACTGGAATGATAATCAGGCGAGGACGCTAATCTCGAATGCGTGGGACGGCGGGGCGGGAAGCCAAGCCGATCGCATCAAAGCTTTCCAGAAAGTGTGCTCCAAGATGCATCCTGTTATGCGCCACTTCTTTTTCGAGAGATTCACAGATCCCGACGAATGGTTTCAGAAGCGAACGGCATATACTCGTACGACAGCGAGTGTGTCCATTCTCGGCCACATCATCGGCCTCGGCGATCGTCACTGCAGCAACATCCTGCTTGATGAAAAGACGGGAGAAGTTGTGCACATCGATCTCGGCGTGGCTTTCGAAGCAGGCAGAGTGCTCACGATCCCCGAACTCATCCCCTTCCGCCTGACTCGCGACATTGTGGATGGCATGGGCGTCACCAAGACCGAAGGAGTTTTCCGCCGCTGCTGCGAGTTCACTCTGGACGCCGTGCGCGAAGACAAAGAGAGCATCATGACCCTTCTCAACGTCCTGCGCTATGACCCGCTCGTTGAGTGGTCTGTCTCGCCACTGCGGGCCAAGCGCATGCAAGAGGAAAGCAATCGGATCAACAATGGGATGATTGGGGGTGATGCGGAGAACTCAAGCAAGAAGCGGGCGCATTCTGCTGGCGAAGCTGATCGTGCACTGGCGATCGTGGAGAAGAAGCTGGCGAAGACGATGAGTACGACTGCGACTGTCAATGAGTTGATTCAGCAGGCGAGTGACGAGAAGAACCTGGCGCTGTTGTTCCAAGGATGGGCGGCGTTTTTCTAGCGCTGTGCATTGCGTCCAGGCGGCATTTGTGCATGAACAAGAGAAGGCATGAGGTGAAATCGAAGCGCTTCTTCGGCGCAAGAGGCATGTGCATTGTGTGCAGTACCATACATTTTATCTTCAGGGCTAAACTTACTATGAATCTGTACCTATTATTATTATTGCGAGTGAAGGGAAGAGGAAGCCACGATTTAAGCTTTCCATATCCCTGACTCGCTGCAGCCAGGGTCGTGAGTCATCACATGCTATCGGCAATTGAAGCTTTTAAGCCTCGATTTTACCTCAAATCAACACTGCGACACAGAACGAACACAAAACGAGAATACAGACACCGAGATCATAAGCACAACTGCAGTGCTCCCCCGAACCCACCGCCGACACCGAGACATGCTTCGTTCCTCCCCAACAGTATCCGAGATCGAGATCGCCCCTTCCTTGAACATTAATTGGCAGCGCTGGAACAGTATGGCTTTTCTTCACTAGAGGCCATGGCGTACACAACGCTTCTGCGCAGCCACACGAATCTGCGAAGAACGACATCACAGATCCTCGTGGCCCCGAGTCACTCCCAACTCACCAACATCGAGTGTATCAATTGAGCAGAATTCACGAAATCAAGTCAAATCCACCAAGAACAACATGTCTGAGCAGCAGCAGCCAGACGTGCTCAAGGCGCCCACCGAGCCCAAAGCTGAGACTCCTGCGCCAGCTGAGGGAGAGCAGAAGCTGTCGCCTGCCGAGCTAAAGAAGAGAGCCAAAGCAGAGAAGCAGGCGCGAAGAGCAGCAGAGAAGGAAGCGAAGGGAGAGCCCACAGACAACGCATCGCCAGCAGTGAATGGTAACGTCAACAGTGGATCATCAAAGGCGCCCCAACAAGGCAGTGACGGCAGCCAACAGCAACCGCAGAAGGGAAAGCAGCAGCAGTCACAGCAAAAGGGCCAGCAGAAGCAAGGAGGTCACGAGCGGAAGCCCAGTGGGCAGCTAGCAGGTCAGATGCCGGTGAGAACGCGCCGAGGCTCGCAAAGCGCGCCAAAGGAGCAGTCGAAGAAGCAGGACTCAAAGAACGTGGAGCTGTTCAGTCACCTGTATTCGCAGCCCCGACGCACCAACATCGATGGTGCCTCGAAAGACGTGCACCCTTCAGTGGTCGCACTTGGCTTTCAGATCGCTAGCTATGAGATCTGCGGAAGTAGCGCCCGTTGTGTAGGTATGCTCCATGCCTTCAAGGATGCCATCGCAGAGTATACCACACCAGCAGGAACCTCTCTTGCTCGACACATGACAGCCCATCACTTGTCGCCACAAATCGACTATCTGAAGTCATGCCGGCCCATCTCAGAGTCTATGGGAAATGCCATTCGATGGCTGAAGAAGCTGATCGCCGAAGTCGATCCAAGCACACCTGACTATGAGGCCATCGAGTTCCTTTGCGACAGCATTGACCAGTTCATCCGCGAGCGGATCATGGTCACAGATCAGGCCATCTCGGCATCGGCTTGCAAGCTAATCAAGGATGGCTCGGTCGTGCTCACTTACGCAAAAAGCGCCATCATCGAGAAGACTATTCTCAGAGCACACGGAGAAGGCAAAGACTTCCGCGTGGTTTGCGTCGACTCTCGTCCGCTATTCGAAGGCAAGAAGCTCGCTACCAGCCTCATGCATGCCGGTTTGCAGGTCGAGTACGTGCCGTTCTCCGGTCTCAACCGCGCCGTCGCCGATGCCACAGTCGTACTCCTTGGCGCGCATAGTATGCTCTCCAACGGCCGTCTTCAGTCACGCATCGGCACAGCCGCTGTCGCTATGGCGGCACACCGAGCCGATGTTCCTGTCATTGTGTGCTGCGAGTCAGTCAAGTTTAGCGGGAAAGTTGCACTTGACAGCATCGTGCTCAACGAGATCGCCCCCGCGGAGGAACTCCTCTTCCCACAGCCTCCGGCACCTGCGCCAGCTCCTTCAACGACCGGGAAGGGCTCCAAAAACGAAGATTCGGATGAGCCAAAGCTCAAGACGCTGAACGACTGGAAGGAGATTCCAAACCTCCAGATTCTGAACCTGATGTACGACGTGACCCCGGCCGAGTACATTCGCATGGTCATCTGCGAGTATGGAAGCGTTCCGCCCAGCTCGGTCCCTGTCGTGCATCGGCTTGCGAACGAAGGCGAGTAGCAGCCGCCTGTCGAACTAGCAGAACTCATGGACCTTGGAGGGAAAAGCACGTGGTCGTTGGACGATGGTGAAGTCTTGATCACCCCAGAGAAAACTGGGGACAGCTTTGTGATGATACGAAGCCCTATGGCTCAGATTCTGAAGATCAAGTCTATTGAAGATCGAGGATCGGGAGGCTAATCATCACGAATTGAAACATGACATGACAGCTTTGTTTTTACGACTAGCGGTCCAGCTTTGTGCGAAATGAACCTTTGAAAATTTACATTCATGCAGATCTCTCCTCTCTTCCATCCTTGCTAGCACTGATATGCTCTATATTGTCTCGTGTAGTTATCGATTCACATCTAACCCGCAGACTCGGAATTATCAACTACTCTTACGCCCCTCGATATTCAATTACACTTATTACATCTTCGACAAATTATCTCAAGCCTATACTAACTAACATCTCGCTTTCGACCTTCGCGGCTATCCTCCGTCGTCTTTGAAAAATCTTTACCCTAATATCTATACTCTACTCTACTCTATCCTAATTAAAAGAAAGCCTTATATAGTACAAAATTCTTCTCCTACCTATCCTTATCGATAACGGGAATTAGTCGATCCGTATCGTTATTTTTTCCAATTAATAAGATATAGAAGAAGAAGAAGAAAAAGTTAGTAGGAGGCTAAAAGAAGGAGAGAGAGAGAGAGAGAGTTAATAAGTTCCTAATAGGCAATTAAGAAGATAGACGTTAAAAGCTAGATAGTAGATAATAGATAGATATCGATAAGTTGAAATGCTTGTTTAACGTGAAATGCTTCATTTAGTGGTTGTGCCTAATTTCCTTCTCCGATGCTTCAAAAACGCTATAGGATAGATAAAAAGAAAAAAAAAAGTTGTCATCACACTGAAATAGATCGCGATCTCACAGCCGGCCAAATATCTCATCGCATCCTGCGAAGGAAAAAAAAAATAAAAAATAAACAATATTCTCATCATCCACAGGTGGTTGTTAATTGCAAGAAAAATCACCCCCAAACCCCCAAAAGCCCCAGTCTTCGCTTTCCATATTTTCTGCCAAAAACGCCAGAAATATCAGTCGTCGCTTCCCAATGGTCAAAAATGCCTGTACTGTTCTTCAAGTGCCACCGACAGGGACCCAGCCTCTGCCAATATCCATACTGCGGTTGATTCTTCCGCCAGGCGTCAGCGGTACATTGACTCTACCACTTCTTGTGGTCGACTCGTCTCCACTGTCCGAGTCGTACGCATCGCTGAGTCGCGCAAAGTAATCGGCCAGCCCACTGGTTGGACTTGCGATACTGTCATACTGCGGAGGTGGTGTGATGAGTGGTGGCGGTGGTTCTTCGTCTTCGAATGCGGGGGGGTTGAATGATGGTGCTCGCAGAAGATGGATAGGTCGATCGATCGATTGAGGTCGTCCTTGTCGACTTATGGCCTGAGGTCGTCCGATGTGATTCGCAGCGTGGATTGTCGGAGGTCGAGCAAGGCCCGGTGATTCGATCGTTGGTGTTGTAGATTGCTCGTTGTTCGTTTGCTGTCTGCTGTTGAGCGCGTGCAGGCCTGGCACGAAGCTAGTAGGTGAGTTGCGTCGCTGAGCGGCACCAGGACAGCCGCATTCATACTGATGAGAGCTAAAAGGCGTGGCCATAGGGGATGTGTACGCCGGTAGCATCGTATTTGCCTGCGTCGCACGGCAAGAGAGAATGTGGAACGGCGAGTCAATAGAGATCTCGAAATGTCTTCGCTTCGTGGGATCTTGTGCATCAGGCTTCGACAGACGCATCACAATCTTGATCCAGTGGTGCACCTGAATGTTCTGATATGTCGTATCGAAGTGTAGTCGCTGACTGCGATCTCGATCTTTCATCGTATGACAACTTGGCAATTGAACATTGAACTCCATCTCGGTCGGGCCAACACTAGAGTCACCGTTGAGGTTGCCCAAAAGATTTGTGGTGTCCACTGGTGTGACTTCCTCGCCTCGAGCTGCTCTCGCTCGCTGATCGTACGGAATGCCGCCTCCTGCTGTGACTCTCATGCTACTTCCCGGAAATGTGCTTGTCGGCGGTCCATCGGCACGCTTCTCGAAAAGCTGCACTTTCCTTGTTGGTTCCATCCGGTGCACACGCTTATTCGAGCAAAAATACTCGGTATTCTCGGTGATGAGCACCTTGATGCGGTGACATTGAACTTTCGCCAAAGGTGTCAGCTTGAACGCTATCGGTATCGATGTGCCCAACGGGAAGCTCTTTCCGGATATCACGATATCGTAGTGTAGCTGGTCTTCCCAATTCCTGCTAATCGCAATTGGCTCAACCTGCTCGAGAGAGCCCTCGGACGGAGCACGGATGAGTGTCACCTCCTTGGTTCCCACCAGGTTCGAGCGGAACGCACCGGACCGTTCAACGACTGCCTCTAGTTCGTACTTGACGGATCCCAGCTCGACGTCAATAGTCTCCGGTAACCGACTGTCCAACGGTAATTCGAAGTTGTAGATGTAATCTCCGGGCAGGAATGTGCGGTAGCCCTTCGCGGCGACGGTTGGGTTGTGATTGCCACCCTTCTCAAAGCTTCGAGACTGGTTGGCATTGATGGCCAGCTTCTTTGCCTCCTTCGACGTCAGGCCAACATTGAGCGTGGAGCCTGTATCGGTCGAACGGCCAAGCGGGTCCAGCCGTGTGGCTGTTGCAGATGCACCTTCCTTGAACAGCTGCACGTGGTCTGCATTGGTGCCTTTCTCCGCGCTTTCGAATTGGGCGTTGAAGAAGGGCCATGTATGCGACATGATGGTATCTTTTTCTTCGAATTCAACCTTCCGAGGTGGGATGCCTTCAGGCCATTTCGTGACAGCAGTGCCTTTGAACTTCAGCGTGATTCCTTTGATCTTGGCACTTTTCGACACTCGCAGATGCAGACCGCCTCTCAACATCGCAGTATTACCGGGAGCGTGGTCTGAGTTGTCAAAGCCTTGCAAGTATAGCACTGGCTCAGCCAGATGGATGCCCATGCTAACGCCATTGCCTGACGCGATTGGCTTTTCGTCTTCCAAGTTCAAATTGGGAATGACAGTCTGGTCGTTGACGACAGACGTGTCTATACGAGGCGAAACGCCTGTCCCACTACTGCTGACAGCCGGTGCTAATCGTGTTGAGTTGTCTCGTGCCTCACTGTTCAATCGTGGTCTTTGCAGATGAGCATTGATTGGACCACCAATGGAATGCCTGATGTTCCCACGCATTGCTGCCGCGGGAGCTGTAGGCGCTGCCGGCACTACCGCCGCACTCGCCCTCCTCGCACTCTCGGCCGACTGTGTGGAATTGGAGCGCTGCGTAGGCGTCCAAGACCTTCTCTTCCAGGAGTTATCTGTAGGAGTTGGTGTTTGGGAATCGGGCGTTGAATTGGTGTTATTGATGACAGGGCTAAGGAATCGCTTCACCCTTTCACGAGTAGTCGCCAGCTTGAGGAGTGACACCCGCTTCTCGGGGTCCTTTTCTTTGAAAGGGTATGGTACTTGATTCTTCTCACGCCTATCAAGTCTAGGATCGACAGACTTGATGCAAACTCGCCCAGGTCCTACACGGCGTGGTCGAAAGAGCCTCGGAGGTTTGTCGGTGGCGTCTTGGTACGTAGCAGGATCGTAGTAGAGGAGTCCGTATGTAGATGATCGATATGATACTGCCATTGCGCACCCCGCGTTAGTACAGATGGCCCAAGAGATAAGAATGTGGTGCGAGGGGAGGAAGGCGAGCTCGTGGTTAGCAGGTGGGCTTGACAGCAAGACATGTTCTGTAACATATCAAGATTTGTGGTGAGTGGTGCGCAATGTGCCAGGTAACGGGAGGCATGCATGCGGCTCGCCGCAACAACCAAGGCGAGCAAAAAATCGGACACACGGTGCGTCATGGGTCTGCCAACGCAAAATGGGCACTGGCGGTCTGGTGGCCCGGGACAGGGAGGTGCTGTGTTACTTACAATCGAAGCGACGGGTTGCCGAAGAATGCGATCGGTCGGTATCGAAACGAAGGGGCCGTTCCCGCGGCGAAAGCAAGACTCAGGCCTGTTTCATATGTATTTCCCAAGTCATCCAACTCCCAAACGACCGGCCTTCCAAGCTGGCGAGTCGCGGCGGCGCAATAATAATAATCCTACGCTGACGAAGAAATGAAGGCTGTGGTGTTTGGCAGTGTTTGGCACGCACACGCGCAGATTTCCCTGCCTGCCACCCGCACGTCAGACGAGCGATTCCGATTCCGTGGCGGAGACGGCACACCCTGGCACCAATCGACCGAGCGAGCTTCCTTGTCTTCCTCCTGGGCGCAACCTTGGCCAGAGATGCAGCCTTGAAATTGGCGAATTTGGGCCGGCCGAGCGTGACAAGCGCTGCGAAAGACAGCAGACCACAACCAGGCGAATAGCGGCGATCGGCGTGGAGTTGCGATGCAGCTGTCGCTGTTTCCAATCAATCAATCAATGCAGCTGCTGGGCCGCGAGTGGTCCAGCCGCATCAACGCAGCCAGCGACGTCCAAGCCAAGAAGGTGTCCAAGGACAAGAACGGACGAGTGTGGCTTCGCGCTGGGCGTGGGCGTGGGCGTTGGATAGAGTATGTCAGTAGTATGCCAGTGTGCCCGCATGCCAGTATGGGAGGGGCAGTGGAGGAGACCGAAGATACAGCAGCCCGCCCACACATCAATCAAACTCTGGTGCACGTGGACAGCAGAGTTATGTTGGAGAAAAGATGCTGCTTCATCATCACATGCAGTCTGTTTCTGCTTCGACTGCTCCACGTCATGGCCAACTGGGTGTCGTCGGAAGTGCTACTCTCGCACTAAGCTGGATCTGCAGGAACCTTACCGCTCCGCCGACCAAAGCCAGAATCAGAATCCTCTCACGCTTCCGGTGCGGTGCGGTATCGCTGATGAGCTGGGCTGGGCTGGGCTGGGCTGGGCTGGGCACGATCATAGAACAACATATCATGTCAACTCGGCGCATGCGGCAGGCCTCTTCCGGGCTGCCGAATATGCATGAGCCACGCAATCTTCTCTCTGGTGACCGTCTCGTGTCAGACCAGATGAGAGAGACGTATAGCAGTAGAAGGATTATTGCTGGCAGAGAAGACGGCAGAAGACTTATTGCTATGCCGGCTATCCGACAGCTCCGGCCAAATGAGTGCCGTGATGCACGCAGGGATGCTTGTGGCATTGTGAGTCTGACAGATGCATCTCGGCCGGTCACGCGAGTACAGCAGTAAGAACACTCCTTCTAGTCAGCGCCCATGACAAAGCGGCGGCAGTCTATTGTCACGCTACCAAGCTTTTCGGGCTGTGGGGCGTGCCAGATCATACAACAAGATGGATGTGCCAGATGGCGAGCACTGGCATGGATGCGGGGATGCCATCTTGCGTCAACCGCTTACAGTGCCTCTTGACGCTACTCAGCCACTGCTGATTGGTCACTAGGACGAGTTCGTCTCCAGGCAAGCAAGCTTTTGAACGATGAGATCAGCACCCGTCCGCCTGCCGCAAGCCCAAATTCGCATCTCTTTGGAATCGCCAACCATACCACGATCTAGCCGTTTTGGACTTCACCGAAGCGACTACGTCCAAAGCAGAGCACTGCAGCAGCCATAGTATGCAGCACCATGGAGAACGAGCCCATTCCGGGAGTGCCCAGGTACTAGCATGATCGCTCCGAAGCCGCGGTGCATTCACTGACGTCCAGCTTCACGCCTCCGCGGCAGCGCCATCTCTACAATTCTAAATTGAGCTATTGATGAGGTCTACAGACTACTGCAGCCATTTGCCATCGATTCTTCCCACCCTCACGGTTCACCAGGCATCGGAGCTACTTCCACCACTTCCAATGTAGCATTTGAAACAAACAGCTCCACATCTCCACGCTACCAAGCCAAATCCGAGTTTACTTTCTGCCAACAATTTCCTCGCCCGAATACTCGGGGCCTCGGGCACCAGCTCTCTTCCAACAACCAGGAAACACGTAGCGCTCCAAAATAGCCGCGAAGCATCGTCAACCTATGAAGCCACGTTAGGATCGGCTCTTGCAAGGTCAAGGTCTTCAAGTCTCGCTAAGTGTGTTTCAAGATTTCTCCAGAACTGGTGTAACGTTAGCATCACGATGACAACACCTTCGAGAACTGGAAATTCACGAGCAAGTTTGTTAATGAAAAGCGTTGACTCGTGATGGCGCAAAAAAATTGACAGGATGTCGCGAAAGACTGAATTTTCTAACTTCGACATCATCCCAGTGCTTTGGATCGGAAACAAAGTGATGGAACCCTGCAGATAGCAATAAGAATCTGGGAAGTGTATCAAAATATCAGGCTCGTGTATAATACTGCAGGTACAGCCCTACCAATTTGCAGGTACATATCCAATCTCTAACACATCGGTCGATGCTTTCCTTCTATCAAGATTCACTCCAGCTTTGTCGAACATCCCAATTACGGATTGACAGGTGACCACAACTTGCAACGGCAATGGTACACTTTGTTCCTCGTTGGGTGGGATTCCTCGAGACTTGTCCTTGCTAAGCCTCTTCTGAAGGCACATGAAGACCATCAGCATCCTTGTCCAGTAGCAAGCTACCGACTGCCCTCACTACTGATCCAGACGCTTAGAATCTCTCTGGCACTGTTGGATAGGTACAAGGCCGCACACTTTGGGATGTACGACCATCTTCCAACATCTCCATCAAACACCACTGAAAAATCCCGAGAATATCCCTAGCAAAACACATGCATACATTTATTTATCTCTATCTACCAGATACCACCTCATATGCACATGGCATCGCGAACGCCGGCCAAAAAAAATTTTTTTTTGATAGAACTAGTCGTACACGGCTAGCAACAGGTACATAACCAGGCATGTATCCTATTCGCACACATGAAGTGTAAGGTAAATACGAAGCACATGGCAACAGAAACGCAACGCAACGCAACGCAAGATCCCGGACGTACTTGACATTTCCCTGTTTTGGTGCGACTACACAACAAAGAGCACGCGCGACGTCACGGTCCTTCCAGAAACTCACCAGATCCATCCTCAATCCATGTTACGACCAAGAATACGGTATGTGAAAATCCTCTCATCATGCCATCGAAGATCTATTCCGTCGCCGCGTTGCCATGGTGTTGGTGTGGTGTGGTCCACGAGATCTGGTCATACTGCTTGAGACCTGGTCGTAACATATAGCCAAGGGAGATGCCAGATGCTGATGTGGTCTTGTTGCTCGTTGAGACACGGGTGTTGATCGAAAATCTTGTTCGTCATGATCTAGATACGCTGTCTTGCTCTGGAAGGTGTATTTTCCTATGAGCCCAGGCAAGAGGCAGTGAGTGCTCAGTGTAGCTGGCACAAGGTTGAGTATGCTATCAAGGTATGTATGTATGTTCAGCTATCGATTCCTTTTCTTGAAGTCATCATTCGTCCTCATCCCACATTACCCGGTCTGTTTCCACGCATGGACATATGCATTTGATCATGCGAACATGATGCCCCCAAAGACTGCCAAGCGCCGCGCTATGCAGGTAAAACAATTCGTTTACTTCCTTCCATTCCTCTCAAGAACATGCCATTCTCAAGCCTTGGTTCTGGTCCTTGCAGCCTTTCTGCTTCCTGCAGCCGCTGCAGCACCGACAGCTTCTTTCTTCATCGCAATTTCCTCACTATCTTTCACGCTCATCACTCGCCTACCAGAACTCTCTTCACTGCCACCGTAGCCAAGCTGTGTTCCCGGTGCTGGAACGACTTCCTGCTTAGAAGGCGCAAAGCCATCTGCAACACTATACTCGCCCTCCTCACCCCCAGCAGACATGGCAGGGCTTGCAGAGTGTCTGCCTGCGAGATTTGTCAGAGAAGCGCCCGACAGATTCCTACCAAGAGGGCGATGCTTTCTCTTCTCAGGTAAGTTGGCATGTGATGCTGCGTCCTGACCTGATGCCACGCGGCGGTTCAAGATACTTGCGAGGTCGGACGTGAGTTCGGACATCATCTTAGGCGCGGGGACCGTCTTCTCTTTTGCTGGGCTCGGAATGGCATTCCGGGGTGACTTCGGCCGTAATTCTGGCTCGTGACTGTCATCCTGAGGTGAGATGGTGACAGCCTTGTCGGTCAGCGGCTGGTCTGTATCCGTATTATCGAGCCTCGGTCTGGTTGACACATGCTTGCTCTCAGACGATTTATCGGTTCGTGGTTGTGATGCGTTCGGCGAAATTTCTTTCAATGGCAATGAGCCAGCATTTATGGTCGTGGTGGTGTGAGATGCCGTCATTCGCTGAGTCACGTTGTCATCCACGGGCATTGGAGGTGCTTCGGCGTCGTCTTCGTCGTCTTCATGTATGAATGGACCAGGTCGGGATTTCTTGAGAACCGGCTCGTCCGACTTTGCTACAGAACCGGCCTTGAGCACGAGTGAAGGTGTTGCATGACGCCTGCGTGTGTTCGACAGGCGTTTGGGATGCGACAGGTCATCCGTTCTGCAGACAGGTTGTCAGTGCTCCGACACTCACCTATAGGAATCACGGGCGCTTACCGCTTTCCTTGTCCCCGGGATCCATTGAGTTGGTGGCGTGCACTCAAGGCTGAACTGGCATTTGACCCTTCTGGCGTTAGCAGCTTATGGTCGTATGCAGGCAGCTGGAATCTGTAAACGTCAATGGGCACCTTTTCTCGCGATCTCAACGACGCCCAGAGCCAAGCTTGTGAGACCACCGGGATATTGTGTTTGGAGGCATAAAGCGCCTTCTCCTGCTTGACATGCTGGGAGGCGCAAATCAGGATCGAAGTTGACGGCATCAGTTGCTCCTGGTACTCTGCCCCCATCAACTTGACTGTCTCTGCTGTCATGCGGAAGTCGACCTGGTCGAATCCAGTCATAGAAATCCTCAATTTGCTGAAGGCCGGTATCAAAGCTTCCGAAAGAGGTTGACTCAGAGCATCATCGTCCGGATCGAGCTTTTGCTTGAAGTAGAGACAGCGCTCTGCCCACCATTCAGTTACGAGAAGCGTCCCAGGCGGCACGTCGGGCAGCTTAGTAGGCTGCGCATGTGGCATGAGAAGACATCGTGATTTGAAGAAGATGTTCTCAGATGCGGCCTCTAGCTCATCTCCACTGCGGACCACAACACCACCTTCCTTCTCGATCGCGCCACGCAACTGTCTAGTCTTCTTGGTGTCGAAGCCATGGATCAAGACGTAGTATCCGGCGAACAGTCCTGTAGGCTCCATGGGGTCGTTTCGCTCAACGACGTCGAGCACGTCACTTCGACGAGGTGCAAGGCTATCTCGTGTCTTCTGGACGTCCTCCGCACGTGTGTCTTGCCACGCATCGACCAAGGATGTTTCTACCTGGACCTCGTGCTGGCTGAAGCTCTGCCACATGTCCTGGCTTTGTCCGGCAAGTTTCATGCTGGCACTCTTCCGTAGCTTCTTCCTCGGGCCTTGTTCAGCGGGCGTTGTCGCGTCTTCTCTCCCTCTCTTGCCAAGTGCGCTCTCCGGCCGTCTTGGTTCTGTTCTGAAGGCGCCAACGCCCTGCTGCTCTCGCGGCAGCTCTGGCAGGTAGTAGCTCTCGTCTACGACCATACCCCGAATAATACAGTCCTCGAGCCACTTCAAGCCGACCACTCTTATACCCCATTGCTTTGCATGTGTATACTTGGCACCCTCTGGGCGAGCAGCGATAAGGTGAGTGACGGACTTGACAAGGTCAGGACTGTACTTGCCACCGCGCGTCTCGACGTCTCTCTCTATGCTCTTGCGAAAGTCTGGATCCTCAAAGCCAGTGATGCATATCTGAAGAGAGGCGAACGTCGGCATCTTGTGCTGTTCCTCGAAGCCTCGTAACTTCTCCGCGGTGAGGTCTTCTCCGTCTCGCCATGCTTCATTTACTTGATCAATAAATTCAGGCTGCAACACCTTCACTTCGGGTCGTTCTTTGGCAACATATTTGTACTTGGGAGTATCAATATCGCCGACAAGGAGATGCGTCACATCAGACGTCAGGTCCAGCTTATGGACTGCGCCCAGCTGCTTCGCAACCTCGGCGATTCGAGTCTTTCGGAGGAGATGATGGTCAGAATGTGCACAAAGTCATGAGATCGTATGGGGATGGGGATGGGCATTGGATCTCTCTTACTCGCACATCCTGCGTCAGCGATGTAGAGCACACTACCACGCCTGAAAGCGGCAGTGCATCTTCAGCAGACATGTCAGTGAATGGTTTGCAGTGCAATGCGGTGTTCTGGCAGTTTCGCGCCGTACCTGTGTCGTTCTTTGTCGCCATCGCTGCCACTGATGTTCAAAGAGACGCGTTCTTGCCTTCTTGGAGCTCGACGCGTTCCGCGGCTTTAGAGTTTTGCCAAGACTCACACCGGAGCTGGCTCCTGGTGCAAGACCCCTCGCGCTTCTTCCTACCTCCGTTCAGGCCTTTGTGCATTAAGGATTACGTTCCGCGGTAGTGGTGGTGATACAGTCAAATTTAGGGTTCTTTTGCCGACTTCCGATCCACCAATTACATACCACTCTACCTAATCCTTTGCCCAAAGGCCTGAAGCCAAACCGCTGATTTTCATCGTGGATTCCGCTATCAAAATACGATCTCGCTATACCAACGACAACCAGCAAATCCAATACGAGGAGGTTGTAGCCCTGCCAATTGCGAGTCTGACGATCCAAAAATCTCGTGTATGCGACATATACGCGCTAAGTTACACTAATTCAGCGTAGACAAACGAGTTAGGCGAGACCAGCAATTTATGTTTCCTAATGATAATTCTCGAATTTGTAAAGCAATAGTATCATTAAAATAGCGGATATTCTTAATTACTGAATTATCTAGGAACCGTCTCTATAAAGTGCTATACTACGGGTGATAGTTGTTGCGGTATTCGAGCCAATATATATATGCTAGTAGGTAGATAGGCGAGCCTGCACCCGCCTAGAACGGTTTATCGTCAGGCGCTTCGCTAGAATGAGATCTCGAATAGCGCTAAACCTAACGTAGTATAGTATAGAAATAGAAGTCACGAGCACACATACGAATTCAACTACGAAGCGCCTGAATGGAGGTAGCGCTTCTTCTATCGCTTCGCCTTCGAGGCATTCGTTTCCTTTTTTCGTACGTATTCCGGCAGCGAGCCACGACCACCAACGATCCACGACCACCGACTGATCCACCACCGACTGATCCACCACCGACTGATCCACCACCGACTGATCCACCACCGACTGATCCACCACCGACTGATCCACCACCGACTGATCCACCACCGACCGAGCCGCGACCAGCGAGCGAGCCACGAGAGCTATTCGAGCGACGACCTAGCTAGCTATTCGCTATTCTATTCGAGCGACGAGAATAGAAGTCTATAGATGCCATTTATCCCAGTGAGAGATCTATATTTGCCAACAATGTTACATCAAAGCGACCAGCGAGCGAGCCACGAGAGCTATTCGAGCGACGACCTAGCTAGCTATTCGCTATTCTATTCGAGCGACGAGAATAGAAGTCTATAAATGCCATTCATCCCAGTGAGAGATCTATATTTGCCAACAATGTTACATCAAAAATCAAGTCATATTTTCCCGAATACGAGTATAAAAAAAACCCCCAAAGTCCAGATACGAGTATAAAAGCATACCCTTACCGACTCTCAATACTTAGTCCGTAATACAACTTAACATTATAAAATCCAACACCAACACTTACACTACTATGCTCTCTATACTTACCATCACTCTCGCTCTCGCCTTAGCCTTAACCGTGTCGGCAATTGATCCCGCTAGTGCATGTAATTGCACAAAACTCAGTGCTTGCATAGGAGAAGGAGCTTTTGGATGTCTACTTAGTACAACCGGACATACACGCCGTACATACTGTGTGGATAAGACTGAAGATCGAGGCTGTGGGGACGCGTGCTCGATTGCCGGGTTTCGGCATGCCTATAAGAAGAGAGAGTAAGTAGCGAGCGAGTCTGCGAATTTTTGACGAGTTCCTGATAGACGATGTAATAGCACAGACTACAACTGGTGTATGTGCAGCAATGCGGAGGCTACTGAATACACACGCCCTTGTACAGGCTAGTTAGGTGGAGGGCGGGGGCAAATTACCTGCCAGTTGGTGCTGATCTGCTGGATCACCTGCTGATACTACCTACATCAGCCAAATTGCCACGCAATATTTATGAGCTTCTCGCGAAGGGATACTGGGCTTATATATTGCCCGGCACCGCGCCCCCGTTAAGATACTGTAGCACCTTGTTTCAGACGAGCACCAATACATATAGTCCAATAAGCACGGCAGCCATGCCTCTCTCATGCGTGTCCAGTCCCATCGCTGCGACTGTTGGCGTAGAGCATTACTCGACTCAATCCAACCTCCCTATGGCAAGTGAATTCTTTGCTACTATTTGACAACAAATAGATCCGGCTGCCTATTGAAGGCTGAGCCACGGCATATAATAATTACATTTCAGCATTGCAACTCCCAAGTGCAACTTCCCAAGAGGACAACTCTACCCGCCAGAGTCGTTGGTGCTCTCGCTCGACCTATGCTCATCATGAGATTCATCCTGACCGCTTTCCACTTCGCTGTTACTATTTGAGCTTTGTTCCATCGGGCGTTGTATTTCCCCTGCGCTGGTAATTTCGTCATCATCATCCTCATCGTCATCGGATCTTGAGACGGGTTTGGCTTCTATCCCAAGCCTGCCTTTGATTACTTCGGCAATGGCTTTTCGCCGTTTCCTACCTCTACGGCCCTCTCGACCCATGGTAAGGAAATGGGATTCCTTAGGAACGCCGACGCCAAGCTCCCAGTCATCAACGTATTCGACCGTGTCTCGCCACGAATTTGCTTTGCTTGGCTCCGTGCGAGCACGTGGAGCCTGTTGATCATATGGTTTCTGGTTCAAGAGTTCTTGATGAGGGTCTAAACGAAGGCTTCTCCAAAGCAGCAGCTCTCCCTGCCTGCTGCTGCTCTGATCCATGGCCTCCAGATAATTGTCTTCGGCTCGAGCGAACTCTCCAGGACTCAAAGCACGCTTTCGCTTCCTTGATCCAGGTCTGGGTGAGCCTGGCTCCGAATCGCTGCCATTGTCGGCCTCAGAGGTATGATCAGAATGAGCGTCATCTTCTGTGAAGAGGTCGCTATCTTCCATGAATTCCGCGATGTCCTCTGCAAACACATTCGTATTCTCGTGGTCGCTGCACTCAGACGTTACATCGAGCTCATCGACAAGCTCTCTACGAACCTCTTTGGAAGTCAGTCGATATCCGAACTTTTTCCCTGGGCGCCCATCTTGGTATCTCTTAGAGTCGCTGTACACTGCCAGACGATTCCGCTCTACGACGTCGGCCCAATATCGGTGCCATTCTGGTTTCATGCCAAGCAGATCGACAGCCTGGTGAACATCCACTTCTCTGATCGCAGCCAGCGGAGTCCAGTCGGAGCGGCTAGAGTCTCCAGCTCGCAGACGTGTCATCGCCTGGAAGATCGCAGCTTGAACAAGGCGCCGAGTGAGGTTTTCGGCAATGGTTGTCAGGTCTTCTAACGCACTCTTGTAAATGGCTGGCTCGCTAGAGTCTTCGAGAATGGGTTTTGTATGATTCCAGTTTAGATGCTCTTGCTCACCGTTGTTCATGAAGACATTCCTCATGAGCTGCAGGAGAATGGGAAGTCGAAAAAGAGAGGCTTGGGCTGACTTAGCTGTTGTACGTGGGGATGGTGTAGATACAGAGTCGAGAGCGTCTGCACCAGATGATTCGTCTTGATCAATATCTGCACGGTCTTCCTGCTGTTCGTACAGAAGCTCATCGTGGTCCGCAACTTCTTCGTTAATGAGAAAGTCATGCCCATACTTGGCGACATCGGCAAGCAATTCGTGCTCGTAGCTTTCTATGGCATGACGATCGGCCATAGTTTCTAGCAATGCTTCACATTGTTCTGAAACCTCTAAAGCTGGAGGATAATAATCTGTCTGTGTAGAAGATGCCTGCTGGTCTGCTACTCCTTTCTGCAGCAGTGATAGATATACAAACACTTCGTAATGACTTTTGGTGCCAACAGCGCGGGAGATGCCAGGAGTGTCGTCCAGGCCGTGAGTGTCTAAAGCACGAAAGAATGCATTCTTTTCCTGTGACGTCCAGAAGGACGCTCCAATTTTAGACGAGGCCAGGGGATGTGAGTCTTCGATCGAGTGGCCGTGTACTTCAGAAATCATGCTCTCTAGAATACTTTCATAAGCTGATGCAGCGTGGGTGTCTACTTTCTGACTTGACTGAGAGGTCCGTGACTGGTCGCGCTTGGATTCGCGGGATTTGCCTTTGCTGGATTGCCTTGAGCGAGATTGCCCTTCGCTGGATTGCCCTGAGCTGGGCTGGACCAGCGAGTCTGATTTGTGGACGAGTCGGCGTGATTGTGGTATGGGCGTCTGCTGCGTTGGCTCATCCTCTCCCGGCCTGAGTTGAGCTTGGTGAGTTTGGCGACTTTTTCTTTCAATAGAACGGCCTGGTCTTTCACTGTCTGAAGTCGACCGTTCGTCGTCATGTTCGCTTTTGATATATTCGTCTTCTGAGGTGTCGTCAGCCATCTTGAAAGCGTTGCGGGGACGAAGGTGGTTTTATGGGTGTGATCAGTGGTTGCGTAGCTTGCGCAGCGTTGAGGCCTAGAATAGTCGGGATCGAGGCTGCCAAAATGTGTGGAGTGGAGGACGAAAGTGATGGTCCGCCTGGTCGCAAGCGCAAGCACAACGACGACTGGAACTCTATTGCCAACCACTTCTCTTCGATCTTCGGTGATTAACAAGGCTGTGCTCCTGGAATGCCGACGAAACTGCGATAGCATGAATTCTGCTAGCGAGGGACAACGATCGCGCCAGAGAACAGCTCCAGTCACAATCTACGCACCATGATCACAACAGACGCGCCGCGACGACGAAGACAACGCCGGACCATAGCAGAGCCTTGGGTGCATCGGAGGCGAGGCGCGAATGATGTCTCTGATATCTCATACCACGAGGCTCAGCATTGAGATGCTCAAGGCCATTCGGCTGCCGGCGCCAATCCTCGGTAAAATACCCACCACACAGCGGAAAAGATGTTGCAAATCCGCGAGGCGAGGCGAATCGACGGCGAACATCTCAACCTCGCCGCCACCAACAGTGAAAGAGGCGAGTGAAGGGAGGCAAACCGGCGCACATACCAGAAAAGCCGAAGACAGAGCCTTTGTTTTGCCCGATCTCGCCCAACACTTTGTACCCCTTCAACCAATGACTGTGCTACCTCAGTCCTTCTCAATGGCTTAGCGACCTCGGCGCGCGATGGAATGCGTTTTGGCCTCCTGTGCAGCGCGCTATACTGATAATGATGGGCATGCCGCCGACGGAATCCTGGCACCATGTACCTCTCTCTGCTGTTGAGGCCTTGCACAGCAGAATTTCGGGCGTCATTGCCGTTTGGTAGGTTCGTTGTAGAGCCTGAGTCAGATCTTTCATCCTCACTTAAATACTCGCTTCTTCTTAATTTAGTCCTCTCGCTGGTCTGGAGTGAATGCAAATTCATCCATGCGGCTCACGATGGCAGAACGCAGAGAGAAGCAGCACCCCACTGAGGCAGTCGAAGAAGATCTTGAAATCAAGCCCGAATCCGAGAAGGACGATTCACATTCAGAACACAGCCTGCATGGTGGATACAGCAACGAAAAGTCAAATGAAACCAATGACTCCGAGACAGACCTGGAAAGCCAAAGACCAAGCCTCAACCTGCAACACACCAGATCACACATATCAACTCATGATCCAGACCCAGCATCCGGGCAAGATGCACACTTTGAAGCTGGAGACGAGATCTACAACCGCTTCTCGAAATGGCGCAAGATCAGTATCGTGGCGATACTCAGCTTTTCCTCCTTCCTGGCACCCATCTCCTCGACGTCAATCCTAGCCGCTTCTCCCGAAGTCGTAGCGACTTACAACACTACGGGAAACATCTTCAACATCTCCAACGCCTTGTACATGCTTTTCATGGGACTCTCACCCTTAGTATGGGGACCTCTAGGACAGACATATGGCCGGAAGTGGACTCTAGCCTGTGCATCGATTACATTTACAGCATTCAGCATTGGATCTGCACTGGCCCCAAACCTTGCAAGCTACTTCGTCTTCCGCTGCCTGACAGCTTTCCAAGGCACAGCCTTCCTCATCATCGGCGGCACAGCAATAGGAGACATCTACCGACCCGTCGAGCGCGGAACAGCATATAGCTGGTTCATGAGTGGGACACTCATCGGCCCAGCCTTTGGCCCCTTCATCGGCGGCATAATCGTCACCTTCGTAACCTGGCGCGAAATCTTCTGGTTACAAACCGCCCTCGCCGGTCTAAGCAGCATCCTAATCATCGCCTTCCTCCCAGAAACAATCCACCGCAAACGCTCAGACGACCTAAAAAACCTCCCCCGAAAAGCACGCGCCAAGAAACTCTGGACTTGGATAAATCCAGCACGCATCGTCATCCTCTTCCGCTACCCAAACCTCTTCATCATCGCCATCGCAAGCAGCAGTCTCGTCTGGAACATGTACTCCCTCCTCACGCCCATCCGCTACGTCCTGAATCCACGTTTCCACCTCTCTTCACCCCTCCAATCAGGCCTCTTCTACATAGCCCCAGGCTGCGGATACCTCACCGGAACCTTCTTCGGAGGCCGCTGGGCCGACGCGGTGGTGAAACGCAACATAAAGAAACGCGGCCAAAGAATCGCCGAAGACCGCCTCCATTCTTGTTTACCGGCGATGGGAATCGTGATACCCGCATGCATGATTGTATATGGATGGTCGATTGAGAAGGAAGTCGGAGGTATACCTTTACCAGTTATTGTCATGTTTCTGCAAGGCGTGGCGCAACTTTTTTGTTTTCCGAGTTTGAATACTTATTGTTTGGATGTGATGCAGTCGAGGAGTTCGGAGGTTGTGGCGGGGAATTATTTTGTTAGGTATCTTTTTGCTGCGGCGGGTTCGGCGGCTGTGTTGCCGATTGTTGAGGCGATTGGGGTGGGTTGGTTTTCGACGATTTCTGCGCTGTTTGTTTTGGTTGGGGCGTTGGGGACTTGGGCTACTGCTGTTTGGGGAGCGGGATGGAGGGAGAAGATTGATGGGGGAAAGGTGGTGGGTTAATGAGGGAGACTTGGTTGGAAAGCATTTGCATGTGATACGCGTGGCGTTGAGGTTGGGCTTGAGATACCCCAAGATGTCGAGTGGAATACATAGCACTGGCCATCTTACATTCGGCTAATATAATCAGAAGAGTGATGGATGCTATCATACATTGTGCAATCTAGATTGAGCCATTTCCATCCTGCTGCAAGAATAATGCACCTCCATTCTGATTCTGAGGCATCAGCTTCTGGAGGCTTTTGAGTCGGTAATCACCAACAACCGTTTCCCAATCATCGTGCAACAATCCATAGGTTTCGTTATCGTAGCCTTCCGGCTTTCGTGGATTGAGAGCCCAATATCCCCAATCCGCATCCGTTTCATTCAAGATCCGCATCGAATTCTCCCAATAGTGGTAGTCGTGGTCATTGCCGCTATGAGGTGCCCCAAATTCACCGACCCAGACAGGAGCGGTGTTCTCTTCGATAAGATACGCCCAATTCTTGCGCATATCTGCTGCGAAAGACGGATAGGGGCGCTTGCCATACGGCACACTAGGGATTGATCCCCAGCCCGACCACGAGTAGATATGGCTGCTATACACTACGCGATTCGGGATCGAGAGCTTCACTGGCCTGTTCTTGGCCCCTGAGCAGTCGTTCGCGGATGATATGCCTTCGACGAACATCAACCAGTTTGGCTGAATCGCAAGCAATGCTTCGCTCGCTTTCTCGGAAGCGCTTGCGAACATGGACCATGTCATCGTGCCCCATAGACCACGTGGCTCGTTGCGTAAGTCAGCCCCGATCACAAATGGGTTGTGAACGAAAGGCGCCATCACTGTTCGCCAATGGTCGATCCAGGTCGCAGTCGTCTGCTTGATCTTGCAGAACGGTCCGTAGTGGTCGTTTTTCCAGCTCGAATCGCACAAGTTCATGCCGTCGCACCAATGAGCATTCGTGATGTGGTTGTTGGGTATCACGATCAAGCCCGCGTCAGTCATCGACTTCACGCACGCGTTGAAGACTTCCAGCGCTCGTGGTCCTTTTGGGGGATCGGTGGCCCGTTGCCCGTTCGTACGATTGAGGTCATACCTGTCTAGCAAGTCCAGGTTGGCAGAAATATACTCTGGGGGGATGATGGGGTTCTCAATGACCATCTGATCGGAGTAGGGGAAGCGAACGGAATTGAAGCCCATGCGCTTGATCGTCGCAGCGATCTCGTCTCTGTGCCGGAAGTCAAGGCCACCGGCAACGAAGTAGACGTCGCTGGCGCCATACCAGTTCACGGATGCTAGCTTCACCCTCTGGCCGTTGGCGTCCACGATGTGCCTGCCCGCTGTCCTGAGAGGTGGTGCAAACCACGGCTTCGTCGTCGTTGTCACATTCTTGACGGGTGGATTGAGAACGAAGTGCACTGGCAATGCGACTCCTGATGGCAGTAGCAGTAAGCAGAGGATAACGACAAAGGTCAGAGCAACGATCGCCGCGAGTAGTCTCGTTCTGCGAACCATAGCTCCTGCCGTCCTGCGGCGTGAAGGGGTTCAGTGAATGTTGACGATGGATAAGGCTGAGAGGGCAGCTTCACGTCCGATCGTCTAACACCAACCACCCCAGTCTCGAAATCGCCCTCGTCCTGTAATCGATCGCCGACGGCGTAAGCTCACGTGTAGGAGGAGAGAGACGTCCACGGTATTTGTCTCGTGCGGACTGCGAGATGCCGGCTCCCGGGCGATAGTCAGCACCAGTCAGCGCCAGCTAGAGCCTGTAGGAGCGCAAGCACCGGCGGAAGAGGCGGACGCTGCCATCATCGGATTTTGGGGCCGGTGGAATAAATCTGCCATTGGAGCAGAGCAAGAGCTGAGAGCTGGTGAATGAGGATACATGTTGCCATGTTGGTGCCTGAATTCTGAATTCTGATGGTATCCTTGGCGTGGTGAGGGAGAGGAGAGACATCGGGCCGAGCCGAGCCTTCTCTTTGCATCGGAATGGCGCACGCACCTTGCTATTACGAATCACGATTCTTCACCGTACGCAAAGTCCTGAATCGGGAGATGTCACGTGACCAACGCGCATGGAAACATGCCCTCACTCACTTCACTTCACCAAGCATGAGCGATTTTGGGATCATACGCTATCTTTTGACATCGTCGCTCTTACGAATCGCGATTGATAGTGAGCGCTTCCGACTGTGCTCCCCACTGGTGGTCGCCTCCACACTGGCATCTTTTGCGACGCCACCTTTCTCGTCAGCCGTTACTCCGCCTGTTCCTTGCTTTGCTCAATGTCTTGGGCCGAGTTCGCCACGCCACTCTTGTCCTGGTCTACGCCGACCTTTTCCTCCTTTCGAACCAAACCCTTATCTCTTATGAGTGCCGATAGAAGGAAGGCAATGGCAGCGACTGGCAGACAACAAATGAACACCGCTCTGCTAGCAGCTGCATAGGCATCCGCAATCGCCTCTTGGTCAGAAATGCTGTAGTTGCCAAGATTCGGGACAGCAAATGTGCTACTTGCTACGGAATGCAGCCTCGAAGGCAAAGAGCCCTTGAGAACATTTGCCAGGATCGCAGAAGAAACTGCAAGACCAACGGCACCTCCAGAGCTGCGAAGGAAGTTTCGATTCGAGGTCACTACTGCCCTCTGAGCCTTGGGGCAATGAGCCTGGAGAGCAACGAGTGTGGGCTGGAAAGTACATCCAGTGCCCGCGCCGATGAGGACGAGGAAGAACGAGACGAGGCCAATGTGGATGTTTCGGTCAGCCATCATCAGCAGCCCAGATCCAAGAGTCCAAATTCCAAATCCAAACCAGATTACCTCACCATACCGCCCAACTTTTGAGATGTACAGACCGGCAGAGACCGAGAAAATCGACTGTGTTACTACCATTGGCAGCTGTAAACATGCCGCAGTCAATGCGCTTTTACCGCGCACGTTCTGGAAGTACAACGGGACAAAATACAGATAGCTGTAATAGGCCAAGCCGAGCATGAAACTTTGTCCGAGCATGGCCGACACGGATACTTTTCTGAACATCCCCAGTGGCATCATGGGTAGCTTTGCGAACCTCCACTCAATCAAAAGAAAGAGGACGAGGCATACTCCTCCAACAGTCAGCATCGCGATGACCAGCGGAGAGTCCCAAGGTGTGTCGGCACGCCCTCCGGAAGAGATGGGGATCAGAAGCAGGATGACCGCTGCTGTGCCGAAGAACAAGCCCAGAAAGTCAATCTTCGCCACTGTCTCTTTCAAGTTCAGTTTCGGCATATTCGATGGTAGCCACCTCCAGCTCGCCGCGAATGCCAGCAGACATGCCGGCGCAAGCATGTAGAACAGTCCTCGCCATGTCAAGTTCGTAGCGAACGCAGATGCAATGATCGGTCCAACCGCATTACCTGCTCCGACCATCGATCCTAGGATACCCTGGTATTTCCCTCGTTCTTGTAATGTCACCACATCGCTGACGATCATCATCGACAGCGAGGCAATACCACCGTTCGCCACTCCTGCCAGACCGCGGAAAATATACAACATCGTGCTGTTGACGCTCAAGCCACATGCCAAGTCGCTGAGGGAGAGCAAAATCAAAGCAGAAAGTATGACTCTCTTCCGGCCGAACAGGTCAGATAGTCTCCCGTATAAGACTTGAAAGACGGTATTTGCGATGAGGGCTGACGTTCCTGCCCAGGAGATCGAAGACTCTGCGTTGAGATCTTTGGCTATCGATGGTAAGAGTACTCCTATACCGTTCTGGTCCAGGAAGCAGACGAGAAGTGATGAAGCCATGATCGAAAAGACCAGAATGAGTTCTTTCTTCGGAAGTAGATTTGTCTGATCATGTAACTGTGCTTCGGCCTGAGCCTGCTTTTCCTTCCGGTCGCCGGTCATTGTCGAGTTGAAATAAGCTCAAGACGATCCGCATGCACTCTTGAATAATCGAGGTCGTACTAAGATTAAAAAAAAACTCCTCCACCACTCCAGACGATCGTCGGCAGGCCAGAGAAATATTCGGTGAGCCAAGACGCTTAAGCGAGCGGGATAGGCGTTCGTATGATCATATTCCAGTTAGATGCTTCCTGCGAGTAATCCAAGCAGGAAAAAAAAAGTCCGAAGAGGCCGATGAGTGGAAAGGAAATGGCAATGCAAATGCAAATCCGATGAGGTGTACTTACATATATCGACGGTAGACTCCCTCCTTCCTGCACTTCGGCAGTCTTACCGCTTCCTCCACTCTCGCGTATGTAACCCATTATGCATGTAGTTGTAGTAGGCCATGCAAGGAGGACGGGAGGGAGGAAGCGTAGCGGATTCCTCAAAATCGGCATTTTTCCGTTCCGCCACAACAAATGAACGGACTCGAAGTAGACGCATGTCAAACTAGCGAATGAGACTACGAGCACACGTGAGATCAACGCAAGTGTCGCAATGGTAATGCTCAAAAGAAAACCCCCGTGCTAGTTAGGTTATGGGAGTTGGGTGCCGAAATCCGAGGTTTTGCCTGCACACGATCGATGCCCGGAGAATAGATCCGAAACCGGCGTGTTGAGTGGTTCTTAACTCCAGCTCAAATCCGTGCGATGTAGGATGTGTTCAGAATGGATTGATTGGAGGCGCATGTGATAAAAGGCAGGTTGAGCAGGCAGGAAGCGGTGATGGTGGTGCAGGTGCGGGCGGGAGAAGTAATGAGATAGGCCAATTGCGCAAGCCGACATGTTGGCCGCGGTGTTGTTTCCATAGAGAGGTTGCATGTAGATTTACTTGTCGAGGACAATGGCTGAGTTGTTCGCAATGCCAAAAGTTTGTCCGCGTCTGGGTTTCAATCTGTCTCGAGACAAGGTTCGATACACTCCTTGCACTTGAAGTCTCTTTGTAGTCAATTGCCGTTACTTGGCGACTGCGACCTCTGCTCTCAACGGTGCCCAGTAAACATCAGACTCTCTAATCACAACATCATCGAGGCCTTCAACAGGTCCAATAATGTCGATATCTCTCTGACTTCTAACCAAAACATCTCGGCACGGCATAGACATCGTCATATTCTCATCATTGCCTGCGCCAGTCAATGCGGCCAGTTGCGTTTCGGCCGCTGCATATACAATGCGTCCTATGTTGGCCCAGTAACAGGTTGATGTGCACATTGCACAAGGCTCCCAAGTGCTGTACAACGTGCATGTCCATAGATATTCTTGCTTATAGTGTGTAGAGGCAAGTCTCGCCAGGCTGGATTCTGCGTGATGGACGTGATCGATGGACTGGTGGGAGAGCAATACGGTCTCGTTATCAGGTCCAACTAGTGCGGCAGAGAAAGGCCTCTTGCCCATTGTGAGTGCTCGCCGTTGAACGACCAAGCATGCTTCGATTCCGGCTCTGATCTGCTTGACATCTGGTCTTGGAGGTCTTGCAGGGAAGATGGAGCTTGTTGGCATGGTACGTTGTACTAGTGGTGCACTTTATTCGAAGGTGTCGTTGCGAGCACGCGGAATGAGGAAGATCGTGTAGTCGGACAAGCCTGGAGCTTTCAATCATGGAATTAGCATGATACCGGCAATGGCGGCGAGCTCCGCTGTGGATTTCCTTTTCAGGCCTCTGTAGGCGCAACTTCTACGACAATCTTGCCCTTTGCTCTGCCAGTCTTCAGTTTAGTAAAAGCCTTTGGAGCTTCTTCGAAAGTGAACTTCTCGTCAATGATCGTCTTCACCTTTCCTTCTTGCATCCACGTTGCAATTTGTGCAAGGTCTTCGGTCTTTGGCTCTAAGAAGAAACCCTGCAACTTGCGCTTGCCGCCTCCTAGAAAGCCTGGCCAGATGCGTGTTGTGATAGCTTCCCAGAGGAATTTGAAGGACAGGAGAGCGCCAACAGAAACATAGATAGCACCCGGTCTTGTGTACTCGTGGCATTTCCAGAAAAGTCCCATGTTTGCCCCGACGTTGTCTACAACGTGGTCATATTTTCGACCACTGGACTTCAGCGTATTTGGCACATCGTTCTTCTTGTAGTCGATGTCGAGCAAGTCGTGGTGACATAGCATCCTTTCGCTTTTGCGATCTGGATGCCGTACACGCCTGTGCCGCCGGATCCACCATTGATGAAGACATTGCTACCTTCTTTGGTGTAAGGCACGATGGTTTGGTATGCTGAAAGGCCGGCCGCGCAAACACCCGAAGCATCAATAGGTGAGATGCCTGCAGGAACGGGAACTACTGTTTTCGGCGATGCGGTTGCATACTCTGCGAGTGCACCCCCAGCGATACCAGGGCCCACGGCCCCAAAGACTACCTGTCCTGGTTGTAGTTTGGAGCCATCTGCCGGCTGCACCATTTTGCCCGCGAAGTCTATCACAGGAGTGGGTGGCTTCTTGATGAACAACGTGAAGAAAGGAAGCTCAACTGGCTTGTAGTCTACTGGATCTAAAATGACAGTGGTAGTCAGCGAATGTGTGTTCGGGTATGAGAGCCCTTGGTACATACTGAGCGCGGCAGCAATAACTTGGACTAGAATAGGTGTTGATCAGGCTTTGGCTTGAGCATTGGCACGTCTGGATTGAGCTTGAGATTTTTCTCCAGACCACCTGAAGCTGATGTGAACTGCCATGCTCGGAAGCTTGCAGGCGGAGAGGATGTCATGGCTGCGGTCTCTGCGAGTGATCGGCGGCTGCTGCTGCTGCTGCTGAGAAGTGAGTGGCAGTTGATCAGGTCAAGAATGTGCAGTATGAGAGATATCTGGCGTCTTGTTTACTTGTGCATTCCAAGGCGGCACGAATATCTGCAAACAGCTCTAGTTTCAGTGCACAGACTACTCGCTTAGCTAGCCAATGGTTCCTTCCCTACCCACGCCACGGTACCTCTGTGAACAGTGAGAAATAATGTGACCTGTCGCACCTCATGCCCATTTCGACCACGCCGAGGCACTCTATCTGGAGCTATGTCGCCGTACCGCAGGACTTCTGGAAAGCCGTGCCCTACAGAATGGAAGGAGTCTCTCCCACACGAGGAGCCATGTGTATTATTATGGGCATCTGCACGTTTCACCAGCATTTGGATACTTTGGCGATCGACGGCTGGAGAACTACGATTGACATGCATGGCACCATACCAAGGAGCTGGAAAGTCTAGACTTCCTGACACCGATGACTAGTGCACTGCCTACTACTAGTTGCTTTGCTTGGGCTCAAGCAGACCACTTTGCATACTCTCACATCCGAGCCGCCTTCTTGACAGCCACAATCCATTTCATGCGCCTGAAGCAAGCTCTGGCAGGATATATACCCGTATCTAGTAGTAAAAGCCAATTATACCGACATCTAAACATCCGCAAAGCTCGGCATAACCGATAAAGCGCTGCTTCTCTTAAGCCTTAGAGGAAGTCTCTGTCTTCGAAAAAGAGGAGAATACTTAAAGACTATTACTACTTAACTAAAGACCGAGGATACTACTTACGAAGAGTAGCAATAGAAAAGGCAAGTTAGTTCGCGTTTGCACTTTCGTATTAAGCACTGTATCCTCAGATTATTATAGCTTCTACTCTACTCTTGCTTAGTCTATTTAGACTTGCCTCTACTATACTACTTTAAACTAGATTAATATCTATAAACTAAATTACGGATATATAATAGAAAGCGCTTAATACTAGCGTCGGTAGCAGGCTATTTATAGCGACCCTATACGCGAAGCCTTGCTACAGTTTCTACAATGGCGTGATGTCGAGGTTTTGGGGGGGGGGGGCGATTGCGTAGGATAGGGGGGATGCTAGGTATGCGTGTTATCCGAGTATTTTTTAATAATAAGGCCCAGAGGGATGGCCCGGATGGGGAAGATGGCGTTGTTGAGATAGATTTGATGGAAGTATATCGTTGTCTGCATTTTAGCCTTAATCCGATCGATGGGTCGTGTGCAAGTTGGCAGTGCAACTGTGCTGTGCTGTTCACGATCCTTGGGAAAATTGTAAATCTTGGCATCGCGGGCTTCCTGGCAACTTCTGCCGAGAAAAGGTGTTGGCTTGAGACAGATGCATACAAACCTCCTCCCTCCCTTCCTTCTTCAAAGAAGTGATGAGTCTTACATTTGATCTATCTTGATGATAATGAGGTAGGACAGACCTGCCAGTCTTACATACAAAAATTTATACATTACAAAGTTTCTGCGTTTCGTGGTGGTTGTGTAGTAGTAAGTAGTAGTAGCTGCAAGAATAGCCGTGGCCCCAAACCCCTATATGGATGGAGCGAGTAGTACCTGGAAGCTTTCAATACTGCCGTGATTCTCATTCGGGGTCAATATGTGAAAAAAAGGCAAAATCCTGCGCAGAGCCGCTTGAGGTGCGGCAAGGTTGATGCTGGCATTGGCTGGGGTTCCAAGATGCCCCCAATTTCTGGATCCATGCCAAACTTCGGTCCAGGGAGGTCCATTATCCCTGAAGGCCAATCGTTTGTCCCAGATGCGGCTTTCATCGGTGTGCTCCCCAACGCCGGCGACAATTATGCGTTGTCTAGGTAGGGTAGGTACTATGCCATGGTTGCGTAGATGGGTAGGAGAATGGGGTCGAGCGATTGTGTGCCCACCAGCTTGCCATAGACTGTGTTGAATTTCACGTTCGATTCGCTAATATCGGCTCGTCCGAAAACCGTCACGCGGTCGTAGGGAGGGTCGCCAACGCTGTGAGGATCAATCAGTACGTGAATTTGAATCATGGCATTATTCCCTCTTACGCTGGGTCGTTGAACATATGTTGAAGATCAATTGTGAACTTCCTGATGTCCTGGAGGGGTTTGTCAAAATGCCATGCGAAAGTTGAATTGTCACACTGGAACTGTCATTACTGGTAAGCGTGGCGCGAGAATGCGGTAGAATGAGGGAAGCGTACTGCGTGGCCTCCTTGTGGGTATAGCGGGCTACCATGCGGCCATGTTCCACTGCAATTGGCCACAGCATTGGAGAGCGGGTCTGGATTGTATGCGGTGAAATTGAAAGTTGTGTTTGCGGCAACGTCGTCGACTATGGTGAGGTTGAGAATCTGGAGAGGTGGATTTGTGGCTTGTGCCGCTCGATCGAAAATGAGCGGTTGTGCCGTGACTGATGTCGAAGCCAGGAGCGTCAGGCCGGCAATAGCTGCTACGAGTCGCATGATGGTGTATCCTGAGATTTAATGTGTAGTCGTATGCATGAGGGAGGGTGACTTTATCGAAGCAAGCTGGAAGATGCGTCGCTTTTCTATGCAGTAGTACGTAACGGGGATGGAGCGAGGGATGAAGGAGCGTATTACGTGTCGGTAGGGTCAAGTGAGTGAAGTAAGGTCGACAGTAGTAGAAGAAGAGACGGCGTTGGAGCTGCGACCAGGATGACGTCCAGTGATGTTGCAAGGCGAGACAGGACAGCACGACGTTGAAGTCTGAGGCAATAGGCAATGCACGGCGCTGCTGATGAAAGACGAAAGAGGGATTGGGAGATGTTAGGAAGATATCGAGGCAGAATGGAAAGAAGCTACGAACAGTGGGAGTGAACAGGGAATGGCTGGCACTGCACCGAGAACACGGGTCTTGGCAATGGTAATGCAACTTTGGAGAGAGCAGAGAGAGCAGGAGGACTGGAATGCCAAGCGGCACGTAAAGTCTGTTTGATTGGTGCAGGAGATTGAGCGAAGTTACCATGTTGGTCGGCTCGGGGGCGGTGACGTTGTTTTGGATGATGGCATGGCATTGCTCGAGCGCATCGTCGTGGGACCATGGTGATAGTAGCAGTCGCCAATGAATGGGCCATGGCACGTCTGTCCGAGCGAGCACAGGAGTGGTGTGGAAGGGTCGCCGGAGGGAGGTGCGAGTGCGACAGAAAGGGGACTCTCGCACTCGTACGCCGTACGGAGCTCTTCTCCTCGCCTCACCAACAACAAAGACCTGGCAGTAGCCGTTCTATTTTTACCCATAGCACCGTACGGGCCGAAGGCGTGTCTGGTCGTGCTTGCAGCAGGGTCATTATTATTATTAACTTACGCTGCTGCTGATGATGATCGCGGCTTGCTGCGAAACCGTCATCCGACGTCGTGCTGGGCGTGGAACACGAAGCGCTGGAGGCATTGTCATTCGCCATTCGCTTCCAGACCTCCAGCTCTGCTCTGCCAGTCTGCCTACAGCCGCTGAGGCACGCGGGCGGCAGAGCACCGAGCTGGCCGCCGACGCATCGCATGGCATCGCATTGCATCGTGCATGGCATCGCATCACGCCCTCCGTCTGCGCGCGTCTCACCATGCATAGCTTTATACCCTTATTAGTCCTCCTCACTACTTCCCAGTGTAACTGTGCGCGCGCGCGTCTCACCATAGCTTTATACCCTTAGTCCTACGCGCACTTGTGGCGGACGTCGTTCTCTGCGCTGCGCTGCGCTGCGCTGCGCTGCGCACGCGTTTCTGCCCCGACGTTTGTTCTATCTATGTCTCCCTCCTGGCCACGGGGCATCGAACGAGCCTTACGCTTGGACCGCTCTGCCTTCGCAGCAGCAGTGCCTATTGCGCTGCCGCAGTCGTGCTGCGCTGTCGGAGCAGATGCGTTCGCTGTTCTTCTCCCACAAGCCCGGCCGCAAGAGTCAGCACCATTCGTGGTTGGAAAGCCAGCATCCAGGTACGTCCGCACTCGACATCCCTGTCGACTTCGCATCCTGATGTCGCAGACGTTATTATCATTCTTGACACGCCCACTTTTGGCATTATTTGCGGCCTGACAGCAGACTGACACACAGCCTTGGCAGACCTGCCGCTGCCGCTGCCGCTGCCGCTGCCTCTGTCGCCGGCAACCAGAACCGCCAGTCCTCGCTCACGCTCCTTGAACCGATCGGCTAGCGTCCACGAACGCGCAACTGGGAGCACCACAGCACCAAGCTCTGCCTCTAATCGTCAACCCGGAGGTACTTATTAGCTTCTCGCAGCGTTGTCCTACCATCGCCTATCCCTACGCTAACAGCGCATTGGAAGATCGTCGCTCTATCGCCTTCGCCTTCCCGCCTGATTTCTCCTCCCCTAATCCCACCCACACCACGACCAATACCCACACGCCCACCTTTCACTCTCCCGACGACGTACGAGCTCCGCCATCGCCCACTCTCGCCGCCCCCGCTGGACGAGGTTTGTCGCGCTCGCGGACAGTAGTGCGCAGAGCAGCGAATAGCGCTGGCACCACCACTGGCACGCGCTGTTTCAGCATTGAAGCCGGCAGCAGCAACCATCTCCTCCCCGAAACGTCCCCGCCTCAGCAGTGGTCGCCGAACTTCACGCAGCTGCCCACCCCCAACGAGCAAGCCGAACTCTCCTTCCCCGTTGACGATCGCGGGGCGTCGATGAGCGCACACAACAACCCAGCGAAGACTTCGTCCGACTCCGGACAACAAACAGCCCTGGATCGCTGGTCGCAGCGCCGGCTGCAGAGGCTGAATACCGAGCACGTATTTCGCGAGCAGCGTCAGGGCGGCCAGGGCGTCTTAAGTCCTCCGCCCATCGAAGCCAGCCACGAGCAGGCACACCAGTTGGGCCACCAAAACACTGCCAGCGCCAGCTCCAACCAGTACCCAAATGCGTCTGCACAGCCACACCCATCCTTGCACCATCATCAACCTCAGCCGCAACAAGGCAGCTATCAGGCCTCTCGCACCGCCCCAGGAAACCCGTCGTCGAACGCAGGCCTAGCTCTCCACACCTCTTCGTCCCCCAGACCAAACGATTATCCCCACGACCAGCAGCAGCACCAGCAGTACTCGCCGCCCGAAACCGGCAGCTACCAGACCGAGCCCAGCCGTCCGGCATTGAACCAATCTCGCAGCTTTTCGCAGCAAAGCGGCGACTCGTCGTCCATGTCGAACAATGGCGCCCTGCCCGCTCCCAAGGCAGTGAGAAACGGCAACCGGCAGAGCGTTCACAACGCCATGCAGTCGCAGTCACGTGAAGGATCAACCGCGAACCAGGGAGGTCAAGTGCCAGCCTTCAGTGCCTCAGTCGTTCCCCCCACCAGCCAAGGCCAGCCATACAAAGGCAACGGCGGCCAGACCACCCAGCAACAGCAGCATACTGATGTGGGGAGAGCGACGCCCCAGCCCTTGCAGACTACCGGCGATGAGATGACCGATGATGAGGTCGCACAGCTTGTCAAGGATCACAAGGAACTGCGTACGTATCTGCTCAGAAGATCGCCACGACTGGAGACTAATGCTGCTGCAGGCGAGAAATACACAAAAGTCAAGAAATACTACTTCGAGAAAGAAGACCAGGTCAAACAGCTTCAAAACAGCCTTGCACACCAGCGTCTATCACAATCACGAACGTCCCTAGACGACAGCGAATACACCACCAGATTCAACCGACTCGACGGTCTAATTGCACAGCTTGCTTTCAGCATACGAAAAAGCTGGAAGAGCATACCGCCCTGGCTGGTGAACTCAGTGAACAAAGATGCTGTCGCTACAGGCAAACAGGAGATGACTGCAGCCGGCAGAGCATTCATCTCAAGCTGGCTGGTGGAGGAGGTATTCGACAAGTGCTTCCATCCAGATCTTGACCCTAGGCTTTCGGCCGAACTTAAGACGGTCCAGCGGAACATTCGAAAGTACGCCCCCGCGTCACAGACTGCGGAGGAAGAAGAATTCCTTACCTCAAAGATCGTGAACTGGAGATTGGCTACTCTCGAGGGCCTGCAAGAAGCATTGAGATCACCATCTTGCCCGGAAAACCGGCAGCGACTCACGGACATGCTCAAAGATAACTTATGTCAAGCACTTGCTGTACATCTGACCGATCCTCCGCCTTCGGATCTGGAAGGCGGTGTGCACATGATCGTCGAGCTTGTTGTGAGCATAGCAATTCACCTGCCACTGGAGAGCAGAGACGTGGTCATCGACTACTTCCCTCCTGGATACGGCATCTTGACCGAACAGATGAAGCTAGAGTCTGGCATCCCTCCTCTACACATCTCTGTCGCCGAAGACGCGGCCGAGAGGGCGTCAATGAAGAGTGCGACCAGCGATGTGACAGATATGACGGAAATCGGCAACGCTGAGCATCAATCACGAAAGAGGAGCATGCTCAGTGCGTTGACTGGAACGAGCAAATCGAAGCCAACTGCCAAACATGCAGGCGCCGGAGGCAGCTCGAGTAGTCTTCACAGGCCCGAGAGTGCTCAAGGCGAGCGCGATGTTCCACCGAGGGTACGAATGGCTGCTGGCATTGGCATCTCAGTCCGAGGCCGGTCCGTCTTGGTCAAGGCTCCGGTGTTTAGCACTTGAAGTGCATCCTTGGTCAAATCCTGCGGGTTTATTTTTGGCGCCTGAGACAGGGTCCACATTGGATACGCGATGGCCAGGGTAATTATTGACTCAGAGCATAACGGAGCCGTTGCGACGGACGCACGGCGTGCGCATCGGCATTATTATGCAACCTTATTGGGTTGGAAGGGACTTTGGATCATGACTTCGCTTGTCCGAAGCGATAGGTCCGAGGCGTTTCTACCTGCGTTTGGGATATGATGCGGAAATGATTGAGTTGGAAAGAGCGAGAGCGCGAAACGAACCCCGGATACCCTTTGAATTGTGTGGTGAAGAATTGCAATATGTGTGGAAAACGCTATGAGGCATTGGACTGGCGTATTAGACGTGGTGGTTTGGGAAAGTAGATACACTCTGGGACCTTTTTTGCATATACAGGAACTAGTCCCTGGTCCGCGTCGCAGACGCGGACGGCGGGCCTTACAATATTATGACTTCTAGGCGCCGCGGCTATTACTGTTAAATCCGGGCGTACCGGCCCTCACTTCGCATGAGTTACGCGGGTGCGAATTTCCTGTTACGGCGGGCTAGGCCGGTTACGCTACGCGCGCTAAGCTCTAATCGCTTAAAATTCGACTAATATCGGCTAACAACTATTAAACCTTCTACTACGTCTACGCCTTTAATAACGCTACGTAGCACTACCTTTACCTCTATATACCTACCTTAATTAACACTCCTACTAGCAACGCTATAGCAGAACGTATTACTAATTAACGGTAAGCGATAACGCCTATAACGTATATTTAGCGCTAACCTCTTGTAGTCGATATATCTATTATCTCCTTTTCGCGCGGCGCTATAATCGACCTTAGAACTCCTAGTAGCTCTCGCTAGGGCTCGGGCTCTCCTTACGTCCTATCTCCTATTACCCTAGGCTCCGACGATATAACTTTCTCTAGCGTAAACGGTCCTATTATCGACGTTATTAATAGCGTCTAGTACCTACGTAGCCTCTTACGTTTTATCCGTATTGCTAAGTTTATTGCCTTCGTATAGGTTCCCGGCTTATAGAACTAGGGTAGGTATATCTAGCAGCGCTCGACGCTTTAGAAACAAAGTCCGCTAACTATTACTAGTCCTAGTTAACTTTTACGTTACGGCTCGACTGCGCAAATTACGTAATATAAACAAAGTCGACATTATATATAATAACGTCCGTGCCCTATACTAAAACATCCCGAACCTCGTTACCTACTAGCCCGGCTACTAGAACCCTACTATTCGATACGACTTTATAAGCATTATCTCCTACGACTTCTTTACCGACTCTCTCTATTAGTTGCCTCTATACTCGACCGGCCTCTTAGGTACTAGTATCTATACTCCCGGCTGCGGTCTAGCTAACTAATAGACTCGTCGGTAGCTTATTATCGCCGAATAGCTACGCGCCTACGATATACTATATCTTAACCTCGCGTAGATCGAGGACTATTAGTAACGCGTCTTCCGCTACTCCTTTATTAACGCCGACCTCGTCGCTAATCTGCGATATATATACTAGAAGCAGCTATTGTCGCTACCTACTAAGTATCTAAGGTAGCGACTAGAGAGCTAAAATAGAGTAGATAGCGTCGAGCTAGCCTAAGAAATATATATAAAAATTTAAGTCTTTTTAACTTTGCTATCTCTCTCCTCCTACGTACTTACTCTACTACTCTCGTAAGAATCTCTTTGCCCCCCTACTACTACTTTATAAGCCTATCGTTGTTTTCGCAACCCCTTTTTAGAGATATTCTATACTACGACTTGCCTTATTTGCGACGCCGTCTAAGCCTTTCGAAATCGCGCTCTAGAGTCGTCTATCGCTCTCCTTCTAAATAGAGAAATTTATTCCTACCTACGCGCTTATCGCACTCCTCTGTTATAGCTCTATAGTTCTTCGTAGGCTCTCTACCGACCGTTTAACGCTTTATTAGCGCTAATAGTTCGGTATACGCTATTAGTATTCCGCTTATAGAGCATATAGTTAAGATCTTTATATAGTGCTTATACGACCTTTCGATCTTAGTCGTCCTATACGTCGAAATTCTCGACCGCTAAGATCCTTAATAGTGCGGTCGCCGTAGTCTTACGCTTCCTATTACGCGCCTCTTCGAGTAGCAGTCCCGTATACTAGCACGCCTAATAGATTTCTATATCGAGGATATAGTCGTAAAGGTCGATAAGCCGTTTCCGAATAGATCTAAAGATTTCTTTAGAATTATAGCTATCTTAAGACGCGGGAATAATATCCCGTACGAATAGACCGAGCGTAGGGAGCTTATTCTCGATAGGAATAGGGCATTTCGGGTTAAGAATAATAGAATTATTTCCTTGCTACCGCCCTACTATCCCCTTACGCTCCTCGCTATCTAATCTCTACTGTTTCCTATATATCGGAGATCCTATATATATTAGTATAGCAACTATAGGTTAGAATAGTCTGCTGTAGGCTTACTTTCTCTAGATTGCGCCCGGTAGTACGAGTACCGCTTCGGTTTATATAACGCTACGCAATTTGTATAGTTCCCGTTCTTCGTAATAGTATAGCTATGTCTATAGCCTACGAAATGCCCGCTATATATATAGTAGTTGCAATCCGTCTGCTATATATAGCCGGCGATAGTATACTAGTCCGCGTTTATCCTAAGAATATAGATAAAAGCGCCTCTTTATACTCGAATGTCGGCGCCGTTCTAAGTGTTTCCCCTAAGCGACGCGATATATTTAGTCCGAAATATTATATCTCGCCCTTCTCCCGCGAGCACTCGCCGAGTATACGCGCTATATACGTCTTATAAACCCCGGATCTCGCTACTTTCGTACGCGTTTAAAATAGCTTAGGCGAACGCTTTCGAGTAATCGTAACCCTCGATTAGCGTAAATCGTAAGCTAGGTAGAATTCTAGGATTTCTAGGATAGTCTACGCCGTCGATTAAAGATAGTAGCGACGCCGCGGAGTAGGATTTAGACATAGTACGTAGAGTACGGAGAAGAAGGAGGAGCGAAGGTAGAAATCTAACGTCGGTAGTAAAAGGTAATTTATACCGCGAGTAAGTAAGCAATCTCTTCCCCGTATAATTACGTACGATTAACTATTCTATTTTCTAAGACTACCTATACATTTTATAGTAATAGTCTTTAACTTATATCCTTAGACGTATCGCTACTATCTACGCTATCCGTATCTTCGCCGATATATCCTTACCCGTACTATACAACTTCGAGTAGCGGATTAATACCGCTCTCTTATAAACTAAGGCCGGTAAAAATTCGCTCTTCGTCTAGAATACGATTTACGATCTCTACTAACTCCGCCGGAACCGCGATACTAATACCGGGCTAACGGACGTTATACGTCTCGTAGAAGAGGCGATTAGTTAGTACTAGATCCGGAATCCTAAACTAGTAGTCGTCGCTATATACGTCTTCGCCCCTATTATTCTTCCTAATAGGTCCGTACTCTTACGCCGCTACGTAACGACTGCCTTTATACTACGGGTCTATCGAACAGTACTACTCCTTGTCTACTAGTACGAACAGGTTTCGAATATCTATTATGCGCGATATCGCTACGTATAGCTGTCTATATAAGAAGAGTAACGCCCGAAGGTTTATACTAATATTATCGAGGGTTTAACCCTACGCTTTATTAATCGTTATCGCGTAGTAGACCTTTAACGGAAATTAGCGCCTAGAGATCGCCTACGGATACCTTCTACTCTCGATTAATTTAATCCGTAGGATAAGGTACTTAGCGTCGTTATGCTCGTCGTTAAGCTTATATACCGCAATATTATAGTCGTAGAGCGACGTTACTACTATACGCGTTCCGTTATAGATACCCTTATATAGGATTAGGTTTCTTATAATAGTTACTAGCGTTCCGACTTTTAAGCGTAAGAGTGCCGGTAGTAGACTAGGCAGCCGGAGTAGGGATATTATAGTAGATATACTCTCCTCGACTCCCGACTATTCGAGCGCTTTAGACGCCGCCTAATCGACGTAGTCTTTAGAGTAATACTTACGCGCCTCTCCGCTCCTAAACATACCGTTATAGAAGTCGTTAATCCAATCTGCTACGTCGTTATATACGGTAAGGAGTACGCGCTTATATAGTATAGTTCGATCGACATACGAAGCCTTTATTAATTCCTAAGGGTAGACGGCCTTTACTAGCTAGTTAATGTTTAGAACCCTCTTTAAGTACGGAAGTAGGCGTATCGGGCAATTAGCATATAGCGGATTATACGCTAGGCGGAGGAGCTATCGCGAGTACTTTATCGCTACCGACGCTTCGGACTCCGCTCGCAGTCGTATATTTTCCGTTAACTATAGTACCCTAACGTCCGTCTAGAACGGCGTAGCGGTAATATATAGCTACGTAGCCGCCGCTACCGCCGCGACCTCGTCGCCCTTAGAAGTTATATCGAAGGGCAAATACTACGCGAAATCTCTACTAAATATAACCGGGATACTACCGAACTACGGCGGCGTTTTCTCCCTAAGTATCCCTCTAAGATCGTATAGGAGGTAGTAGACGACTATAAAGTCGAAGCGCCGCTATAATAGCGCCTCGTTCTAGATAATTAATGCGGCGTCTTTAATTATATCTACTTCGAAGGTGCCTTTCTTTAGCATCGACCGTAAATTTTCGGTACTATCGATAGGGATCTTAAAGCGATAGTACGCCGTCGTACCGCCTAGCAGTAGTAGGGCTACAATCCTAGTAGAAGCTATATAAAGCATAATCTTCCCTTCCGCGCGAAACGCCGTAGCTAAGGTCTTATATATAAACGTCTTCCTAGTACCGCTAAACCTATTTAAGAAGCGAAGGAATAACGACCGCTCTACCTTCTACTCGATACTAGCCTAAATCTCGACGAACGCCCTTCGCTAACCGGGGTTTAAAGCCTCTAATATAGACGTATATAGGTCGAACTAGTCTAATCGGTTATAGTCTAACTCGCGCCGCTTCGCCGTATTAACCCTAAACTTCGCTTCCTAATATTCGTCTAGTATTAGTAAGGTAAGTTCCTATAGGTTTACTCCGGCGCGCCTTAGCTAGTCGATAATCGTTTAGAGCCCGAAGCTACGGATTTTCTCCTAGCGATCCTCGTCCGCTACGAACTCTTCCTAGCGACGGAGCGTTAAGTAAACGTTGCTGCAAAACTTATCCTAATAACGCTCCTAAAACCTTAACTACTTATTACTACTTAGCTAGTTCTACGTAATAAGGACTACAAATATCTAACGGAGCATCGACGCTGTCCTAGTATACGCGGCTTCCGTAAATGCGACGTCCTAGTAGTCTTCGGGTTGCACCTTACCTAATGCCTTAGCCGCTTACTAGAAAGTCTCGTATACGATACTATTATAGGTACGAAGATGCTCGTACGATCGTAGGCCGCGCGTTACCTATAAGAGCTTTAGTAAATATAGTAGTTTACCCTACGCTCGCGATAGCGTAAGTAGGTAGCTAATCGACTGCTATTTCTTCCTTAGCTTCTAAGTATACGCCTTTAGATCCTACGTAAACGATCGCGGGATAGCGACGTATAGTAGATCCGTCGTCTGCTTATAGAATTCGGAATCGGAGCACAAATTAAAGAAGGCCGTTAACTTCGAGCGCCGTAGACGTCGCGCCCTATCGTATACCTCGTCTAGTTCTTCGTCTATATCGAAATATATTAGATCCTCGCTAGGCAAATGTATATTAAGTCGTACGATAGCGGGAAACGTATTCGCTTTCTTATAAGAGAAGATCCGGTATACCGCTTAACTAGGACTAATATAGCGTATATTAAGGTGCGCCTCTATTTCGTCGTCTAGATACTTAATATATATTAATATACGCTCGACCGCTTTAAAGATATACTTGTAAATATACTTTACGATCGCTACCGAGTATACCTATTCGACGTTAATATAGTACCCGAAGCGCTTTAGTAGATATAGATTATAGGGAACGATCTATCGGTTATCGAATATATACGACTTCTTCCCTATACGTTTCTTAAAGCACTTCTTATTATTGCGACGCCGGTACTTAGCGAAGCTGTCTAGGGGTAGGGTAGTATAGTCGCTAAAGCTACGCGGGAACCCCTTCTTATACTATATAGCTCCTCGTCCCTAGTCGTACTCCCGCCTATTATAGGGCCCGTAGGTTATGCACTTTTTAACTAACTCCCTAAGCGAACTATCCGGGTCGATATCCTTACCTAGTAGTTCGGCGAGAATGAAATTGTCGATATAGGCGGCCGGCTCGCCTACGACATCCTTATCTATCTAAATTAGTATATATATATAGGGCAACCCGCGCTTCTAGTACTCTATCCTCTAGTAGCGCGCAATACACTTCTCTATTATATTGCCTTCGGATAGATTATTAAGGAGCTACGCTACCTTGCGGGCGAAAATACGCGCTATAATATCCGGTCGATCGGATGCCCTCTAGTTCGTAAACAGACAACTCTGTACCTCTAGCTAGTCCGGATTCGCTGTTATAGTAATAAAGTATATTAGTACCCCGAAATGCTCTACTAGCGCTATCGAATCTTTATACTAATTATATATCTACCGATCTCTACTTACGAACGACGATAGTAGGATTACCCGAGGGAACCTAAGACTTTCTAGGCCCTCCGCTAGTTGCCTAGACTTAGGATTCGTACGCCGCCTGCCTACGGGCTCGCGCCTCTCGTTAAGCCTATTTACAACCTTACCCGCTATCCGCCGACTAATATCGCTAGCGTTTTGCGTTAGGAAGAAGTCTTATACCTAATTATATAAGGCAGCGCGAATAGTCGCTTAGTTCTTACGATACTATAGGATTATATTTAGGTCGATAGTAGCCTAAGCGTCGACCGCTAGCTACTAGAAGAGCCGCCGCCTATAGAAAATAGTCGGAAATACCGCTAGACGCGTATATAGTATAAACTTCTAGTAATTACGTAGCGTTATACTTTTACTACGTCTAACTCCGCGCCCTAACTCTTAGAAGTAACCGGGCGTACCTTTCGCCTAGAGTAAAATATAGTAAAGCGGGAAGTAGGCGGAATAGAACCGATTTACGCGCTACAACCTACCTATACTACTATCCTCGCCCTAAGACGCGATAGTAAAATTACGCGCCTTACCCTCTAACCTTTTATATATTAACCGCTAGGCTAACTCGAAGCCGGCCGCCTACTCGATACTCGCTATATCCTTGTCCGGGTATAGCGCGGCTACCTCTATCGACGTAGGACGGTAGAATGCGCGCGTCTACGTTTTCCCGTCGTATACGATATCTATCGTTGCCGCTCGAAATTTAACCTCGTACGCCTTATCGCTTTGCTTAAAAAATTCGTATACCGACTTAAACTACTAGTAGAACGCATTCTCCCTTCGAATTACTTAGATAAGTTTTCTAAGCGTGTCTATCCGTAGCTTAGGGTACTACTTATAGTAAGTTTCTGCGGTATAATCTTAGTCGTAGAAGTATAGCTACGTATAGCGAGGGACGCCGTCTTTACCGAAAAAATTGCTACCTAAATAGTACGCTTCGCTATATACTGTTACCGGCTAAACGCTAGAACCGACGCGGGAGCTAGTATCTACTATAAACGACGTAAAAGCTATCGCACCGTTATACCTATATATATTCTTTTAGAATTCGCAGGCGGCAACGTCTGTCCCTATTAGTAACTGCTCTATTTTATTAGAAGGGATCGGGCTATCGAAAGGCGTAATACTACTATTCGAGTAGTACGAATTGAATTTCGGGGCTACTTTACTACTTAGGTATATACGCTCGTCGATAAAATAATTAGCGTTATACTTCGAATAGGTATAAATTATCTCCCTAATAGAATAGACTTTAAGCGACTTTAGCTAGCGTACGTAGGCTTTAGGTAAGTTCCTCTTCGGCTCTAGCTATAGCCGCCTACCGACTGCTCGCTTTCTAGCTCTCCTCTTTTCCTATATATAGTTCGAGCCGTAGATATACCTAGCTAGTATCGCGGTAGCTTCCTACGTAGCGTCTACTAGTTCCCTATACTTAGCTAGATTTTCTAGGAATAGGGAGACGGTAAACGCGAGACCTAGCTGTAACTAGTATACCCCGAAAGACTTACTAGATACTCCTTCTCGCGCGGTATCTATATCTCTCGTAGTATCCGCGTCTACGTACGTCTCTTAGCCGATAGGGATGCGGTTAATTTCGATAGTACCGCGTATCGACTCTACTAAAGGAAAAGGGAGATTGTCTACTAGATAGAATCCTAGCAAGTCGTTAGGATCGAATATGTCGAAATCTCCCTATTCCTCGTCTAACGTATCGGCGTAGACCTTATTACTCCTATCTAGCCGCGCCGCGATCTCGGCGGTTACGCCGGGTTTGTTATATATTAGAGTAGCGCTAAGGGTCGACGTTAAAAGAGTCAAACCGTTATCGCCTATAGTATTATCTTCGAAAGGAGCGCTATCTACTATAGGCGACGCTAACGTATACGACGCGGTAGACGGCTATACGACCTAGACCGCTACTATAGTAGATAGTATATTCCGCTCCTATAGCGCCTAATCGAGCGTAGGAGCCGTTTCGGGCGCGTAAGTACAGTAGAGAGGCGTCTAGTTATAGCTAATAGGACCGCTAAATGCTTTAACTTCCTACCTTTTGCTATACTATATATACGTAAGTAACGATAGAGAAGGGGAGGTAGAGGACTGCGTATTACGCTTCGAACGCTTACTCTACTTTACGACTATCGTCGGAGGCGTTAGTAAAGCACGCTTGCGCGTAGGAGTTCGGAGTTTAGGTGCTATAATTAGATAGAAAGTAATCTAAGGTATGTTAGGATATTCGATATATACGACCGTAGTAGCCGATATTAGGCTCTTTAATATAGCTCCTCTACGGCTTACAGAATTGTAGTAGCCGATATCGCCTAACATTTGTAACTCTATAGTTACTAGATATTTCTACTATAGCTAATTAATATAGGTAAAGTTTCGCTAACCGACCCGATAGGCTTATTCGCAATCTACATTTTGCGATATATTACAAAAATACTATAACGCTACATATTTTACGTAGGGCATATCTATTTAATTACGATATATCTAGCTATAGTAAGACTAAGAGACAAGGTACAAACAGCTAAGGTAGGGAATATTAGAAAAAAGCAAATATACGAAAGTTAGCTTAGGGCGGCAATAAGAGACAAAGTACGCCCGCCTAGTTTTCTAGGTCTAAGTAATCCGTACCTCTTCTAGTTTTCTAAGCACCTCGACTACTTCTACGCTATATAAATAGACACTATTTTTCCCTTGCCGCCTTTAGTATTATACCTAGACTCTGCGGTCTACCGCGTCTTTGCTACCTATAAGCTCGTTGCCCTTATTCTATAGGAACTAGCCGTACTCTACTCTCCGACCGAAGTCGACGAATTTAAGTATATCGATCCTCGCGGTATAAAAGACTTGTTCCGTCGCCTCCCGACCGAACTAGTAGCTATCTAACGCGTCTATTACCTCTTCCGTATCGTCGTATAAGGCCGCATTAAAATTAATAACCTCCTCCTAGATCTAAAATAGCATACCCCGACGCGGTACGATACCTACTTCGCGCCGCTACTATAGTTCCTCTATCGCGTCGGACTAAACCTAAAAGAACTAGCCTCCCTGCCTATAGAGAATCCTCGTCTATAATTACGGATCCGATAGAATAACGTGCTCCCTTATAACGTTAAGTTCTATATATTAAACGTTATCTACGCTTAGGGGAGTAGCAACTACTTTCTATACCTCCCGAAATAGGTAAATAATACCGATAGCGTACAATTATAGCGCCTATAGCCGGCGGCCGTCTCTAGTAGCACGCGTCGCATTATACTTAGCTTGCTATTCTACTAGCACTCCCCTTTCCTATACAAAGGCGAATTGTATCGCTACTATAGTACGATTAGCTAAGATATCGATATCGACGTAGCGAACGCGCCGACGCTAGGAGACGTCTTTAACTAGATTACAGCCCTACTAAACTAGGTGCGACCTCCCTAGACGCGTAGCGCCTTCTATATAATAGTAGATCGGGCGTAGTTTAACAACTAATACCGTTAATACTTTAATTGTAGGCGATACGGGCCGCTTAGAGTTTGCAACTATAGCTACTCCGGACGGCCTTAGTATCGCTATCGCCCCGATACTATAGCTATAGGGGAACTGTTAGACGAGACGTAGGAGGAAATCCGCGGCTCGACTATATAGCCGTTCTCTAAGCAAGCCGTAATCGACATTATATATAATTACAATTTAGGCATCTATCGAGGTTTATAGTTTAACGGTTACGTAGACACAATGTGCCTACCTAGGTTAGTACTACGCGAGGTCTACCTAAACGGTATACTAAATAGTTAATCGGGGGTTAATAATACGTAGGCTATTTAGTAAATTGCGATATAGTAGGGAGGCGGTAGTAAAGATCTTAGCTTAGATATCGCTCGCTCCTTTATAGTTTCTAACAACGTAGCTGCCTTTATGTCTACTATCTCTATCGCCCTTTTATATGTCGTGCCCGGCCCTTATATCTGTCGGCTATGTCTTTTATATCGACTATATAAACCGTTAAGCTCGAGGCCTTAGGCCGCGATAACGTAATCGCGTAACGCTCGGCTGCTTCCGCGTAACTCAGATTTCGGCCGATATTAGTCGCGTTTTCTACCTACTCTAACCTACCTTACTTTAAATACCTTCCGCAGTATACGATACCTGTACCTTTATTTAGACTTAAGTACTACCTATTACTCGTATATCTACCCTTTACGCAACGTTAAGCACCTTCGAGGTATGTCTAGCGTATTAACTAGTATAGACATAGCTAATATAATCTAGATAGCGACCGTAGGCAACGCTTAGAACCTGCCTATTATCGATATAAACGCGCTTAAGACGCCGCGCGCTACCGACCTAAGGCGCTAGCCGGTCTTCTCTAGAGTGCTAGACAGTATAGAGTTCCCTAATAGCGAGCCTATTAAGGCGGATAGCGGCCTAACCGTACGCGGTACCTACGCTTAGCTACTCGAGGCATGTAACGAATATAGCGGCCGGATTATTAGCGAAGGAAACTCGGAGGAGATCGATTACTTATAAGGATACTAATCTACGTTTGCATTACCGACGTTAGCCGCTAACTACCGCTAGTATATACGTCGGCTATATAAAGCCTCTACTAGGCGCTACGTATACTATAGCGCGAGCCGTATTTGCCTACGAAATACGCGACCTTATCTAGGTTAGCGATATAGGTAGACACCTAAAGCTTAAGCTTATCGCTATCTAGTACGACGGCAACGTCGGCCGTAAGACCCTCTATACTAAGCAAGATCTGCTCCTATACGGTACGCTAACTCTACCGAATAACCCTAATAAGCCCGCTTCCTATATACTCGTCGTAAACGACTAGAGCTAGGTAACCTTTACGTAGCACCTATACGACGTCTTGCGCGAAAGAAACCTAAACGTTAATAACGCCTATAGTAACAACGATATTAAGCGTAATCCGGATAAGCACGTCTAGTATATATAGTAGGCGATCTCGATGCTAATACGGGAATTATATAAAGATAGCGGACGGTGCAACTCTAGCAACCTAGTATAGTCGTAGCTAAAGTAATCGATACTATCGCGTCGGAGGTACGCGTACGCGATATACTCCGTACCTTCTCTATATCTACCTTTACCGTCGCTACCGTACGACTACTATATCTTACGTAGCGGCTACCTATACGTAGATAGCGCTGCCGGTAATCTTACGAAGCGCGATAGAATGCCGCGAATCCGGTAGTACCTAAATCGGTAGAAATGAAATAAAAATAGTCTTACTCTTACTATCGCCTATATTTCGCTATATATTTCGCTCTCCTTTCCTACTCTTTCTATTTCCTCTCTACTACTATACTACCTTTCCCGTAATAGACTAACCCTCTATTTACTACTACTACGAAAATTGCGACGACCGCGTACGTCGTCTTCGCGATATACTAGTAAGACGTATCGATCTACGCTATCCTAATAGCGAAAAGAGAGTCTCTCTTTTAAATCTTACCCTCTCCTCTCCTTATCTTCGCTAATCCTCTATTTACTCTTTACTCTCTCCTTATCGCGCGCCGATACTATATCTACTCCTCTAGCAAAGAAAGACGCGGTACGATAGGAGCGGCATTCTAGTACGTAACCGGAGCTAAGCGAGCGGGGACGTTTATAGCCGCTATATAAATAGAGTCTCCTAGCTAATTAGGTAGTTCTAAAGGTTATACCCTCGCTAGTTATTAGTATTAGAAGCTAGCTCTAGTTAGCGAAATACCGAACTATATACCGCACTATATAGGGTAAAGTTTAGTAGCCTACCTTACGTAATATTATAGATAGGGGGTTTAATTCCCTTATTAGCTACGACCTTTTTTTTTTTTTTAGATCTATACAATTATCTATATTAGATCTATATAATTATCTATATTCTACGACCCTCTAGCTAATTAGATCGGTTCTAGATACTAAGAGTTATTCGCTCGTAGTCCCCGTAGAGATACGGGGTAGTAACTAGCGAGGGTATGATTTTTAGTATCGGAGGTTCGAATCCTCTATTAGCTATCCTTTTACGCTTACGTAAGGAAGACGATCTATACCCGTTCGCGAGGCGGCCGCGAGGCCCGGGAGTAGCCGCGAATTTTAAAGTTCCCGCACGTGATTTCCCCGCGTTCTCCTCGTTCTCGTTTCGCCCGATTCGGTCAGTCCCAGCACTTGTTTTCGGGTTATTCTAACATTATATTTTTGCATATACAGGAACACTCTGTGTTGAAGCCTACCAGGGCTGTATATTTGCGCGCGTGGGTATCTATCTCACATGTGATGAGCGAGAGACGTGGACGTGGGCTGATGGTGCGGGCTTCTAGTAGATACTTAGCTACTTGATAGATGCCCGGTTGATCTGATTCGGCTGTCATCACCTCCTCCTCCACATGATTCGCTTGATGGATGTGGGATACGAAACAATACCCCAGCATGAGATGCCAGTTCTCCCCACGATAGAATATCGGATCCGCGGCTACAGAACGAGCGTTCTGCATACATCCGAATGATGAAATCATGCCTGCTTATGCTCTTTTCCTCTCATCACAAAGTATCTACAAGTAAATAAAACCTTTACCTTGGTTTGTATTATCTATACTTTTTTTCCCCCTTTCCCTCGTGAAACCAACCACGACAACAACCATCATGATGAATAACCTCTTCTTCTCCGACTTCCTCGCCCAAAACAAAATCCCCCTCTCCCTTCACCACCTCTCCCCGTACATCTCCTCCCTCTTCCCTCCTCGGACATTTTCCATCACACCTCTTCCCGCACGAGTGCAAGGCGGATGCAGTTTTACTTTTCTCGTTGTCAATCACAACGAGAATTCTAATGGCGATGAGCAGCAGCAACACACGTTTGTGGTCTTGCAATTCCGTTTATACAAATTTTCGATTCCTTGGAGTATGGCGTGTGAAGCTCGAGAGATTTTTGGAGAATTCGTGCCGGAGGCTTTGAGGTTTGAGGTTTTGTGTGTTGGAGAGAAGAGGAGGAGGAGGAGGAGGAGGGTTTTGCAGGTTTGTGTGATGGGGGGGATTGAGGGGGTTAGGGGGTGTGAGGTTTTGGGGAATGGGGAAGAGGAAGAGGAGGGTCATGGGAGGTTGCAAAGGTTGTTGGGGGATTTGGGGGAGTTTTTTGGGATGGGGTGGAGGGGTGGGAGGAAGGGAAGGGGGGAAGGGAGGATTGGGGTGTCGGTGGAGGGGAGGTTGAGGAGACTTGGGGGTGAGTTGCCGACTGCTAGGCTAAGGGAGGTTGCGCGATTGGCTCTTGGGTCGATGCAGAAGGGAGGGTTGGAGTGTTTGCCGATTGTTCTTAATCATGGTGATTTGTTGCCGTCTAATATCTTGGTCGATGCTGAGACGTGGAAGCTGAATGGGGTTGTTGACTGGGCAGAAGCGGAATATTTGCCTTTCGGGATGAGCTTGTATGGCATTGAGCATTTTCTTGGTTCGTTGAAAGAGGTAGAAGGCGCATATGTCTTCTCGTATCATCGGCGGGCAGATGAGCTGCGGAAGTTCTTCTGGAGTAGATTGTGTCGGGTCATACCAGAACTGAAATCAAATGAACTCAGACAAGCTGTCGGACTGTCTCGAACGATTGGGATCCTGCTGTGGCATGGATTTGCATGGGATGAAGGTCGTCTTGATCGCGTGGTGGACTTTCAGGCTGATGCAAAAGAGCTGGCATATTTACGGGCATTTCTAGATCTGCAGGTCAGCTCTACAAGGTCTAATCTCTAATTTCTGCACTGTGCTGGCCGCAGTGACACCTCTCGCGAATCTGGGAGGAAGCCTTTTTGCCGATCATTGGCCATCCACCTTGGGTTTCGCCAGACCGGCAGGCTCGGCGTCTTTCCTTAATTCATCCCAATCTGGTCTCGGAATCTCAATTCCTTCCAGCGTACGAGCATACGTAATGCCACCTAGACGAGACATTGGGCGAAGTACCTATAAGAAGACATAAAGTCAGCATACGCCTGCATCGTACAGCAGGATGGACTCACATTGGGGTCAAGCAGATTCTTGTCCTCATTGATCGCATCCTCCCTCGCCCAAAATCTCACGCCTTCGATCATTGCGAGCACACCAGTCTTCTTCCCCTTCGTGGCCCGACTCTCAAACTCTTCGGTCTTGTAAAGCTTGCCCTCAACACTGAAGACTGCCTCCTTCACTCGGCTAGCCTTGACATCTTGACTCTCAGCAGGCGTAAGTCCAGTCAGCGCCCATTCTGAGACACCATACGGAGCATTGACGCTCGCAGCATTCGCAGCCTCAAGATAGTGCTCGCTGATAATGTTGATGGTGCATTCGCCAGAGTCCACCAGATTTCTCAACGAGTCCTTGGCTTTGTCGAAGCCTCCAGCATAGCCGACAATAAACATGGGAGGATCGTGATTCACCATCTGGAAGTATGAGAACGGTGCTAGATTCGTACTACTGCCATCCTTGGAGCGTGTGCTCACAAATCCAATGGGTCGAGGAATGATGGCCGAGATGAGCAATTTGTAATTGAACGTCGCAGGCCTTCCATCTTCGTAGGGGTCGATAGCGATGTGTTTCTTCTGAAGACTAGCTCCTCCATCATTCGCTCCGTCGCCAGCTTTCCACGAAGGATTCACCGTCTGCGTCATTCGCCAATGAGCGGCAGAATCCCATTGTGGTCGACTGCGTTCCACTTCCTTGAAGTTACCATGGGGGTTGCGCTTGATGGCTTTTTCGGCGTCGGCCATCGCTTCATGATGGGGCTTTGGATCCTCCCTCTTTTGCTCTGGTTCACCAGACATGCTTGCAAGTTTTCTGATTGATAAGCTGCTGGACGCAATCCGAACGAACGCCGGTTGGAAGGTGGAGGATAGCCTGGCTGGTCCAATATGTATGGCGGATTGAAGAGAAAGCTTACCAATTCCGCAGTGCGCATTTGGTTCGACGAGCCGTTCTGGTACGTCATCGGGATAGCTATCTCAAAACTTCAGCTTCATGGAGGTACAGTATTCCGGCTGGGATAGGGTACCACTACACCATTCCGTATCCCAGGAACAGCTTTGACCCTTGAGGCGACGCCAACGCAACCCCACCAGACAGCGGGGTAGCGTATCCATCTGGCCTTATCGCAGGTATGCGATGTATGTGAAGCCTAGATGAGCAATGACAGCTTCATCTTCCAGCATTACTGGAAAAGGTTTTCAATCGGCTGTTGACCGCTGTGCATCAACAGTATATCACATATATATCCGATTGAAAACTCCGAATACACAGCTCGCCAATGTCAGACCTCGAACCAAAGGTCAGCGCCATGAACCTGGACTATGCGCTCTTCGACCTGGGCGACTGGAAGCTGAAACATGGCGGCACAATACCTAAAGCCCAGATTGCATACAAGACATTTGGAGATTCGAAATCGCCCGCTATCATCTATCCCTCCTGGTATAGTGGCCTGATTTCCGACAACGAATGGTTGATTGGCAAGGACAAGACTCTGAACCCAGACAAGTACTTCATTATTATCACTGCGCTCTTTGGAAATGGCCAATCTTCGTCTCCGAGCAACCGCAAGGAGATCCGGCCTTGGCCTGAGGTGACATTCTACGACAATGTTCGTGCTCAGCATGAGCTAGTGACCAAGAAATTCGGAATCACTCATGCGCGAGCTGTGCTTGGCTGGTCGATGGGAGCGGGCCAAACATACCAATGGGCTACACAATACCCAGACTTTATGGATGTCGTAGTGCCATTCTGTGGATCCGCCAAAACAGCACTGCATAATCAGTCCATGCTTGAAGGCGTGAAAGTGGCTGTCCTCGGAGGCAAAGGAGCTTCCAGCGGCGGAGTCTGCAAGGGCGAGGCCAATATCAATTCATATCGCGCCTGGTCGGAAGAAGAGAAGGTGGTCGGGTTGAAGGCTCTTGGTCGTGTGTACTCCGGTTGGGGGTTCAGCCAGGCTTTCTATCGCCAAAGGCTATATGAGTCGGTGCTTGGCTTCAAGGACATTGAAGATTTTATGTTAAACTTCTGGGAAACCTGGGCGCTGTCTAAGGGTGAGAAAACAATCCCTTTCGTGGAGGCAACTTGCTGACAGAGACTGAGACCCGGACAACATGGTCGCTATGCTTTACACTTGGCAAGCAGGAGACTGCTCGGCACAAGAGCCCTACAATGGCGATTTTGACGCTGCGATGAAGGGCATCAAAGCGAAGGCTCTTGTGATGCCAGGACAGACGGACCTATACTTTCGTAAGCATGAGCAATATTTGCACACTGTCATACAGCTGACCAAGTCTCAGCTCCCGAGGATTCCGAAGATGAAGTCGCGCGAATGAATCCAGGAATCGGCAAATGCGTGCCATTCCCCTCGATATGGGGCCATGTGAGTCCTTCACACACCAAGATTAAGGCTTTATTCGCGATGTTGGCTAATACTTTGATGTTGATGAGTGGGCGGGTGGTCCTGGTCAAAGTACTGAAGATGTCAAGTTCCTGGATGATCAGCTGCGCGAGTTCTTTGCAGCTGATTGATCAGTATTATTCAAACCTCAAGACCTGACCGCCCAACATGCTTCTTCGATATTCCCTTGTTGTTCTCATTGTGTCAGGAGAGCGTGACGCCGATCAACGCCGATGAGATAGCCGTGTTCCACTGAGATCGCCGAATCGCATGCATGTGCGCTTTTGCTCGTTTGGCGATGCTGTCTCGTTGATGCCAGAACGCCTACAAGACTGCTGCGATACCGTAGCTGCAGCAATGGAATACGTTGATCGATGGTGAAGGCCCATTCGTTCGGAACAAAGTCAATCGCCGTGTAGCAGTACTAGTAAATCCGGGATCCCGTGCAGCCCCATGTCATACGATTCTTACACAAGCAGCATGTGCAAAGCCCGGCATCCGGATCCAAGCGTACGGCCGGAGTCTCAATAAGCACGGCGTTCCGGTCCATTCAGGCCATATATCAGTATGGCCATATGTCCTCGCCGCGGATTTTGATGTCACGAGTCTCTGATCGTTCGATAAATTAATGCAAGACGAGAGTTTCGGGACTTGGCGAGCTGCATCATCCACGAGGTGACCCTGGAGCTGATACAACTATTAGTCGTTCTAGCGAGGCTGAAAGGCGTCTAACTTAGCCGTCTGGGCGTCTGCCATTTTGGCGTGAAGGAGGATTGTGACGACCTTTTGTACGCCCACACTGCTCAGCTCCTCCCTCGCCATCCACGCACGCTTCTTTCCCGCCCCTCCTCCTCCTCCTCCTCTCCTCCCCGACGCTCGCTTCCACCCTATACCCCAGCATTGGAGGGAAAGAAAAAACGCCATGGCCGAGATCAGCAGCCAAGCAGCGGGGCACAATGGCACGATATTGAAAGAGAAAGGAATCGCTGAGCAGGACCTCACGAGAGCGCCCAATGGTGTGGCCTCACCTGCTGAGTCCTCACGCCCCCAGTCGTTCGTCTCCGCTAGTGCGTCTTTCCAGTCGACATCAGAAACGCCAGCTTCGAGCGCCATAGACACATCTGCTGAGGCTGAGGCTGGGCGAGAAGTAGAGGATTGGCTACCGCCCACCACTGCTCCTCAAAAGACACCCATTCCTCGGCCAGCAGCTTCATCTAAGCCCAGCACTCCCGCACAGCTCACGCCGGAGCAACAGACCAAGTATTCTACGGTCCTTGCACAGGTGTCGCAATGGCAGGCAGTTCCCACATCCACCGCCAAGGGCGCCCCAGACGCACCATTGAAAGACCATGAGCGCATGTTCTTGACCCGCGAGTGTATTCTGCGATACCTCCGCGCCACCAAGTGGAACACGAAAGACGCACTCAGTAGATTGCAAGGCACATTGAGCTGGCGGAGAGAATATGGCGCCGATGCCTTCACTCATGACTACATCAGTCCGGAGAACGAGACTGGAAAGCAGATTCAGCTTGGCTTCGACAACGACCAGCGGCCGTGTCTCTACTTGAACCCTGGCAGACAGAACACCAAGATGTCTGATCGCCAGATTCACCACTTGAGCTACATGGTCGACCGCACTATAGACATGATGCCGCCAGGTGTTGAGACTAACTGCCTCATCATCAACTTCAAGGATTCGAAGGCCGGCAACATCCCTTCTGTCGCTCAAGCAAGAGCCGTGCTCAACATTCTGCAGACTCACAATCCGGAACGACTTGGCAAGGCATTGATTCGCGAGACGCCGTGGTATGTCAATGCCTTCTTCAAGCTGATTAGTCCCTTCATCGACCCTGTCACAAGAGAGAAGATGAAGTTCAACGAGGACATGACCGCTTACGTCCCGAAGACCCAGCTCTGGGATGAGCACGGAGGAGATGTCAAGTTCGAATACGACCATGCAGTTTACTGGCCTGCGTTCGATGAAGCGTGCACAACGAGGCGAGAAGCATACAAGAGGAGATGGGAAGAAGGTGGCAAGCGGATAGGAGAGTACGAGGACTACCTTCGTGGCGGCAGTGCGCTGAGCTTGCAGCAACAACGACGGCAACAGCAGAATGCGGCCAAGGAGAATGCGACTCCCGCCGGATCTGTGGTAGCAACACCAGCGGCAGAAAAAGGCGCGGATGAAGCTGCTGCTGGCATGGGCAATCTCAAGGTTTGATACTGAGCATTTTGGGGCGTTTTGTCTAAGGGCCATTTGAAACAGCATTGCCATGTGTCTGGGAAGGTGTTAGAGGGATTGAACAGCATAAGCGGCACCTGGGAGTTTGAGCGTGCCTCTGTTCGGCGTTGAAGACATTTGTTTCTCCCGAGAACTGGCGCTAGGTGCGCCAGGAGTCATGTCAACAGTCCTTGGCCCAGCAAGACCAAGCATGTACAAAACGCGCAAAGACGCCTTGTCTCGGCACTTCTTTCTGCTCTTCAGGATCTCAATCATTCCAGGTGGGTCCAGTTGTCGCTCGCACTGACTGCGTGTCTCGGATGATAGGTCTCTGCCAGCAGCTTCAGGCAGCGTAAGGTCCTCTCTGGTACGGAGTGACTATAAGAGAAACAATGCACCTGCACTTGAGCGCAGGCACTCTCGAAAAGTGTTATCAGCTCGCACGCACGTACGGAAGTATACGGAACGAATGCAACCGGACATACGGAACGCTCCTCTTCTGCAAAAGAATACAATGGGCGAGACCGAAAGGCAAGATCCTTCCACAATGGACTGTTTGCCCATCGAATTACAACAAGAAGTACTTACGCAGCTGTCGCCGCTGGACTTGGCCCGATTAAGATGTGCTAGCACAGCTCACCGGGATGTCGTGAATTACAGCCTGAATTACGTATCGAAACAGCTGTGCTTGCCTGATCTCCTTCGTCTACGCGACTATGCGAGTCACCATTTCGACTGCAGAAACAGTAAGGTTGACCTGCTGGAATCTTTGCGACGTTTCTTTGCACATCGGCGATATGGACCTCCTTACCCTGGACCTGTTGGGCTCGCCGTAGACTTTGTAGAGCATTGGATTGGTCAACATCATGGTGTTTGCGCGAGTATTATAACGAGGCCTTCCGAGTCGAGCAGTCACGATCATTCGGTTCATGCTAACGGCTCAATGACCACTTGGACCCTGGCCTCCTCTATCTCGGCACTCGAGCGACTGGTAGGGCTGATGATGAGAATACATACCCAGTATCACACCGGTCCAAGTCTGTGGGGTTTGTGGCCATACGGATCTCGCAGTCATGACTCGCTTGTCGATTCCACGATGATGAAGTATCTGGAGCTTTCCAACAACGCATATGGCATTGATGAAGCTGTACTTAGGAGTTGGGAAACGGATCTCGTGAACAACGGTCTGGCGAATCTGCCACGAGATGCTGGCCAGCAGAACTTCCTGCGTGGTCCAGCACTAGACGAGGACGGCATTCCGAAGTATGCTCTGACGCCACTCAATGTCAGGTGGCTAGTCAAGCGCCGAACTTGGAATGGCAGTATCATCCGCGACAGAGCAGAGAGAGTTCAGCGAATCGATGGTATATGCCCTGTCAGCAGATTGGTGGAGATCTTGGGTGTCCCTCCGCTTCCCGCGAATGGACTTTTGGCGTATTGCGTTGAGAGCAAGTGGGCTTTCGATCACATGAGAAGAATTGTAGAAAGTGGCGAGGAAATTGACGGGCTGTTGAAAGCAATGGTCCTTAAAGAGATGTTCATTTTCTGAGCTGGTGGTTTGAATGAATATGCACGAGCTGCAGCACATCGTGTCTTGGCTATGCCGTGTCAGCTCCGTTGTCAATGCGACACAAGATTAATCTACCCGACCGGCCACAGATATCTTGTACTTCACTCGGCGAGAAGAGATGTGCCACGTCAACAATCCCATTCTACAGTACCTGGACCATCGAATTCTCCACTTTTTCAGCCTTTATCGTCGATACCGTCAAAGTCGAATAAAGCCCGTCAGCTGAATTGCGCGTCCATGTCGTCGACCGGCCTACAGTGTGCAAAATGGCATGCGGCATCGGAGAACTTCCAAACAAACGGTGCAAGGGAGGGCGAGATGCTGAGAGGCTGAGACTGAGACTGCATGTCTCTTCCTGATGCTGCATGCGGAGCACAGGATACTTATGCACGAAGGCAATAACCGACCTGCAAGAAATACAAACGGTCCACGCCATGGCAACCACCTTCGAATCACAACGCCACGCACACGATAATCAGAGAGCAAACAATGCCTGCTCGTAGCTGAGAGATTGGGATATAAAATCTTCGAACCACAATCCTCTTTCCAGTTCCTGTGCTTTTCAGAACTCTACCTCTTCTTCTTCTAACCATGCATTCTCTCGTCCTATTGACAACCTTCATAGCCCTGGCAACAGCCACACCCACAACCGAGCCCTGCAACACAACAACGACCTGTCTGACCCAATCCTCCGCCGAAAAAGTCGCAGATAACTTCGCTCATATCTTCAGTGACTTCACCGAAGAATTCGCGAATCAGACTTTAGCCATCGATGTCACGGATCAGACGGATAGTGTTTGTTGGCTGATCAGCAATGGCACGGATTGTCCTTGTCAGGTAAAGTCAAGTCTACATAGCTAGCTATACATGATATACATGATACTGATGAAGAAGATCGGAACCGAAACCCTCTCCAACCGAAGAGAATTCCTAGACGCTCAAGCCACACAACCGAATCTTCCATTTCTGATCTTGAACGTTTGGCATGATTGTAGTAATGTCAGTCAACTCCCTCCCTCCCTCTCTTTTCCAGACATTAACATCTCATCCTCCCGCCCTTCAGGTCTTCACGCGATGGAAATTCGACATCGAACCCCAAGCCGTTCAAGGCATTGCCGTTCTACAAGTCATCGATAACACGGATTCACAAGCTGCTGCGGATCAACCGTATTTGATCAAGAATATCTTTAGTGAGTTTAATACTGGGGCTTTTTTGGTGTATCGAGGGGATTTTGTGGGGACGGCGCCGGAGGGGGAGGGGTGTGCGGTGGAGAAGGTTAGGAGGGGGAGGGTTGGACGGATGTAGAAGGGGACGGTGTCTCGAATGGGATTGAGGTCGTGGATTTTGGTAGTTGAGATGTTGGGAGCATGGACTCTTGGGGTTTGTTGAGTGGATGTATCGGGGTTCAGGTGAAGTTCGCGTTTCTTGCTAGCATGCCGTCGGCAGCGTTATTAGGAATGACTCGAAACGACGGGTATGGAGGGAGCAGGAATATTGCTTCTAATTGGCTCGGAGAGCAGGTTTAATATCAATGGATGATATATGTAAAGACCATTCCCTCCCTCAATCGTGGCAATGTCTCATATGATGACAGAGTACTAAGAGCCTTGTTGCATGGACTCCAGCTTCTCAAGTCGGTTGGCGAAAGTATCTATCTGGTGCTGTAGGGTCGACACCTAGAAGAACTCATTAGTAAGGACTCTGCAAAGCGCCGTGATGCAATTGCGGACTATTCAGGAGGGCTTCCAAGCTTCTTCGCAGATGTGTTTATTTCTTAAGATAGTTGAAAATAGTGATTGAGATGTGATGATACTTACGGTCTGATTCAGACTACGAATTTCACGTGCGCTCGACCGTCTCTCCTGACGAAGCGCATCAAGTCCTTGCTGTGTGGGCAAGTATCCGTCAGGAGTTTTTCGTCAACCGTCATCAGTCATCTCGTTCCGATCTTCATCGACGATACTGGGCAGGCAGAGGATTGGACCTTTTGAGTCTTTGGCAGGACGGGAGAGAACATTTCTATTCGCGCCTTTGGCCATCATCCGGATTCCATGCTTCCTTAGCGCATTGTCAATCGAGTCCGAAAGCAAGGTTGTAGATGCGACAAATAGCGTACCCTCCTGCTCGTCTCCTTGAGTGGCGGAAGCATAGGATGGTGCTCCTTCAACGTACTCCTCGTACGGACTAGGATAATGTGGTGGTGGAAGCTCAGCCGCCGACTCTACCTCTGCTGACGATGCGTGTTCAGCGTGCGTCCACCCAGAAACTTCGCGAAATGGCCATCCTCGGGGTGAGCCTGGAGATCTTGGAGCACAGTAAGAAGAAGGTAGGCGAGGACTCGATACCGCCAACGTCTCTCTTTTACACCCTTGACTTGCCTTCTATCCATCTCCTCGCCGTCCGGCAGAAACAGCGCTGACTGTGAGGATCGTGTGGTGATTTGCGAGGCTCCCTTCGACGCTCGGTGCCTTGCTTACTCATCGCGCGCGCAGAAAGAGCACGCACGTAACGCATGACAGAAGTGGCAGTTCGGCAACAATTCCCCCTGCGCGTCCGTGGACAGCCCGATCGAGGGCAGCGGCCGCCAGCAGACTCCGTGAGATCGGAAGACGAGGTGCAGGACGGGAATGGGAGCGTAGAACACCATCAAAGTCAGCATCCCCTCTAGACGCCCGAAAAAATCAAGCGGCTAATGGGGACGCAAGGAAATACGAGATAGAAAGGGGCATTGACAAATGATGAAAAGGATTCTTGAATTGTTTTTCTTGCAAGGAAACGTTGAGATTGTACTCACCAATCAAACTCCACTCAGGCGGAAGGGGCGAGTGGACGTCGTAGCGGGAATACGCCAGCACGCAGCACAAAAGTTGCTCTGCAAGTCGATGGGTCGCTGCGAATCTCCATAGGTGGTTGCAATCGTAATCACACCTGCCTAGTCGTTTGAAGAAACCGCCCTCCTCGCGCATGCTGAGTCGTCGAGTGCACATACATGCCGTCGCATCGCTATTGGTGGTGTCGTGTCGTATCGTAGCGGGAGTACGCCAGCAGGCAGCGCGAAAGTCGCTCAGCAAGTCGATGGGTCACCGCGAATCTTCATGGGTGGAGCAATCGTAATCACACCTGGCCAAATCATGCGAAGAGACCGCCCTCCTCGCGCATGCCAAAGCGACAAGTGTGTGTATCTGCTGATGGTGTTGATGGTGGTCGAATCTGAAGTGGAGAGGAAAGAGGAAGCATTTGGAGTAACAGTTGAAATACAAAAGCGCGAGCACTAGCGCGATCACTAGCGCGAAGTGCATGGACCTCTCGGCTAGCCTGCCGTAATCTGTGGGGCCCTGTTACAGTAGAGAGCTCAGACTATAGTACCTTGCTATGCAGTGACCTATGTGACCCATTCACCTACCACTCTCAAGTGCTTCTGTGTCCTTTGGGACCTGTCTTGGCCTGCATTGGTGCTCCGTCTCCTAGGTGCCGCCCTTGATGGCCACGCTCACCTCTACCTATCCGCCACGAGCTAGGCTTACTTACCTGGGAATATCAGCTATCATACGACGCCACCTCAGTAGTTCGTATCGATCGTTGGACTCTGGCAGCTATATCCGCTCGGACTTCACGAATCAGCCATTTACAGGCATATATGAGCCTGGTGGTCCAACAGAAGGCCCGCTTCGAGATGCATCAAACATTGGAGCTCCACGCATAACACCCACCATTCTCAAGGACCACTTAGATCAATTCGTCGTTGGACAGGAGCGGGCGAAGAAGACTTTGGCTACCGCAGTATACAATCATTACCAGCGTATACAGGAGCTGCAGCGGCGCGATGAAGAGGAGCAAGAGGAAGCTGCCGCCGAAGAGCGACGGCGAATGGCACAGAATCCAAGACATCCTGTAGAAGGTAGAGAAGGCGAGCTTAAAACAGGAATCGCGGTTCCATCGCTGACGAAAGATTGGCAAATTGAAGACGAGTTTCCTGGTCAGCAACAGACCACAATACACGTATATCCCCCCAATTCGACTCACCAGCGAAGACCTTTGCAGCACAATGGGCCTGGGCCTCCGCCGCCTTTGCACGATCCAACCCCGTTGAATGTTGAAAAGAGCAATGTGTTATTACTCGGGCCATCAGGCGTAGGCAAGACCTTGATGGCGAAGACATTGGCAAGAGTCCTGGAAGTGCCGTTTAGCATGTCGGACTGCACGCCATTCACACAAGCAGGATACATCGGCGAAGATGCCGAGGTGTGCGTACAGCGACTGCTTGCTGCCGCGAATTACGATGTGACCAGGGCTGAGCAAGGCATCATCTGTCTTGATGAAATAGACAAGATTGCCACCGCGAAGGTGTCGCACGGGAAGGATGTAAGCGGCGAAGGAGTACAACAAGCTCTCCTCAAAATCATCGAAGGTACCACATTACAGGTCCAAGCCAAACAGGAACGCGGTTCCGAAAGTCCGCGCAAAGGTCAAGGCTCTGGCTACCCAACGAATAGCCCTCTGTCAGGCGGGAATATGAGAGATCAAAGTGGAGGCGGCAAAGGCGAAGTGTATAACGTGAAAACGGACAATATTCTTTTCATCTGCGCAGGAGCCTTTAATGGACTGCACAAGATGGTTTTGGATCGTATATCGAAAGGAAGCATAGGCTTTGGGGCCACAGTTCGGGCAGCACCAGGATCATCTGAAAGCAATGCTCACGAAACAGTGCTGGAGGGCGAGGACGAGCTCTTCGAAAAGCACCTACCATATTACCAACCCCCAGCGCCGGCAGAAGACGAACACGCTGGAAAACCGAAGAAGCGGACTTTCAACACTCTCGATCTCGTGGAACCTCAAGACCTGCAAAAGTATGGGCTAATCCCGGAGCTCGTAGGGCGAATACCAATTTCCTGCGCCCTCTCATCGCTATCCATAGAAGCTCTCGTAAAAGTTCTCACGGAACCCCGAAACTCGCTCCTCAAACAATACCAGCAACTCTTCGCACTCTCATCCATAGAATTACGCTTCACGACTCCAGCACTCCACGCAATCGCCACAACTGCCAGCAAGACTGGGACCGGAGCCCGAGGTTTGCGAACCGTCATGGAACGACTCTTAGCGGACGCCATGTTCGAGACTCCTGGAAGTGGAATCAAATACGTGCTCATCAATGAAGATGTGGCGGAGCGTAGATCTGGTGCTGTGTACTTTGCGAGAGGTCAGCAGATACAGTTCCGAAACGTGATTTCCGAGGAAGAGGAGGCGTGGGAGGAAAAGAAACGAAGGGATGAAGGTGCTTCGGAGTCGGAGTTCGAAGCTAGGGCGAGGAATAATAGTATTGGTGGCGCTGCCAAGACGTTTGAAGAGTACAGAGAAAAGGCAAGTGCAGCAGGCTTCGTGTAGAACGCGTGCTCAAAGGATTTATTGGAAGCCATGTATTATGAAATGATGAGACCTATGAAGCATTTCCCCAGAATTGCAATATTGATATCTCTGTGCGCTCATAATCATCGTCCTCATGTCCGCCGCATGAGCGTTGCCTCCATAGTCCTTGAGAATTTATTCATATCCCATGCCCGCTCGCCCACGAAATGAGTGTTTGTGCCGCGCTCAAGATACATGGCTCCGATATCCAGTCAGAAAATTGTCCGTGATAGTGTTACGCCTAACGCCTCCAGCCTCGACTTCGCCCAGTGATTGCGACTTCGGTAGACCAGAATCGACTCTCATTGCGCCTCGCTCATAGCCCTGTCACTCATCAGTTCCCCGTCCTCTCAAAGCCATTGGTCATGTGCAATCACCCTCAAAGCAGCCATGTCCGATTTATCCAGCCTGAAAGTATCATCGTTCTCCAGCAATGCTTTACTGTCGTCCTTTCCAGCCTCGTTGACCGGGCTCATCATGAGCTTTCGCGATCTCTCCTTGTCACGCTCATCGCTCTTGGCCAGTCCGACGCTCCAGTAATTTATGTAGACATCTTGATCAAGTTGTCTCAGGCGTTTGTCGATCATGGCAGGAGTGAGGGTGCCACGGATTTGAGGGAAAGTTCGACGAATCTTTGCCACGATAGCCGGCAAGGTGTAATTTCTGGCGTCGAGGATGCAGATTGCTCGGTCGTGGTCTCTAACCCAGGCTGACGGTAGTGGTGGAGTCTCTTGGACACGATCGATGAGGGGCGTCGTGGTGTAGAAAGCGCGTGATCTCGGAGCAGCGGCGCGAGACTGTGCGCCCAAGTCGCCCACGGGTCGACGTGGAATGTATGGTCGAGTTGGAGTGTTTTCGACCCTGTCCTTGCCTTTCTTCAGTGGTGTTGGTGTTTCCATATTGGGTTTTTGGAACGTTGGCATAGGCGGAGTGCTGTAGAGCTCAGGCAAAAAGGTCGTAGAGCCGTTGGTGGTGGTGGTGAATGTGCTTCTGGTGTTTGTGCGCTCTGCTAGTGGAGCAGACATCTTTGACGTCGGTGTCTGAGTCTTGCTTTTGCTACACCAGCGGTGAACGGCTTTCGTGGATTCGTTCGTCGTGTCCTCTAGGACGCTTGTAGCAGCAGTTGCCATAGTGAGCTGCGTGGCGCAACTAATATCTCTCGAAAGCCCAGTGAACGCTGCGACGGGTCAGTGTCACGCATAGACGATCGATTTTGCCTGCGTGACCGTTAGCAAGCTTCACAGCATAGGGGCAAAGTGCTTGCCAGTGCTGTCTGCAATCGATCGCTCAAATCGATGCAGTGTGAGCCGTGATCGAAGTCACAAATATCGAAAGGTCTCGTCGAAAGTCGGTCCGTCACAAGCAAGTGACGCTTCTCAAGCTCGCGATGCTCCTGCCGTGCAAGATCTTGATCGGAAGTCGCGAACACCGGTGATGGCAGCCGCAGCGGCAGCTGGTCAGAACGTTCATACTCTTGTATTAGGGACTACTGATACAAGACGCCCTATGTTACACATGCAAATTAAGGCTTTCTATGCACACTCACCAACGGCCGCCTACGCAACACGCGGCGGTAAAGTCGGGGGCTAACTGTAGCCTTTTCCATTCCTTCCCATCACCATCACCATCACCACAGCGTTAGGACATCAATGATTCGCAACAAGCGCAATGTGCTCCTAGTTCTTTGACAAGCCCAGCTTGCCCAATAGACCGCCACTTGGAGCACTGCCGCCCTCAAAAATTTGCAACATGCTTTTCCACACTTCACCCGGCTCCTTGCTGGCATCAATCTTCCTCCAGATACCGGTCTTGCGGTAGTAGTCCACCACAGGCGCTGTCTGCTGATGATAAGTGCCTAGCCGCTTCTTGAGTGCAGCCTCGTTGTCGTCTGATCGTTGAATGAGGGGCTCGCCGGTCACATCATCAGTCATCTCCTTCTTGGGTGGGTTGAAGATTTTGTGGTATGAGCGTCCGGAAGCCGGGTGGACGAGACGTCCAGTGATGCGAGCTACGAGGAGATCATCGTTGATCTGGAGCTCAATAGCATGCTTGAGTTGCTGAGACTTAATCTTGAGCATCTCATCGAGCTTCTTGGCTTGAGGAACCGTTCGTGGGAAGCCGTCCAGGATGAAACTGTCCACTTGTTAGCATTGCCCGAGTTCTTAATCCGCACACCATGGCATGAAAGGCTCTTGAGATGGCCTCAAACCATTACCACATATCCACTTCGCCACGTACCCATCTTTGCACTCCTTGTTGTTCTCAAGCTCCTTCTCAATCATGCCAATCATGATTTCGTCCGAGACCAGCTTGCCCTCGTCCATGATCTTCTTGGCCTGCTTGCCGAGCTCTGTCTTTTGAGCAACCTGTGCACGGAGCATGTCACCAGTCGCGAGATGGCAGCAGCCATACTTCTCCTTGATCTTAGGGGCCTGCGTTCCTTTGCCTGAGAGCAGAGGCATTTGTTAGCGACGTGTTCTCGGCATTGGGATTGCTGCACGCGCGAGGCAGCAAATTCAGCGCAAGCATTGACATACCAGCGCCAGGTGGACCGATGAGGATCATTCGCATGCTATCAGGTTTTCTGCCGCTGCCAGAATGGTCCTGGCCAGTCACCCGCGATTCCAGGTCTTTGATTCTCTGCTCCAACTTCTCAACAGTCGCCTTCAGCGTCTCCACCGTGTCCGACATGTTGGCGGTATGGTCGCGTGTGCAGGTGCCGGACCAGGGCTATGGAGGAAGAGAATACTAGGAGGGGAAGAAAGAGAAATGGAAACTCGCGATGTTTCACTCTGGTTGAGCTCAGATCTTGAATAGAGAGCTGCGAAGCCGCTCGGCACGGCAGTCGGGAGGAACTCGGGCGACCGCAGCGCTCAAATCTTGCTCCTGCATTATTCATCATTCTTTGCATCCACTTTGCCTCCACTTTCCGCCAGTATCATATACGCCGACCGAGGACGAAGCCATTACGACAATGTGTGACTCAACATGAGACTAAGCACTTTTATCGCGTGTTTGATATGCACTGCCGCTTAAAGCGTCACCTCAATGCTCTCTTTGCGGTTGCTTCCAACCCAACCACATATCAACAGAGATTCTACAGACGCAAGCATACACACCATCCACTTGTCCAGCGAATACTCGGCCAAGGTCGCCACAGCTTTGAATGCACTTCACTTCGTCGTCATGTACATTATATTTCCAGATGGAACAGGTCTAGATGATCAGACTGCTGCTACTGAGGTCCGATTTGAATTACAGCCGAGAGCCACGGACGCGGGGCAAACCGTAAGACATGGATAGTCCATGAGCTTATGAGCCAGCATGGGAATCACAGGCATAAGCCGGCGAAGAGCCGGTATGCCTTTCGCATCGAATCTTCATCATCGAGTTAGTTATTGGCTACGATCTATATATTGATTGGTGCGGCAATGGTGCCAAGTGACCCGCAAGCAATGGCTTACTTAAATTCATGCGTTGGCAAAGCTGCTCTATAGATAACCACTCCCCATACTCCGCAAACCATGGAATGGCAAACTTCCGGACTCAGTGTTCATAGCAAGGTCAAGAAACCAAGACGAGAGTCTCTACTAGAGAAGAACATGAGATGAGACGAACTCGCATCGCAGCAAAAAAAACCACCAGGCTCAAAAGCCCTCCCAAATTTCCGTCCGTGCTGACTACGTCCTACATATCTCTTCGGGTATCCCATTGCCCATTCGTACACTTTAGTGATCATATCCATGCCTCATGTAACCGATACAAAGAAAATAGACAATACCCGTCGATATCCCAAACGACCTGTACCCATATGCTTCCTGTAGTAGTGCCAGCGATGTAAGCTGGCAAAGATGGTATTTGTCCATGGAAAAAGCTTCTGTACGCCATGCTATGCAAACCTCCACTTAATAAAGGTTGTTCTTCAACCATCCCATGCGCCCGACTTGAATGAGTGTAGGTGGTTGGTCATGTTCCGTGATTAAAATAGTCACCTCTGTACGCCATCGATGCTTTGAATGCTTGATGGCTCGCTGCCTTTGCGGCTGACGGCAGCGCCTTCGACAGCGTCACCGTTGACGCTGGGAAGGCCAGATGACTGTAGATTCTGCGTGTCCGAAGTGAGTGGCGGAGGTGTGGTAGTGGCAGAGTTATAATTGCTCGCGAACGGCGGCGTTGGTAATGGCAGCTGGAAGCCATTCATGGGTGTGGGTCGACCAAAAATGGGATTGCTGCCGAGTAGAGAGCCGTTGCGGTACGAATCGAACTTGTTCATCTTCTTGTCGATTGACATGACCTGCTTGCCGCAACCAGTGCGTTTTGCTACCTGCATTGCAGGGTGCAAGGCGTCAAGGAATATGTGATAGTCCTCCGGGCAGAGCGTGTCGAGAAGTTTCTCTGCAGCACAGTTAGTGAGCTGGACACAATCTTAGTAAATGGGAAACACTTACGTATGACATAGTTGCCAAAGTTGTCCTTGATCATTCCAGACAAAACTCCTTCGCCTTCGGTCCTGCGTTGGTTCGAGTGTGCCAATGCAATCACGACATGGTGGCGCCAGACATCATCAGCGCGCTCAAGACATTTTTCCACAACGTTACTAGCAAACTTGTGCTTGCTATAGCCTTCAAGACCACGAGCGACCGTGTCAAGCACACGTTGCCTGCCAGGTCCCTCGTCGTGGCAGACAATGTGCTGAACCACATAGTTGCCGAATTGATCTGAGATCATGGAAGGGATACCATCCATGAGTTCCGCCATGATCATGTTTTTGGAAGGCAAGTCACACTTCTCCAAGCAGCGCTGAATCACTCGACATCCGTAGGGATGTATGCTCAAATGTTGCACCTGACCTTGGAAGGCGTTGATGATGAAACCAATGGTCCCTGAGGGGCATCGTTCTATAGCTTTCTGGATGACATGATTGCCGTTTTGGTCCTTGACACACTTCAGGACGTTGTTCTCGAGCTCACTGATGAGCGCCGCTTGTTGGTCGACCAGAACATGATCTAGTGCCTTTTGCACGACACGACAGCCGTACATCTGAAGGCTGAGATTCAACACTTGGCCACGCATTTTGTTTGCCAGGATCTTCTTGTGAGTCTGATCGCCATGTTCGAAGAATTTCTGGATTACATAGTTGCCGAAGACGTCCGTCATGAGTGGAATGGCGTTGGGTTCGATCTCTCGGAAGACGCGCTCCTTTTCATCAGAGTTGGCTGTTTCGAGCTTAGTCTGGATAAATCGAGAGCCGTGTTGGTCGCCACTGAATTCCGCAATGTGGTCGTAGATGTCCCGAAGCTCATACCGCTTTGTTTTGGTGTTGGACTTGAATTCGTACATCAGCGCTGACTGTACACCATCGCCAACAGGGCCATCTCGCGAAGCGGTAGGAACGTCTAACCCAAGATTGGCCACCGGAAGTATGCCAAGGTACGGGTTGCCAATCTGTAGCGCATAAGGACTGTACATGTAAGGATTTCTCAGCTGTGCAGCCATGAGGTGTTGCAATCCAGGATTCATGAATGCCTGCTGTTCAGGGATAGCAGGCGGAATTCTTCGATTGATTGCACCATTGGCAAGGCCCTGCCAATCTGGCGGTGGCCGCTGCGCGCTTGATAAGTCATATGGTCGCGATGATACGCTGTTGCCCATGTAGGGCTGTCCGGGTCGAAATTCAAAAGCACCGCCTGGCAGGTAGCGATCCGCGAGCGACGATGAAAAGCCGTTCGCCGATCGAGGCGTGAACTCATCCACGCCAAGATAGTTCAAATGCGAAAGCTCGATGTCATCGACCTCTTGCGACCTGTCATACGAGCTTCCGCGGGTAGCCATCGGTGGACGTACAGCGACAGATGTTGAAGGAATGTGGCTGCCATAGCCATTGGACTGCTTGTATGAGGTGTTTGGTCGACTGTCTCCACTGAGGCTGACCTGGCCAAAGCCTGATGCAACTTGATCTGCGTTGACGCTAAAGTATGGATTATACGCGCCGTTGCGACTGGAAGATATGGATGGGGCTCGAGAGCTTACGGGCGTCACGCGTTGGGAAGGTCGTCCGTAATTCGAGTTTGTGAAAGTAGGAGGTGGCATGTCCTCGCCACGAGACGGAGGGAGACTTCCATCTCGCGAGGTGGGCATGCTCCCGTTGCGACTGTACTGCATGGGAAACTGCGGCTTCCGATCATCGCTAGGAGACGGTGTGGTCGTCGATTCAACCCAGCCTCCGATAGCAGAATCTGGCTTCCTGTGCATGGGTTCCGTTGGCAGCGGTGCAGGCCTGTCGAACTTGGTATAGACATTGAACGGTGCCTGCGTTTCGTTGCCGCGTCCGGTGAGACTTCCAGCAAAGGCCGAGCCAAAGCTCGACCTTGGCTGGGCGGCCGTCGAATTGAGGTTAATTGAAGGCGGACGCGTGCCAAAGCTCATGACGCCCTGACTGGCACCAGACAATGTCGGGAGTCCGGCGTTGCTAGTGCTCCGCGCTTGCGCAATGTTGGCGTCTGGGTATCGTCCATTTGGTACGGAACGTCCGGTGCCAGCATTTCGCTTTGCGCCCCAAGCCGATCGTGCAGCGTAGTCTTCTGAGACGGACGAATCTACTAACGAGCCTGAGCCAGTCTTGCCCTCGATATCGTGGGAAAGGCTTGCGACTGAGTGCATGCTGTCACGCGACACTGGCGTGTCGCGCGTGTCGGACCAGATACTGTTCCCCCATATGCTCGTGAGGGTGCCGTTCCCGTTTGTGCTGTTGCTCTGCTCTTTCACACCAGAATTTCCAAGATTGAACGTTCGTGCCTGCGAAGAGGGTCAGTTGCATGGCTCCAACGTGACGGTATGGATACGTACGGCCATTTTATGTTGGGTGCTTGTCGCACCATGAGACATTAGCGGTTTGCAAGTATGTATGAGAAGCTAGATTAATGTATAGATGGCCGTCAGGGTCGCGAGGTGTCAGGCTGTGCGTCGGATGGGTGCTCGAGAATTCGTGGCGAAATGGAGGCGTGCGTCGACGGTGGGCCAGCAAATGGCAAGCGCAAGACTGGTCGCGGGTGTCAGCAGGAATGGGTGCAGCGAGGAGCGCGCGCAGGCAGACTGACAAGATGGTAGCGGGTGGGGCTGGAGAACTATACACTGGCGCTGGGAAGCTCTGGGGCTGTACGTGTATGGGATGTGCGGCGCTGTGGTGCGAAATTCCAGTCGCGTGCTGGTGGTGGTGCTGTACAAAGGCAGGCAGGCTGAGGCAGAGAGCCCGCGATATCAATCGAAGTCGGCAGCTGCCAGGGAGGACCGAGATATGTGAGTCGAGGCAAGTACACGGTTATGTGCAACTCCTGTGCTGCAAGGCCTATCCCAGGGACGAAAGGCTAATTTGCCTTGGACTGGAGTGCCTCTCAAGGACACGACCTGGAGGCAGCGGCTTGCATCTGCGCGAGTGTGGGGAGGAGTTGGCAGCGCGCACGTATGCAAGGGATCTTGGGCGAGATATGCGCTGGAATGGTGGCCGCAGCGTTGTTTGTTGCTGGAGCTGGAGCTGGAGCTGGGCGACGAGCTGGCAGCAGGGCAGTGGGCAGTGGGCACTGGACGGTGCTGGTCCTGGTCGACGCGCCTGCGGCTCTCACGCCCAGGATGTTACATAAAGGAGTGTCGCCAAAGGAACACGTAGAGAGGGCAGGCAAGGCAGATATTCTATGGCCTGTTATGTAGGCTCGCCAAATTCCAAAGATTAGCACAGGATTCAGGTATTGGCGCCAGCAAGGTGTAAGCCGCCCGCTAGCACTATTCTAATTTCTAGCACCCGCTTGGCGCCTTTCGTATCATAAGGCTGCACGCACACGCCCGTACCGTACCGGTGTGAGCCTAACGACTACATGACCACCGGCGACGCTGTCCGACCATGGCCGCCAACTTTTACCATCCGCATCGCATCACATCAGCCCCATGTCTGCCTGTACTTCGAAGGCGGCCTCTGGCAGTGCACTTGACGCTGGAATAAAGCGCTGTCGCCCGCCCATGCTACCTCACCGTGCCAGACCGCCCTCGCGCGGCGACACTGTTTGATGCCTCCGCAAGGTGTGTTTCAGCTTCCACTCTCTGATCCGCCAAAAGTTATATCCAAAGCCTATAGTACGTGACACAACGAGGCAGCGTCCTGCCCGCTAGCCACAGAACCAACGGATCTTGCTCCCTGCACGCCGTCAGTGGGGTCCGGGCCGCTACGGTAGTATGTATGATTTGCAGTACTGTAGCATGGACTTTGCTAGGCTTCGGCTCGGAGCTCCTTGTGCTTCGCCAGCCAGGTGAACGCTCGTGAATTTTGGTTGTGTCTCACTGATCATCACTGTCTGAAGGCACGGAAGAGCAGACTTGTTCGGGCAATGCAGCTGCACACCCCAAAGCAGGGCAGGCCAGCGTGGTTGTTTGCTTTCCCGCACAAGTGATGCGTGTCGGTCTCGAAAAATATCCGAATGCGCCTTTCCGACATGCAGCAAAGAGAGCTACCCGCATTCCCAATCATACGGGACGCCACTTGCGCTATCGCTACGGGCCCACATTATGAAACGGCTAAATCGTTCATAGTGCAGCTACTCTCGACGCTTTCTTTCGTCGTGACCTCTCTTCTCGCCTTCCATCGACGGCCACCTGCGTCTGATGCACTGCTGACCAGCTCTCGCAATGCATTTTCCGTTCGGAATGGATAACATGCTCGAGCATCGCTTTCTCCTGTGCAGCAAAGCAGATCTAATGCCCGCCCGACCTTGCAGGGCTCCAGAGATAACGTCCATACCTCGCGTTTTACTTGCACTTATTGATGACATATTTGATGGCCTCCACTCGGCTGTCCTAAGTCTGTGCAGGTCGTGCTCGACTCAAGGGACGAGAGAGCTCTTCTCACCCTGAGACCAATTCGTCCGCTTCACGAGGTCCTGCGAGTCATAATGCCTTCTCTCCACCTACTCCACAGGGATATTAAGTCCGTGCCCCAGTATAGATCCAGTCTGTCGGGACGTTGTTGGGGTGTGAGGAATTCAGAGTCAATGCAGACTTCTTCCTGCGACAGCTAACTTATTAGTGAGATGTATGATAGGTACCGCAGCACATGGGAAATTGGTGGTGTATTCGCAGAAGCATAATAAGTTGTCATGTATCTTCGAATTATCCGGCTCACAAGCGCAGTAGAGCAAGCGAAGCCGAGGGCGATCCTTTACCGCAAAAAAGCCACGTAGATCAATTTTCGTCATTAGCAGATAATGATGCCGCGGTTTGGTCCTCCCACGCAGCCGACCGACCAAGAAGAAATAAGTTACCTTCATAGTGACTTCAAACTGCAGAGCTGCAAGAAGCTCTTTCCCTGCCGAAGCTCCACGCCTGCTGCACTCCTGCCGCAGCAAGCCCTTCTAACTTCAGAATCATAAGCGTTAAGCGCCGTCAACAGAATCCGCATCTGCAACTTGCGTTACAAGCGACTCAGGGAAATGCGCCCGCACCAGCTTCCGCAAAGTCAATGGCGCTGTCTTCGAAACAGAAAGCGCCCATAACTGCAACGGTTTAATAATAACAGGGTAAGCCTTCGAAGTGTCAGAGGGATAGTCAGGCACGAATTTATCGAGTTTATTGCAGTTCAGGACTCAGAACAATTTTACTATACATATATGAACGTCGATTTAATTGTGTCCCCAAACATGAACCTCCTGTGCTGATGAGCCGATCGAATGCAATACATCGATGCGAAATGCCCAGCCTCATCTGCCCAAGTCAGAGGCCCAGATCAGAACGCCGTGCAACAATATCACAACAGTCTCGTCACCTGGCAGAGGTAATTCACAACATTCGTCCCTTCTGGCCTGCTGCATCTTGATCAGCATTCAACCTGCTTCGCTATTCTGCAGTTGATCTGGCAATGGAAAGGCCTTGCCAAGACAAACCTGCACAGCTTTCGCTTTGCAACATCAACATCAATGAAGCAGTCTTTGGATCCAAATCTCCAACCCCATAAAATCATCAGAAACAATCGGAACCCATAAAATTTCCACCTCTCAACCTTATTCAAAAGTCTTCACTACTCGAAACTCATCCTCAAAAAAGAAAAGAAAAAAAAATAAAGGCTTTCTTGGTCGAGATGAACGAGCTAGCTTTTTTTCAAAGAATCACGAGGCCCAGGAACAGGAAAATGGAATTGGATTATGGAACGTGATTCGAAAGGCATCGATATGCTTCAGGATCAGAAGAATGATGGCGGGCAAGTGACTGTAAGACTTGATGATGGATGGGTGGCGATTGAGAAGTTAGGCTAGGTATGATTGAGTGATGTGGATTCTTTGAAGAGACAAGCTTTGTGATAAGTGTGGCGATCATGGAGAAGGCGAGAAGAAATCGCAAAAGATAGAGACGAAGCGGAAGGAGTGGCTGAGGTCATCGATGCTTTGGCTGTTGGGTTCCTTAAAAGTCCCATAGTGCTTTGCTTTGTTGTTTCCTGGAGGCTCATTGATCTTGCGCATGCACTGCCCTGGCTTAGCTCTCTTGTGACAATGATACATGGCTTCATGTATCACTGTCCTAAATTGACAGATTTCCTGGCTGTCCTCATTCGACCCTTCTCGACTCCCAGCTTAATTTCTTCTGGCACTCTTGTACCCTTCCTTCTGCACGACGCCATTCAGATATCCCAACAACATATTCTTAGCTTCTGTTGGAGTAGTGATGGACTCGGTAGGGGTCTGCTGTCCGCTCCCACCACCATTGCTCAATACACTGGCCATGCTCCCAAGTCTGCTACGAGGCGCGGTTATGCCAGTTGTACTTGCATCTGAGGCATATGCTGAGCTGTCGTATGCAGTCCCGGGTAATCTCCCGATCAACGGCGTCTCCCTTACTGCGGGCGTCCCGAGGGTGAATGGGCTGATAGGCGTTCCTGGGCTCTGCAATCCGCTTGGCGAGCTTTGTTTTGTGAACAGGCTGAGCAGGTGTTCCTTCGAATTCTGCGGCTTTTGTCCTTGATGTGAAGGCTTTCGCTCAGGCTGAAGCTGTGGCGATGGCGGCGGTTCAGGTGTCTTTATCGTGATCTCTGCGGTGTTACCATTGAAGAAGCTCTTCTGGCTTTCGTCCACCAAATTCGGTGATGCTAGAGTTGAGGATGGTTTCTTTTGTGCTGACGGCGCCCGAGACTTGCTACTGCTAGCGAAGAGATTGAGCAACTGATCCTTCTGCTGCTTCGGCTGCGTCGTAGTTGTACCATTGGAAGGTTCCTTGCTCACGGGCGCTTCATCCTCAGCTTTCGCGGGAGGATGCGATACAGGCGCTGCGACAGCTGGCTTACCAAACAATGCAAGAAGCTGATCTTTCTTGTCATTACCAGCATTAGCAGGCTGGACGAGGCTTTGGCCTTCCTCGGGCATTCTTGACAGATCTTGAGCATCGGCAGATGGGCGTTTAAGCACCTGTGGCGTCAAGTTTGGAGTCTCGTGTCGAAGAGGACTTTGGACAACTGGCGATCGAGGACCCTTCCCAGCTGACGAACCTGGTCTCTGCAAGATACTAAATTGCGGGATCGGTTGACTGCTGCTCTCTGGTTGTGCTGGCTTGGTCCTTGCCTTGGGCGATGGCTTGGGCGATGGCTTCGGTGAGCGTGACGTTTGTCTGGAAGTTGGTCTTGGCAGAATGGAGACTGGCACCACATTGTCTTCTGTCGTTGGTTTCTGAACGACTGATGGGGCGCGCACAGACTTTGAGGGCTTGCTGGGATCATACAGCTGGCCAAGGGATTTCGGTCGTTCCGCGAGCATATCATGCAAGACAGTCGTTTGCGTTGGCTGTGGCACTTTTCGCGCAGATGGCGATGTCGACACAGGATTCTTGGAGCGCGGCGGCTTCTGGATTTTGGGCGGCGCAGCGATGGGCTGCTGGGGCGGCGCTGACTGTTGCTGTTCTTTCTGGATTTTGGGCGGCAATGTTCGAGTCATTTCGTTCAATGTTGGGCGTCGCTCTGTCCGTTCCCTTGGCTTTTCCGTGGCATCGGTGGCAGTAGTTAAGGCTGGAGATGCCGGAGCTGGCGGCATTGATGCATCTTCACTCGGTGACGGTACTGATGTGGCTGCCGGTTTCCTAAACAGGTCCAAGAGAGTGGCCTGCTGTTGGCCGCCAGGTCGCTGACCATTGGACGGATTTGTCGCTGCTATACCTGTAGCACCTTTATTTTCGTTTGGAGTTCTGATGAACGCGTCAAGAAGCTTCATGGAATGAGCATTAAGCTTAGGCGCAGGTAGCTTAGCCGGCTCTGGCACACTAGCCTCGCTACCAATGGGTGCGTAGGAACCTGGCCTGCTCTGCGGGCGATTCGCGTTCGAGACTGGCTGCATCGGGCTGGAGAGCCGCCCATTAGATACCGGCATTTCTGAAGGATAGTGCTCAGATGCGGGGCGCGAATGGGCATGTGCACTTTGCTGGTTGAATTGCGGCCCTGAAAAGTAGCCTGCAAGGTAGTTTGTAGGCATACTTTGTTGACGTTGTTGCTGTTGTGCAACTTGCTGCTGAAGATGTGGTGGTATATTGGTAAAGCCAGGTTGTTGGGGCTGAGACATGTGTCCGGATTGAGGTCCAAAAAGAGCAGTCACAGGCAGCGACGCATGTCGTGCCGCTTGTTCTTGTTGCTGCAGCCGATTTGGCGAGTAGGTCAATTGAGGAGGCATTTGATGTGGCTGTTGAAGACCACTGGGCGGATGGTGAGCTTGATGGACCTGAGGCGTTTTTGGCTCACGAGATGGAATCGGGGGGTCGACTTGCTCAAATGGAGTATGGGGAATATCTCCAGTCATGCCTGCATGCTGACTGCCCTTCAGCATCGCCAACAGATTGCTCGAATGAACAGCATTTTGGTTGATAGCGCTCTGAGGCTGCGTAGGAGCAGGCGCGGGTGCCATAGATGGCCCCCCAATTGATAAGAGCCTCTTCAATTCGTCCGCCGACCTGTCTGGCGCAGGCATAGGGAATGCATTGTCAGTAGTGAAGTCTGCCTCGGTATCCAGTGCTTCGTCTTCTGTGAAGCCGGTCTGGAGACCATCATTCACAGATAAATGACGCTGATGCCCTGCTTGCAATGCTGTAGAATCCTTTCTCCTCTGCTGGCCGATCCATTTCTTCAGCGGACCCATGAAAGGTGCAACCATATAGAACTTGCTAGTTTGCGCAGCGCCCTGTCCATGGCCCGTCACGCCTTTCTGCTTCTTGTAGCCCGGTAGATCTCTCACATTATACCACTGGATTTTGCTAATCTCCTTCCTGGTCCTGGGCTCAAAGTAGGTGTCCAGGGACACACCACGGAAAAGGAACAGTTGCATTTGCTGCTCGCGCATCGTGACAGTAATGGACTTAACTTTACCATCGCCTTGCTGGTTTGACTCTACTAATCCCGCCGCCTTCACATCGAAGCCTGTTTCTTCGTACACTTCCCGAGCGGCGCAGTCCAGGTCATCCTCGTCTTTGTTGATCTTGCCTCGGGGGAAGCTCCAGCTAGCTCCTTTCTTCCAGCCTCGGACCAAGAGCACCTTGTCCATGCTGTCGTCCATCAAGATGGCTCCGCGCACAGGCACACGGACTTTGTATGACAGGAATTCCTCATATGCAGCGGTGTGTTGGGCGACATTATAGCCACTGAGCAGCGGGCAATGCCGGAAGAGGACCATACAGAACTCACGCAAGTTGAGCGAGGGCAGCTGCGGGTTCGCGGGCCTAATAAAATCTTCGTAGAACCATTGCGCCTCCTCGACCTGGAAGCAAAGTCGCGGCACGCTGCTGAGCTCATCAGGCGGCAGGTTGAGCAGGAAGCGCACGGTGAGATCGTCGAGCCAGTCAGCGAGCCTCATGCTTGCGATCACGTCGCTTGTGTCTCTGCCCACCGCCGTCTCCGCCATCGCTCTGTCGCTGCTGTCCGCTGTCGGTGGCGTGGCGGCGATGGAGCATTTCGTAGCGCGAATGAGTGCTGTGGTCTGGCTGTGGCTGTCTGCTGCAGGTCGTGCAGAGCGCCGGCGGAGCGATTGTTGCTTCAGCAATGCAGTGTTAGCGAATGTCCTCTCCTAGCGATAGTAGTAGTGCGGTTATGAAGCTATCGTCGGCAATCAATGGCTGGGCTCGGCTTGGCAAAGTGAGTTGTGTTGTGTTGTGGTGAAGCGGAAGTGGAAGCAGTTGTTATGGCGAGTGGCGGAGCTTGAGGGGCGGTGCGACTGCAGCTGCATGACTCCATGCGAGGCCACAAAGCAGTGCCAGGTGAGCTTTGAGCTTTCCTTCCGCAACTTCCAAGGTTCTTCGACTCTACTCAAACACGCCATGCAAACATCGGCAGTGGAACAACTGCTGGAGATTGCAACGGGAGCCTTGTTTACGCCCATGATCAATATCAGTCGACCCTTTCTACAAACGACGCCAAGCTCGCCACTTCAGATTTTGAATTGCAGTGCATATCACGAAAATGGCCGACCTCAAAGAGGAGGCTCTGAACTCGTCGCATGACTTCTACGACCTTCTCGGCATTGCGCCTTCCTCTCAAGAGTCAGAGATCAGGCGCGCATACCGAAAAACAGCTCTCAAGTACCATCCGGACAAGGTTGGGGACGATCAAGCCGCTCTCGACAAATTTCACCTGCTTTCGATCGCATACGAGGTCTTATCGGACCAAGATGTGCGCCAGCTCTATGACAACGCTCGACGTGCGCGAGAAGAAAAGAAGGAGAGAGATGCCGCTTACGAGGGCAGGCGAAGGGCGTTGAAGGAAGAACTGGAGCGGAGGGAAAGCGCAGGCGTCGCAGGCTTCAAGAGAAAGCGCGAGGAAGCACAGGAGGAAGAGGCATTTCAGCGAGAACTAAAGCGATTAGCAGCAGACGGAGCTCGACGGAGGAAGGAGCGAGAGGAAATGCTAAGGAGGGAGGCCGAAGATGAACAAAATCGCGAGCAGCGTGAAGATGCGGAGAAGGCAGAGGTGTCAGATACTCCGGCAACGCCTGCGCCAGTCAACGAAGATTCAGTCCCGTCAGAGATGCATCGAACGTGCAAGCTGAGGTGGCTCCCGTCTACCAGCATCACCACATCAGACTTGGAGTCACGCTTTCAGCGCTTTGGAAAGATCCAAGACGTGGTAATCAGTCCCAAGCCTAAGAAGATCAAGGTCGATGGCGAAAAGCACCGGAAGGAGTACATGACGGCACTGATTATCTTCGAAAATATCGTTGCTGCGAGTATGGCAGTTCGAGAAGGCTCGCGACTCGTCAAAGAAGACACTGACCGTGCTGACTGGGGCGTCTTCGAGGGCATAGACTGGGCCAGCGGAAAAGAGCCGGAAGGTCTACCTAAGCCTCCAGCAAGCAACGGAAGCTCTACTTCCAAAGAGAAAGCAGCTTATAATCGATGGCTGTTCACGAAAGGGCTTGAGAAGACAGCACTAACACTAAAAGGAAAGCCTTCATTTGGGAGTTTCAAGAAGAAGCCGGAGTAGCATTTTGGAAGAAGTTGGACGCAATAGTGCTTTAGAGATACCCACACAGCGAGATCACTTTGAGTGCAACTTATGAATAACTCTGCCCAGGAGGGCAATTGATCAGATCATTCCTTTATGTTGTGTCCACCAACCAGAGCGTCCTGACTGCACTTCATCCTAATAACGACATCGATTTCACAGTGCTTACTAAGTCGCTCATGAAGCCGCGGCCCACCAGGTGAGTGGCATCTCTTTCCCTTCATCCGATGCTCACAACCATCCACAGCGATAATGTTTAGTATATCATCGACGCCCTACGTCTGCGCTCGATGTCTGTCGCCGCAAGCGCGTCGCCTTTACGCAACCGACTCTGCTAGCAAGACTGCACCGCAGTCGCCTCCGCCATCTGGAGCCGCAAAGCTCTCGAACCGACGTCTGATCTCTTTACACGGCCAGGAAACACCCAAGTTTCTGCAAGGCATCATAACCAACAATGTTCGCCCAGAATCTGCGGCCGGATTCTACGCCGCCTTCCTGACAGCGCAAGGAAAGGTCCTTCACGATACTTTCGTCTATCCTACTCCAAGAAGTCAATGGCATAAGCAACAAGGGCCAGAGGACGATCCGGGATATCTAGTGGAAGTTGATGCTGAACACGCAGACTCGCTGATGAAGCATCTAAAGAGACATAAGCTGCGATCGAAATTCAAGCTACGCTTGATCGAACCTGACGAGCTAGGAGTTTGGAGTTTGTGGCGCGAGGGTGAGCGGTGGACAGCGCATGGACAGCCAAAGACCGATGAAGGAATCATAAGTCTCACTGATTGTCGCGCTCCTGGAATGGGCGAACGTCTGATTCTGTCAGATTTGCAGGTTGAGGATGCCTTAAAAGAGGTAGAGCAGTCTTCTTTGGAAGCGTATACAATTCGGCGTTATCTGAGAGGCGTGCCCGAGGGTCAAAAGGAAATGCCGAGAGACGACTGCTTGCCAATGAATTGCAACATTGACATTATGGGAGGCATCGATTTCAAGAAGGGCTGCTATGTTGGACAAGAACTGACCATTCGCACACATCACACTGGCGTCGTACGCAGAAGGATACTCCCGGTCATCCTATATGAGCACTGCAAGGACGCTCCCGAGATATTGAAGTACGAAAGCTCATCGGCCACGAGCGCGGCTACGATGGCCGGCCTCGAGATCAAACGGAACGACAAGCGAAAGCGGAGCACAGGCAAGCTCATTTCAGGAATTGGTAATATCGGCCTTGGCATGTGTCGGCTGGAACAAATGACCGATTTGAAAGTCAGCAGTGAGCCAAGCTCTTTCCAGCCGGAGGATAAATTCTTGCTTCAAACTGGCCAGGGCAAAGAGTTTGGGGTGAAAGCATTCGTTCCAGACTGGGTACGAGGCAGCATTCGTGAGCCCAAAATGCAGAAACGAGTCGAATAAGAGCTGCTAGAGCTCTTTTTGATTCTTCATTCAACCACGGTTCTTCACCCAACCACCTAGCACTAAAGTCCCAGCATCAAGGTCTCTGGTCTGCTTCTCACCAAGCCACTGAGGGCGTGTATGAAGCAATCCGGCCTCGACATCCCAAGCTCTTCCGCCCTCAATGTACAACGCTCCGCCTTTCTGTTGAGGATCCGACAGAACTCCGACAACGATTCTAGCGACGTCTTCTGGCGTATTACTGGGAAGTCCCGACTCCTCCCAGATGTCTTTGATAACTTCCATCATCCTGGTGGATGTAGCCCAAGGACAGATCGCATTCGTGCGTAGCGAGAAAGGAGGCCTATTAAATCGTTCCCTCACCTGCCGCACTAGGCCCAGGACTCCGTGCTTAGTAGGAACATACACCCAGCTGTCTCGCAATTCATCAGCAAATGTACCGACCCATACAGCGCTCAGGATCCTTACCAGCCAGGATCCTCTCTAAAACCACCTAATTGTCAACGAGATAGTCTATCAGCAAAGTGCCCACAGGATGAATGATGAGATCCAGAATGTGCATACCTACGCTACTGGTGAAGAGCAGACTTCGATCGCCGGTCTGGCTAGCTTGACGAAGATATACGCTAGCGATGCGAGCAAAATAAATGGGTCCCCTCAGATTGACATCAAGCACTTTCAAAGATTGAATCGGTTCCGCTTTGACGTCCTCCAGAGTCAGAGCTGGATCGAAGATTTCGCCTTCCTCCGGGATGCCGGCATTGCTCCATGCATGGTCAATACGCCCAAAAGCATTGAACGCGGCCGCGAACAGCCGAAGATTGTCCTCATATGAGGTCACATCGCATCGGATGTATCTCACTGTCGCTTCTGATCTAGAGAGCTCATTCTCGAGCTTCGAACCTTCGTCATCCAGGATATCGCCGAAGAAGATATGAGCTCCAGCTTCGTGCAGTAGACGGACGGTGGCCGCCCCAATTCCCTCTGCCCCCTAAAAGATTGTCACTGCGGGTCAAGCGTCAAGCTTGAGCATGTTCCTTACGCCTGTCAAGACGATGACCTTATCTTTGAGCACCGAGCTGCTTGGTGGGATGAATCGTGGAGGCTGATACGGCGCGGACATTGCTATAAAGGTATGAAGTGAACCAGTCTTTCCTTTGTGTCCTCTTTCATTTTGTACTCCGTGGTTCAAGCATTATATTCTTCCTCATACGTCTCTGACCCCACTGGATTCTTCACATCTTCGGCACTTGTAAGTTGTACCCCGCGTCTTTCTCCACAATCCCCGGGTGCCATGCTGGTCAACTACGGAATCGTTCCTCAGAGCATACGATATTCACCTTGGTTTCTGCCAAACACGAATCCGTGAACAAGCAGACGACCACAAGCAGTATTACCGACTCATGTCGAAGGATCGAGGATAACCTTCTTGATCCCAAGCTGAAATGATCTGCAGAACCAGACTACGTGCAGTGCAACATTAATCCAGAAGGCAGGCTTGATGCTCAGAACCGAGCGACGTCCTGGCTTTTCAAATATTAACCGCTGGATGTAAAGGTGCCACCAGCATCTTTGAGCGCACGATCCTCGCTAATTACAGTATCAGAGTCCGCCACAGTCTTTCTCCTCGGGATGGCAAGCAACAACCAGTCCCTCAGTGACATGATCTCGAGCAGATGTCACGCGAGAGCATTCGAAACGTAGCAGGCCATGGCGACAACCATGATGAGGTCGGCGCGTCGAAGACGGATCATACCATTGGCTACTATATTTGCCTGCACGACATGACGTGAAGGTTGACCTTTGATGTCCAGATTGGCCGAAGCAGACCAAGCGACGCGAGCTTGTGGTTGTTTGCTTTTGATCTGGTCCGTGGCACCAGATTACTGCACCTGCATAAACGGACAACCTCGTTCATGTCATGGCAGTCTAGCGATTGACAGCTCCTTCCTTGCTTCAGCGGGCCAGAAACGCTCAGCTTGGCTTTCAGGGCTCGACTGGGGATGACTGGTGCAGGATGACATTCAAGAGGATCTGCAGGCATCCTTGCACCTGTCACATTCGTCGCGACAACATCAATTCAGATCAATCTTGGCCAAGCTTCGCCTCGCATCGGCTCCATGCAGATGCTCAGATATCAAGGAGTCAGCGCAGACACGACGCGCGATCATCCACGTCAAAGCCGTGTCAGATGCGCCGTTCGTACGAAACGATGCATGCGCAGCACATCCGTGCAACATAGCAGTGTCCTCATTCAAGCATGACGAGATTTGGAATTGGCGAGGAATGTCGCATGAATGCGAGCATCAACCGACTTGGCAGCATGATGAGCGTGGGGTTGACAATATTGTAATTTGTGATGCACGTGAAGGTTGCACCACCTTGACGCGTGGTTCTGAGACGGATCCGAAAGAAGCGACCGGCATTGGACTGTCGCGCAATTCGTTTGCCTTGCCGCGTGCATCAGCCCTCTAGCGGACGAGTTCGCGATTAGTATTCTATGATGATATGGGCAGGAGGCAGGAGATCAAAAGCCTCTTGTCGCTCCAGCTCCTTCAAGAGCAGTTTGCTTCACTTCCTCATGTCTTCCTTGTCCACTGCAGCGCACGTGAAGCCTCGGCTATACACGCACAGCATTATTGTTATGCCATCCATGTGAAGCATCTCAGCCTGCTCCACCACCACCACCCACGTGAGCTGCACAGCCTTCGCAGCGATTGGCTCGTGTTAGTCATAGCCACCGCATCGGATATTCTAACTTATCGCACGCTTCCGTTCGATCAACAATCAGCAACCGGCAGCCTTATGCTTATCGACGCATGAACTCGCTACGATGAGCATGAAGCATCATCAGCACACTATCCAAATCTGCATCATCCTGCTACCCAACAACAACACCTAAGAGAGACACCACCTCTTTCCGCAATTGTTATCTGCTCCGACGCACACTGCCCCACGTTCAGCGAAGGAACACGAACGAGAGGAGTTGAAATAGTCCCTGCGTATCTACACGGGCCGGCCTTCATAGGCCCACCATCATATAGTGTGCGGCTTACACCGAAAGCGCTTTGCTGCGGTTCAGCAGCTCTTCGAACCACCCGAGCGACCATGGCGACCAACGGATACTCACTGTCGAACGGCGACGTGCAGTATGGTGCCACCAGCTCACAGTCTCCGCCAAAACAACAGAATGCGAACGCGGCGGTCCATCAACGCACGTATCAGGGTACGTATCATGTGCAATCATCTCGAGGTGTGTAGTACGAACTGCTAACTTGAACGCTGACCAGCATGTATACCATGTAGGCAGCGCAAAGTACGCTGCGACCTAGGATCTGTAGATAATCCTCACGATCCCCCATGCACGAGATGTCGTCGCGAGGCCAAGGAATGCTACTTTTCTGCCACCCGTCGCAAGAAGAAGACTCAGGTCGGCGATAATACCGGCTCCGAGGCTGGCGATGAGCCAGTATACGAGATCCGACACAACCGCAAGCGATTGAGAACGTCTATACCTCCAGCAGAGATCGATGGCGCTCAGGAAGATGATGAATACCCAGAACAGCCTCGCACGCCTGGCGGCTCGATAGGACGTACTCAACCGCTCCGCAGACCCACCGCGCCCCAACCGATGGCCTATCGCGAAGAGGACGAGAAGCAAGCAGAGCATACAGCCTTCATACTACAGCAGTCAGAAGTGCATGGGGGCCATGACGCTCTCAAAGTGCTGTACCAGGCAGGAATCGCCAGCCTCAATAGGAGCGACAGTACTAGCAGCGGTATACGTCCTAGCTTTGCTGGTCTCGCAGCAGGTTCCCAGGCATCTACGTCTAGTCCAATCCTGAATCGAGTACCGACTGGCACCAGCTATACCAACGGTCCTCTCGCGCCTTTCCAAAATGACAGTCTCTGGAACACGACAACAGACGGTGCCGCCCCAGCAAATAGCATGCTTGAGAACATGCCGGTTGACAGCACAAGTTACGCAGAAGCGGTCAAGGCGTGGACGCGATTCAAATTCGTACGCGCTGGATGGATGACAGCCAAGGAAGGCATTGACTATGTACTCTACTTCTATCGGCACCTATCACCCCTGACGCCAGTCGCAATACCAGACTTTAAACATCCAAGCACTCATAAGAAGCTGCTGGAGGAGGAACCGATGCTTGCCGTGACAATGCTCTTAATCGCCTCTCGACATATGAAGCTCGATGGACCAGGGTCTCATAGTAGGCCCTACGCCATTCATCAAAAGCTATGGACTTATCTTTCGGGCATGATCAATCGTGTCGTCTGGGGCCAGGAGCAATTTGGAGGCGGCTTCTGTGGAGCTGGCGGCCCTGGAGCACAACCGAGTTGCGATGTCAATCCACTTTTGCGGAAAGGCTTAAGGACGCTGGGTAGCGTTGAATCTCTCGTGTTACTGACAGAATGGCATCCTCGAGCCATGCACTTTCCGCCTGATGAGGACGACGACGATCTCATGGTACCAGATCAAGCCTTTGGCACGCCAGCTATCGGCTCAGAAGATGGCGTGCCAAAAGGCATTGGAGGTCATCGCATGGATGCGTGGCTGGAGCCGTGTTGGCGGAGCGATCGCATGTGTTGGATGTTGCTCGGAATGGCTATGTCGCTCGCTATGGAGATAGGTGTCTTCGACTCAAGCGAATGGCAGCGACATGCTCGCGCCACAGATGGTCACTCATTGTCTTCAGAAGATCTTACGAATTACGACAGACGACGAGGGAACGTTCGGGATCTGCTGCTCGTGTACGTCACGCAAACCAGCGGCCGCCTGGGACTTACGTCGATGCTTCCTGGCTACTACAGCAAGCCTGAAGACAGTGACCAATTCCGACGCCGTATCGATGGCCAGCAGGACAGCATCAAGGAGATCACATTCCACTTCTGGCTTCGGATGGCTGCGCTGATGCGCGAAGGTAACAACAAGATCTTTGCGAACAAGACATTTACCCGCGATCTCATTCGAAACGGCGACTACAAGCGAGCCCTTGACCAATTCGCCGGTCCGCTTAATGACTGGAAGAAGGATTTTGATGACTGCGTGTCAATTCCGAAGCACATGCGAGCTATTTTGGGCATTGAGTACGAGTACTGCCGCTGCTACATCAATGCTCTGGCTCTCCAAGCTGTTGCCGAGCGTTGCGCAAACGACCACCCTTCTCCGGTTCAACCTATTGACCCGCCGCTCGAAATGGCGCGGGCAGCGGTCGCGGACGCCAATTCAGGACCTAAAGCCGACTTTGCGATCGCCCCTTCAACTCTTTCCAAATGGCTCGGCGGCGATCGCAACTATATGGTCACTGTAGGCGACGCTGCCCGAAATCTGCTAAAAATTGTGGTCGATGATCTCGAGCCGGATGGCTTCCTGCGGCATGCTCCAGTCCGGACCTATTTCCGCATCATCAGTGTAGCTATTATGCTGCTGAAGTCATTCGCACTTGGTGCTACCGAAGCCGATGTCACGGACTCCCTCAAGCTTATGGAGCGCACAGTGAGCGCATTGCGAGGCTGTATCGTTGATGATGTTCACGTGGCTAGTCGTTTCGCTGACCTCCTTGACACGCTTTCACAAAACCTCAGACCCCGTCTAGTACGCATTGCTGCTGACGGTCGTGCTGGCAAGAGTCGGCGCGAGAGTCAATACAACGTTGGTCTTGGACCGAATAGCGGCATGCCGTACTCGAATGGCAGGTCGACTGTAACACAATCACCACAGACAGTACCGGGCGGCATGCAGAATGGACAAGGCTGGAACAACAATTTCAATATGGTCTCGCCATCCGCTACGATGACATCAGGCACTGCGACGTACGGCATTTCCAATGAAACCTATGATTTGCTGAGAGGTGACAACCAGTACTCTGTCATGCCGCCTCCAGGCTTTTCGGGTACTTCGCCCACGAAAACTCAAAACATGAACGGCCCTGGATCTGCCACCGGGAGTAATGGAGGTTATGATACATTTCCAAACGGCAACTTCGATAACCCGCAGGACTGGCTTGCCCTGCCACTTGACCCTATCCTCAACATGTCTGGCGCCGACGTGGATCAGACTATGTACGGTCCACAGCTCGGCGGTCATGATATGCTCGAGTACCTCCTCAATCCCCAGAACACCAACGGATATTGACGGATTATCCGGCGATTCAAGATCTTTCGGCTTAACTACATTTTCTTTCTCATCTATCACGACATCAATACGTAGCTCATGCAAGAAATGATGACCAGTGTACGACAGAATGGTCAAGCATGTATCATGTTTTATGAAACTCCGGCGAGGGTCAGAAGCGACACAAATCGGAGAGGATGCGATATGAACAGGGTGTGGTCTTTTCTTTTCGAGATACCCATATCAGTTTTCTAGCTCGAGCATACACATGGAACCAAGCATAGCGATAGGCAGACAAAATTATCAATCATCAGAATCACACCCCCTCTACTCATTCAATCTTATACGTCGCAGCCAACCTCTCCATCAAATGATCTCTCGCCGTAACTCCCTCCCTCCCACTCCTCGTGCCATTCTTCTCCGCAAACTCCCTCACAATCCGACTCGGCACAGGCTCCAACAAAGCCTCATCAAGCGGATGACAAAAATACGCAATACTATACCTATCCCCCGCATCCGCCTCCCCTTCCGGAAACACCACACGATGGACCGTAGATTTCAACAACCCTCCCGTCCAATCCTCGAGCAAATCCCCAATATTCACCAAAATCGGTAACGCTCCCCCTCGCTGCAACGGGTCTACAGGAACACGAACCCATTCTTTCCCCCTCTGTATCTCTAACCCAGGCTGTCCCGGTAACTGAAATAAACACGTGATACTCCCATAATCCGAATGCGCTCCGGCTCGAAGATCAATCTCAGAAGTTGTCGTCTTTCGAGCGGGATAATACAGATATCGAAAAATCGAACCCACAGGGCCTTGGGAAGGATCGTGACGGCTTGTGAACCAATTTTCCGGAATTTCTAGGGCGAGAGCGAAGATGCTGAGGATTTTTTGGCAGAGGTTGTGGCAGGCGAGTTCGAAGTTTATGACGGAGGACAGGTGGGAGAGGATGGGGGGTGGGAGGGGTTGGTCGAAGGTTTTGTCTGGGGTGGGGAGGGAGAGGTTGAATGCTCTGTGTGTGTAGATAAGTATCAGCGTTATTATTATTGTGATTTATCGTGATGTGTGTGCTTTGATTCGGGAATTTTTTTTTTCTTACTTACTCTTTCACATCGGGACTCTTTTGAGTTTTCGGATCAAGTTTCTCTACGCCTTGAGATAGCCATCCGTGGTTTTTGCCGGCTTTGTTGGAAGCGATGGAGACTTGTTCTTTGATTTCTGTGGGGAGAGAGAAGAAGTCTTTTGAGATTTCGAATTGTTGGGCGATGAGATCTGGTGGGATTCCTGCTTCGTTGTCGTTGGAGATGAAGATGAAACCGAAGTCGCGAGCTGCGGCGAGTAACTGTTTTGGGGCCTCGACATTGTGAGGACTGATGTCGATGACGGGGATCTGGATAGTGTTGTCTTTTGAAGCCATTCTGCGTTTGATGGTGATTCCGATATTTTGTTGTGAAAAAGTGAGAGTTGAAGTAAAGTGCTCAAGAGCTCCTTCCTCCGATAGCCATCGGAAGTCGCCTATATATCTTGGCAGGAAGACTTTCGGATAGCTGAGCTGGGGCTGGTAATAGGAACGTGAACGAGAACGTCTTGTAGTAGATATTGATTCATCTTCGACTGACTGTAAATGTACATTCGCCACTGCTCATGCTTCTACATAGCTAGCGTAAACGCAACTCAGCGCCTGCTTCCACGCTATGCCATGCTATGCTAAATGACCATTCGCTACCCAGGCCAGATGACAACTCTAGAGCTAGCCGCATGTGGCTGCATGCGGATAAAGGCCTGCCAACAACTTTTTAATATACAGAGAGAAGAGTGACAATGCCGGCGAGCCATGCCGACGCCGATGCCGATGCCGATGCCGATGCCATTGCTGATCATAGGATTAGAAGGGAAGAGAGGCCGGCTGGACCTTGTCTTGCTGCTCGATGATCTCTTCACCTGTCGCTTCGATCGATACCGCGAGACCGAGTTTAGCAGAGCTCTGCAGAAAATCATTAGCATCAGGAGCAGAGCACGGAAATGTGAATTACAGAGACATACTTTGGCATGATCCAGCTCGCCCGCGAATGTCACTTTCACAGGTGGTGCAACGACCTTGTCCAACAAACATCCAAGCTTGCCCTGGCTGTCGACTTGTGCTCTGAAAATCGATCGTGAGAACTCATACTTGGCACCCAGTGTCGCAAGACCCTCTTTTCGCGGGCCACCCATCATGGCATTTGCTCCAGAAAGGCCTGCGAACTGGAGGTTGACGTCCACACCAGTCTCCACCTTGTCCATCAACCTTCTCCAGTAGCTCAACTGCAGGCCACCCTGAGTCAAGAACTGAGCACTGGCTATCCAGTCATCAGCCTTGTATCGTCCTGCGTAGCTCAAGGCTGCATCGGGACCCATTCCACCACCAGGCTTTTGCAAAACACCCTCTAGACCTAGCGCCAATCTAGGTGTGATGCTCTGAAGATAGGATGCAATGAATGTTCCCGTAAGTTCGCCTTCCAAAATGCTAGGGTTGAGGCTCTTCAGGGAGGCAGTGAAGTCGGCGCCAGCGTATTCTTGCTCGAGGGAAAGCTGCGCTCCGCCGGGGTTCATGCCTGACGAAGGCTGGATCTGCACTTGAGACCTGAAGATGAGGCGATCGGTGATTCGCGAGTTGAATCGGGCATTTAATGATGTATCTGAGTCTAGCTGAGCTTGACAGAGGATCTGGATGGGTATGCATTAGCTGATGAGAGTTTGCGATGATCGGGCAAGACACATACATTGTTTGTGCCATATATAGCCAGAAATGTGTAGGGCGACAAAAGCTGTGATCCACTCGAGAAGGCGTGGCTGATCTGGAAGACTGGGAAGATGGAGAAGCTCTTGTTGAGCTCTGCTCGCAGGCCAGAGAAGGTCTGGTTGTTAAGGAAGACCTCTTTTTGCACCTCTCTCGCAATTTCACCGACCGTTCCGGGGTTGCTCAGACCAAGCGCTTCTCTTCGCTCCCGTATCGATCGATATGTGTCGAAGATTGCATCGATGAAGGTGTTTGTGCGCGGCGGTGAAAGGGTTGCTGGCGGAAGCGCATGGACGTCTGCTGGGACTGCAGGCTTTTCTACAGGAGGCGCCGTGGCCATTGTGAGAGGTGGTCCAGCGTCAGGTTGTGATGGTCGACGTGATTTTTCGGACGTGGGCGACGGCGATGCTCCGTAGGTCAATGGATTAGGTGGATGGCTGGACGTATGGATGGGAGATCTTCGCAGAGCAGAACGTGAACTTTGACGAGAGAGGCTCCAAGCTCGGTCTTGGCACTTTTCGCGCGGATTCGGATTGGCTGTGGTGCTGTGGATGAGGCGTGGGCGGGTATGGATTTGCGGACTCCGCTATGTAGTTCGGCGCGGACTCATCGTCGCGCGACCGAAGTGTAGCCACCAGTGGAAGCCGCTCTTCGAAACTTGAAGCAGTGCAAAGCCTTCCACGTGAGCGCGTCTCTGGCTGATCTCGGCCTTGACATGGACTGAGCTTGCCGGCGCGCACCGTGAATGGTATCGTCACTGCTATACACACACCTCCCACTTACCGGGAACCCGGTCCTCTCTACCCACATCTCCGAAGCTCGTGTACCTCCGAACAGGGAAGCTGCAGTGAGGAACCTGGTCGCGAGGCTGAGGGAAGCCAGGCGAAAGGAAAGTGAGAGTGAGAGCAAGTACGAGTGCCTTCGCGTCGCAGTCCGAGGCTCGATGTTCACGGCAGTAGTAGTCAGCATGGACACTTTACTGTAAGCTTCACGTTCACCTTCCCCTTCCCTTCCCCTTCATTTCCGTCCGCCACTTCGAACAACCACCACGAGCCCATCACATAGTGACCCAACATGGACAGCACCGCCGATGTGGCCGCCACCGCGCCCAGCTTTCGGAGAAGATCCAGCACTTATGTCGACGCTATCCATGACCTGCCGGAGAAAGAGTCCATGGCCCCTGCCCAGCTGTACTCGACTGAATCTGGACGACTCTTCCATTCCGGACGCATAGTCATTGCCACCGTCGGTCTTCCTGCTCGTGGCAAGACGCACGTGAGCGTTGCTCTTGCCCGCTATCTTCGCTGGCTGGGCGTCAAGACGCACATCTTCCATCTTGGTGACTACAGGCGTGGATTTCTTGGTGCCAAGGCCGAGATCCCTGATGATTATTTTCATGTCAACGCCAGTACATCTTCCGTCCTACTGCGAAACAAGATCCTGAAAAAATGTCGACAAGATATCTTCACTTTTCTCAATCACGAAAACGGCCAGATTGCGATATATGATGCCGTAAATCCTTTGGCCAATGGTCGCCGAGCACTTGCTAAGGAATTCGAAAAGCATGGCGTGCAGACCCTTTTTATAGAATCCACCTGCACAGACGACCGAATCATTGAGGAGAACGTCCGGTCTGTGAAGATAACTTCTCCCGACTATATTGGGTGGAAGCCAGAGGATGCTGTTCAGGATTATCTTCGCCGCATCAATGCTCGCATACCTCACTTCGAGCCTGTCGAGGAGCGCGATCTACACTATGTCAAGATGATCAATGCCGGAGAGCGCGTGATCGTGAATCGATGCAATTTTGGCTACCTGTCGCAACGAATCGTCTTCTACCTCCTGAACTTGCATATCAAAAGTCGACAGATGTACTTTGTGAGAGCTGGCACTACCCGAGACGAGGAGACCTTCAAAGGCGATGCCCACTTAAGCGCAGAGGGTCAGGACTACGCACGGAAAATGACGGACGCATTACTGGCGCACCGAGAAATGGAACGACAGAGCTTGATCAGGAACGGAGCACCCGCATCGACGGCGCTGAAGCCACTGAACGTGTGGACATCGACTCGCAAGCGAACCGTTGAGACTGCGCAATTCCTCGAGCAGAAGGGCTACCGTGTGCGCCAGCGGAGTCAGATGAGCCAACTCAACCCAGGTGTATGCGAAAAGCTTAGCGAGCGCAGGATCAGAGAGCTCTTTCCGGAAGAAGTGGGAAAGCACGAACAGGATCCGTACCATCACAGATACCCAAGAGCTGAAGTAAGTCATTCAGTCGAGATTTTAAATGCAGCCTGCTGATGTGTCTACAGTCATACCACGATCTGGCCGTGCGCCTAGAGCCCATCATTCTCGAACTCGAACGCGAACAAAACGACCTTCTCATTATCGCTCACGAATCCGTTCTGCGCGTGCTATACGGCTACCTCATGGCATGTTCAGCGCACGACATCCCAAGCCTACAATTCCCTCGTGACGAGATCATTGAAATCATCCCAGCATCATACAGCAACAGCTCCAAGAGAATCCATATCGATGGCGTGCCCGATCGAATCCTTCCCGGAAGTCCAGAGGATATCTCAATACCCGTCCCTCCGTCCGGTGCCATCAGTCCACTCTCGGGGCTGGGCACTCCAGCTGGTGCGAGTACTCCTGAGAAGTCGGGAAGAGAGACTGGTATGCTGCCCTTGAACCGCGATACGCTCAGTCCGCCGAAGTCATAGTGTGCTCGAGCGAGACAGGCTCGTGGGTCAATGGATTTAGCAACGTACCTGTTTGATGCTTGCGCTATAGTTGATGACGATGATGACGAAGATAAGAAGCTCATGATACAGCGTGGAGTTTCTTCTACATAGAGGGCAGCATAGCTCTGACTTGAGCGCATTGTTTTTTGGGGGAGTGTTTTCTGGCACGAGCTCAGTCGCATGAACATACATACTCGTCGTTTGGAATGTCTAGTACAATCCTGGGTATCAAGAAAAACTGTCTATACTGAAATCGGAATTCCTCACCCAAGTAAATCCTCGACCTCCTCACCAACGTGCTCATTCTCATCTCCACCCGTCGTACTTTCCTCCGCAGCAACACTCCCCTCCTTCCCCGATTCCTCATACCAAGCCATATCAATCCACTCGACAATCTGATCCCTCGCCCTCGGCAGCATGGCATGATAATCCGGATTCGCATCCGGCGCAAACATGGCCGTGTGAGCCGCGACCTCATCCTTCGCCGCCTGATTACAACATCGAATCCATGTCCCTTTACCCTTAGAAGAATCTTTCGCAAATTCTCGAACTTGTTCGGTTTCTGCTTCCAAACGTTCCTGCTCTGCGTTGTCGTCATTGAGTTTCCGCCTCTTAGGCGATGGCTTTTCTGTCGAGGGGAAACCATGTTTTGTGCCCATATTAGCAGTAGCAGAATTTCCGTTCTCATCATTCTTGCGATTGTTATTCTTAGGAATGACACAAAACGTCCTCTCCTCCCCACCCCCAAAAAACTTCCCAGCATGTTTTGTTTGATTTGTGCCTTTTCTTCCTCCAAGAGCACCGTAGAAATTCGCGAAGCCTAGATCATAGGTTTGAGTCAAACGGACGAGTTTTTCCACTCGTTTCTGCAGTTCTGCGCCTCGTGCGAGACAGCCGACGAATTCCAAATGGCTACCTGCCCATGCGAGACCTTGGTTGATTTGGTTCCAGTTCAGATATGCTGCGCCCGCGACACCGGCGAGAGCGGCTGCTGCGCCGCCGAATGCTGCGACTTTGCCCCAACGGCCCCAGCCACCGGGTTTGGTAGGGGTAGCTTCGGGTGCTGGGAGACCTCGAGTTGATGCGTTTGCGATGGGGGTGGTGGATTTGGGGGAGTTCCAACCGAAGAAGTTGGTGGCTGTGTCGAAAGCTTTGTAGGCGGTGGATGCGTGGTTGATTTGTTCCTCAGCGCCATGGGCAAGGACTCCGGGAGATATGCCTAGGTATGGGGTATCGAACGCTAGCACAGCACGTATGTATGGAAAGAAAAGTCTGGAAGTCTCGCTCGGCGGCGTGCTGGTGTCGTTCTGTGGTGTCGTAGTAGTGTTGTTTCCAGAAGGATTCCAATCTGAGTGGGGGACTGGATCATCTCTTGCGATACTGAGAAGTGCTTCTGCGGCAACTATCCCTCCCATTGAATGTCCGCATAGCACAACATGCACCGAAGGATCGACTGTGGGTGAAGGTGTGCCATTCGCGACTTCGAGATCGATTACTTTGTTCTGAAGCCATTCTACCAGTCTTGCAACGCATTCTCTCAAATCGCCTCGGGTTTCGTATTTCGGGTATTGTACGGATAGGACGTTGATGTTAGGTAGCGAGTGCGAGAGTAGGGCGCGGAGGTCCTTGGGGAAGTTGTGGAATGTCGCGTCGTCGCCTTTGAAGCCGTGTATGAAGACGAGCAGGAGCGTCTTCTTCATGATGATTGTTGGTGCTGTTGGCAGCGCGCAGTCGGCGCAGCGTTCGGTGGTACGTTACATGTCGGTTGAGATGTTGAGGTCAGAGGTGAAGGGGTCAGATTATTAATAAGGCTACGTAGGTAGATTCTAAAAGTGAGGTATAAAACATGTGAGGCTGATGTGGGGCGTGACCTTGGACTCGAGCAACCACACAATTGGGATCATGCAGCATGGACGTGGATACGGATGATTACGATGTCTGAGTTCTGAAACTACGTAGCTGAGAAGAGTACGTCTATATGCAATTCGCCAGAGCCGCCAAGTGGATATCTTCATAATCTGTGTGTCTCGGGTCTCGACTCTCTGCCCAAGTTCAGCGCCCATTTTAAACGCCATCTCATGCTTCCCTGCTTACTCAAGGAAAAGAACTCATTCACATATCGTAACTGGCAGCGATGCCAGGAGCAGGACCTTCGAGGTCTACCCGTTCCACTCTACTGCGGATGTCGTTGCTCTCCCGCACAAGATTGCCGAAGTATTTCCTGGCCACCTCGTTCTCGCTTTGGATCTTGACCGTTTCGCGCTTCTTCTCCTGAAGATGCTCCATGTTGCGCTGCAGACCTTCGCGAAGTTTATCGGCAGGATATTTGAGTGCTCGTCGCACTTCCGAGCTTATGCGAAGAGAGTTCGAGTGCGTGTAGTCCAAAGCCGCAAGCTGTGCAGCAAGTTTGGCGCTCAGACGTCGCGGCAGCGACTGCGGAATTTGTGATATCGCATACGACACACCAAGGGCAACGGCCAAGATCATACCTGGCACAAAAGCTCTCCGGAGGTTGTTCGCACCCACGACTCTTGTCGCTGTTAATGCGCCATCGAGCCAGCCCACGCCACCAAGCATTCGACCACCAACGACACCAGCCACTGTCACAGCCATGCTTGTGCCAGCAACCTTCTCCTGTCTTTCCCACATGTTGGTAATGTCGAAGAAGTCCCAAAGCTCGGGCTCGAAGTCCACTTGGCGCGATAGCGCGTCACGTCGGCTCTTGAACATCTTCTCTGAGCGGAAGGTCAAGTCGACGTATTGATCGCCCAGATGCAGAAGGCCGAGGCTCTTGATGCTGCTGACTCCATGAACAGTCTTTTCGCGGGCTCGTTCCTCACACCACCTGACGGTCTCTGTGATCTGGTTGAGCATAGCCGCTTTGAGATCCTCAGCATAAGCATAGGCACCAAAGAAACCCGGGTATCTCACGCCAAGGTCAGCTTCCGCAACTTGCGCGATTGAGTCGTTCAATGTATTCCTTGTCAGACTATAAACCTCATTGGAGGTCTCCTCGATATTGGTCGCCACACTTTCATCGGCTTCCGATCGTGCCTTCTTCGACTTCTCAAAGACCGGCTCTAATTGACGTAGCTCTTCGATCACCCTATCCAGCTCGTTTTGTGCGACATCCTTGTTGACGCTCGCGAGGGTACCGAGATCTCCCAGGACGTTCATAAGATAAGTCTTCGCAGGCGCAAGCTTCGAGCGAGCACGTTTTTCAAGCACGAATCGACGAAGTGAAGCCTCAAGCTCACTGAAGTCGTCGATGGCGTCCTTTTCTTTGCCCTTGCCTTTTTTGACTTTTGGAGGAGAGCCTGGCTCGCCATGCTTGCCTTTGGGCTCATCATCATCATCATTATTGTCCTTATCGTTGTGATCATCGTCAGAGTAGCCACTTGAACCAGAGCCACTTCCTGCGTTGTCTCCAGGAGGCCCGCCCGGAGCAGGCGCTACAGGAATAGAGTTGCTCGACACGAAATGAACCAGCTCCGCAGATTCCTTGAATGTAGCCGGACTCAAGTGTGCAATTTGCTTCAGAACCGTCTCCTGGCAACGTTTCTTGTCGCGAATACCATCGAAGCCATTTACTACCATGAACATGTATGCTTTCTCCCGTGCAGCGTTGAAAATAAATTCCTTGGCGGATAATGTGAAGTGGTTGGCTGCAGACACGACGAAGACGACTACGTCAATCTCCTCCTGCCTTGCAAACAGCGCTGTGGTCTTGAGAGAATCATTGTTGAGTCCGGGAGCATCGATCAAAGCTATATCGACCACGCCGTTGTTGAGGAGAGATTGATCGACGGACCGAATGTCCTTGATGTAGACCTTGCACATCGAATACCTGTCGCTGTCGATCACGACGTCCTCAAGTTGTTTTAGAGCGAAGACGTGGTATGTGCTCTCGTCGTTTCGATCGTAAGTGATCCCGTGTGGTATAGCATGCACTTCTTCAATACTTCCATTTTCTCGGCAGTCCAACACCTCGCAGAAAATGGCTGTGCAAGGTTGCTGGTCCTCGGGTAGAATCTTGCGCCGAAGTAAGGCATTGCAGAAAGTCGACTTTCCGGCGTTCAAGTCTCCCGTTACCAGAACCTTGCTCGATGTGTCCTCGATCCTTTCTCGTAAAGCAAAAAGATGTCTTACGCTCTTGTTTATTTGATTGTCCAACAGTGAAGCCACAGACTGTTTCTCTAGCGAATGCACGATATCGGATTGAGCCAACCCTTCCATCTTCAGTTCAATCTTCAACACTGAGAAATCCTGAGCCAGCTGCGGAGTGACCAGTCTGGGCTCAGCGAGCTGCTGTTTCGGCTCGGCATCTTGACTTGATTCTGCCGTAGGGTGTGTCCCTAGCGTTGTGTCTGCTCGCCGAGGTAGCTGTGGTCTCGCAGAGGCGTTCTCGCTGCGGTCTTCGATGTCGAATGTCGACTGTGTATACGAAAGAGTAGGTCGCTTGTCCGATCTAGAGGGCGGTGGAGAAGAAGGTCTCTGCACGGTAGGATAGTGCGCCGGCCACTTGGTATTCATCTCTTGCAGCTTCTTCAGCGTCTCCACGGTCTGATTGATTGCACGACCTAGCGCGGTACGATTCTGGTTGTAGAACAGCTGGTGTACATGGGCAGCTAGTGCACGCCGCTCATTCTCGGACTCTGGATTGGTCTCTCCGGGCCGTACAGGAGTATGCGCAGGAGTGTATCGATCTGTAGTCGGACCCGGATGCCACGCGTTCTCCATCGTGTCATCGCCAGTGATGCTTCCTCCATACCCTGAGTCTTCGTCCAGAAGCGCCTGTAGCCTCGCTGCGCTTTCTGAGCTTGAGCCAGCGCCGACAGTCATATACTGCGGGCGTCCAGAAGCGCGCCCAGCGGAGCCGCCACTGCTGGACGAGGGTCCGGCGCTGGGCTTGTCAAACGGATTGTTCGCACTCATCGCAGCGTACCGTATGCAAACTGGCTCATTTCGTAGTTGGTGGGTGTGGTCGCAATTGGCATGCACGGGTGTGTGAAGTCTCAGTGGCCAAAGATCAAATGTTGTTTGTCGCGAGTGATCTCATGCGCTCGTCGTTCCTCGGCATCCAATCGGCACACTCTTTCGCCGAACTATGGCTGCCTCTTGGGCCATCACTCTCGAGCTCTTGTCAATGTAAACAATACTGTAGCCTGCCAATACTATATACTCGCTGAGGGCTTGCCAGAGTCATACAAGCTGATTGAGCGAGGATCGTTGCAGTAGAAACCAATAGCAGCGCTTTCCTGACTCAGAAGCCGCCAGATAGCCTGCACAATACCAAGTCGGGGACAGCAACAACGATGAATGTATGCAGAGTTCCCTTTGGATGTGATAACGGGCAGTGGCTGATGAGCGATGGATAGATCATTGAATGGGCGTTCGGCAAGCGCATGACGCCAGCAGAGCGTCTGCGCAAGCACCAACGAGCACTCGAGAAGACGCAGAGAGAACTCGACCGTGAGCGAACAAAGCTAGAGAACCAAGAGAAGAAACTGGTACAGGACATCAAGAAGAATGCAAAGAATGGTCAAATGGGCGCGGTCAAGGTACAGGCAAAGGACCTTGTGCGAACGAGAAGGTACGACATCAGACTGAGCTGCTTTCGTGCGAAGATGTGGCTGATTGTCAGGCCAGATATATCCAAAAATTCTACCAGATGCGCACGCAATTGCAAGCAATATCACTACGAATCCAGGTAGAATGCCCAAAATCTACCGACTTCAAGTCGTTTCGCTAACTCTGCAGACTGTCCGGAGCAACGAGCAAATGATGCAGAGCATGAAAGGTGCGACGAAACTTCTGGGCAGCATGAACCGACAAATGAATCTTCCGGCACTACAGCGAATAGCCATGGAATTTGAGAAGGAGAACGACATTATGGACCAGCGTCAGGAAATGATGGACGATGCCATCGATGATGTGACAGGTCTGGAGGACGAAGAGGATAGCGAAGAGGTCGTTAACCAGGTTCTTGACGAAATAGGTGTCGACCTCAGCCAGACGGTAAGTCTTGTCGTCAGCTATGCTGGAAAGCACATTGTGCTGATAGAGACGGCAGCTTGGCGAGACGCCGACAGGACTTCAGAAGAGTGCCGTGGCGGATGGAAAAGTTGCCCAAGCCGTTGGAGCAGGCGATCCAGGCGACGATGACCTCCAGGCACGACTTGACAGCTTACGAAGATGACGAAATTGCATGACCACGATGGATACCAGTGTTCTCTTTGATCTATTGTGGCGTTTGGGGCAGACGACGACTACAGCGAGCATTATTGAAGGAGATAAGTCTGCGATACGTTGGTCCGAAGCTGCGGCTTCTCAGCAGTTTAACCGTCCCGCTGTCCAGGTACAGTGTGCTGAGGTACAGCAGTACGGGCCATGGCCTTGGGCATTCGTCTCCAGGTCGGCCGGTCGAGTCGAGGAATTGATTGGCGGGGCTCAATTATTAATGAGATCTAGACTCGGTCATCCGGGCAGCCGTATTCACGCTTTTTGAACAAATGCTGCAGCAGTCTGAGACGGATGTTGTGGACGACAGTGTCGTGGATAGGCATGCTGCTTAGCAGACAGATGAGAAGGCTCATCAGTGAGAGGATGATCAAGCGGACAAGCACGAAGCTTCTTCGAGATTTGCCATCGTTGGCCAAGTGTTTCTTGGCCACTTCCCCGAGCCCCAGCTGGCTGCCCGAGCCCCAGTAGATTATAAGATTACGAAATCAGCTATTCCTTACAAAATCGCGTGTAGAAGCGATTTCTGGATCCCTGCGGCCACTGCCGACCGGGCAACTATACTACTATTAACTATAAAGCTAAAGATTGTTAGCAAAACAGTAGTATAGCAAAATTCGAGGTATTATTAATAGTTACAGTAGTAGTAATAGTTCTATCTACTCGTTTCTAAGCGGGTTACGGCCTGCGGCCTTATAACTACGCGAAGCTATATATACTAGCTTATACTAGTCTCTTAGCTACTAGCTAGATTGCTATTACTATTATATTTAGTACTAGTAGTATTAGTAGTATTATTGCTATCGATATTGCTACTATATATAATACTATTAGTATTGTTGCTATAGAACGCTATAGTGCAGTAGTACCTGCCGTACTAGCTATATTAGTAAATACTAATATTGTTACTATTGCTATCGCTATTGCTATTTAAACAATGCTGCCTACTATCGGCTATAGTTAATCTATTACTAAGTACGCTGTTCTTTACGCGCTCGAAGGTTATTAACCTCTTGCTATAGAAGGTCTAGCTTAGAAGGAGGTTATAGTTTAACTAGAAGTGCTTCTTACTATAGATTATAATAGTCGAAGCCTATAGGGTAATAGGCAGGTCTATAGGCACAGTTAGCCTTCTAGCAAGGGCATAACTAAGTGCGGCATTAGCTCTTAACGTACTTGTAGTAAGTAATAGTAGTCCTTAATTAAGTAAGAGATACGCCTAGCTCTAATATAAAGTCTACGGTCCTTGCTATTACTGTCTTCTACTTCTTAGCGACCGCTATAGTACGTTACGGAAACTTTTTTACCAATCGCGACGATCCTATCGACAGGATCGCTTAGGATCCTTAGGATCCTTAGGATCCTTAGGATCCTTAGGATCGCACGTTAAAGATCTTGTCTAACAGGATCGTCGCGATCCAGAAATTCTAGCAAATCTGTTCGTGTTAAGAATTTTGTTCTTTACCGTCCGACTCGTATATCGAGTCGGGCTCGAGTCGTCGCATGTGCTAGTACTAGCATTTGAATTACATTTTCTATCGGATCTGTATATTATACGATAGTTGCTTCTACTAACATCCAACGTTTATACGCATACTCGGGTAACTACTAGCATTTGTATACGTCTACTACGTATACTAAGTTAGTACCGACTTAGCGACCGACTCGTATAGTATTAATAGATTTCGTTATATTGTATAGGGCATCTATTTATTACGGTTAACAAGAATGTATTCTATTCGTCCTCTACGGCTATATTAAAGCGATATACCTCTACTTTCTTTCGTTTGTTTCCTTTCGACTTCTTCTTCTCTTTTACTATATATCTCCTAATTCTTCGATCCTACGTCTCCTCGTTAAATACTATCTCCTTAACTTTGCCGCCGTCCGCCTCTATATCCGCCTACTATATCTACTCCCCCTCTTCTAGCCCTAATACATCCCTAACGCGATTACTTACCGCCGCGAATGAAGTCTTGTCTATTATATAAGACTAGTCGGAATACCTACTATTCTTATAGTAATTAGCGCGCAATCCTTCCCTATTACTATTACCGCGGTATATCTATACCTTTAGTATTAATTGTCTTCGGTTCTATTATATTCTATTGTCTTAGTTGCACTTATACCGTTACCTCCCTATACCGAAGCAAACGGATTAGTAGCCCCCGTCGGCTCCTAATCTATCGCTTAGAAACTGCTCTATAGTATAGGCAGTCTAACATCGTTTTTCTTAGGTAGGGCCTCCGCCTCCGCTAACCTATCTATCGCATTGTCGCCGGCTTTAAGTTGTTTACTTAATTGTTGCCCGGCAGACGCTTTAGGACCTATCGATTATATTAGTAGGTAAGAGAAACACGGCGCTCGTAGACTACTCTTACTATAGCGCTCGATCGATCCGCCTTTATCGTCGGAATCTAAAACGACGTCGATTGCTATAAGTGTATCGATGTCGTTACATACGCTCTCGAAGTTATTTATTAATAATTTAAGGGTATCCTATACTCTGCCTATATACCGTACGTATATCTTCTACGCTTTCGACAACCGAAGGTTACGAGTAGCTTAATCCGTCGCATTCTACGCAGTTATCCGATCTAGGAACGGCTAGTGCATTAACTTGTAATCTAGGGCTAGCTAGATCGCTTTACCTCTAACTTTAGTTAAATGCGACTCTATCGACTATCCAGTTAGTATTCTACCGAGTACCGTAGCGGTAGACAATATTATAAAAGGAGTGACTTTATAGTAGTACTATTTGATATATGTCTTCTAGCCTCGCCGATCCTACCGGAGTAGCACACCCGCTAAACATTTATATATAAGCTTACTAAGGTAGCGCGTAGTATATATCGACCGTTAGCTATTATCTAGTAACTATGCTATTTTAGAGAGGGTCTTACTAGTTTCTCGTCGTAGCACTCGAAGATTTGGTTGTCGAGCATCCTCTTAGCGTATACTATCCTTTTTAGAGTATCGGTTATTGCGATCGGTGCTTGGTTTGTTAAGGTTAATCGGATATAGGTGTTAATATAGCCTCGCTCCTTTCGTATAGCTTCTCGCAACTATTCTAATATTAGTCTCGATACTATTATATCGGGATCTCTACCGACTGCTTAGACTACGTCTCTCGACAGTATATAGCTACCTAGCTATAGTACTATTGTACGTAAAGCTAGTAATCGATCGTAGTTTTTACTATATACCTCCTTAATTGTTTCGTCTACCTATACTAGGGTTTAGGTAGTAGGAAACATCGTCTTACATCCTCGGGCCCTAGTTAACGTAATAGCGAATAGTTCACGACGCGTCTCGTTATACAAGATTTGCTCCCTTACTTCGAGTAAGCCCTTCTTTCGATTTAAACGTTCTTTACTAGAAGTCGTTGAGCCTTTGTCTCGCTTCTTACGTCGTTTTAATAGCTTTGCATCGTCGCTCTAATCCGCCCTATCGTCGCCGTGCTTCCGTTTTAGCCTTGCCGGATCTTTGCTATTCTTGCCCTTATACTAGTTACGTTAGTCCTCTATTACCGTGCTCTAGCGTACGTTACCTTTATGAATTTCGATCTAATACTAGTCGCTATATATAAACGAGTATCCTCCCCGTTTTCTTCTTCGAATCTAGTATCCCTATCCGACTCTATCGAGTTAGATAACGACTCAGTTCTGTATTTATCTTCTTTATAGTTGCGACCTATCCTAAGTATACTATAACGAGTAGTAGTATTGTTGCGAATCTAACGTAGTATATATTAGACTATACGCGTCTTCGTACTTGTTTACCCTACGAAAAGGGGGGCATTAAATTGCGGTTTTATCTTCTGCTCCTATATAGACTGCCCGAGTCGCCGTCTATAATCGCTTATTAGTCCTGTCGGATATGCCCCGCTAACGCTAAAGCATAATCGTAGCCTATAGACTATTCGCTATTTTCGTACCTTGTCGACGCTAGCCTAATTCGGTCGCGAGTCGGATTCGGGAACTATTAATCTAGCGCTATTATTAGTCTGGCGGTAATTATTACAGTCTATGCCGACGGTATATAGCAATACTATCGACATTGCACTAAAGTAATCGGCGCATTTAGACTATTTATTCCTCGCTCGGTCGCTACTACGGTATATATAGATATATATTCTTTATCGGTAAATCAATCGGCGTTAGCTAATCCGCTAGGTCGAATACACACCTTCGAAGCCGCCTCGCAGCATCACGGGTTAGTTAGAACTATCTCTATCGGCGTATTTAGCCAATTCGAGGTTAATAACACCGTAGAGGCCCTATACTCGACAGATGCAATTCTAACTAGATTAGCTAGATATATGCAATCTACCCTAGCACGACGACTACTAGTCGTAGCCGATTTAGCCTTTCCTTAACTATCGGGCTACCCCGAGTCCGCTATCGCTATAGCGCGATTAGGGTGCTTAAATATAGGCCGAGATTAAATAGATAAAGGAAGAGATCGCGGCGCTTAAGACTGCTATACGTAATATGCTTACTATATATTAGTATATGTCTAAGATTAAAGCGTAGTGCTTATCGTAGTCGGGGCATCTTGCCTTCCGTTTGATAAATAGATTGGTGCCTATTACTATTAGAGTAGGACTTCTATATCGGACTTAGTGAAATTAATTATTTATCTCGCTTTTCTACGTTCACATTTACGCTCGTTCTGCCTCCTTAATTTGCCTATAGATTGTAAATCGCAGCTGCAGGCCTCTGCCTAATGTATCGGATAGACTAGCCCTCTACTGTCGCTCGTTGTTAATTCGAACGTATCTATATTAGTCGCTTATCTAATATAAGGCGTCGACGCCGGCTTCGAAACTACAATCTACCCGCAGTATCTTAACTAATCGTTCGAGGTCTATGTTATCGACTCCTACTAACGCGCGGCCTCTAACTGTAGGCTAGCGATAATCGAGTTTATATAGTCGACATATAGGTTTTACCTTCCCGTTCTGCTCTTATACTGTAACTATGCTCTGCTATACATTATTTAGTACGCGGTACGGCGGCACCGCTCTAGATCCTTCTAGTATCGCTAGTCTAGTATCCGTAGATATAGCAATTTCCGCGCAATCGCTAGTATCGCCGACTCTACGCGTTGTTACGCGCACCGTTTTTCGTCTCGTCCGTCGGCGATAATTAGAACAAATCTTATACACTAGGCACCTAAACGCAGTCTGTCCCTCTACCGTACGGATCTGCTTTACTACCTTAGAGAACTTTTCTTCGTATTTCTCGTCTATTAATACTAGGTCGTATAGGTAACCTTACGTCCTTCGGCGTTCCGGCAATAATAGTAATCGGAACGTGCTACTAATCCAACTAGACTCCTAAATTAACCTCTCGACGCTAGCGTAAAATGCGTAGTATATCGACGGCGATAGGCTAAGGCCGCGGGTAATACCGCCTATTGAATATTAATCGCGAGGTAGTTAAGTACGTAGCATTCTCGAAGGCGGTAGTTGTATATATAGCGTAGTAGAAAGTCGACGTTAGTTAGTAGTAGAAACTAGAACTACTCTAGTCGCGGGGTTTGCTAATGCCGACTCGGGCCCTAATTCGGTATCGAATCGGGTGCTAAGCCTACTAGGCAACTTCTACATCCTCTATTACTAACTTCGGCAGCGGGTTCGGCAAATTACGTTATCTATTATCTCGCTTCTTAACCTTACGCCTAGTATATTGTGTTGCCGCGGATTTATATACGGTCGTTTATTCGGCCTCCTACGTAGACTACTACTCTAGTACACGATCTATAGAATATTTCGATCGTTTTATGCCTTTATTTGCTACTCGTTGTAGCTAAACACATGCCTTTTCGCCGCCGATAGAGTTAGTAGCATCTATAGAAAACATGCTATCTTGATCGTTAGCTCGAACTATCTGTATGCCCTACTCTCGGGTCCTAAGACTAACCGCCTTACTAGCCTGTACCCTCGTACTATAGCGGGTCTAGTCTACCCGCTATCGTATAATAATTGTTAGTTACTATAAGGACATAGATCGGTTAATTTAGCTATATTGCGTAGCTTATAAGCACTCGCGTCTCGCGCCGGCGATCGCAGTCGCAACTCTGCTATAGATAGGCTTATATTTACTTTACTAACTTTCGATTACTTGTTACGTAGTACTATGTTTACTGCGACTTGTTAGTCCTATATCTAGAACCGTCTATCGTATAGGGGTTTACACTACAACGATTATCTACAGCCTTATTACTTCGGTTACTAGTTGCGTAACTGAACTATTATATACTTAAGCGCTAGATGCCTTACTTCGTCGATTTATTAGTTAGTTAGGCCCGACTCGCTAACCGACCCGGTTACGAGGCAGGCATTTAAGGTCGTTACCTTTCCTTATTACTGCCTTCTTTAACATTTACTATTAACTCGCACTAATATACCTGTTCTATGTATATGCACCCCCTTACCCTCTCTATCGCACGTATAGTATATTATTTCCTTCGCTAATGCCCTATTCTAACTCGTATATAGGCCGCACTATATAACTTAGCCGTCGTGCTCGACTAGCGTTAAGCTAGTATATATAGACACTCGTTATATAACGCAACTCTAACGGCTCGCGTTAGGGTCGGCGGGTATAAGTAGCTCTCCGCTCCTATTCTTACCTCCGCCGACCCTAATATATAGCGAATTTCACCAACTCTATTAGTTTATCTACTACTCTCGGATAGTGTACGTCGTTGTCGATCTATAGTCCCTAACCTCTGTTATATAAGTATTACTAATCAGTATAACCTATTATATACTAATGCTGTATACTAGTTACAAACTCGTCGCCTACTGCCTTTACCGAGATAGTAGTCTCTGCGAATGTCGAGGACTAGCTAAAGGACAACGAGCTACTAATTAAAGCCTTAAATAGCGGTAAAGACGTCCCTAAATATGTTATACTAAACCTATATAGCATCGACAAGCCTCTTCTTACGTTAGTAATAAAAAGGCTCCTTCCGCATCTAGAGAAACATTTTTTATTTAACTAGTTAAAGGGGAAGTAGAGTCGCTAGCCCGTTAAGGGGCATTATAAGGAGGAGAAAGCTACAGTATACGCCATTGCTAGCAACCTTAACTATCCTACTAAACCTAGACGTACGCTATTAATGCCCGAATAGTACTTTAAAGATCCTAAACAGGCTCCGAAGTAGTATATTAGGGGAATGCTTCCGTAGGACAATATAAATAGTCCGAATAATAAAATTCAGAGGTCTATAGTCTACTTAGTATGCCGACTTGTATAGAAGGTT